ACTAGCCTAAGGCTAGCTTACCTTTTTACTAGTTTTAAATATATTATAAAAAGATCTTTTTATAAACTTTATTATTAGCCTACCTTTATTAAAATATAAAGGCCGCGTGTATAATATAATATTAGTAATAGTAAATTATTTTAGTAAAAAAGTAAAATATATTTTTACTACCTAAAAAGTTAATACTAAAGAGCTAGCTAACAAGTTTATTAAAAAAATAATATATAATATAAAGGTGCCTAAAAGCCTAGTTACTAACCAAGGCTTATTATTTATTTTAGGTTATTAGTAATTATTTTATTAAGTACTATAATTTAAAAGACACCTTAGCACTACGTACTATTTATAGTTAAATAATTAAATTAAATAATAAAATTAAATACTTAAAATATACTTATATATTTATTATAACTTTTAGTAAAATAACTAGGTTATATTTTTATTAGCTATATTATTTACCTATAATAATTTAAAGCATAATATAACTAGGTATGTACCCTAAATAGCCTTACGCGGCTAGGAACCTATTATTTTTTTATTAAAAAATTATAAAAAAAAATATTATATTTTTTATTAAAAAATAAACTTTATTAATTATAAAAGTTATAAGATAAATTACAAAACTATATAAATAAGGCCTAAAAAAAGTAAGCCCTTTACTATAATAAAAAGCATACCCCTACTAAATTTAAGGTTAGGAATAATGTTTTATTATTACTATGTAATATTAAAATAATTTAGCTAAGTAAAAAACTTAATTAAAAGTTTAATAGCCCCTTTAAAATTATTAAACCTATTAAAAAGYAGGTRTATTAGCTCCGGCTTACTAGTTATTATACTTAATTAAAAATTTATTTAGTATTTTATATATTTTTACTAAGGCCTTACACCAAGCAACCCGGATTTAAGGGGGATAAAAAAATACCTAATATAAAACTTATTAATAAAAAGCAAGAATAAAAAGTTAAAGCTATTCTTACTAAATAACATGCTTATAAACTAAACTAGTTTTTAGTTAAATAAAAAGGCTGGCCCAGCTATAAAAACTTATAAAAGCTATTTAAAAATTTTAAGTATATATAAAAAACTTTAAAAAATTATTATAAACTAGCTAAAATAGTGCTAGAACACCCCTAGTTTAAAAAAAAGTAATAATAATTTTTTACCTATTAGGTTTTTATATTATTAAAGCTAAAAAACTAGCGGAGTGGTTACCTTTCTCCTATATTTTAAAAAATTTAAAGGTTTAATAAACTGCTATTATAAATAAAATATTTTTTAATAAAATCCGGACTACCTGTGGCCCTAAAAATAATATTAAACTTATATATTAAAAACCTAGGTAAAAATAGTTACCTTTCTTTTTTTATTTTATATAATTTTAAGATTTAATAAACTATAACCTAAATAGCTTTAAACTACCAAAATTTACAAGTTACGTCTATAAAAGCATATTAAAAAAAAAAAAGTCTTTTTTTAAAAATAAAAAATAAATAAAATATTAAAGTAGCACTAGGCTGTTAACCTAAACAGCTAGTTATATATTAAAGGTATAAATAAATATAAAACCTTAAAAAGGGGCGCGGATAAAAATATAAAGCTTTTAAAAAGTAAAATCTAAAATTACTATAATACTAGGATTAATTATATTAAATATATTTTTACTATATATTTTTTAATACCTTTTATTAAAAGCAGCTAAAGTCTTGCCAGTGGATAAGCAAAGCTTGTTAACAAGTATAAAAATAATATAATATAGGTTATTTATGGACTAGACTTTTACCAGCACCTTATTAAAAGCCTTAGTAATATTTTTTACACGCTTATTAAATATTTTTTATATACTTATATATTTTTTTAAGCTTTTATTAGCAGGCAAGCATTGCAAAATATTAATATTATTATATATATAAACTAAAATAGGCTTGTATTTATTATTATTATTATAATACTAAACACATGCTAACCCTAGACCCTAAAAAATATAATTATAATAAAGCCTATAAAGGTTTTTTTTAAAAAATATTACTAGTTTACTGCTGGCAGCAAGAATTTATTAATTATTTATATTTTTTATTTTTTTACTATCACGGAAGATTGCCTTGGCATATTTAAGGTATATTTAAAAGCTATTAGCTATTTATACCAAAAGCTATTTAAAAAAAAATAGGGAAAACTTACTTTTATTAAAAGGGCGGGGCTAGCTGTAATAAAAATAAAAAAAGTTAAAATAAAAAAAATAAAATTAAAGGGGGTAATTATAAAGGGCGCGGTAATACTAGTATTATTATTAGTATTATTATTATTATTATTTAAAACATTTTTATCTAAAATACTTAATAAGTAAAAAAAAAATTAAAAAATATATTATTAGGCTTAAAAAGCCTGTAATAATTATATATATTATTTATAAGTTAATTAATAGTGGCCCAGTGGGGGACAGGAAATAGTAATAAAATAAGTTACTAGTTTTAATAAGTTTTAAGTTAGCATGCTTTAATATTAATATATTATTACTAAAATACTTTTAAATAGGCTACTATAAGTAAAAAAATACTTATTATTAAAGTAAAGCCCTGCATATAAATATAAGCTAAAAAAAAATTATTTTTAAAATTAGTAAAATAAAAAAATATTATTTATAATTAGCTATTTATTATTACTTAAAAAAAAGCCTTAAAAGCTTTATTTAAAATTATTTAAAGGACTTACCGCCGGGGGAGTAATAAAGCAAGTAATTAAAAAAAAGTAATTTTTAAAAGCAAGGGGCCCTTAAGGTTTTATTTAAACTTTATTTTTTTAATTTTTAGTAAAAAAAGCTACTAGCTATACTTTTTTAATATTAATAAAGTACAGCGCCGTATTAAAAAAAGGATAATTTTACTTAAGTATAATTAAAATAAAAAATAAGGTAAAGGGGTAAAATAGGAGCTAAAATAAAGTTATATAATTTAGTTATATAAAAGTAATTTAAGGTTTAAAGTTTTAAAAAAACTAGACTTAGGTTAAACTAATAAAAAAGCTATTTTTATAGTTAGGCGCCTTTTTAAAAGTAAATAAGTAATAAAATATTTTAAATAAAGTATTAAATATTATTTAATATTTTAAACCAAGAATAATAAATAATAAAAATAATAATAATAAAAAACACTATTATGTTATAATATAATAATAAGTTAATATTATAAATTACTTACTTATTATTTTTTTAAAATAGCTAGCGCTGGATCGCGGACAATTTATTTTTTTAAAAAAAAAATTATTAGGGCTAATATTAATTTAAGTCATGCTATTAAGTAATACCTAAGACACCTAGGTCATGCTATTATAAAGTATTAATATTACCCGTGCAGGATACCTTAGGTATTTATTTAGCTTAATAAACCTTATTATTATAAATTACTATACAAGACTTAATATAGTATTAAATTTAATATAATATTAAGTTTAATATAGTATTAGTTTTAACCAGGGACCTTAGCTTAAAAACCTTGGGTTTTAAGTGCTATTTAAGTAGTAAAATAAAGGCGTGTCTTATACTAAATTACCCTAATAATTAAAAAGTAATTATAAGGGGCGTAAATATAAAAATATTTAAATACCACCTACTTTTTAAATAAAAATAGCTTGGGAAATTACTTAAAGGCCTTAGGCCTTTAGGCAAGGCCTATATAAAAAAGCTAAAGGCCAGGGTGTATTTAGTTTTTTAAGTAATTCTTTTAATTAAATTTATTAAGGTTCTAAATACTTTATTCTTATTAGTTAAGAATACTTTACCAAGCTTTATCATTATTAGTAGAGAACATCTGGGTGCTAGGGCGCCCTTACATTATTATTATTATTATTATTATTACCTGGTATAAAAGTTAAATATATTAATTAATATACTTGCAGGTAAATAAAGGCTATAACTTATATTTATTAATACACCACGCACCTAAACTATTTTAATAATAATTTATATAACTATTATTAAAATAGCCTAGCATAGTAATATACTTTATAAATAGCTTATGGCCTTAAGTATAATACCTATAAATTAAATTATTTTTAATAAAGATATTAATATACTACCTAATAATAGCTTTTTAGTTAATAAAACAGGCTATAATTTTTTTTATTATATTAATTTTATTAATAGGCTTGTAAAGCACGAGCTCACGCTATAAATAATATAATTATTTATAAAGTTTTTTTAAAATTATTAATTTATAGCCTAAATAATTTATTATATTAATAATATAAGCCGCTAGTGGCTAAGTTAGTAAAAAAATAAGTAAATAAATAAAAAAGGCAGCGCTATTATTACCTTTAATATTAGCTATTATAATAAAAAAAATTTAAAAAATTAAGGGTTTATAAATTATAGGTTTATATAAGCAGGCTATATACTACTTATATAATTTATTTTTTTATTATTTTTTAAATATTTTTATTAAATTTACTATTATTATAGCTATTAAAAAAAGTGTTACTATTTAAAATAAGCTATTAATAAAAGTATTAAATATTAAATAGGCTATTAATAGTAGTATTTTTAATATTTTAAGCAGGATAAACTTTGTTTTGGCCTTGTATATTACTCCCGGTATTAAAGCTTGCGCCCTAGAAATAACGGGACCTACGTAGAGTGTCCACTAGCTGTATATGGTTAGCGCATAATGAGCCTCGGCTGGACCCTTGTGTCTTATCTTCCAGGCGTGCTTCCAGGCCAGGGACGATTTCCACCTTATCAGCCGCCGCGTCATTCCTCTTCCCTTCTCCTTCTCTTCCTCTCCCCGTAACTTCCTGGCGGGTCGAGAGAACATATTCCAGGAAAAGAAGTAGCGTTGGAGACTGAGGGAGGCCAGTCTAAATCTGCCGCCATGGTTTCCTGGAGCAATATTCAGAACCTCTCGGGTTCTCTAACAGATTACCACTCTCATTATACCCTGCTCGCTGCGGCAGGGATATCCTTGAGCATAGGCCTTCTCTTGCGCACTTTATACCCTGAGCTACACATGGAACCCAAACCCATCTTCAAGGCCCCGCTTCCTCCAACGCAAGCTGCCCAGACAGGTAACAACAGCCACCCCTTGCCAACAGATGTACTGCCTGGAGCCCGAGACGTGCAGACTCCCTATGGATCGATCCGCGTCTATGAATGGGGTCCAGAAAACGGGCCCAAGGTGCTGCTCGTCCACGGAATTACCAACCCCTGTATCGCACTCGGCGGACTAGCTCACGGCTTGGTGGACCGAGGTTGTCGAGTCATGTTGTTCGATCTGTAAGTGCCACAGTGATCCTTGAACTAGGGCTGTCTGACTGATAACTGGCATTAGGTTTGGGCGAGGCTACTCCGATTGTCCCTCCGACGTACCTCAAGATGAACGATTATTTTCATCACAGATCTTGTTGGCTCTGAGCTCTTCGCCGCTTTCATGGACAGGGGCCGGCTCTGGTAAATTCTGTCTGGTCGGCTACTCCCTTGGCGGCGGTATCGCTACATCGTTTGCATCATTCTTTCCTCAGCTATTGACCGCTCTCGTTCTCCTTGCTCCAGCAGGATTGATTCGTGACTCCCATATCAGCCTCGGCACCCGATTCTTGTACGCTGGCGGCATGCCAGATGGACTGCTAAAGCACTTTTCCGGTGCTCGTCTCCGCGCTGGGCCTCTTTCAACACCAAAATCCAAACATAAAAAGTTTCACACAAGCGACGCTCTTGCCGAACAGCTACCTCCCCAAGGAGGCGAGACCCAATTACTATCCCGCTCATACCCTCATGTCACCGGTCCGGCCGTTATGTCTTGGCAGGTGAATGACCATGGCGGTTTCGTACACGCCTTCGTAAGCAGCATGCGTTACGGACCAATCTTGAACGGACGCCAACGAAAAACATGGGAGCGTCTTGGAAGGTACCTGTCCAAGCAGAAAGCTCTTTCTGCCGCAGAGCAGGAATCAAATGGCCTTCCGAGTGGCAAAGTTGTCATTATGTACGGCGTGGATGATACGATTATTATAGGCGACGAACTGTTAGAAGATGCGAAGGCTACTCTTGGAAACGATGTGGTTTTTAAAGAAATTTCCGCTGGTCATGAGTTTCCCAGCACCAAGTACGATGAGATCGCCCAAATTATCTTTGATACATTGCTTTGACATGCGCTAGTTACGGTACACGGATGATTCATCCTTTCCCGGCCCATGCGCCTCTCGGTTTAGATACTTGTTTCCCCTTATTGCTAATGGCCTTTCCCTACGAGATAGACTTTGTATATAGAGAGATTCTTATCCAGTTTTGCGGCCTCTGTCATAGCCCACACCCGAGTCACTGTTGGTGCTTTCAATATCGAACCGTTTCTCCTTATCACTTCTTCAGAAGCGCGTCCGTTGCGTTCAGTTGACTTTTTAGCTCACTCATATGCTGTGCACGGTTCTCCATTGCTGCGCGGGCAAAGTATGGTGAATCTGCCGAGGACGAGTTGGCGAACCGGTCAGCGCCGCGGCCGCTGTCGTCCGGCACCTTCCTCAAATTGTCTGCGCTGAGCTTGCTGTCCGTCCCATTGAGGTTCCTGACCGAGTAGTGTTAGCAGTTTGCTATGGGTGCAGAAGACCTGGAGACGTACTTTGATGATGCTTGGCCGTTTGAGGACATATTGTTTCAGTTGGCTTTAGCACTCGTGCTTCTAGAGAAGAGGTGAGGAAGCTCGCTTGCTTGGGCCAAAAGCTAAGATAGGAGGTTTCTTGAAGGGATGAGAACTTGCTTCGAGAAGTGCTGATGATTGTTGGTGAGTACTGAGAGAGAGGATCTCTCTTCTTTATATGTCTCGAGGGAATTGGATACTAACTCTTTCCATCAGGTGAACAATCGAATCTAGGGAATGGGTCACAAGAAGAGGTGGGCCTCTGAAACAAGACAGAGTTTCGTTCCCTCGTAAATGTTCAACGATGAAGAGTATGAGAAAAAGAAAAAGCTGATTCCACCGAATAGTGCAGCGAGTGAGCAAGTCGAGAACACTGCTGGAGTATACTGCGCTTCTTGGTGCCGAAAATCCACAACATCCATGAAGGGCGAATTCTGACGTGTCTTCACAGTTTCTCCTTGTACTTTTGAAACAGAAGCTATGATTGAGATTGCTTCGACATACACTCCTTCAGGTCAACTCACCTCGGCCTAACTGGGAGGTTACCTACTGCTCGTTGATCAGTACGCTAGACCGCAAGATTGCTATAATGGTCATTCATAAGACCGTCTCGACACAAGGAGCCCTACTCCGTACGTATCCGGGTTGGCAACGAGCAACAATGGGTCCCGAACGAACCGGTTGGGTGGGTTATGGACAATGGGCAAGAGATACACCGGGCACACGAGCCGTAAGCCACCACAACCAGTCCCTCGGTATAGGAATGCCGCCAATGGGACCAATGAGCGTTGACGTTACTAGTCGAGTTCGGAAGGTGCTTCGACAGCTAGAAACGGAGTTACTCCGCGCTAATGGCCAACGAGGTGTCATGGGATAGATACGCGATATCTATTCAGCTTGGCGGTGATAGTGGCTGAAGCCCATTACGTGCAATCAATCTTGTCGTCTAGGCCCGGCTCCCACGGTCTGACCTTACATGAGCCGCCGATTGCAATGTCATTTGTAACCGTAATGGGATGATCTCGTTCAAATGACCGTGCGAGCATGACTATGCCAAAGAGGCAATGACAAGCATGAACTCGGGACCGTTTGTGGCTCGGCCGAGTCCAACCTTAACTGAGTTGACGATCGTATCCCTTGAGGCTGATTAGGGACAATGGCAGGCCCAACCCATCCACTCATGCGCCCTGGAACTGTCGGCAGTTGACTAGCGATCTTTCAGGGTCTGAAAGGTTTTTCATTCTACGCCTTATGGAAATGTGAAGAGCAGATTTTAACGACCCCAAGCCATGTGGCTGACGAGGACACTGCACATATCAATTTTGGGCGTTTCTAGGTGCGTTCCCTCTTTCTCACACATGTTTGCACCATTATTTTTGCTTAGTGTCTGCGCAGCTGCGCCTTTAATCTAGAATAATTGTCGGCCGAGAGGCCTCGACTGTACTCGTTTCGGTGTGGCAGTTAGTCCTGCTGGTGTGTTTTTGCTTTTTCCTCCTCATTTTTGCTCCTACACCGGCGTCGACTTACCTGTCATTATTTTCATCTGGAGCTACTAGTAAGTGAGATCATAATTCCCCCGTCCTGCGGTGACCGAAGCTTACGAGGTCAATCTAGGGTTACCCATTTACCTCTCACCGGCACGGTTCTTGCTCCGCTTGCCATCATACGTTCAATTGCGAGCTGAACAGAGTTCTGTCTTGATGATCGTCCTTTCACTTTCTCATTCCGGCGTTCGTGTGAGCGGTCTAGTGCTTCTACGTTCGTCTTCTGACATGATGACCACTTGGGCGCGAAGCAAGGAAAGTTACGCATCTTCTGACAAAAAGCAATATGTCTGCTAAAATTGGGACACCGGACGGTTTCAGCACCAGGGTCGAAATCAAGTTCCCTCGAACTGCGTCCGAAAGCCGTGGGATGGTAATACCCGCGGCTCTGACAGCCTGGCACCCTGGCAGTGGCCATGCACGCGCGCCACCACTCAAGCTTTCCACCCCTAGCGGATCCGACCAGTTGTATTGGGTTCCAGGGAGACGGGTTCTCGCATCGGCCCTGGACTAGCCGCAGCTGCAGCTGCAGTGACGGGTCACGGCATGCGCCTTGCTGGGAAGAGCACAGAACGTCAGCTGCCGACTACTACTACCTATTGTACCACCTCAGTGCCGGGGATGTTTGGGCTGGTCTAGTTCATGCCGTTCCTACGCTCTCGGCGCGCAGCCCCTTGACCAGCACCCTGCAGTCCATCACGCTGGTCTGAATGTGATGGAACTCGAAGTCACACCTGCTCTACACTGGAATCGTTCTTGATATTCGCAATTCATCAAGGCTGCAGCTGTCATATCAGTTCGGCAGAAATAGAGCATACGAGCGAGCATCCGTATTGCTGTCCGTGACGACGGTCTATGAAAATCTACTAATATGAAAATTGAGAACCCAGGCCTTTTACGAACTAATGCTGCTGGCAACCTAGCCTGCAGTTCTGAGACGCCATTCGAAGGCTATGTCAGCCTTCCAGGGATCTACCCCGCAAGGTCGAGTCTCGGCAGGCGGTTTCCAACTTCAACCCACAGCCTCACACCCGTCGGCTAACATGACCATTCTTGCCGCAAAGCAAGCCGTTCGCGTGGAGTTGCACTGCTCCAGCCTGGCGGTTAGCCTCAAGCCCACGTAAAGTATGCTTGTGTCAGACATCACAAAGCCTTAGTTCAGGCATGAGAGTGACAACCAGAGCAACCCTCACAAAGTATGCGTTCGCTCTATGACAGACTCCACCGTCAGCGGTCTTGGCTGGTGGTGGTTCTTGACAGTAATGGAAGGTATCAGGAAAGCAAATGCACCACACTGGTTTCTTTTCTTTGTGAGACACGCGGTGCATGGCCGAAGTTGGTGAGCTGACTGCTGGAATACCACTAACGCCGATCCCCATAGCAGCTTAAGCTGGAAGCTTAGGCCGTTGCTGCCGCTGGCATCAGAGTCCTTCTCCACACTCCGCCACGCGCTGCAGGAGACCTGCACACACCCCATCCAGTCAACCGATAGACCTTTCCAGACAAGCAAATTCACGGCGTACCTATGCCCCGACCGCTGCTGCCGCTGACCTCTGAGTCATGCTCCACAATTCGGCCGCGAGCTGCAGGAGACCTGCACATACGCAGTCCAGCCAACTGATAGACTTTATCAAACAAGCAAATTTACGGCGTAGCTAATACCTATATTCCAGCCGCTGGCCACTGAGCTGCTACATGCTACAAGGATAAACCCGAGTGGCTGGACTCTTTCTACCGAATCTATCACTCAACTACAGGTCAGACACACTCCTCTCGGCAGCTGCAGTTTTGACATGTCGAAGATGGTCTACGCTCTCTCGTAACTTGACTACTGGAGATGCTTCCTCCGCGCCCGACGAGTATGTGACTCCCGAGGGGATCCTGAGGCTGTATACGTGTGGGCTGCCGGGCAATTATTGGCTTGATTCTCTCAATGGTCACGCTCCGCCACATCCGTTTTGTACTTTCCTAGTGCACCCATCAGCTACCAGTAAGTCTCATGTCCAGTGTCCTGCGTTCTACAAGCACTCACTTTGGGACAATGCCCGATTGCACCTATCTAGTGCCATAGTCGCACCGCTCCCTGTGAGACGTGGCAGCCTGGAAAGCCCTCTTCACTTCCGCACATCCTCGCCAATTATATTCATATGAAAGTGGTAGCCAAGTGAAGCCAGGCACCACACACCCTTTATCGTGCTCCATCAGCTATATCTACCGGAGCTGGCACAAGCCGCGCGTGATCCGCGTACTCAGTGTCTCAATCCCCGATCACTTAGGGTTAGTGAACTCATTCTCGAAGAGATGCCATATCAGTAAACCTATGACTCACCCAACAACAAACTATGGCATTCTGGTAAACTTGACTAGTTGAGGACAAATGTCTCATTGAGGGACTTCCCCGCAGTCATGGTGGTACCTTGCTTACCTTCAAGTTCGCAACCCTCAGTCCGGAGATGAAGTCCGCATGCAGGGATCGCAAACCTTGCTCGTATTGAGCAAATGCATGAGCGCCTTTGCCTTGACATCATCCATATCCTTGTCATTTCCCACAGACGCATCCTGTGCATTGTCCCCATCCTCAATTGCCATCTTCACGTCCTCGTCAATATCCGCCGAAGACGGCTGCGTGGTGTTCTCTTTGGAAGCTCTCGAAGTCAAATCCTTTGGCAATATGTCGCAAGGCCGGTAATAGCCGAGGAGCTTGAGACGCGGCCCCCTTGTAGCGAACCTTATCCTGTCGCAACCAACACAGCCTAGGGCTTTGTTGAGCCTATGAGGTGTTGAGGAAGAGGCCTTCCACCTCGGCCTTGTGGCCGGGTTCTCTGAATGCATAGCCTCTGTCCTTCTCGTCGTGCTTGGGGTGTTGCTTATCAATCGCTCTACTCGTAGTGATCCTGTATGTTTTTCGCTTGTGGGTGGTGGCCGGCACCCTTCAAGCATCCGATTTCTGCATCTAGTGCTGTCATTTTCCCTTGGCAATGCAAAAGATTGAAATCCACTCTGGTCTTATGTCTAGTTCCCTTTGGTGCTTTGCAAGATATATATCGAAACGGAGACATGCCAGGCGTGAGGTGGAGCTAGACAGGCCTCGTCTACCTTAATCTCCGAGCTAGTCAAGGTTAGATAGAGAAGTTGTCTTATACTCGATAGTGAGTAGATGTGTTTCAGAGTAGGGAAAATCCAACAGAAGGGAGTATACCTGGCCAATCACGTGACTCTCGTGGTCGGGAAAGTTGCCTTGTTGAGCGCCTCCATTCGAGTTCATCCATCTCACTATTGTTGGGCCTTCATCCCACTATCACATCAGCGCCTTCTGTTCATCGAGTACTCTCTAAGTCCATACACGCAGAGCTATAAGGATGAACATCCTATAGTCGAGGCAATCTCCGCATCAGTAAGTCTCACGTCTCGAGAGAGAACCGAGAACTGACAACCCCACAGGCACCACCATGGCCATGGACCAAGCTGCGCTAAACAGCATCCAGAAATCTATCTGGGGTGGCCAACTCCCTCTACAAATAACACTCGCTCCATCCGAGAGCCGCACATATGATCAAACAGATCCGTATATCGTACGTCTGCAATCTGTCCTTGTGAGCCTCGGCTAAGTCCAATTCTAGATCTCCTACCCCCGAATCTCGTATCTTCCATCTCTCCTTCTTAAACTTAGAGCTTTCTTCTCGTCATCATTGATTGATCCTGCCGCTTCAGAGCCCCACGACGGCTGGTTCTCGTTCGAAGGGGTCCCGCTGAAATGGCACTACCCCGTTGGCTTGCTCTATGATTTGTATGCGGGCGCCGACCCAGCGACGAAATCCAGTGATGCCGAGTCCCCAGGTGACGGTTCGCTTCCGTGGCGACTTGTCGTGCATTTCGGCGACTGGCCTGATGAGGAGCTTGTCCGGCTTGATGCTAAGGGCATGGTCATGAACGATGCCTTTATTAACAGCGTCAAGGAGGCTGATTTTCTGCGCAACGGGACGGCAAAGGGGATTATGAGTCTTTCAAAAGATGACTCGTCCGGGCTGTGGAAGGCTGTTCAGGATGGTATTTCCCCAACCAATTTTATCCGTGACTCTGTAGATGAGCTGACACGCTGAAAGTCGACCTCCCCTCCTTCCAACGCATAATGAATATTCTTCTTCCGTCCAACGGGCATCAGCCTCTTCGCAACCTCCCCGTCCGACTCTTTCTCCCGCTCCCACCGAAGCCTGATTCCGACTCCGACTCACCATTTCTCAAAGTCGTTCAGTCGCCGATTCCACCGACGATATCGACGACCCCATCACAGTCCCAACAACAAATGGCTCTATCCACACTCGCCTCATCACGCGCTTCAGTATCTTCTCCAGGAGCGGGATCACAGCCGCAAACGCAAACAATTGGCACAGCGCTCCACTCCATTCTCCCACATCTGTTCCCGAGTCGAAGGACACCGGTCCTAGCGAAACCCGTGCTGCATGGGGCCGCCGTACCGTTGTCCGCGCCTGTGGAAGAGGTCGTGCGCGCTGCGGCGTATGGAGATGGATGGGTTTACATTGTTATTCGGATGATGGGGTGAACTATCCTTGCTAGAATGACAAGGGCTCACGTCATTGGCCAGGCCACTACAGACTACAGTATAACGATAAGTTATGATACGACTCCTGAGTACATATATAACTGCTTAGGCTACTCAAGCATTCCTAATACGAGAGGCAGCAGTTGGGAAACAGAAACATAACTCGTTATGTCGGTCTTTAAGTTTCAGCAGTAGCTTCGGAATCCTAGCCTAGAGTATACATGCCATCGCATCCCATTCCACAACCGGACCTGGCCATGGCATAGCCTTGGACATACCATAGCTAGGTATGTCCTCGACTTCGTTCTGAACATCATTCAACGAAATGGACTCTGCTGAGGAAAGCTTACGAAGTATTCTAAGTAGGTCAGAGAGATGGCTGTCTGGCCTGGTCTAGTGGGTGAACACGTTCTGCTCTTGCTCGTCGCAGTGGTTGTTTGGACTTCAATGTACGATGTCAGTGAATGCGCGGGATAGTGACTTGGAGTCAGGATATGCCCTAGCCCGCCAGTATGGGTCCAAATCAAGTTGCTTAGGTCAGACTCCAGATTCGTGGTACCTGTGAAGAATCAAGTGAATACAGCAAAAGGTGAGAAGTGAATGGAGACCATCACCACCTCCAGGACTCCTCTTGGAAAGATATAAGTACAGAGGTATATCCACGCAAAATGCCAATAGAAAAGTATCATCTGATACACAGTTCAACCCACTTGATACCTTTCTTATCTCATTCTAAATCATCATTCTCCAACCATCCATCGCACTGCAGCAACAATGCCCCCCATAAAAGCCATAATCCTCGACCTCTGGGACCTCCTCCTGCCCCGCCAGGCACTGCCAACGAGTCCCAAGATCCCGCGCCAAACCATCCGACAGATCCTAGACAGCGACATATGGGCCAACTACGAGCGCGGCAAGCTCAGCGAATCTAAGGCCTGCAGACAGATCGCAGCACGGTATACCCTCGACAAAGCCGACGTCACCGACATCCTGCGCCAGGCGCGTGTCCAGGGCCCACTGGAACAGAATGCGTACCTGCACGTCATGGAGAACCTGCGCGCCATAAAGGCCGAAGCCCAAGCCGAAGGAGCCGGAAAGGGTACGGGAATCAGTCTCTGCGCCATGCTGAACGTCCCCGCGCCAGCAGCGGAATGCGAATCTCTGCGTGCGCTCATCGCAGACTGTGTCGGGGACGATAACGTCTTTGACCGCGTCTTCTTGTCCCATGAGGTCGGAATGCGCAAGCCGGATCTGTGCTTTTACGGCCATGTCCTTTCTGAACTTGGACTTGCGGGGTCAGCCGAGAAAGCGCTGTTCGTTGAGTCGGAGGGTGAGAATGTCCTTGCGGTTAAATCGTTGGGGGCGCGTGTGATACTGCACTATGGGGATGTGGATAATACGCTGCGACTGATTCAGAATGCTTTGGGGGATGCGGTGGCGTATGGGAAATGGTTTTTGAGAGCAAATGCGAAGAGGATGTTTAGTGTTACTGGTTCGGGCGTTGAGGTGAGGGAGAATCTTAGCCAGTTGGTTATTCTCGAGGTTACTGGGGATAGGTGAGTTTGCTGTTTTGTCTTGGTTTGATATGGTGCAGGGAAGGGGATGTGTACTAACAGGAATATAGTGAGCTGGTCTCCCTCAAGGAGACTTCGCGGACATGGAACTTCCTTCAAGGTTCGTATATATGTACCTCGGGTTGAATGTCCAACTCACATTGTATAGAGAAGCCTCTGTCCTCGATAAGCGCGTATCCGGACGACTTTGACACAACGGCTCTCGCATTGACGGTCCTGGATCGAGACGAGAAGGTTGTCCATGCCGTCATGGACGAAATGGCAAAGCATGTCAGCGCCGACGGCATCGTTTTGGTACGTTTTCTTTTCATGCGTCACATCCTCATTTGTCCAAGCTAAGATAGAAAAGACCTACTTCGACCGCACCCGCCACCACGTCGACCCCATAGTCTGCACCAACGTCCTCCGCCTCTTCCACAAATACAGCCGAGGCTCTGAGCTATCCAAAACCATCTCCTGGGTCCGGGATGTTCTCAAAAACCGCGCCTACATTGACGGAACGCGCTACTACGTCACCCCGGAGGCGTTCCTGTATACCATGTCACGCCTGCTGCAGTGCACAGAGGGCCACGCGCTCGAGGGACATGCGGAGCTGGTTTCCTTGCTCCGTGACCGTGTCGCTGAGCGCATAGGACTCCCTGGGGACGCAGTTGCGCTTTCTATGCGTCTGCTTGTGTGTTTGTATGTTGGCGTGGAGGGGGCGGGTGTTGATGTTGATGAGGACAGACTGCGTGAGATGCAGGGTGAGGATGGCGGATGGGAAACCGGATGGGTGTATCGGAATGGCTGGAAGTCGAATCTGCGGATTGGGAATCGCGGGATGGCGACTGCGTTGGCTGTGAGGGCGTTGGAGACGTTGGAGCGGGTGAGTTTACTCCAGACTGAGAGAGGAGGAGGAAGCTGACTTGGTTTGTTTAGGTCCGCCGGGCTCGCATGACGCAGTCTCCTTCCCCCATGCAGAGAATATCTCGTCTCTTCTCGGCTGTTGGCATTTAGTCTGTGTTTCCCCCCTTCTTTTTTTGTGAACAATATGCGATTGTGCATACGGTGTTGGGTTAAACGAACAGGTATGGGTGAGAGTCGTGAGAGTCCCTTCATCAGTGACATCTTTGCCTTTGGCTTGGACTACTCTACCCTACATTGGGACTTACGAGCCGGTTATCTGGTCGCTGGTCTTTGATTGCGTACAATGGCCCTTATGCCCCCGGATGACCTAGGACGTTTCAGCATGGCCGCAGCGCTATTGCCTGCGATTTTGCACATGGTGCGGATAGTCTAAGTAAACGAGCGGCTTTTACATTTGTTGTTTTGAATGTCAATCTCCATAAAAACTCCGGTGTTGTTTCTGCGTAGAGCTCGAATCCCGGCGGAAGTGCCGTACTTTGGTCTGGAATTGTCCACGCGCCAATTGAGCAGACGTTTTCTGGGTGCCTTTACCAATGGTTGCTAGGAGACCAAGCGAATCTTTGTCGACATCGAGAGTGAGCTTCGTAGATGGACAAACACCATGTAAACTCGTCACATAGCGCCGATCCTAATTATAGACGGACTGGAGTCGACGTAAATCACACGACACGGCGCATCATACTAAACAAGGTACGGCACTGAATCCGCTCTCTAGTCTTTGCTCATGACAGTGGCAAGTGAACCTTGTTCCATATTTAGGCCACGAGCGTCAAATCGACCCTGCAGCCGAATGGGGTCGGCGCTTCGAGTGATATCGAGTGTCTTGCAGAAGTATTCGAGGGAGAGATAGTGTAGAGCACAGGTAATTTTGCCCAAGCTAAACACAGCGCGGCGTCAATTGAGTCGATAGTGAGACGTTCCTGGGAACTAATTATAGGTAAGACTCTTTGACCGTTTGGCAACTATCCATGCCTCGTTAGTTCCTGGAGGAAACCAATCTAGGGGGAATGAACGCGCCTACCGACCTGGTAACCAAAAACTGTACATAATGGTTGTCGTCCGGTGACGTCCACGCGGTTTTCAGTAAATGTGCCTTAGGGTAGGCAATGGCATCTCTATGACAACCAACATTACGCCATAGAAACAATACGGAAGGGTCCACATGAACAATAGATCGAGGGACTGAACAGTTTGTACGGCATCCGTAGCACAGCGTTCACTACTCAGACCCTGATTTGACTGGTCAAACAAGGTCGGCGCTTCCGGTTCGTACATGTGGGTAGTCCTCGTACAATAATGGCTAAAGACTTAATGGCCGAGGAAGTCGAGAGGGCGCTTAGTCCAAAGTCAAACATAGTACACTACGGAGTATACTACCTCAACCTAGCCCAAGTCGAAATGCGTCTTTGAATATCTCCGGAGTAGTGGCGTTGACAGACTTACTCCGTACCTGGAACGGTTGAGATAAAAGTGACGCAGATAGTCGGTAGTCCGCGCAGGCTGGGGCGTTTCTTTTCTTGTTCGATAACAAAGTGTAAACCGGACATTCTTTTTGCGCCATGTTTGCGGAACGGCATGGTCCGCAGTGGCGCCAAATCAATGTACAAAGGAGTCGGCGCTTCCCATAGTACACTGCATACCTGTGTAGACACGGCGCCAAAGGTAGAGTTAGATATACCCAAATATAGCACGTCGACGTCGTCCAAAATAACATCGAGAGTGAAAACAAAGGGTTTCTGCTGCCCCGCGTACTCCACATTGGAAGAGTAGGAACGGTATCGAATCAAACGATCTTGAGAAGAAAACATGTAGACCCTTGTTTGATTGTCGTGATGCTCCTGCATAGTCCCTTGACCCAGTTGCGATGATGATGACCACTAAGCGTCTGACTGTGTCCCAGCTTCGGCGGCACGGATCTCAAGTTCTCTTGTCCGCGGTGCAATGATTGGGCAGCAGAGCTGCAGGAAAGATTAATTCAGCGGCTCTTCAGACATCGAACTTGTGGAGCGCAGTACCTAGGGGCTCTGACCCTGACTTTCTCTGCGTGGACCAAGGTCTAGCTGCACAGTGGGCGGCTACCAGATAACACAGTGAAAGGCTCTCAGCCAACGGACGCACAGCAGACAAGCGCGCGCCAGCACCGGACGAGAGCAGAGTGTCGTCGAAGCGCGGAGGCGGCGGAGCCAGCTCGAGTGTCCATGGAAACGAGATGGAGTCGGTGGCTGAACAGGCGGGGATTCGCTGAGGCCCCTGTTGGATTTCTTCAGGTGCCGCGCGCGACTAAGGTCTGCAGAATTGGACAGCTGGAGCAGAAGAATAGAGTGGGAGTCTGGAGGCGTGTTTCAGAAAGAGACCCTGGCGGTAGAGAGAAGATAGAAAGCATATAAGGGGGCGAGTTTCTTCAGGATGGTGATGTTGTCACTTTCTTCTTCGTGAATAATCAACTTGTCTTTGCATTCTCATCCAAGGGTTGATCCCGTGATTCCATCTTTTTCGTGGTCAAGCGCCGAGTCGACCTCTCGCTTCCCAACCAACATTCCCTACCAGCCAGGCAGCTGAATAACGAAGCAGATCCAGCCAGACCGGATCTCTTTTTTTTTTGCTCTACTTTGCCGTCCTTAGCTGGCTAAGACGCTTCTCCGTAAGCTGGAATCTCTGCCCCTGCTGTGTTTCTATTTTCGACAGGAGCCTTGGCAGCTAACCGTTCCTGGCCTAGTCGCTCGCAGTGTATCAATACCGTCTTCAACGTTCTTTCCCTGTATTGTACGGCCATCGTACAAACCAACAGTCCACCCATTCCTCTCTTATACAACCTTTCATCCTCTTCGACACTGTGGACATCATATTGCTATCTTTAGCCTTCTCTTCCATACTTAACTCTCGAGTTCCACATCTATTTGACCCATCGTCGCGATCTCTCGTCCTCGTGCCCAGTCTCGAACTACTCCATCATCTACATCTATACCACTACATCACGTCGCCAGCTATACAGTCTACCATCATGGCTCCCAGACCAGAGCTCTATCCTCTTCAAACACCAAAGCATATTATCTTTCCTTCTGAGCTGCAGGAGTACCTCAGACCCGGCAACCCCGAACCAGCAAGATGCAATGACGGCAAAGGCCCTTCAGTGCCTCCTCCTCTCGCCTATACGGAGTTCCTCAAAGCTCTCAGCCCAGCGTTCGGCAGTCCTCCGGAGTCTGCAAAAACTCTCTACTCCTACAACAAGCAACTACCCTCCCCTCAATCTCTTCCCTCGACAGCTTCAACAACCTCCTTCCCTGGCGACACCGCAGCGGCAGCTCCAAAGACCCACAAGCGAACACGCTCAGGACCTCCTACTCCACTGAATGTGTCTCGGTCAGCTGCTGAGTCTGGCCAGATTCGCCGATTGCGCATGTCTCCCTCCTACCTCTACTCCCCGGCTGCACTGGACTCGCCCAAGAGTGCGCACGCTGTCCGCTCTCCGTATCCGCCGGTGGAGCGGCGAGTGCGCTATACGGAGTCCCTGAGCGGTGCCGCCTCGAGGTCAATTACCATTCAGCATATAGTTACGCATACTGTGACGCTTAAGCGTGTTCCTTCGCTTGCACCCCCGCCAAAGGGGAAGCGGAGACGGATGAACCAGGGCTCGCAATGAGTTTAACGCCACCATGTCGCTTATATTGGATACGCTATATTTTCCAGTCCTTTTTCATGTTATCGTTTCGCGCGGTTGGGTTGCATTTTCCTAGACGGGTTAGGACGGCTGGATCCGAGCCCTGGCGGTTACGAAGCAAGCCTCAGACCTAGGCGCAAGGAATGGAGTTAACGCTGTTCTTTTCCTTTGGTTACATGTTTTTGTTACGTTGTACTGTTTGAAAAGCGCGAAGGAGTTGATCTGAGCGTCTTATCTTCTCAGGATCTGCTGGTTGGATGGTGGATGCTGGCGTTGGAAGCGTGCTACTATTCTATCTACATACTAGTTAAAACAGCCATACATAATGGGATGAATGGAATGGATGACTGCATACTACGCACTGATGAATCTACCTCGCTCACCGAAGATCCCACTTGTGCCTCCGACACAGAATACAAAGAACAACCAACCAACCCCCACCAATAAGCTGAACATCTCATTGGAATCATAAGCCCTCCTACCCATCCCGCGCGTCTACTAAGCCCATCCTTCCAGGATCCTTCCATCCTTCCATCCTTCGCTCGCTAGAACTCCATTCATACTGAGCTGTCAGATACGTTATACATAGTATCTATACTTCGAACGAACCAATCACAGCCATTCCCGAGTCTAGTCCCGTTGGCTTAAGTAAGACGCTAGACGCCGGATCCTTAGTTAGTCAGCCTCAGGGCACGAATGGGCTACGGTGAACGACGTCGAGTCAGACGCACGGACAAATAACAATGCCTGCGGCTTGCGACTGGTGGCGCTTGAGGCCGGAGGATTTGAGGGATCGTGGCGGCGGCGCTTGCGTAGATGCCCAGGTGCCAATTGAGCTTCGACCTCTAGGGGGCTATGGGGGAGGGTTTGGGGCTTGGCGCGACTCGCGAGTTACCCGGGAGTGCGAGGAGGTAGACACGGTGAATATGGATGGCCGTTGGAATTGATCTCTAAAGGGTTGGTTTGGGCAGATTAGAGTCCTACAAAGCAATGTGCAGAGTCTACTATGGTAGGTGGTAGCTGTTGCGGATGTGGACTGTGGAGTAAGTGGCAGAGAGCATGCAGCAGCCACATCCACGGCCACGCCTTTTACCAGTGAACCCGTCTCTGTCTTACTAGAAACCGTCATCAAAACCACAATGAGTAAGCCCGAGCTCGATAGCCTTAGCCCAATCCGACGAGAAGCTAGAAGGGTATGGCAGGAGTATAGACAAACATACGGGTAAATACGTATTACAGCGTAATACAGCACTCAGCCCTGGGAGAAGTATATCACGATCACCACCACAACGTCAATGTTGCACATGGTGGAGAGATTAATCACCGCGCAGGAGTGCGAGCAGATCACATCGAGCTATTCTTGGATACTGAATTCAATATTCGAGAGGTGATTGGCACTTGCTCGAAGCAAGAGCGATGTCAAACCCCGCTGGAAAACAACGGCATCCCGAGTCAACCAATCGATCATCTCACATCGAGGAGGACGAGGAGAGGAAACGGGATGGCATACCAAAGATAGATCAACGCCAGTCTTCACTTCTATTTTCGTCGCCGGAATGTCAAGCACATCCGCAATGAGAAGTTCTGATAGGGTAGGTCAGAAGTGAAGATGGACCTGCCGCAGCATTAGCTGGAGTCTGTATAAAACTGCCCTGAGCCAAGGATTGCAATGACAGGGCAATCGACCAGGGTAGCTGTAGGTAGCTATGTCTTCAAGCATACCCTAGCGCCTCTAGCGGGTGCATGCTAACCTTATTCGTGCCTGATGTGAGGGAAGATCAGGGAGAAAGTGGTATAGAAGATGGAGATTGGCTGGTGAGTTGGATAAAAAAAGAACAGAGAGCGAGTTGCGCCGCCTGCGCGAGTGATCAAAAGACAAATATAGAATCACTGAGAGCTTCTTGCCGGGAAAGAGAAAGGAAAGGATGAAATCGAGGCGGCTATTGGTTGAGGGTGTTGTTGTTTAGGCGCCAGGGCCGGAGCAAGAAAGTAGGGCTATTTTTGGGTCGATGGTGATGATCGCGGTCTGATAAGATGCCCGTCCCAAGCGTTGAATCACCTGCACGAGCATACCAATTTTCGAGATTCTAACCGCTGTAGAATAGTAACATGATTGGTCGAATCAAAATCTTCTCCGCTTCGCTGATATTTATAGCTGGTAGCTGGAGCTAATGCAGCGTGGTCACTGAGCGGGCCACTCACAGCGCAGCCCTAAGCGCGTACTTCAGCACAGAAATAGAAACATCTCCTCCCCCGCTCACGATCAGCGAGATGTGAAGAATCCATTTTTAGAACCGGTCGACGTACCTGCAGGTGCTCTATGGTTTCTAAATATGGTTTCTGGAGGTGGGTGCGTTTGGTTCGGCTTGCCGCTGGGCAAATTGCAACAGCGGGAGGACTGGTGAGTGTGGGAGTTGACCTCATTCAGTCATCACCTTTATCCAAGGCGCCCAGGGCGAGGCAGTTGTGCTCTCTTACTTTTCCCCGTCCTATCTCCTGATCTATTCATTATCATCATCTTCTTCTTAAAAAGGGCACGATGACCACACCCGTGTTCCCGTTTCACGGTAAGTGATTAACGAGCCTGACAGTGAGCTTGAGTCGCTAATCAAGACAAAACAGGCCCAAACTCACCGTCCCGAAAAGCCATCATACCCTAGCTCCTCGTTCGTCGAACGAAAGTGTCTCGCCCGAATGCGTCGACTGGTGGGACAACCCTTGATATTGCTCAGGATGAACCATCGGTGCCGTGATCGACAGCCCGTCGACTGCAGTAATCTGCCAAAGTTGATGCTCGGCTAGAGACCATGAAACCTCGTTTCGACACCAGATACAATCGGGTTGGCTCAGAAGCGGTGTTTGTGTTGGCGGTGCTAGAAGATCCGGGGAAGTCACTTTGCTTAGGGTTCCCATGCCGACAAAACCGGCATCCCGACCCTCATGCAGGTGCAGCAGGTGCGATCCCCGAAATGCCGCCGCGCCTTCCTGAAGAAAACCACACGCTCAAGGCGCGGGCTGGGTATTGCTATTGATTTATGCTGGTGCAATGGCTCTCATCTAGGGCAGTTCAGGTAGGTAACCCTTGGAAGCTTAAGTACTTGGTCGGCGCAGCTTTCTCGGCGTTTCGCTTCTCCTCGACTCTGAAAGAGATCAACAAATGCCTAAGTGTCGTAGACCAACCCTACCTACCGTCTTTTTAGATGCTTCCTCATTACGATCTGTCGCCCCTGATCAACGGAACCCCTCGTAGTCCATCCCTTGTGTATGCCCCGGCGTTCTAACTTAATTGATGTCCCTGACGCCCTTACAAGGGTCGACAGTCATTGTCCCTCATCCTACGCATGAGGCACGATGCAGAGAGTACACATGAATTCTAGATCATTCAAATCGTAGCTGAATATATGCGCTTTAATTTGAATAGCATTGAAGCTGAGGCCAGATCTTCTGAGACTATTTGTCAACCCACTCGCGGTTGCAGAGAGAATTTACGTAGTTCGTAGCTTCATGGCGGAAAGGGAGGGTATAGGGAGGTTTCGAGGGCTTGATATGTTGGCTTACTCAGTTCACGAGTGATGACATTATACTTGGCCAGCGATGATACGTAGATTGTTAAAGTATAAGGACAGGCCTATAGCCAATTGTTTTCTATCGTCTAGCGGTATATATGCTAACATACATCACATGTTAGTTCTCAAGCTCCTTGATATATGTCCCACGCCGTCGAAGATTGGGCAACCAAAGATAGTCGAGTAAGTCATAGCACCTACTCCTGCATATAATACCACAGACACCATTTGAAGTCTAGTCTTGTAATGTAGCTGAGTCACTATTTGTGGGATGAGGCGAGCGCATATAGGGTGAAGAAAAGCACCTTTGTAAAAGTCTAAGAAAATGAAAGGAGGTGAATGGAGTGACTGATTATGCTGAATTAACTCTTCTGATAATTAATTAATATAGAAAGCCCGGAAATGCATAAGAAGGGAATAACAAGCTGAGAGATATGTTAGGATATGTCCATTGCCATGTGCAGCTGTACCCTGGGTTTAACAGTAGAGATCAAACAATGCAAGGTTGAGAAGAACCAGGTACTTGAAGCTGGGAAAGCAAGACATCACTATTAATATGAACATCAAGATTCCATTCATCACAAAGAAATATAATCTGAAATATAGACAGAGAAAATAAGAAAGAGGGGAGCAGAGCAAATCCACAAGTCCCGCCCAAGCTAAGAAAACAAGGACAAAGTAACTGGGTAGAACTAGAGCCCAGCATCCCATGTACCAAATAGGCCGCCAGAAAAAGCGCTTTGTCGCTGTTTGGCAAATCACGAGCCTAAAGCTGCTGATGGGTAATAAGAAACAGAAGGCCACCTTGAAAGACAGAGATGACCGGTCGGAAAAACGAAAAGAATAACCAATACCAACGCCACCCTTACGCCGATGCTGTGTTGAAGCTACTGGTCTTAGTTAGCATCCAGACAATGTATAAGGTAGAGGAAGTTGGCGCATACCTAGCAGTTATGTGAATAGAAATCTACAAGAGTAGATAGTGCCATTCCCGGACCCTCATGACATCTCGCCAATGAAAGGGCTGTTTCTTGACTCGCTGCGTCGTCCCGACAAGCATGGAAGGTGAGGACATGGCAACATTCGGGTCGAACCCAAAGGTTGAAGATGAGGAAGGGGCAAACAACAAATCGGCAGTCGGTTCGGCGTAAACCGGTTCAGTAGTTTCATCAGAGAGCTTCCACGTCTCTTCCAGCACAGAGTACATGCGCCCGAGATTGCCGAAATCACTGCAGTCGCCCAGGGCGGCAATTCGCTGCTCCAGGACTATGCGGAAGTTACTCGTCGGTGTCGAAAATGCCCCGGTTATTAAGAACGGCCAGACGAGCGAGCGGTCGAATCCGAAGGGCCCTGAAGGGATGTACTGCAGAAGTCCTGTTACCGTCTCGACCAGGTCTGTGATGTTTTGCTGCTCTGGGTGGAAGCCTGGCATGAGACTGTTGAGGTAGATACGGGCTGCAGCGCGGAAAATTGCGGTCATGTTCTTCGTGAGTATGTCGCCTACGATGATACCCGTGGCGGACATTGGATTTTCGGGGGTGGGGTTGACGACTGTTTGCTCAGCGTGGTCGAGCTGGGCTGTGAGCGCGGAGACATGATGGCAGATTGTGTAATCGTTGATGCGCCCTTCTTCCTTGAGGGAGTCGAGGCAAGCAATCTCGGAAATCAGGTACATGATTCGGTCTTCGCAGCCCATCAATTCACGTAAACCGGATGAAATGCCGTTTATGTGTTTGTTACGGTACGAATTCGCGAACTGCGGAGATTTCCCGCGCATTGTGGCGCCGAAGATATCAATCCATGAGCTGAGAGACATACTGAAGGGAGGCGGCGAGAATGGGGTTGCTTCCATGACACCTAGCTTGTTGACGAGGTGTGTGACGGCTTCGAAATGCTCGTACCATTCGATATCCGGAAGGGCGTCGACTTCGGGTGATCCCACGAAGCAGTGGAAAAAGATCTGTGCTAGGGTGGCATCTAGAATCGTGTCGTGGCTGTGGTCTGCGTACAGGGCTTTGTTGAGGTCTGAAATCGCCGCATACCGGTGGTTCATGATATCCCTTTTGACACGCTCACCGCGTTGTTTTTTGACAGTTCGGAGGTGAATCGCAGCTACACTGAGACATCCGTGGTAATATGACTTGTTTGTTTCAAGTGAGTGCAGAATCTGGCGGGCCCGCGACGGTCCTTGTTTGTGCAGGTCGAGAATTGGAAAGACCAGTCGAAGAACGTTGTCAACAAAGTGGTAAAGTAGAGAACGCTCCCGATCGTTAGAAGCCATCGTCCCTTCCAGATAGAAAGAGAGCGGTCGATCTGGAAATTCGAAGGCTCCAAGGGATAGAGCATTTTGTGCGCGCGGTAGGGTGAAACCTTGGTACCATTCATCAACCTGTAATGCCGGGGTCGTCATCGCCGTTGTCGTCGTCGTCGTCGTTGTGGTTGTCATCGCCGCTGAGCTCGTTGATAGCTCTGAAAGCGATGTTGGGGTAGGAATCAGTGGAGTTGCCGTCGGATCAAACCAAAACACACTCGGGTCTTGCAGGGTTGTTGTATCTGGAACAAATGCGGTATCCGGGATGTAGGCGCTGCTTCCAATTCCAGCATCGAAGCCAAACGATGTAGGCATAAGCGCGGCAGTTGTTGGCGTTGGTAAGTAGGTTGTAGAGGGATCGTATATGGCGCATACCGTTGGCTCCATGGGAGGCGTTTGAGGCTTGCTGGCTGGAACTTCGCGAGGTCTCGCCGATGGAAGCGCATGTTCCATGTATTCTAACCCACTGTCAGCCCCTGTCTGCGCGTCATATCGACATGCGTACCCTGAAGCGCCACCTCACTTTGCGTCTTTTTATTCTCCCTAACCTTCTGTTTAATCCTGTCCTTCTGTAGCGTCCGCGCCTGGGTACTGATCCACCAACTCGGCTTTCGGTATTCACAGCTAACACCGTGACTAGTGCACGCGACGCAACTTGGGTGGGTTTCGTCGCATTTCTTCCTCCGTAGACGGCAGGTATAGCAACCTGCAGGAGGCACGGTCAGTTTCCAGCTCAATGAGCTCGCGGTATGGCGAAGGAGTCGAATGCCGTCAAATACTGACCGTTTCGCGATCGCTTGTATGTCTTCGTGACCATATTTGCGGGGTCCCTGATAGCCGATGTCTGGTCCCTGGTTGTTTGATCCCCTGTTCGCAACGAATGTTGGGGCTTCGAGCGCGTATCCCGTCCGGCAACCCTTGGAAGAGCTGACATGGTGTAGTATCGGTTGGGCGACTATGCGACTAGATAATAGATTTGAATGGCGAGTCTAAGTAGGTCCAACAGTGAACAGCGATATATCGGTCGTCGCGATGATCATATACCCAAAGCCCCTTTGTGTTTTGTGCCCGTGTAGCTGTAGTGTTTGTTGTTGAGTGAAGCACCAGCCAGATCGAGTGTCGAGGCTGTCTGTCGAAGAGACAATCGAGCGAAGCCGTGGTGGACATGATGCTCTTGATATCTCTGGAGATGAAGACCTTTAAATCCAGAAGCAGTAATGCACCATGCTCTGATGCTTCTATTTTTTGCACCATGCGGCGGTTGATCTAGTGAGCTACGTGAAGACTGCATCTCGAAGCGCGGGCGGGGGGAAGATCTGAAGCTATCGGCGAATGACAGACAACAAAGGAGCTAATTTTGGATAATTAGGGATCCTGGCCGGCGGTTGTGCCTGGGGATGATCAGGGTCGGGCTAAGTTGGGAACTGGAGGTGCTGGGGTCCCTGTCAGCCTTTGCTCCCGTTCCGGCATAGTTGGCGCCGCGAAGCAGGTCACTGCTGCGGCGTCTGGTCGCATCCTCGCTAATTTCTGGGGTAATGTTCTCGGCCTGACACCAATCTTCTATAGTTCTGTCTTTCAATCTGATTAACGCCTCTTTACTGATATCTTGCCTGCTCAGAATGCCTTGAATTCTCGAGGATCATTCACTTGTTGCTGTGCACTGATCATGGATAGACTCGCGAGGGTGATTATGGCGCTGCCCACCACAGATAAAACGCAGTCCCATTGGTTGATTTGCGTTTCGAAATGAGAGCAATCTTGCTTAACTGCCTTCCCAGCGACTGCTGAAACGCTCGCCAGGAGGTTAATTGTGAAAGAGCAGAGGGAGGTGCATGCCAAGCTTCAGTCCTCGAGACTCCATTGGCAGCATCCCCAGCCATCAGCGGTTCGACCGAACAGCGGATTGGCAGAGAGCGCTCCACTGCTGGCGCTTGAATAAGGTATCCAACCAGGAATTGGCTGTTAAGAGTGGCCCGTGCCGAACCCGTAATCCTGAGATCAAGCGAGATTTGATTTGCTGACGATTGTTTATCTGGACGATCTCCAGTAAGCTCTTTGAGGTTGGCGCTCTTAGCCATCATTCATCAACCTAATGCAGCTTAATTTTGCTAGTCCAGGCGTCAATGGAGAGGCTAATTAGTGCTGTCTTAGTTAAGAAACTGTACTGACGTGCTGAGCCTATTAATAGACTTTTCTCTATAATATGGACTAATTACATCGTTAGAGCGCGACTTTGCATCAATTACGCGCGCTTGAACGTAATTAGCAACATTTCTGCATGAGACATACCTGAGACTGCTTGAGCTGAGACATTTCACATAATCGGTTGAAGGCTAAGTCTCTGACTTGGTTCTTTTGTTTCAGCCCAATCAGTAACCGCCGACTGAGATCGATACTCAACTCCAAACCAACGGCCTAGACGACGTCTGAAGTCTCCGGCGGTCTCGTCCGTTCAACGGACAAAGTCATTGCGCTCTGTATATGCTTAACGATCAGTTAAAAACAAGCCAATTTATCATCAACGTTGAGCATGGTATTGTAGGTACTGGCGCCGTGACCGGGGCGTCAAATGGACAGTTGCTGATGTGCACTTCCACAAATGCTTGGAATGGTTGTGTACTATAATCCGAGATGATAGCTTAGCTGACTGGGACAATGTTAGGGCAAACCTCTTCCGAGTGGGGTCATTGTCTACATACAGTAAGCATGCACGACCATGACTTCTTTGAACTGGGGAATTCTAGAAGTTACTACCGACTTCCTTCCGTATGATCGCAGGCATACATGCTTCTTTGAGTGCGAGGTAAGAGACATTGGGCTTGCCTCTGGATACTAGGCTAAGTTAATACTGCTTCGTGGGCTTGGCCAATTGATCCGGGGTGCAGATACTACGTAACCGGCCTATTGACTTGTGCAGGCAATACACAGAGCCTTGCTGCTTCGAGCCTGACAGTTCGCAGGTGGGCACTCAATACTACATAGGGATGAACACGGAGCATGCTGTCGACATGGAAGCGGCAGCGGTCCTGGACTCGTTCTGTATTGCCTGGGTGGAGACGCTGTAAGCCGAAACTATCGAGTCACAGTTACACGCCACGTCTCCAGCGTGCGATTGAGGCGGTGTTGGGATCTAATAAGAGATGGAAGAGTAAGTAGGGGCACTATGGGCGATGATAGCCTGCATCATTAAAACGAGATCATCCCAAATACGAGAATACCGAGAAGTAGATGGAATGAGTCAGATAGTGTCGGCATCTAGTGGTCGGCATGAAGCAACATGACCAAGTCTTGACAGGGTGGTCAGGTTGGGGGAAAACGCTGGCGGGGCACTTTAGATAATCCCGAGTTTTGTGCAACGCTAGGAACAAGGATGTGATTTTGGCGAACGGCCAGCGGCATCGCCAGCAAGGGCTTTCGGCTCTCACAAGCCCGGCGACGTGGAATATGATCTCGGCGTGGTTGCGTAGTATCGGAAGCCTACCTTAGGGTCGAGAAAGTGCGATCCGACCGAGCCAGTCTTCAATAAAGTTTAGAGCTCGTAACGGTTGCACTGGGAGAATAAATCAGACAACCGACTAGGCACCGGGGCAACGGTACTCAACCGCCTCACATCAATCTGACTGGTAAAGACTCGAAGAGCGGTCTCAGGCGTTGGGGAAGGATCAGAAGGGGCGGGAAATCCATTGGTATTTGAGGTTCGCACTGACAGTCTCCAAGAGTGACAAGAGTGACAAGTGGCGCAGAGCATACATACCGAAAAGCCCTTGTCACACTCAACATGCATTGTAGAGCAATCAACACCACACTCTGTACATACAGTTACAAGGACTCGCCAAGTGTCGGAGTCGCCGAGTCGGTGAACTGTTGCTATTTCAGGATGTTTTAACCTTTGGAAAGGATGCTAATTGCAGGTAATTGAGTCATGTCGGGCTAAATTTAACTGACATTCGAAGGTGACGATGGTGATCGAATGGGACAAGCTGCCTTAGCGCCTCATCACTGACCAACGAGTGGCGGACGGAGGACGTCCACCAGGCGTGATCACAGCAGTAGCGCCTCCCCGCCAGCCTCTCACACACCACGCTTCCCCTCCTTTGTGTCCCATCTGCCACGGGAAATTTTCAAGGTTCTGCAGCTACCGTCCCCCAGCCAACGAGAGTACGCAATTGGTGTTCTCTAGCCGCTGGGGAATCCTGTCATGCAGGAGTGAAGCCAATCAAGGCTGATCAGGTTGCTGCGCAGTGCGAGCACTTGAAGCTGAAGAACTATTCGCCGTTGACCCCTCCCGCATGCATCTCCAGGTTCACTTCATCACATCCATCGAGGACGCTTCTCGCTGGCCAAATCCTGGCGTTTTGACATGATGGGGAAATGAGGCCGGCGCTTTAGGCCATGGCATATTCCTTTTTCTTCCCTAGGGCCAAAACGTCCTTTACCGACTGGGATATACTTAACGCTGTGTGATCCCACGATCTGCTTGTGCCCCCTCACTTTCCTACCCAACAAATTGCCCGCCTCTTACCATCTAGACGCTCCTATCTTCTACCGCCTTTTCACTCAAAAAGTCATCACGACCTCGTTTTATAGAAGTCTCTTGTAAACCCATACTACGCATTGCCTACTTCCTGCGTCTAGGGGCTTTTGGCTCCATCCGCCTTCACTATGGTACGATATGCGTACTTGTTGAGAGGCCTAACTTGGCTAACCATAATAGACTTCTCATGATTTTCAGCCATCGTTCGAATACATCAAGGCTCAACAGCAGCTCTTTCTTGAAACCAAATCATTATCGCGTTCCGACTCTAGATCAGCCATGTCGGAAACCACCGAGATCATTGATTCAGACTATGATACGGACTCAAGGAATGCAACATCCGATAGCGAGCCTTATAGGAGTGCGGACTCGGTTCGTAACATTCCGCTGACCCTCGTGGTGACCTGGGCCTAACTTGAGATTCCTGCAGCTCGTGGCGGAGAGTGTCACAACGCTGTCAACCCTGGACGAGATCAAAACTCCCGATTCTACCGGCCTGACTTCATTCCACTTCCACCTCGATGATAGCCCTATCAAGGGTCCTCAGGGTCCGCACCTCTTTCGAACCTCCGAGGACTCCCTTTCTAGACCTCAACTTACACCCGACTGGACGGACGAGAAGGCTCCCGACAGCGCTGTAGCCACACATTTTTACACCGGTTTCAAGACGGGACCAAATAGGATCGAGCCGGAGCGGAAGGACACTCCTGTCGTCGACGTCACAGCGCAAACACCCCCGCCGCCTCCACCTGCCCCGGCCCGTCCTACATCCAGAATCGGCGTTCCAAATTGGTCACCAAACGAGGTTGTCACTTGGTTGCAGTCGCTGGGATTTGAGGACTCCATCATCGAAAAGTTCTTCATCAACGATATTACAGGACCTATCTTACTTGAACTCCAGATTGACGATCTCAAAGAGCTTGAAATCTCCTCGTTCGGCAAGCGCCATCAGCTGATGGCCTGTATTCGACATCTTCGCAGAACTTGTTATTCGGACACCCCTCAGTCTTGCTGCAGCTCAGGAATGTCTACCCCAGACCCTACTTACCGACACGGCGACAAGAGACGCGGACCCCTCAAACCACCGCCGCTGAGGTGGGTGCCGATTGCACTAGCCCCATAGTCGAGTGTGATGCTCCGCGGTCTCGGTCCGATTCCCGATCCTCGAGTCAGCAGCAGCACCGGCAACACAGTCGTCAAAAACGCGGCCGGCATGGTACAGAGATTGTTCCTCAGGATTCGGTTTCCATTGTTGCTATTGAGCAGTTGCTCCCCAAGCTACATGTGTGCTCCAAAGGAGAAAACTGTCGCAAGTGGCTAAGACAGCAGACTAAGATTGCTCGTCTGCTGAAGGATCTTCAAGTGGAAGGCCTTGCAGGCTCTGTTCTTGTTGCAGGTGATCCGGGAAGCGCTGCTAACGCCCCTCCCGCGACCAAGACGCCCAAGTTGGAATGCAAATCATACGGGCCGGAACCAAAGCCGAAAATGGAGTCAAGACCACAAGTGCAAGAGCCAAAGCTCAAGCCGGAACCGAGACCACAAGTACCAGAAGCCAGGCCCAAGTTGGAAGTGAAGCCACCTATCGCAAATTTCAAGCCCCCCAAGCCCGAAACAAGGTCGCCAAAGTCAGATGCGAAGACACCCAAGTCCGAGGTGACTCCTTCTCTTGTGGCTTCGTCGGATATTATGGGAATGAACATCAAAGCCGATATTCATCTTTCGCAGGAAAGGCTGAATGACGTGCAATCTCGGGATCCGCAGGAGAATGTACGAAACTTCTTGAGCTTTCAACGACTCAGTACTCTTCAGCCAGTCACAGACCCTGCCACGCCCCCTGCAGACCATGATGCATCTTTGGAAAATTCACCTACATCATCTCAAAAAGGTACCCCAACTCTGGCGGAAAATCTCCGTCACCTTCCAAAGTTGCGGATACCCAGCCTTCAGGTCCCAAGCGAAACGACGTTCTCTCCCAACTACTCCGCACAGCGTACCATTACTCCGTCTGTCTACCGCAAGTCAAGGCAGTTTCCCGCTGTCAGCAGAGTCAAGTCACCCAATCCTTACAGCGGTCTGTTGTCGCCTTCAGACTTCTACCGCCATGATCCTCACTATGGACAGCGCACACCTTTGTCCAGTGGTGACGCCCCTTTGACAGCGATCCGCCTTGGCCCAATCGAGCGAGGCTTCTCCCAATCTGTGCCGCCGGATATGAGGTTTGGAAATCAGGCTGACGACGCCCGCCCGGCCTCGAGGAACGAAAACCATCGTCGACTTCATTCTGCCGTCAATGGGCCAAGCTTCCGTCCAATGGTTCCCGTTGTGGAACGCTCGCCGTTGCCCCCGATTGACACTCTTGAAGACCTCGAGAACACCCCGCGAGCACCACACTGCAGGAACAATCCCTTCAGCCCTAACTCTGCGCACGCCAACGATATTATTCATAACGGTTGGATGAAGAAGCGAAAGACGACCAAGCTCATTCGCCATGAGTGGGAAGAAAACCACTTCACCCTCCGAGGTACTCATCTCTGCATGTATCCCGACGAGCAAGCTGCTCTCCGGGACTCGAAAGCCTTGGAGCGTATCGATGTCGATGACTATGCCGTGGCATGCTCTTCTCTGCGATCAACTTCAAAATTGACAGCCGCTTTCAAGAAGACTGTGTTGAAGCGGGTCAATGACAGCCAGGCACCGGCGGCGTTCGCATTTTCGCTCATTCCTGCATCCACTACGGAACGCAAGACTTTGATGCCAGGCGGACCCAAGTCACACCACTTCTCCGTCGAGACGCAGCAGGAGCGCATCGACTGGATGCGGGAGTTAATGCTTGCAAAAGCTCTCCGACGAGGCCGGGAAGGCGGCGATTCTGTCAACCTCAATGGCCAGCCATTTTAGTTTTTCTTACGATTTTGCTTTCTTTCCCTCTTTGATCCCCACTTACTAGCATTGATACCCTTCATTCTTGTTGCTTGTATTCGCTTCTTGTCACCCCTTTTGGCCGCCTTTATCTACTTTATTTTGACGTGCTTATGCTACCCAGTTGCCGAATACCTGTTTGAACTTTACATCTTACGACGTGATGACTTCTCTTATGTGGTGCTTCTCCCTTTTTCTCTGGCTTCCATCATCTGCCAGGCAAGAGATAGCTAGACCTGATGCATTGCAAACAAATGGCTCGCGCCTGGTTTGCCGCTAATGATCCCTGTGGACTTGAGCTGGAACTCGTCGTCTAACTGGGCTGTACTTGAAGGGATATGTGTATGTAGATACATTGCTAGTGAGGAACTTGTATAAGAACAATCATTACTGAGCACAGAGTCCTTCGGCTTTTTCAATTTTCTAATCCAGCTTTTCGTTTCCAATTGTAAGATAGCTTATGACAATCTAAGTGAGGCCAGCGGCGACAAGTTTTCTCAACCAATATTTGATTCGTCTCGAATGATATTAATGTTCATGTGTCTCTAGATACGTCCGCATCAGAGCCATCACAAAGGCTGGTGGCTCGTCTGTGAGTGTTGAGAATTTGCGGATTCTTCGCAACAGGGTACCCTCGAATCAACCCACGTCCCCGTCGGCGCTCGGAACCAGGAAACGCAAAGCATCCAAAGCCTCCAAATCAGCGATAAAAGGTGCGGTGTAACCAGTCCCTTGGAAACCAATGACCGTTACTGGCCAGTGGACACCTCCAGCTCACACGCAACGCAAGGCGCATTTCCCTCTTAAGGATTAAGCGAGCATTGAGAACAAAGAAATGTCTGGAGGTTGATGTGTCCTTGTGCCTCACACTATACCAAGACGCCGAGGACAGGGATCGTTCGTTTCAGCCATTGGGTGTTTTGAGATTAAGTGGACTTGGCTGGCGCTTAATGACACAACGAGACTGGTCTGACAAGTTGCCGCAGATGCTGATCACGCCAACTCTTGATCTCTGGACAGCACTCGTTCGCTGTCTCTGCGGCGCTGTTCACTATCACGCAGAAAAGGCCAATTAGCTTACTTTGTGGTTATGGTGTTGGTTTTGGTGGCTATACCTGGGAAATAGGAACGGGCGTGCGAGGCGTTGCCTTTGCAACCAAGGATCTCCACGCCGCCACGCGGTTTTCTGTCACTCTCTGCAATGTCTTCGTAAATCTTGTAGAGCGCCTCAAAGGCAAAATGATCGTGCTGATTGGGAAACTCAAGCGCGTTGAGATTTTAACAAAGAAATACGTGGAAGAGCGGAAAACTGATGCGGCGCTGGTAATGAGGGGTAGACCTGCCTGCGTGATCCTTCCGATCCTCCTCCACTTGTTTAAGGTTAGTAGTCAATGAACATTAGGATCCCCATCTGCTTATTTGCGTCGGTTGGCTCGGGCTGCGGTCGAGGCGTCAAACGTACCATAGACCCATCATTACGGAGTATCTACCTAGTTTAATATCTTAGCCCGTTTTGCGTCTGGGTCATTCCGGGGGATCACCTCCTGCCCTTTCTTTCTCTCCTAAACTGACAGCGTCCACCTCCACCTTTCTCCATCCCCGTCACCCCCTACCGCCGCGGCCTCCTCTCTTGCTCAGTCCGATTCATGATCGATACAAGTACCAGCGAGAATCACATCCTGCGCAGAGAGAGAGCATGACGGACGTCCAAGGCCTGCGGGGCCAGCTCGCGCAAGCAGCCGGGTCCGCACGTGTCGTGGTACGCTGTCTAAACGGCGGTCGCGATCTCCAAGAGTCTTCGCAGCGCGCGATAATGCTCCTCGTCGACATGCTAGACGCCCTATACCGACTGAAAGACCAGATGGGCGACACCGACAACAAGGACAATAAATGGCTCGTCCAGCCGCACCGGCTCGCCGCCCTCGCCGAGATCCTCGAATGTTTCGCGTCGACAATGAAATCTATGGAGCTCTACTTTCAGCCTGGTGGGGTGGGGGTGACGTACTATAGAAAGCATTTGTTAGAGCGGACATTTTTGGAGAGACTCGAGCAGTACAAGGTTATGTTGTTGCTTTCCATGCAGCCGGATTCAAGGTTTGTTCGCAACAGTTCGGCTGTGGAGCTTAGGGTTGATTGGGTGTGCGCTGACAATGGTCTTTTGCAGTGAGCGGTCGTTCCTAGATATGAAGATACGGTCGAGCCTTACGTCGTGGCGAGAGGTGGAATCAGGTGTGCTCAACCGTGCTCTCTTGCTCCAGTTGTACGCCTTCTGACGTTTTACGCAAAGGTCCGAAAGTCAACCTTCAGTTCGAGGATCGCATCCTTGGAATTACGAGTCAGCTTACGACCGAGAACTTTATTATGCTTGCGGACCTATACAACCGGCGATTGAAGGGGACGGGGCAGTGGATCTTCGATGACGAGCAGTATAAACGGTGGCTGCTGGGCGGTACTAAGACGTTATACTGCGTTGGCCCGCGTGAGTTACCATATCGCCTATGGCGTCTCAATCAAGGCTAACGGAATGGCTACAACAGCTGGTGCGGGAAAGACCTTTTTATCGTGAGTGATGATATTTGACCTGGAGCTCTGAGGCAATAAGAACTAACCTTGGATCAGAGCGGCCATTATAGATTCTCTGCAAAGAACATTTACGTCGCCTGATGTCGCAACAGTATTCATTTTCTGTCAGGACGAGAGGCAGAGAGAACTGTCGACGCTTGATATACTCCAGAATATTCTCGCTCAACTTGTCTACCGCAAACGAAGTCTTTCGTACGCCTCATCCTCCCTATACCACTCCGAGTCCATAATGAATGGGAAGGCTTCGCCGAAAGTTTACCAGAACGCCATACGCGCCGAGGTAGATCGGTTCTCGAAAGTCTTCTTCGTCATCGATGGATTGGATATGCTTTCTGACAAAGAACGTCTTCTCGGCCGACTCCAGAAGCTACCAGACCAGGTACAACATCTCGTCACCCTACGGGAGGTGAATCACGTCTCGAGTGCTTCTCGCTTGACAGTACTAGCCCCAAATACGGATCTACAGCTTTACGCTATCTCGAGGATCGAGAGCGATTCGAGCCTCGGTGACCTACTCAAGCGGAAGTCTACTCCGCAAATGTACCAAGACGTTGTTAACATGGTTGCAGAGAAGAGCCACGGAGTGTAAGTCCTTGTCTTCCTGCTTCAGATAATTGTACACTGCTTACATGACTAGCTTTCTACTTGCGAAAATACATCTCGACCTCTTAGCTCGCTATACTCACAAAAGCCTCTTTGAACGAGCCCTAATACACCTTCCGCAAAGCTTGAGCGAAGCATACGGAGAGGCGATGAAGCAAGTCGTTAGTGAAAGCCCCAGGGCTGCTTCCTACGTCTATTGGACTCTATACGCGCATCGTCCTCTCACCGTAGGCGAGTTGAAGTCCGCTACCAACAGCTCCGGCAGCCCGACTAACGACAAGTCGATGAGCTTCGAGCATTCGCTTCAGACCCAGACTGCTGGGATTCTCACCGTCGATGCTGTATCTGGAACAGTCCGTTTTGTTCACAGGACAGCCAAAGAGTATCTGACCGGTACTCCATCGCGAGTCTTCTTCCCTTCGGCTCAGAAGGACATTGCTGAAGCTTGCCTGACTGCCATCACGCCGGATGAAGTCGTTGATGACTGCTACTATAATGGCGGGAACCCGCCGCGTAGTTCTAGTCGCGGATTTCTCAGCTACGCTACGAGGTACTGGGGCTTCCATGCACGCGAGGTACACGAAGATGAGCAGACTATCCAAGTGCTCATCAAGACCTTCTTGAATAAACTGCTGTGGAGACGCCCACCCTTGCAGGTCCTGACCAACGAACCGAAAATTCCCTCTGAACTTGGCTTGGGGAAGTACCCGCAAGACTGGACGGCCCTCCACGTCCTTGCTTACTTTGGCATCGTGAGCAGATGCAGGCGTCTTATTACACAAGGTGCTAGAATCGACGCAGGTGACAATTCTTACAGGCTCACCCCCTTGCATTGCGCGGCTAGCAGGGGACATTCGGAAATGGTAGAGTTCCTACTTGAGAATGGCGCCGACGGCAACGCAATGGCTCGTGATGGGAGCACGGCATTACACCTAGCGACGCAATACGGCCAACGAAAAGTCATGAAGATACTTCTCCACCACCCTGTCAATGCTCAGGTAGCGAACCTCGAGGGAGCGACAAGTCTTCAACTAGCTGTGAAGACAGAAGCAGACGAAGCTACTGTTCCTCTGCTTATAAAGAACAAAGTGGACGTGGACACACGCAATATTCGCACTGGCGACACCGCACTGCACCTTGCTATAGAATGGAGACGGCCGCGGATCATTCTGTATCTGCTCGACAAAGGCGCTTCCATCGACATGACTAACGAAGACGGCTTCACCCCACTCCAGCTGGCTGTCAAAAGCGACAACTGCGAAGCGATCTCCGTTCTCCTCCAGCGCCGTGCCAACATCGAAGCACGCTCTCTATCGGGCCTCACGGCGCTCCAGATAGCCGCATACGAAGAACACTGGATAGCTTTTGACCTCCTCATTATTGGAGGCGCGGATATCAACGCGTGGAACAAAGAAGGGGAATCGCTCATCCACGAGCAAGCGCGCAAAGCAACAAGTCCCTCAATCGCGTCTAAGCTCTTGGACCAGGGTGCCAATATTGAGGCCCTCACCGCAAAGGGCCTGACTCCGCTACATTGTGCCGCAGTCGGTTCGAACAAAACAATGTTCCTATTCCTTATTAGTCGCGGCGCAAAGCCAACAGCTCTAACCGCGAAGGGGGACTCCTTGTTACACATCACTCTCCCTGTTCTGAAAGAGGGCTTCGATATTCTCAGACTTGCCCTCAACTACGGGAACAACGTAAATACCGTCTCAAACGAAGGCTGGACGCCCCTTCACCAAGCAGTCTACGTTGGCACTGGCTCACCAGACCACGAGTTCCCCCAAATAGCAGAATACATCCAGCTCCTTGTAAGCCGGGGTGCAGACATAAACGCCCGCTTGCAAGCCCCCACAAACAACGGCGAGACACCCCTCCACCTTGCCGTCACCGCGATCGTTACGCGACCCGACCTAGTGCAATTACTTCTCCAATCCGGCGCCGACATGAACGCGCCCACGGCAGATGGAAAGACGCCGCTACATCTTGCTGCCGAACGAGGGCGCGAAGCGATCTTCCGGATACTGTATGATGCAGGTGCCGATATGTCTCTTGAGGCACCGGATAGTGCGAAGGCAGACGATGGGCATGATGGACAAGGCGTCGGGCATACGGCGTTTGATATTGCGTTGAAGAACCCGTTCGCGCGGCAATGGTTTGAGAGTGATGGGAAGTTGAAGCCGGCTGTTAATGAGCTAAAGAGAAAGGACAGTGTGGAGACACTTATCGACGAGGATGAGTTGAATGGGGAGGTCGAACCCGTGACAGAACGCGAAGGTGCTGCGGCAACTGTTGGGAATGGTAAGGGGGTTGACGCGGCAATCGAGGCGGTTGAACGTCCGCAAGAGCCGCTGCCATCAGACAACACAACCAACCCGGTATTCGCGCCCCGGAAATCAGGATCAAGAAGTGGAAGCATGAGCAGCAGCATCCGCTCCCCGTCTGTCCTCAGTGGCAGCCCTGCGCACTTTAGATCGAATTCAATTGGAGGCGTACTGTCGCCTGCAACATACTCAGACTCGACTTCTAGTCTATCGCATCTGAGAAAAGTTAGCAGGGACGAAAATAGAACCCGCAAGGACGATCCGAGAACTTACAAGGGCGAAACGAGATCCCGCAAGGATGAGGCGAAATCCCGCAAGAGAAGTAGGGGCTCAGGAGCGAGAGTCCGGGTTGAACTGGAGAATCCAGTTTCTGTCCCCAGGTCGGGGTCAAACTCAGGATCCGGCTCTGGGTCTCGGTCTGGTTCTGGCGATGGGGACGAAGAGGCTCAAAAGTTGAACGAGAAGCGTTCGTCCATTTCGCTTGTTCGGAATGAAACGCCGTATGTGATTGTTTGAGTGATCACTTGCAGAACCTATATATACATCCAAGAGGAAGTATGATGAAACGGTCGACCCCGTTAAGTTTTGTTGGACAGTCGTGCATTTGAGCGAGCATGGCATTGTAAGGCATGGGTGGTATTTTTCCCTTTCCTTTTCGTCTTGGTCTTCATTGGCGTTTAGGTCGGTTATGGAAGGGGACTTGGTAAGCTGTGTTTGTATATAGCAATGTTCTGACATGGCATGGCATGATACCCTATATAATGAAGGCAATCTCACGATGGATATTTTTTTCATGAAGTGTTTAAGTCGAGAAAATCAGACTATTTGTTCATACGCCTTCACCAGGTTGCGATCGAGGGTTGATGGATCTCACGGTCAGATATACCGTATATCAGCGTAGTATAGTCGAAGTAAGAGATGGCAAAGATCAAACCAGCGAGTATGTACATCGGAATTTGTATCATGGTTATCGACCGGGAGTTTGACGGACCTCGGGAGCTAGCTGTATCTATTGTCTTCATCCGCTCGCTTGTTTGTCTCTTGCTGCTTTAAACACTTGGGGTTTGCGTTGCTTTTTCCTTATCTCTCCTGGGCAGCCCACTCTCCCTTCGCTGTCTCACCTTCCTCTTCAAATATTACTTCTCGTACTCCCCAAACCCTTCTGGCCCTCGGCTCACTTCAATCTGATAATTGGTATGAGTATCCGCCTCTGTTTCTGACCAGATTGCTAACACTTAGGACTGTACCATAGTGTCCGGACCCGAGGCAGAGTGGCGAGGACCCGTCCAGTCCACAGCCCACGAGTGTCATCACCGTCAGCCCGTCACCCTGCCACGTCCCGTGCGATGCTCATCCTCACATCATAGCGAAGAATATCGTCAGGGCCCTCCCTGATCTTTAATATCCTCTTCGTCGTCGTCGTCGTCGTTCTTGTACACGTCCCCGCAACGGATCCTTCCCCGCGGTGAGCTGGACAGACAAGGTACCTAGCACCAGCATCACTATAAATCCCGACCTATCTGTTCAGATTCCGCAACAATCATGCGTATCGCAAGTGATGCAGACGCTCTTCGGGACTGGGCTACCAACATCGTCTTCAATGGTCATAGCGTATCAATCCTCTCGCATCCACCTCTCCAGGATGATGATCAAGAACAAAAAAGTGAAGAGCAAAAACATACAACAGCTGGGATTCGCATGTGGTCACCCACCATACTACTAACCAGCCGGCGTGTGGTTTAAGTACGGCTGAGCGGACGGGAAGCCCTGTTCTCCACACCCTGTGGTCGTATGTGCTTATTCCCGGGGATGAGTGGCCTATGTCTCTAACATTAGTTACAGCCAAAAGCCCCCAAGCGTGCCTTAACCTTCGCCATGGGCATCCAGGAAAGCGGAGAGACGAGGGGAATGGGATGTCATATCTACGGGCCGGTGTCGACCTAGTACCTCAGTATCGAGGAACCGTCGGCTCTAGAAAGCTCCAATGGCCACGCACATTGAAACACAATATGATGTCTTTTTGAGGAATTCGAAAATTGCTCCTGGATCCGATTCCGAATCAAGCTCTGGTTGAAAACAACGAAACGAGAGCTCAGCGCGCGCCGAAACCAACAAGCTGGCCGAATTGATACAAGCCCGGTGACCACAACGCCAATGACCATGTCATTGATGTTCAACAGGCGGCAAAGACTTGCAAAGTGGTGATGTACAAATACATGGAAGAGACACCATGGACCTGACCGACCCGAGCAATGCTCCGGACGAGCTCGCTTCTCAACTCTCTGCTAATGTAGTGGTGGTCGTGTGCTCGATGGCTCTGTCTAGCTCGGACTTTGGTAACCGGCAGCAATGGAAGCACTTCTGGAACCAGATCAAAATGCTTGACCCAATAATCAATACTGGAATTCAGATGTCCGTCTCGGATGTCGTTCATTCCCTGGCAGGTATAGTCAGGGTATAAGGTAGGAGTGGGGAGCTGAGACGGCGGCTGGGACTGATACTCGCGGGCTATGTTACCTAGAGCGAGTGCGATGCTCACGACATCCATGACGACGTTGTGGAATCCCAAGATCAGAGTATGACGCTGCTTGTCATGCCGGACTAGCGTGGCCTGGAGAGTGTCGCCTGCTTCGAGAGGATACTCATATTGTTTGATTCTGTCAAAGGCTTTCTGTGCGTCAACGTCCGCTGTTCCAGCTGAAGTTTGCAGCACAGTAAGTTGAAAGACCTCGCTGCTCATGACGTGCTGCCGGACCTCAGAAATGTCATGTGTTGCAAAGAAACATGTTCGCAACGCATCGTGGCGATTTAAGGTCCTCTCAAAAGATGGGCTAAACCTCTCCACATTTAAGGGTCCGTCGATCCTGAACCTTGTCGTACCGTTGAGCGCTATCCGGCTCTCAGAAAACGAGGATATGTAGGAGAGTCCCGCTTGGGCTAGAGACAAGCTCTGATTTAATGAAGTCCAACTGGCGGCTCGGGGTTCCTGATGACGCAGGTGCCAGCTCGGAGGAAGTCGAGGATGATTTAGGGCTGTCTGAAATCCTTGTTTGTGCTCGACTGGTCCTGATCAGCACATACCACTTCGTGCACCACTTCGACCGACTTGCCGTTAACTTGTGTCTTTGCTGGCTGATCTTCCACTTCACCCGGCGCCTCCTCGTCAAGTTGTCTGCTAGGGGCAAGTCGTTTGGCAAGGTGCTGCTCGGCGATAGTCTTGATAATGGCAGCCGAAGGATCTCGTCGAAGGATCTCCACCATGGAAATCAAAACTCGAAGCCTCTCCAAAGTCACTCGCGGATTTCGATGGCGTTGATCGAGTCAATCCCTCGCCGTGACAAGGGCTCATCGGGATGGATGGCGTCTAGCGAAACACGGATCATCAAGTTAACCTTCTGTGACAGTAGCTCGGTGACAGGAGAAATTGCTTCATCGACCGTCATCGCATTGTCTAGTCTTGACTGCTGACTTCCAGCTGAGGGTGCATCACCACCCTGCTGGGCTTCGGAAACGCGACGCACCATACGTGAAAGAGCTGCAGTTCCCACCACGTTGGCCTCGAGGTCTGTCCTTTTCTTGGTACACATCAACACCCATAATGGCCTCGTGGCTAGGAGAGTCCGGTCGCCAGTGGCAATACCCTGGAGAATAACATGGTGGAAATCCGCTTCGGAAAGCGCAATCAGTCTTAATTGCAGAGCCATTCTTCAACATGCGAGCCAGCTGAGCGATCTACCTTAGCCACACACCCACCGTCGACCAGCATCCTGAAGTCCAAAATCGATCCTGTCAGACCTCGCCGCTTGCAGTTTGCCACAAGACTCAGCATGAAGGCGTTTCCGGCGTGATAGATTGCATGCCCGGGCTTCCCGAAAGTGGTTCCCAAAGAGCCAAAACATATGAAGAAATCCAGTGGGTCTTTCTTGAAAGCCTCATCGAGATCTATGGTGCTGTGGATCTTGGGCATCATTTGCTTCGCGATGCTGGCAGCGGAGAGGTTGGCGAATACGGCCGGTTCGAGGACTAGGGCTGCATTGGCCACGCCACCATGGGCAGGGTGATGACCCCAGACTGTCTTGGCCACTTTTCGATCCTCTGATAGTTGCGGCTCTGAAACCCTACCTAACGACCGCAACTCTCGCTGCTGCGCGCTGACAGCTGTCTAACCACGCGCAGCAAGCGAGTGCATCTAATTGACGTCTACCACCATGATCGGAAGCTCGGGTGGGACGGCTACGATTTCGATCTAGTTACGGAGACAGTGAACGTTAAGGGCCACCACTTCGACATGTTTTCCTTCCAGAACATCCCCGGGATATCGAACGCAATCACGCGATGCTGTGATAGGATGGAGAAGTTCAGTCAGCTTTAGGCTATGTTGTCGTCTAGAATATTCTCCCATTATCTCATTCTTCCTAGATGGCGAGTTAGGCCTCTGTACCCTCTGTACCCAAGGAGGGTGTTCGTTTTCCCTTTCCAGTTGCACGGAGTGTAAGATCAGATACCCGATACGGCATGACCCTACCCTCGTCCTAAAACACTGCGATTTTGAAGTTAAGACCATCATATTACTCCACTAGTCTTAGGGCTGGAAGTAATTGCGGCATCCTGCCGTGTGACTTCTGCAGCACAAGCCAGGCCTGGGAAGCCGTTCTGGATGGAATGATCTATGATTCCTACTTGGGTACGGTACACACTTCCGCCCATAACCGCCATGTCACCGTAAGCTTATACTTACCCAACGGTCAAGGCCGATGTGCAGCAGCAGCATCATGTTCATGTTGTCGAATGGATATGCATCTGCACCTGCACCTGAATGCAGGGAATTCTGCAAGCCCCGGTACACGACGTTGACGCTCGGCCTTGGCAACGGCGGCCTTAGATAGCTTACAATTACATAGCAATGCATACAGAATCGGACTGGAACTGTGTCCGTATACGCTTACTCTTACTGGTAAGCTTACGACATATGCAGTGCATGCGTGGAGCACCAGTACCAGTAGTTCCAGTACCAGTACCAGGGTCACCCCGCATGGCAGACTGCTCGTGCAAGTTGCCATTATCACTAGACATCTGATCGGCAACAGCGGTTCGATCTGAGCAACGATACAGGAAGGAAATCGGGGTTGGTTCAGTCCAGTTGAGCAGTGCTTTGAGGCGGTGGTCAAGTCAGCGAGTGTACGGAGTAGGGAGGGTGGCTGACAGTATGGCGTTCAGCAGTGTTATTAGAGTACAAAAGGGAGAGCAGATTCATCTTCTGGCTTGATTCGATGCAATAGATTCTTTATCCAAAACGATCATGACACCCAAAGTAACTAAGCAAGACAGGGCATCCATCCAATCCGAACGAAGCATTGGACATACATCAATCAATCATGAGGTGTCATGACCACAATCCAATCCATCCCATCCAGCAAATTCCAATTATATAGCAAAAATTTCCAAAAGAAATGAAAAAGAAAGAAAGAAGGTAATATAGATAGAGAAGAAAAGAGATTAGCAGGTGTATAGTAGTAAGTAGATAAAACGTGGTATCATGCCGCACAGCCCTGTTGAACACAAACAACAATTGAACAACAAAGTGGTATCATAAACGAGGCGATTGAAATGAATAGAACGAAGGTAAGGTAGGTAGCCAGCCGGAAATGAGAAAGAGAAAAAGTAGGAAAGATGTAAGAACGATCGTATCTATTCTTCGGTCAACGCGTCGTCACCGGTTTCTCGCCAGTCTTTCGACCGCTCGATCAGACGGCGCACGCCTGCAATCCGCTGAGCCCAGTGCGCTTCAGACGGTGAGCGGAGAGTGTAGGCCCGCTGTGAAGATATAACACCGATACTCTGCAGTACGGCCTTGCGCGAGTCACGGCCAAAGACGGCCGGGTGGTTGATCCACTCTAAAGCAGCCTGCAGGTCCCCATCGAGGGCCGTCATTGTGTGGGCATCAACTGCCGCCACAGGAGTAATAGTGGCAGCGTCCGAAGCAGCCGAGGAGTGGCTGGCGAAGGTTGAGGATTTGGGCGAGTCAGAGGTGGGGGTTTGGCCGCGTGATTCGGGTTCAGCAGAGCCCTTCGATGCTGGAGGAGGGAGAGGTGGTAGGCTGCCTTTGCCTAAGCCTTTGAGGATACTTCGGGTTTCATTCAACAAGTGTTGAGCTCGATCATGCTGCGCACGTGAGGCGAGCGTCAGGGAGCGCGTCAGCATGTCCGAAGTAAGAAGCTCCATGCGGCGTTGAACAATTGATGGGTGAGGAGGAATTGGCGGTGTTGAGGGTCTGGCGCCCTTGTATCGGGGGTTTGGCGGGAGCATAGTTATCGCCAGTAGCGACGGGCGCGGTGAGTGTTGCAAATGACCGTCGCGAAGCAGGTCGCCGTACGTCAGGTCAGCTTGGATCAAGGGAACTTCTTCCACACTTAGGATACGCTGGTCATCCCCGTCCGATCCGCCTCCTAGCGCTTCCAACCCGGACACCAGACTCTCCCAAGGATCTTGGGGCGCGGATTCGTGGGTCACGTTGTCGGGCGGAATGACCAGTTGTACGAGAACATCACGCTTGTCGCCAAACCGCAGGTCCCCAAGCGCAGCCTCGGCATCCCGACCGGTGGCTCGCTTGGTTGTGTGCAGTGCGCCGCTGATCTTGACGAACTTGGCGGGAGAGCCTTCTGGGAGTCGCAGCTTCAGCTTCACATTTTGGTGTGACGTTGTTTGGATGGCTCCCAGGCATCCAGCAACGCATTCCCGCAACATCATCCAATCCTTCACATAAAGGTATGACCCCTTTGTCCGCGTCGACAGTTCGATCATCGTATCCGGCTTGTGTGTTAATCCAAGGCCAAACGAATGGATTCCGACCCTGTATTAGTCAGCACCACTCAACACGTAAACATGCCTTGCTGGGATAACTCACTTGGCAGCTTCAGCTCTCGACACGACAAAGTCCACGCTTTCAGGGTCGGAAGTGGACGAGTCACTGATTAGTAGGATGCTAGACACCGGGTTCGACGATTTCCGCTGCATCAACAGATCCATGGCTACGTTAGCCCCCTCGACCACGTCCGCGCGCAAGCTCTTCTGCCCGACAGGTCGGATAGAACTGAGAATCTTGGACCATCCACCCCAGGACTTTGTCGTCATCCCAACCAAGGGCACACCTCCTCCACTCGATCCGAACGTCACCAGTCCCATCCGATCACGCGGTCCAAGGTTGTGAACAAGGAACTTGAGAGAATCGCGAAGAAGGGTAATCTTCAAGCCTTGCATCGAGGACGAAACCGGGATCACTACAACAATGTCGACTGGGATATGAATCGATGGCGACAGCGCGCCTTCCACACCCATGTTCGTGTAGTCCGTGATGGCGGTGTTGTTTGAGCGCGCCGCGCCATGCGACGAGTTCAGCGATGCTTGTCGTTTCATGTTGCCGGTGCGGTAATCATCTTCTTCCATCCCAGAGTGGCGATCGAAATCAAGTTCGGGGCTTCGAAGAGATTCAAGATTGTTATTCTCAAGGGCACGGCGCCATATTTCGAGCTGACTCCGATTGGGAAAACGGAGATAAAAGCACGGAAGTTCGCTGACGGACAAGTGCAGGGTAAGGATTGGTTCATCTGAAGACGTTAGCTCGCGTTCGATCACAGTCAAAAGATGACATACCAGCAACGTCTTCGATATGTTTCAAGTGCTTTTTGATCAGGATTGATCCCTTGAGGGTGTATCGTGGACGAGGTTTCACCATCTGCGGGTCGTAGTGGTGGTCCGGTACTCGTTTCTCCTTGACGCAAATGAGCATTTCATGGAACAGGTAACATTCCAGATCCTGCCATGACTCGCGATCTTTGCCCACTCGCATATGGCCATGCAAGCGAAGTTTGCCAAACCTATATGGTCAGCTGGTACAATAACGCACAGGGGAATAAACTTACCGTTGGAACTCCAAGCCATGCCAATTGTCGACCTTTGCCCTCAGTTCCTCGGCGATCTCATTGAGATTTTCCTGTGGCTCGAAAGGAGCAAACTTTTCCGGTACAGACGGGAACCGAGACGGGTAGGGTTCATCCTTCGTTGAGCCCGTGCGCAGATCGTCGGTGTCTGGATACCAATTCCCCTCCGGCACTTCGACCGTAATCAAGCAAGTGAGCGACTGTTGTTGGCGAGACCGATTGACTGTAGGGAATTCGCTGCGAATCGTCACCGTAGGTGCCGGAATAGGGTTTTTAGTAATATGGGTAGTGCGAGGGCTGAGATCGGATTCCATAGCTTGAACGTCATAGTCATGACGGCGACCCTCGTGATATTCGCCCGACGACCCAGCAGCGCTACCGTTACGAGAATGATGGCGGGACACTGATGCCAGACGCTCAATTCGCTCACGTTGGATTCCAGTGTCCTTGCTATCCCGCCGGTTGCCGTACGTATCTCGACTGTCGCGGTTGTACGGCCGACTCCCAGCATCGCTCTGAGGGTACGGCCGACTTCCCACGTCGCTCGGAGGGTATGGTCGACTTCCCGCGTCGCTTGTGGGATACGGGCGACTTCCAGCCTCGCTTACCGAGTGTTGCCGGCTAGTAACAGAGTCCCAAGGCGTAGGTGTCGTCAACCCGCTGCGCTGGGTCATCGCATCACTGTTCACGGAGCGCACTATATTGCTCAATTTCTCTGCACCTCCGTCAACTCTATCGCTTAATATAGTCGGGCGGTTGCTTACCAATGTCTAGCACATTCCCCCCTCGCGTCGAGTCAAGTCCCAATGGCGCATCACATGTCGGACAGTACTGACCCTCGATCTCGCGCAAATACTCGTAGAAACAAGCTTCGTGAGCTACATGAGCGCACGAGAACTGGAGCACACGCTCCCCTCGCAGAGTGTGTTCCAGCGGCTCCTCGCAAACAGCACATTCGCTGCCTACGAATGTGCGCTCCCGCCGCGTGCGACTGCGGTCAACATCCATCAATCCCGCCATTGGCCCCACAGGTGTATTGTTAAATGTCTCGTGCGAAGCTGTCCGGGCGACGGTGTGGTTGGAGTAGGCGCTGAATTGAGCGGTGGATCTGGGGACGTCGGAGTAATAGGAATCAGCGGTCACGGACGAAGGAGCGCGAGCCCGCGAACCAGCAGTATAGCTTGAAAAACCGGTATCTGCACGATCAGAGCGAGAAAAGGAGCGAAAGGGCCGTAAAGGCGAACGAGCGGGGGATTCCGGACGCGCAGAGGCTAGGCGGCGATGCTGTTAGCAACAAAGAAGGGCAGGAGTAGGCCAAAAACAAGCCGACGCCAATAGAAAGTACCCAGAAGGAAGGAGGGTGTTGTCGTGCATGCGGTAGTGAGGGTGGGCTGGACAATGCTCCTCTCCGTGGCGGATGGGGAGCGGAAGTTGAGGGAGGAGTAAAGGACAGGAAGAAGCAATAAAGGAGTGGAAGAGATGAAGAAGCTCGACAAGGAGAGCAAACAGGACGATCAGGAATAATGATTGCAAAATAATAATAATAGAAAATAATGACGAGCAGTATAGCCAGTGGCAATGCTAGAAACTTACAGTGCGGAGTCTTCTTCTTCGACCAGCCAAAGAATCCACGCTCGCCTGAATCGACGGTGCCAGACTTTGAATCGGATCGCGATGGGGGACGGTGTTTCCACATGGGCAAACTCAGTCAGAAGCCTGACGAGCGAAAGAGGGAAAGGAGGCCTGGAGGGGGTTGGTTTGGAAACTGGACGGATTTAGGGGATTGGAGACAGGGCCAGGGTCAAGGACGAGGGCCAGGAGGGACAGAAGGAGTGGAAGGTGGGGACAGGATAACACGGCGAGAATAAGGCGCTGGCGTTGAAACTCTGAAGGAATGGAGGCCAGGGGTGCGACTGTGACAGTCGCCGGTGGAGGAGATGGGCAACGAGAGACAGAGCTAGAAGCACTAGCGCAGACGCAGAAGGACAGGGAAAGGAGAAGTTGGAAAAGTTGAAAAGAGGAGAAAGACGATGATGGCAGCTGAGACTCTGAGAGAGCGGAACTCTGGATGGCTGACTTTCTTGGGAAGATGATGGCAACTGCTGTGGGCCGATCCAGGGACCCCCCTGATTCGGGTCTACAGTGTATCTATGTCCCATTGTCCATGCAGCTTATACAGTTTCTCAGTATATATTCCAAGTCATGATGGATCCAAGAAAATAACAATTATCGATCTGTTCGCCGGAGAATTCCATGCAGCCGCATTTGCCACTCTGCATGTCATTGTGCTAGGCAGACGCCAGCTGATAGATACTCCGTACTCCGTCCTGCTCCTCGGGCTCTCCAGTGCTCCCCATCCCCCATCCCCATTTTCCGTTCTTGAAGACTGCTCCATAATATAGATTAATGCGCAACCCTCGATCATCCACGGTTATAATGATCCTCCCCCTAGGCTGCTAGCCTGCGGAATCACTGTTTAGTCGATCCCAACGTTTCCTGTCAGCCATAACAGACAAAGGGCCAAGTATCAGCACAAATTGTGCAGAATGTGATCCAATTTCAGCGATTAGGTTGGAATGCTTGTTAAGGTTCCCTCTAGGCTGGACTGGGATTAATGCTCTCAAACCCCACCGGACGAGAATTCTGGAAGAGCCCAAATATTGGTCTGGCTGGCTGCCCGGCATGACTCTGCGGCGCCCTGCTGAGTCAGGTCCTTTGGCTCGCGCTGGCCTAAAAATTGGCGCCAGTCCCAGTGCAGAAGGAGCCTGACTAAGATGGCCTCCCCCTCCCATGGTTCGGCCAGGACCAGACGAACCATCGCATCCATCTCGTCTCATCATCGCCCGATTTTAAGGGCCGTTGCTTGATCTGTTCTTTTGAGGCTTGTCCAAGACAGAAAGCCATGCGATGCCAGGGTGACGTCGGTCCTTCCCGCAGTCGATCGGGATGGGGCACTCATGGCAAGTGGAATGCGTCCCCTTGCATGCCTCAACTCTAGCTCAACGCACAGTTCGACGTCTCCGATGACCCTCTGACCTCTGGCTTCTGAATGCTCTCAACTTGAGACCGGAAGTGGCACCGCAGGGCTAGCCGCATATCGCTTTCTGCATGAACCTAAGGCTAGGTACCGCGGTAGTCGGGACTCCCGCAGGCGCCATCTCCGATGATTGGTTTGCTTTTCTCTGGCGATACTTCGGGGTATCACAGGGCAACACTTGCGCGGCACTACATCCACCGCGGCGGACACTGCATCGCATGAAGATACAAGTCGACCGGCTACTGGCTGTCCCTTCTTGGAATACGAGAACGGATACCTACCAAAGCTTCAGGAATCAGGATCGACCGGACGGCTCGGCGATTCCAGATTCAGTTATCGTGCTGCTTCATGAACAGTGCGCTGGCTGCGATCATGGACCATGGCAAGTCATTCGTCCGTGATACTGGAGCTTTAGGTTCGCTGGAGGCTAAAATTGCGGAGAACTCATCGCAGAACTTAGAAACTCCGCCGGCCCTGTATAAACAAGGGGTAAACTCCGGCAACGAGTCTCCATCGTCTGGATCGTCATGACCTTACCGCTTGCTTGGGATGAGGAACGTGTCAAACATGGTCCAAACTTAAGCCTGAGACAACCCGGAGCCATGGCAAACATCGTTTTCGCAGGTCATTATTTATCCATCTCATCGGCCCAGGATCCTGACCTTGCTCCTCAGATTGATTAAATGATCCCTCACATTCGCACTGAACGCTTGACCCGAGCGGCCAAGATGACTAACTGTCCTATGCAGGCTGAGAGGCTCCAAGCGCCTAGTAATCTGTCAATTGACAAGTCCATGATTTCCCTACCAAACGCTCATCTCAACCAGTCGTATATCGTTAACCATGACGGACGAGGAGAGATTTGCGTCTGAATACTGTTCATGATCGTCATCCGGCCTTATTGCTGCAGCCTGCACCGGCCCGCCCCAAGTCCCCAATTATTGATTTCGTGCGACGAAAGGTGTCAGCGTGGCGGATGAAACGCCAACTCGGAAATATGGACTTGCTTGACGGTTTGACCGGCATGTCGTCGACATTATCTCACATTAACGTCCTGATACAATTAGACGATTGAGACTGGAGTTTGCTGCTTCTGCAGAAATAGCCGTTGAGCCGTTACGCTAACCCCTCATCCGAAGCTTGGCTGGCCCCAGGGGCTTTTGACCGCACCTCATCGGACATCCAGAAGCAAGGGGCGAAGGGCATATGCAGGGCCGCTTGGAACATTGCAATAGACTTTTTGTGTCAGTGACAGGTCAGTGACAGTGTCACCGTCATTGTGCTCATTTGTCGAGTCGTCAACAAGCCACAAGTCCATCATGGTCGCCATGTGAAACAGCCGTGAAACCACCTTTTTTTGAGCAGGGATTGACGGGCAGCGGGCTAGGCCTGGACTCTGAGTCCGCCTGAATGACTCGGCTTAACCACTTGTTTTGTCCTGGTCTTTTCGCTTCAAGTCTCCAGAGCGGATGCGCTGCCACAGTGCCAAAGCGTTGATGGCATGGCTGCCGCTGCCGCTGGCGTCCTCGGCCCGTCCAGCTCCACAGCTGCCATTGTCTGTGGGCTTAGGTTGACTGATCAAGAAATCAAGGGGGTTGTTGACCTATCCAACTCCGCTAACTGCTAATGGCGCCACCTATAGAATCCCACCTGGCCTGGCGAGGCCAAACATCTCCGTCGGCTAAGACACTCGTTGGTCTGGCACCTACACTTTCCAATCAGAAGCCAGCCACCCTCGCAGCCATGATCCTGATCATTTTCAGTTCGAGGTTAGGTTGTCTGAGATTGACGCTGGGCGGCAGGATTCAAGGGTTGGACAAAGTTGAATCGCCCCGGCAAGCCACGCTGTGTTGAAGATGACAGGTCAATTGATCGATATCACCCCAGACCGCCACCACTCCCAGCCAACCGAACACTAGACAATTTGATCTATCAAATCTGCTATAGCGGTAACGAGATCAAGAACAGGTCGACAAGAACCCTTCATCTATTTGATTCGCGGTCACGAACGCACCTAGCGGGAGGTAACATCGAGTTTCGGTACGACTCTGTTCGCTTATCTCCGCGAAGCCATTGATAGATTCGTGATCGAGACTGGTCACTGGCGAGGCCAGGCTCGATCGAATTCATTTACACAGTCGTATCTCGATTGCTGATTGTCTGTACAGGGATATATAGTAGTCGACTCATCAGACTGATCTCTCGATTAACGAGATCATGTGGCTGTCTGACTGGACTAGTCGAATGGTTCGCAACCTGAGTCGCAGCGAATCTGGATCCAGATCTTCTCTAGCGAAGGTGCGTCCGTGCCAGCCTTGCCCTCAAGGAGTTCATTCGACGCTCGAACGACGGATTCCTCCGTGAATACCGAGACATTTGAGATTTCATTGCGGCCGGGGCTGAAACTGAACCTAAATCGCCCAGCATTTGCCCCTTTGCCGTCGAGTTATTGGCAGCCTATTGAATTATGGCGCGGCACTTTGTGTTATCACTATTGCAGACTGTCAACCATCTGCCTCGATGGCTGGCATCGGGTCAACTGGTGGGCGATTCAGGACCACGGTCTTCGCTGCGGTGCCATCCAAGAAACCGAGGATTGGGGCGGTTCCTTAGCTGGTTCCTGATGATCACTCATCCCTGTCATGGATGTTTGGGTGCCCTCGTGCTGCAGTAATCGCCCCTATGCAACATTCAGTGGTATCTCCAGGCTAGTGGTAGTTAGCATGTACGGTCTGCCGTCCCTACCGCACGATCTGCGTTATGACTGAAGGAGTTACCTGATTCTGATTACTATGTTTGGCTTCTACACTTAGATCGGCGGCTGTCACGGTCGACTTGTACGGGGAGTGTTGACAGGCGTCCATCGGCTCCACGAGGGCGTGGACGAGGTAAGAGAAGGAGCCAGTGAGCCACCCACGAAGAGCCATTGAGGGTCTATCTAGAAGAGGCTGATAACTCTTTCGCCTGCGCGAAGCTACAGGACGTAGAGTTGTTTTCGTTGCTTGGTTCGACCTGTTTGTGGGCGAGTCATGTCTCTAGTGATGAGAATGGGTACTATCATGATTACCCTTATTACGTGTCGGAGGATGAGGATGATTACGAAGAGGATGAGGTGGAGGAGCAGGTGACTGATACCGAAGACGAGGAGTTCCTGCGTGATATGTGTCGTGCTTCGGACTCTGAGTATCCTTATGATTTTGATGAGGATTGAGGAATCGAGGGCCGGGATGGCTTCATGGTTCTCATGGAGGCTGACCTACAAAGTCCTCACTTGGTTCTCTTTTTCCTCTTCCTCTTCTTCCTTGTCCTCTTTCATACCTCTCCACCACCACTGCCTCCCCTCTTTTAGTCAGGCTTGCATTGAGCAGACACAAAACCGGGAAGATTTAGGGGTAGAGACGGTAGTTGGCTTGGTGCAGAGGAAGTAAGCGGAAGTTCCGTCTGAGAAGGGGGCGCTTCTTATTCTTGCTCTCGCTCTCGCTTATGGGGTGAGGGGGAATGGCCCTTATCCTCCACATAGGCTTGGCCACGGCTCCGAAATTGAATATCCTTCACATCAATCTACGGTCTGTGATTCTGCGAAGGTAATTTACGAGTCTAGTGATGTCTGATGTCTGGTGAGATGCTTAGAAGCTGAGGCACTCGGCATTCTTCAGGGGAATTTACGCGTTGACGCGTCTGTTTGGGAGATTGATGGCCCCGGATTTGCCCCATGCTCCCTCGTGGACAGAGTACATATTGATCAATACTAAAAGAAAAAATAGACTATTGATTTAAATTTTTTTGAATTTATCATTGCTTCAGAAAATGAGGTCAATTACATGGGTTTGTCGCATAGAACCTGTGTGGAAGTCCGTATCAACAGGAATATATACTTCGACCCCACACATCCCATCTCCCACAGAATATCTCTTAGCAAGAGATGAAACCCAACCAGCATCGAATACCATTTCTCCCAGAATAAATCAACATTGACCATATAGCCTCATTTCAGTCTAAGTTGAGCTTACTAACCCGTGGTTGAACGACCAAAATGGCTTCAAGCTACTCCGCGCAACGCGAGCCGTCGATCAAGCACCCTCAACGCGTCAGCGCCAACACATCCAACTAGATATCAAACAAGCTCACCCACAACACCTGCAACACGCGAATATGAAAAGGAAAGCATCCTCAGAAGCTGGCCAAGACGACACCGCCCATCACTCGCGTCGGATCACGAGATCCCAGGCCCAGACTCACACGAGGAATATGCATATCATCGCCCGCGCCTCTAACAGTAGCACGGAGAGCAGGACTACGCTCGTGCCCAGGTCCAGGGACAAAGAGAAGAGCAAGACAACAACTCCAACGACCACGATCAACGCGGCTTGCGAGGCCAAGGCTCAAGATGAGGTTGAGGCTGAGGTCCAAGATGAAAAGGGAAACAGCTCTGCGCACCTGCGCGGGCTGCGCGGGCTCAATACAGTAATACCTCCTGCTCTTGCACCCGCATGGCCAGATACCGACGAGGACCGTTTCCAGCTATACGTGGGGAGAAGCCGTGGAGACGAAGACGAAGATGATGAAAATGGAGATGAAGATGAAGATACCAACGCAGCAGCGAGAGAAACATCGCGTATAAGCTTGAGGCAAAACGGCGACAACGGCTACGACAGCGACAGCGACAGCGACTCCTCTACAGTCTCCACATGCCTGTCGTTAATCGAGTATCCGCAGCGCGAAAACGCCATGTACATGGCCGACCTCAATGGAATAGCCGGACTACTAGAAATGGAGGAGCGCAAGAGCAAGGACCCCAAGATCAAGAAGATGGTGGGGCAGTTCTTGGGGAAGTACCGAGAGTACGAAACTGTGCTCGAAGCGCGGTTCAAGGATCGACGTGTGACGAGTCAGTGGGTTGGGTCGATGATTGCGACGGAGTTGTTGGTGGATTCGGCAAAGGCTATAGGGTTGAGGGGGTGGGAAGGAGAGTGGGGGGAGGTGTGGAAGGAAGTCCGGGATAGAGGCAATATACTATTCAGCGAAGCGATGCTGAAGGAACTGTCACCGCTTGAAACCCTAGTCTAATACAGATGATGCATTGGCTATCCACTATCATTTTGCACTTCCTCGACCAGAAGCATCGGCGGATTCTGGACAATCCGTCATCTTTAGGGCATACACCAACAGGCCTGATATAAAAACACACGGAATCGAAATATACAGACATTGTCCTCACATGTACAAGAACCCATCCAAAAGGCCCGGCCGTACACTTTAGACGGCCGAGAGGCGAAGAACGTCAATTATAAGGTATTAGTCGTAAGCAATAGGTGTCTCGCACGAGAATGTATTCGTTCCAACAGCGCTAATGCGTCACCAAGCACTAAAAGGTCATGATATAGGGCTTAGTGACGCTGCAGTTCCGTGCTAAGAAGGTCCAAAACCTGGAGAAGTCAGCAAATGTGCCATTGCTTCAAGAAAAGTGCACGTACCGACTCGGGAACCGCCCCCTGGTTGTAGAGATACTTGCTAAGGCCACGGACAACCTCCAGCTGTTCATCGACCGTCAAACCGTTGATGGCGGCTTCAATGATATCGCCCACGCTGGCCTTGAAGACAGCAATGAAGCTGTGATAGTACATGTATGCGAAGAAGCCCATAATGAACTGGCAGTCCATGCGGTCGGTGATGCCGCCGTGGCCCGGGATCGACTCGCCAAAGTCCTTGATCTTAAAGGACCGCTTGAGACCGGAAGCAAAGAAGCCTCCAAAGGGAGCAACTAGCGACGCAAAAGTAGCGAAAAGAAGGATGTGAAGCTGCATCGGGGCAAGGTAGAACGTCCTGCCGAATCCGGTCCAGGCCGGGATTTCGAAAGCTTGAGGAATGAAGACTGGGTTGACGTCGCACTCCAATCCGGTCAAGACGTTCGATCCAAGGTCGTTGACGGGGCAGATAAAGTATTTGTAGCGCATCAGAATGTTGGTCATAAAGTAGCCGAAAATGATGGTGCAAACCCAGGCGCCCAGGAATCCCTCGACAGTCTTCTTGGGAGAAAGCTGGATCAACTGAGTCCGGCCAAAAGTGATACCGCAGACGTAGGCGAAGATATCATTTGTGATAACCAGAGAAGCCGGAAGGAAGAACCAGATCATACCCTCCAGGATGTTGTTCATGACAAAATGGGCCTGCACGACAATCAAGTACAACGCCATATGGGTCCAGGCGAACTGGGTGAACTGGAACCGGTAGTGGCCCTTTTGCAACGAAGCAACGAAGAAAACGAAGCCTAGCAAGATTAGCACGGCAACTAATCTAGAATAAATGGAACATACCCATGATCCAGAGAGTGAAGCTGATGAAGCGGTGATGAGAAGCCAATGGGAGCAACACCCGGTCAACCAAAAGAATGTGCTTGAAGTAGTAGATGACGCTTTCACCGTACAAAAAGTACATGCTAGTTCCCAAAAAGTACCAGTTCAACGACTTGGTGAAACGGATATTCTTCTCCTTGCTTGGCACATTGGCAATAGCAATGACTTCCTTGAACGAGATGATTTGGATAGCAGTGACGATACCGATGATGTATATGTGGCCCGAGAACATAGCAATGAAGAAACCCGCAATCATAACAAAAGTCCATATTGTGCGGGTGATAAACGTCTGTTTCTTCTTCTGGTATTCGTCTAACGGGGGTGCTTCGGGTTTCTAAAACAACGTCAGCGTCGAGTCCACAGCAGCGAATCGGCAGGTCCCGCACCTCCTCGGGGATTGTCGCAGGCTGAGCAACAGCTCCATTCTTCGTCGGACTGCCCGGATCAGAAGCAGCATCGCTGGCATCTGAGATACTCGGTCGTCGACCATCAGTCCGGTGTTGGAACCGAACGCTGCGGCGTGACTTGGACATGACGGAATAGGGGAGCTGGCAGGATGTCTCAAACTGACGCGCGGGGCAGGGACGGTTGAGCGGATTCGAAGTCGTCAAGCAACGGCGGATTATCGGAAAGCGCTAAGCAAGCGCAGATGGATGTATGTGAACCGTGAGAAGGAGGAGAGGTAAGGTGGAAACGAGGAGTGAGTGTGAATAGGTTGGGGGACGAGTGATCGTCGCCTAGGAAAATTTCATGTGAGAGACGATGGTTTGGCGGCAGAAAAAAGCAACGACAAGGACAAGTCTCATAGAAAGGACAATGACTTGCGATTCAAGGGCAAATCCGTCATCAATCGGCGTTGATGGGGAGAGGTCGACGATGTCGTGGGGAAGGTGAGGAGGGAAAATGGTTGAGGCTCGATCGCGGTTGACTGCCATCTACGTCAGTCAGCTGTTTTGCTCGCCTTCTCAGCCTTCCAGACTCCCACCTTTTCTGCTCCACCACGTCCTACGCCAATTACTCGGCGCTATTCATGGCGGCCTCACTTATTGGGCATGGAAGAATTCGACGATGAATTCTTTTCCGACGACGGCTTTGACGATCTGCCCCCGGATGCTCTAGAGCAGCTCGAACACGATGCCTTTCGCGCTACACAGGCCGAACCCACGCAGCGAGAGCTGGAACCGAGACACGATTGGACTCAGCGAGATGTTCCCATTCGGTACCCCCAGATCAACGCTATCAATGCCGCCAACGCCACGCTAGGACCTCCTGCGCAATTGCACACTGGGTTGACCAACGATTATGGCTCGCTGGAAGTGGGAGAACTCGACGCGGAGGTGTTTGATGATGGGGCTGCCCTTGCACTGGACGATACAGTCGCGTTCACAGCGCGACCGTCGAATTATGCCCATGATACAATCATACTGGATGATGAGCAGTCTAATCAGGCCGACGGAGGGTCGTCCCTCTACTCTGCATTGCAAAGGGAACACGAAATCCTCACAGTAAAGGTGTGTCATTTGGACTAATTTATGACCGGAGCTGACTTCGACAGCTCCAACAAGAAACAGAACGCTATGCCCGTCTCGAGGCTGAGCTCGCGACAGCCAAATCCATGGCCGAGACGAAAACCGGAGAGATCGCCATCATTCGATCGAATCAAGCAAAAATGACTATCGATTATGAGCGGCAAATAGCCAACTTGCGCAAGGCCATGGCCGAGGAGATGGCGAAGTATAAGGAAGAGGTAGAGGCAATACGCGAACAAGGGAAAACGTTGGCTACGGAAAATGCGTTCCTCAAGCAGGATCTCGCCGAAGAGGTTTCGCGAGTCAATCAAATACGAGCCAAGGTGCGAACAGAGGACAAACCAGGACCGATGACGCCGAAGAAAAATAAGGTGCTCCCGTTCCGTGATGGGTTCAACGACGAGGAGATTCTAGCAGCATCACCGAGCAAATCGGGACGATCGAAACAGGCGACACCGACTGTGGCAGGTAAAAAGAGAAGACGAACAAGTCAGGGTAGTCCGACGCCTTTGCGGTTGAGTCCATATCCAGAGCCGAGCTTGGAGATCGTTGAAGATTTGACCGATGAGATAATGTTAGAGCCTGCCATGGATCTGCCCATCGAGGAGCCTCCGCCAGAGAGCGAGCACCAAGACACACACGTCATAAAGCAGATATTGAATCACCGAACGGTCCCTCAAAAAACTGACGTTGAACTACTGGCCGAGCTGACATTTCCGTCGGAACCAGGGCGGTCAATGTATAGCATACTTCTGGAGGAAACAACGGAACTTGACCTGGGTAGCTATGCGATGGAGCATATGCAGGCAATAATATCTTTATGGTCCCGGGCACTAAAAGAAAAGTTCTTCCAGCCCATCCCAATATTTCTGGAAGTCACAAGGTTTATACTCGTCATTGACACGACGTCCGTCTTGCGTCTGATTGCTCGTCTTTTACCCGTGTTGCTGGATTCCAGCGACATCAACGGAGTTCCCCGTTTCAAGCACTCGCCCTATGCCAGCCAGAGCTTTGGTAAAGTGTCGCGAACGCCGACCTCCCAGCTTGAACCACTGGTAGATTCCACCGAGATCGTCAGGGTGCTCTACCAAATAGCCTGCCGCAGCCTGGGCGATGAGCCGCTCATCGAGGATTACTGGCGCCATGTTCGCTACTCGTTTATTCTGATGATGCTGAGCTGTTCACAGCCCGCCAGCGATATCAAGCTAACGCTGAGTCTGCTCATGACCAGTGTCCGCCCTGACTCGTTCGCGTCCATCCACGAATCCGAACAGGACCAGAAGTCGAACGAAAACTGGGTTATCGACCGCGTGGCCAGTCTTTTGTGGGAAACGTTACAACCAGACGAGGGGCAGCCGCCTTACTCGCGGTCAGAGATCTGCGACGTGCGATTGGAAGCGCTGGCTTTTTTGATGACGGTCACTTTCAATCCTATCGAGCCGGGTAATACCCACGGTAGCCTCGTCATAGCCTCGCATCATACAGCCTTGGCGAAACTGGTCAGGGCGATGCACGACGAGCTAGACGCGCTCTATTCTGATCCACCAGAGAAAGACATGCACTCCACCATGGTCAACGGCCTCATGCGTCTGATCTACAGCATTATACAACGGCACCCGAAAGAAGCCGACCTCCAATTGAAGTTGCACCGAGTTCCTGGGGGAAAACAGAAGTTTCTGGTGGTGTTGACACGCCTTGCTTTTAGCGAAGGACTGATTCTCGAGGCGGGCATCGAAGACGAGACCGTGGAAATGGCACACTCGATTCTCGACAACGCGGTCAATCCTGAGGAAGCGGAGGCTCTGCTTGATGCATTCCCCCATGCGAAGGGGGAGAATAATGAGGCGAAAGAGACGGAAGATACGGAAATGATGGAAATGATAGAATAGGCATCTCTGGTGTTATGAATTTACGAGTATATACCCTACATAGCAACTTGATTTCAACGGGCAAAACACTTGCGATCTGACATGGTAACAGGATGAATAACAGGTGTAGTAAATAGAGGGACTAGAAACCCTGATAGGGTAGCACTGTGCGAACGCAAGGCCGTACGAACTCCGTAGTTGGGACGCTTGAACAAAAGTGAAATGGGCGGACGCAAAACAAGTGACACGCGAGGGTCGCGACCAGTCGCAAAATGGAGCGGGGAAGGGTAAAAGGACGATAGTGGACCAGACACAAGCCGAGTAAGACACAAGAGTAGGTTTATGAATATACAGCTACCCAAGGAGATATACGGTTCAAGATATACAATTCTAGTGGAAAGACGCCCTTCTCCATACCCCCGCGCAAGGCGAAGCCATGATGAAAAGAGAAAACCACAAAGTGGAAAGTGCCAAAGAATACGCCTGTCAATGACCCGAAGGCCGTTGAACAGACCGTTCCGCCGCGCTGTGCAATGCAGGGACCAATCTGTGGTGGACCGCCTTCTTGATCGCAGCCACCCAAACAAGGTAAGTATGAAGAAGAAAAGAAAAAAAGGTGAAAGGGTGTCGGGGGAAGCTGGAATTTATAGGCTGGGGGAGCTGAGAGATTGGCGCTAGTGACAAGCGAGAATGCGGTAGCCAATCAGAGCAATCTAGAAGGGAAACGTTGACGGCCTGAGTAATAAGGCGGCAAGAATAGTTGAGCTGGGTCACGTGCATTGCGAAGTTTTGGCCGCCGGAAATTGATGGACTGAGCAGGCCGGAGAAGAACAACAAGACCACAGCACCGCCAGGATGAGGAACAGGGCTACCACGAAACTGAGCAGGCCGGTGCGAGCACTTTTAAATTTTGATTCCCCTCTACAGAAGACTAACCGCCCTTTCCGCAGAAAATCCGGCAATCATGGAGCAAATACAACCTGTATAACCTCAACCGCACCCGCAACCCTAGCACACAAGGACGCACATTCTTCCAGCAGAAATGGACAGCCAAGGCAATGGCGCGCGCCTACCACGGAGAGCAGGTCCGCGAGAGTCAATGGACACGCATGTTCTCAAGGCGTATGCGCAGTGTCGTGCCCATGAATCCCTGGAAGATGGCGCAGGATGACGGATCTGGCTCGGCTGCTGGTCGTGGATCGGGGCTGGAACCAATCGAGCCGCCGACTGTTTATGATAGTACTAGGACGAAGGTACCGTACACGAATATGGCGTTTGCCCCGCTGGAGCGGAGACTCGACGTGGCTATCTTCCGGGCGCTGTTTGCGAGCAGTGCAAGACAGGCCAGGCAGTTTGTCCTCCATGGCGCTGTTACGGTTAATGGGAAGAAGGTATATCTTCGTCACTTGGAAGTATTGCTAAGGACCATCTGACCAGACTACAGATGAGATTCCCCGGTTACCTCCTCAACCCCGGAGATATGTTCCAGGTCGACCCCGAGCGAGTGATGTTTGCCACCGGTGCGCCGAAAGACAAGTTCGAACGTCGCGAGGGCCGTGTCGAGCGCAAGAAGGCCGCGGAGGCCGCCAAGGCCGAGGAAGCTAAAGAGGAGGGCGAGGGCGAGGAGGCCAAGGAGAAGGAGGAAGCCGAGACCAAGGACGCCAAAGATGACAAGTTCGACCCACGGGGGACGCTGAAGCGCCTCCTCTCCAGGGCCAAGAACATCATGGCTGACGGCAAGGACGTGCTTCCCGCCAAACGCAAGCAGGACCTGCGAGGCTTCCAGAAGGCCGTCCGCCGCGTCATGTCCAAGAACAGTGATGCCGCTTCCAGCATGACCGACAACCTCGAGACCCAGTTTTCCGAGCTTTTGAAGCTCCTCAAGGCTACGAAGATCCAATCCAAAGAAGTCAAGGAAGATAAAGGCACAGCCAAGTCAGCAGAAGCCTCCGCCGAGGCGTCCGGCGAGGACGCCAAACCCACAGAAGCCCTCACCCAGGCCTTCCGCCGGGCCGCAGAGAATCCCGAGGCCGACGTCGACACATCAGAGCTCACGGAGGAGGAACTCGACGTGCTCAAGCGCGCCCTCGTCCAGATGCGCGACAACCCCATCGACCACACGAAGCCCTACGCTACCCCCTGGCGGCCGCGTCCCTACATGAGCGCGTTTGCCTTCATCCCCCGATACCTCGAAGTCAACCAGAACATTTGCGCGGCAGTGTATCTGCGACACCCGGTTGCTCGGCCCGGCCTGTCAGAGGTCCCGACACCGTTCGGTGAGGTGGTATCGACCGGTGCGTTCTCCTGGTACTTGAGACGGCGGTAGATGAATTGTCTTCTTGTATCTATAATCATGTTCCTCTCTTCTTCGCTTATGTATTACTGGGATCGGGCGCATCTTGTATTTGTCAGTTGGTCCGGCAGTGGCCGTGCTGTTAGTTGTACGGGCATATGTAAATTATCACAATAGAGAAGCCTTTCTTGAATACTAATCATGCCAACGTACAAGTTGTACGTCTAAGCTCGTTTATTATTTTCATACATAAAGTTAGGTGATAAAACACGAGGATGATGAAAATCCTCAATCTGTTCGAAATCCAGTACCGTAATAATACGCCCACCCCGCCTTTCACCGTGCGCCAGTGGGGCCCGAAATGTAATTGCAAAACCCTCAGGGGAAATTTTAACGCCTCTCAATTATCTCGAAATCAACATCACTCGCTCCATCACGACTCCATTTATATCTCTATTTCAATGAACTATAAATTTTTACGAATATTCCTAGCCCATTGAAGCATTCCTACAGCATACATATATACGACATTACGACCTCAACGCGACCCCGAATCTCCCTATCCAGCACCATCACGACAACGCCCACAGAGCCTCACCCAGGATCCCTCGGGGAACCTGAACATCGGGGACAGCGAGATGTACAATCCCTGGAGCACACACGCACAAGCACCGCACACCCACCCTCACCACCACGGCCACCACGGACCCCCGCACGCCCAGCCCCATCCACACCACTCCCAACATGCCCACCACCACGCGCCCACCGTGACCTCCGTAGGCACCGTCTCCGTCCCGGGCACCGTGTCTCCAGGAACGCGCCTAGTAGATCTAGACTCGTCGCCGTCCGCCTCGCCGAGCGCGTCCTCCTTCCGCATGAACTGGCTCCCGTCTATGCTGAACGGCCGCGTGCATAGCACTGCATCGTCGCTGCCGACGATTTCGTCGAATCTCCGCATGCAGCATACGCACCCGCAGACGACGCAGCAGCAGGCACCTGTGTCGATGATTGTGGACTCGAGGGCGCAGTCGGGGGGTGCGGTTGTTGGGGGTCCGGGGGGTGTTGCCAACCAAGCACAGGTACAGCAGCAGGTTGTGTCCGTCGAGAGCGAAGAGAGTGACCGGTCAGAGAGTCCGGGCGGTACACCGGGGGCGCGAGATGTCAGCGGGGCGGATGCATTGGGGGAGCCGGAATTCGGATCTAGCGAGGGCGGGCAGAATGGGAGGGGTGAGGATATTGATGTCGAGGTTCTAGGTGAGGATGGCAGCGATGCCAACGGGAAGGGCGTCGGCATGAGCATAGGGGAGAATGGCGAGATCACACATAACCTCCCCGGCGGGTTGAACTTTACAAGTCGAAAACACGGGAAGCGCCTGACGACGAAGGAGGAAGTCTCTCTCTTCGAAATCTGCAACCGCCACGCCGCGGAGTTCGGGCAACGCAGTAACCTCTGCAAGTGGTGGATGACCGTGACAATGGAGTTCACGCGCGGCCAGAAACACCCGTACTCGTGGCACTCCGTGCGCCGCAAAGTCGAGCTCGTTACAAAACAGCGCATGAAGTTCCTTGAGGAGCAGCGCGAGAAGGGCGCAACCGGAACAGAGACAACAGAGGATCTGTCGAACCTGCGATGGCGCACCGTCGTCGATGCCTGGATTCCGACATGGCAGCGGTGGGAGGAAGCTGAGGCGCGGCGCATCGAGAAGAGAGACTCGCGACGGCCGCGGAAGAGGAAGTGGACTGCTACGACGCCTACATCGTCGGGCATCACAGCTGGCGACGGGTGGGATCTGCCGAGCTCCTCAGCGCCAGGTTCAGGGGATGCATGGCGCGCACCCTCGAGCACGAGTAGCAGCCCCATGGTCAACCATACCTCCGCGGCACCATCGTCAACACCCGTCCGTCTCCCACCAGGTTTCGACACGCTCTTCTCGCAATCTTCCACCCAGACACCGCCCGTATCAACCTTCAACCCACACACCCAGCCTCACCGTACCCCTCAAACGAACAACCACGCCCACATCCAAAGTCTCAACCCCTCAACACCAAATACGAGTACGAACCCGGCCCCGCAACAAACCCCCGACAGCGCAGTCATGGTCGCGATGCTCGAGACCCTAGGTAAACTCAACAAGCACCTTGAGTCAAACTCAAGCTCGTCGCAACCGCAAAACAGTACGAATGCGAATTCGAATGCGAATGCGGATTCGGAACCGTCATCAGCGCAGCCGCAGCCATCCTCTCAGGATAGTAACGATGGAGGTTTAGAGGAAGGTCAAACTGTCTCGCCGGAAGTACTGAGAAAACTCAAGGAAGAGCTCAAATCGGAGATGATGAGTGAGTTGCGGGCGGAATGGGACAAGGAGCGGGCGGTGTTAGATGAGAAGCTTGATTCTGTTCAGAGGACGCAAGAGATGATTCTTGAGTTGCTAAGGCAGGAGCCTTCTTGACATGAAAGAGGTCCATTTTGGTTTAACCCTTGGCGTTCATTGCATATGCTTATGATGATACCTACGTTGCTACAATTATTTTAACAGTATATGATGATGGCCATCCCAATAGTATTTATTTGCTACATGGCCAATGCAAACAAAATCCGGCTAAATTACAAAGTAAACATGATGTGGATAAGTGTAGCGCGCCTATACTCACTCCTCCCTTTTCCAGACGTGGAGAGAAGACAATGAAACAAGCCCTCTATGCAAAAAAAAAACTAGTAGTAGAAAGTCTCGTCAACAGTGCGGCCCCTCATCCACTTGGGCTCGCTGCCGCGGACGTAGATGTCCTCGAACAGGATGCGGGAGTTGTTGTCGGGAACAGCCATCTTCTCGGCAATGGCAACCTCCTCATCGATGTTGGCGCGGGCGGTCTTGTCGAGAGCCTTGAGGTCCTCCTCGCTCATGACACCCCAATCAATGATCTTCTGCTTAAGACCCTGGATGGGGTCCTGGGTGCTGCGCATGCGCTGGATCTCCTCACGGCTACGGTAGGTGGTACCGGGGTCGGACATGGAGTGACCACCGTAGCGGTAGGTGACGTATTCGTAGACGAGAGGACCGTTGCCGGAGACGGCGTAGTCCTTGCCGTACTTGACGGCGGCCTTGGTGGCGAGGACGTCCATACCGTTGACCTTGATACCGGGGATGTACTGACCACGCTTGTAGTACTCGGTCAAGGCGGAGGAACGAGCGGCGGAGGTACCCATACCGTACTTGTTGTCTGCGATAGTTAGCCAACAGGTTGCAAGAAGAAGATGGCGGAAACATACTCTCGCAACCGAAAAGAACGGGAAGGTTCCAGAGCTTAGCCATGTTGAAGGCCTCGAAAACCTGACCCTGGTTGGAAGCACCATCACCGTACAGGACAACACTGGTGGTCTTCTCCTCGTTGTACTGCTGAGCGAAGGCAAGACCGGCACCAACAGGAACCTGGGCACCGACGATACCGTTACCGCCGTAGAAGTTGGGGGCGAACATGTGCATGGAACCACCCTTTCCGTAGGCGATACCCTCACGGCGACCGAGCAGCTCTCCGATGATGGAGCGGACAGTACCGCCGCGCATCATGGCGTAACCGTGGCATCGGTAAGCAGTGATGATCTTGTCCTCGCGAGTAAGGGCGTGTTCGATACCGACAGCGACGGCTTCCTGGCCGGTCGACAAGTGGCAGAAACCGCGGATCTTCTTCTCCTTGTACAGACGGTCGGCGGCCATCTCCATGCGTCTAGAAATCGGTGTATTAGTCTCTACCAAGGATCTGACGAGAATAGCAAGTCATACCGCATAGCGACCATGTCGTAGTAAATCTGCTTGAGCTCCTTCTTGGTCACCTCCAGGGTGTAAGGCGGAGGGTCGATCTCGTAGGTCTCGAAGCTCTCGTCCGAGAGGCGGACGGTGAAAGGCTTGTTCTCATCCTAATGAGTCGCGCGTCAGTATGGGATTCGAAGGCGTTGCGCAAGATTTTCAGCTCGGGATAGCTGATACCGACCTCTGGGATATTTTCAGCATGCGACGAGGCGGCGTCGGTGGTGACGGAGCGGCGAGCAAGGGGAGCGAAAGCCTGACGCCTCAGAGGCGCAGCTTGACGGGCCCACGCAGTTCGGAACAACATGATGGACAGCAATCAAGCAATTGAGCGAGGGAGGAGAGGAGTGAGACGGAGATGTTATCTTTCAACAACTGTCGGAGACGTTGGGAAACCACGCAGGAACTTTCCGGACCCGCTAGGCCCGATCGGGAGCGCCTCTTAGATAAGCAGATGGCTTCGGACGCCGGTGTGCGGCTTGCAAACACTGCAAACGTCTCATCGCAGATAAGATACTCCGTTTGTTCAACTTCCACCGTTCACTATTGAGGTCCTGCGGAGTTTCTCAATGCTTCAGCAATATGTTGGCTATGTTCAGACAGCAAAATCTCGATGAGAGTACAACTCTTCTAGTTTTGGCATCCTGATTCGAAGATAAGATGGTCTGCGGCCAATCGCGGATACTGGCGATATATATTTTGCAACTGGTTGTTGCACCAATGGGAGGCATCCTACCCATGGCAAGCTAATGCTTCAGCACTTCTTCAAAGATCAACAAGAAAACCTCATCGCTTTTTTATCAAAGACGCTGATCACTGTCAAGAATCTTGAACATGAATCGATCATGAAGTGATGCAGCTGTCGTATATATCTTCAGTGAAAGACTTGACCCGTGTGGTCTACCCCCTCTTATGCGCCGTCTGAGGACCTGGAAAGGCATTGGACTCGCAGTATGGTCTCTCCTTTCTCCCGCAATGCCGTATGCTTGAGCGCCCCCTGCTTGCTAATCCGTCTGAGAGCAAAATACTGCAGGCTGAAGTATGCCGCCATAGAGTACTTCAATGCCCACACTCAGATATACGTCAGCGAGAAGCATATAAACATGTGATCATGTAGTTAATGGAGGACGTCAATCAATTATACTTCAGATCTATTTCCAGCCCACTGCCAGGTACCTACTCACTACACTAACAATTCTCCAAAGCAGACGGTACTTCTTGAATCAAGGCTTAGGTGAATCAACACTGCGGAAGTAGCATCTGGATGGGTTGGTCCTTAGCTAGGACCCCAACACGAGCGGTTTGCATATAATCTCAACCCTTCCGCATGTACTCAATGCGCTCTGAAACAACGTCTAGTCATCTTGCAAGAATGTTCAGTCTAGATTGATCACCGGCCAGCGCATACGAATGCCTGTAGCTCTAAAAACACAGGGCAGTTGTATGTGCCAAGACATGTCAGAGTAGCCTGCATGAAGACTTCAAAAGCGCCTCAGCCTCGTCGCTTTCTTTCCTCTCTTCCCCTGTCGCGCACAGCTCTCTCACACATTTAACATTCTCTTTGGAAAATACCAATCTCAATACTTTATCCCTAGCATTGTGCAGCCATGAATGGCCACATTCCGAATCCCACCCGCAATCGCCCATCGACTCGCAACGACTTCGAAGTCGCAATTATCTGCGCCCTCCCGCTCGAAAAAACGCGGTGCTGTGCTCCATAGACAAAATCTGGCATCAAGCTCACTACGACTACCGCCGCGGACGGCGACGAAAGTTCCTGCGTCTTTGGCAACAGTGGCCAACAGTCTACCGTCGTCGTGATTCTCCCCAGAATTGGAAAAGTAGCAGCGTCCGCCGCTGCGCAGTCTCTCAAGTCCAGCTTCCTTTTCTCAACCTCGTGCTCCTTGTCGGAGTCTGCGGCGCGATTCCCAAAAAGTCTGAGGGGCGGACATTACCCTGGGCGACGTGATTATCAGCGAGGTGTTGGTTGAGCTTGACCACTGCCGTCAGTATCACGATTAATTTCGGTAAAAAGACGGATACGATATGGGATGCGCCGCAGAGACCGAATGACGAGATTATTGGGTTGCTGCAGCACATGAAGACGCCTATTCTCTTGACCGAACTGCATAAGAAAACGATGCGGGAGCTTGAGGTCTTACTGCGGCATGAGGGTACCAGGACAAGGCGACCGGCTGCAATTCACGACAAGCTATTTCCACCGGATTGTATTCATCGACATCATTTTGTGCGCCCTGGAGGCAACGTGCGTGGAAGCCCAGAATCGGTTTGTGAAGCCGCTCTTAAAACACCCTGTGATGAACTTGGTTGTGATGAGAGTATTCTCATACCACGCTCTTGTCTTAATGATGAAACCGACCACCGCATCCATTTCGGGTCTATAGCAACCGGTGATACAGTCTTAAAATCAGCTAGGCATCGGCACCATCATGCAGAGAAAGAGCGTGTCATAGCTTTCGAGATGGAAGGCGCTGGAGTGTGGAGCAAGTTCAACCGCCTGATTATCAAAGGAGTATGCGATGACGCCGACAGCCACAAGAACAAGAAATGGCAGGAATATGCAGCTGCAGTAGCTGCCTCTGTTGCAAAGAGAGTACTGGGGTAGTACATACCTCATGACAGGTCGCAATTGGGAACGCCGGATCGTAAGTTCATCGTCTTTTCTAACGTTGTCGTCGACTAACGGGATAGTTCCTTCGGAGCGGAGTTTACGGACCTTGAGCTCACTTAGCAAAATGGAGCCCCATATATTCCCTACTCTGGATGACACTCTGCCGAACGACATCTTCGACCGGATTTCAAAGCGTTTTGAGCGCCGACTGGAGCCGGGCAGACTAGAGACCTTCCGCACAACGGACTTTCATGCTCTGAAAAGAGAGATGATGAGAATTCAGGAGGACCAAGGACTAGCGAGACTACTGCGAAACCCACGGCGCATCGAACAGTTTGTGACAAAAGTCAACCAGTTTGGCCAGGTTCTAGAAATCATACCAGGGACGGCTGGAATTATAAATCTCAATTGGGGCCCAATAAAGCATTTGCTACAGGTATGACACTCAAGTTTGGAAATTACGCTTGCTTAATTATTTCAAATAGCCAAGAACCAAACTGACATTTTCGACACGCTCTTGTCGGCCTACGAAGAAATCGGCGTGGAGCTACCCAGTCTGGGGATCGAGCTGAGATTTTCCAGCACAACAAAGGGCTGCAACGGGTGCTTGCTAGACTCCTTGCCGATGCCATGGAATTCAACGAACACGCAATGCGAGTATACTCCGGTAGAGGCATGGCTACTGTCTGAGTTTCAACTAACTCTCCTAGCCCTCAAGAGAGTGCTCAGGCCACTCTGGAAAGACTTTGGCCCGACCTTCCAGAACATAGTACGTAGGATACGTTCTCATACCACTCTAATTGAGGACAAGGCACGAGCGCGGTTCGTATCCCCGGGGCAGTACGACAGCGACATGCAACAAATTCGCGACCATCTGGGAAAGACTCGTGCTTGACCTTGAGGGAAAAGAGAAAAAAGGGCAGAGAAACAAGTTTGGGGAGCTCCGAGACTGGATTGCAGGCGCAGAAAGCGAGACCGAACAGAACAAAATATGTCGTGACAGATACCTTTTTCCAAATAGTGGAAATTGAATCCTGGAGCAAGGCAGGGTTAAAGAGTGGTTATCACCGGATCTGGATCAGCCCTATAGTTCTATACTATGGATCCATGGGCGCCCAGGAACTGGTAAGCTGACATCTCCATGATTGTCCCACGCTTATCTTTAGGCAAAACATACCTGGCTTACCTTCTGATCAAAGAATGTATCAAGGACACATCATGGATCACTTGCTTCTTTTACTGCAACGAGAAAGTCGAGACCAAGACTTCTGCGCTTGCCATACTTCGCGGCCTTCTTCTGCAGCTGATATACCAGCATAGTGAACTTGTTCCATACTGCCATGCAAAGATGAAGACCTCACGCACTCCGACATTGACTGATATATCCACGGTTCATGCACTCATAGACACATTCTGCGAGAGAATACCGCGCCTCTACATGGTCATCGACGGCCTCGATGAATGCGAAGAGAAAAAGAGGATCTGCCGGAGACTTTGAAGAACCTGATTAGAAACATACGCCCAGGAAACGCTGCGAGTCCTGTTCTTCAGCAGGTGGATGCCAGAAATAAAAAATGCAGTTCCAGACGCTGCTATACTCGCCCTGGTGTCTGAGCAGAACAAGGAAGATATCAAGCGATATTGCCAGCGCAGCTCCTGCGAGCTGGAGAATTTTGACTTTAGCGATGCCTTTCTCAACGAAGTATTGGACCGGATCTGCATCAAAGTTGATGGTACGTGGTACCAGACGTGATTAAAAAGACTAACATTTACAGGCATGTTTCTGGCCGCACAGCTGGTCATGAACAATCTCGCGAAACAGCTGAGTGGAGGCCGATTCCAACCGAGATCAGTGACACTAGACTGCCGAAAGAGCTTGGAGAAGCGCACGTTTGGCTTATTGATTTGGGTAATCCTCTAACAGCTGTAGGTATACTCGAATCATGGAAAGACTAAAGCTCGACTTGGGCAAGGAGCAATTTGAATATACATATCTCTTGCTCGGGTGGCTAGTATGCTCTAAGCGCGCACTAAAGTGGACGGAAATCAAGCTGGCATCATCGATTGATACGATATCGGAGAGCGCCGAACTCGATGTGGTGGAAATTACAGACGACCCTAAGAGGTATGCGGATCTCTCGTGCATGTGCTGAGAGGGGATCGGATTGAGCTCGTACATAGCACCGCTAAATTGTATGTTTATCTTATGTGCTATGTTTAATACTAACATGATCTAGGTTTATCGAGAAAACGAGAACCTGGCTGCGACAGAGTGCGATCTTACCCTCCGCTGTCTATGTTACCTCACGCTTGACGTATTCGAGAGCGACATGTCTGAGAGAACCTTGCGAGATGCTGCCTTGTGGTGTGATCTCGCATTCCAGGACTACGCCGTAGCTTCCTGGTTCTTCAAATCAAGACACTGGTCGAAAGCAAGCAAGCTTTCCTGAACGGGAACGTGAAGGTCCCAGGGCACACTTCCATCACACGGATAGCCGCAATCGCGCAAACTCTGGAAAGCTTTGTGTCGTTCTACTCGTCGGGGCAGTCGGATATGCAGAGGCATGAGAAGATTCATGAGAAGAGGAGAAGGTAGACTTGATAGCTGCTATACAGGATATGCAAAGCAGAGATTTGATCGTCAAGGCTTATCCATACGGAATGTTGTCTTGTCTAGTAGGGCAGGGATCGCAGACATCCATTGGAACGTCAGGACATTCTTTCATCATGCTCCTGCTGTCGCAGCAAGGGCGCAATAGCAATAGCTTGACGAACCAGTCAGAGCATCCGGACTCTCGGTGGAGCCACTGCGGTGCGTTGGTTGCGTATGGCACCGGCATTGACGGATATGGCATGCGATCCATGCTTCAAATGTTCATTCCATCCATGGGATGCCTTTGATTCAGCTACTCTGTAGACATGAGCCTACAACAAATTACTCAGACTCGATCGATAACTAACCAGTCTCCCGACTGCATCGCATTTTCATAATAACTATGTAGACGTAGCAGTCATCTCCAACGACTGTGTCTATGGTACTTGACCATCACAATCCAATAACAGGTGCTGCAGGGACCCATCTATTCGATCAACGTTCCCTGGCGAACGTAACACTCCCAGCTGCCCACCACAAAGGTTCTGCTGAAGTCATCCGGACCGGAGGGAGGCCGGTAGATTGAGCCCGTGCAGCCCACGTCCCTGGTAGATGTCAGCTGGAGCTGCGCGAGGCTCAGTCGTCGTCGGGGAGGTAGAGGACACGGCCGGGGGAGAGGGAAGACATACGACCAGAAAAGACAAAGGATGTCAAGGCCCGGGGCCGACCGCCCGACGACCTCGATGTCTACTATGTCTGTGACGGTGGTTGCCCTGATACGTTTCACTTGTCAGTGCAGCCCAGGTCTTAAGGGGCGTGGGAAGACCGGGGACTGGCGACGTACCCGAATGGTCTGTCCAAACATTCAGTGGGCCCGGACTTGGCCGTGACCTGATAGATCTCGCTGTCGCCGTTTGCGGTGGTGAGCGTGAACTGGTAATGGGGTGATTGTTAGTTATAGATGGATAAGTTTGAGGAAAGATTGAGTGGGCGGGGACTGGGGTCGGACTTCTACTGTGACAGTGCCCTGGGCGAGAACAGCTGGGATGGAAAGGGCGGCGAGGAGAGCGGCGGTCCTGAATGCGAGCTTCATTTTGCTGGCTAGTGGATAGTTCTTGACGGGACGAGGGCAAGTGCAAGTGCAAGGTGGTAGGCTATAATAGAGGAAGTACGGTAGAAGAGATGTGAGAGGATGGTGTCTTTCGAGGAACGTCTTACCTCTTCTTATAATCACCGTCCGGGGTTGGGGATACTCCGTCTGCGGGCTTAGCCCTTCAACTTCTTACTTTCTATCATCAGAATCCTTGCATCTTGCTTATCCAGCTCCGATCTCAAGCCGATCTGACGTGCGATATGCACGGTGGTTGCCTGCCACATCAGCCCCAGGCCCCAGAGATCGAGGCTAATCGGATCGGTTGGATCGTTCGGATCGTGTCTTTCAATGAGCCTGTTAGCTCTTATAATCACAATCCAGTGTTAAATATACTCCGTATGCAGGGTTAACCCGTCACCTTCTTACTTTTTCCCATCAGAATCCTTGCATTATCTTATACAGCTCCGATCCTACTCGATCTGACGTGTGATATGCACGGTGATTGCCCGTCACGCGAGCCACCCCGGAGATCGAGGCTAATCGGATGGTTCGGATGGCTTGGATGGTGCTTTTCAAAGAACCTGTTAGCTCTTCTTATAATCACAATCCAGTGCTGAATATACTCCGTATGCAGGGGTAACCCTTCATCTTCTTACCTTTTACCATCAGAATCCTTGCATCTTGCTTATGCAGCTCCGGTCCCTACCTATAGTACTTAATCTGACGTGTGGTATGCACAGTGATCGCCCGTCATGCCAACCCACCCCAGAGATCGAGGCTAATCGGATCGGTCGGATGTTCGGATGGTTCGGATGGTTCAGATTAATACCGAGACGGACAAGACCGAGCTTGTCATAATGCATGCTTACGTAGAAACAATTCTCTGTTGGCTTCTCTTGCTTCGCTGGCTAACAGTCGAAGCTGGCTAACGGTGGGAGAGCAAGGTGACAATGCACCAAAAGCAAGCATGTCAGACCAACCTTTGCGACAGAGTAACAGAACAGTAGCAACAGGCCCTCAGGGTATGTGCAAGCTCCCTTTTCTTTTAGCTATTGTAGCCTACAATGAGATCAATATTGTTGCCTATGCATGCAGGTGCTAAAGGACCAAGATCGTTGACTTAGGGCTCAGAGGTCACCTGATCAGACCCATACCATGCTATAGCGACCATGTCCGAGAGGTTCGAGTTCCAGGGCAATATTTGGCCGGGTGGATGGGGTAAATGCAGTGTATGAGTCTATTCCCTGCTTGCTTGATTGGAGTTGAAGAACAGGGTTGGCCTGGGTCTGGTAAGATAGCCTACAGAGGTCAAGCACAAGCACACATGCAGGATACCGCGATATCCAAGCTTGAGTTATATAAACTCCTCCAGCCCCAACCACTCCGCCACAAACGCAGTAACCAGCACCCCCCAGTCCCCGACCGTCGCCAGATCCAAATGCGCCCCGTCATCGTCCATCGTATGCCAGACAGCGGGGAAACCCCCAGTCTCCGGCTCAACGTCGATAACGTGCAGGACTCGCACACCCAATGCTGCAAAGGGGACCTGGTCGTCCTGCACGACTGCGCGGGATACATCCATCGCAGCCAGATCTGCGTCGACAAACCAGTGGTGGGGGTCTCCGCCCGTACCTGATTCCAGCAAGTCCAGCTCTCGCAGCCGCCGTTCAAGGTCCGCTAGGCGCTGGTAGTCGGCGTGCGTGACTGGGTAGAAGGACGGGATGGTCGGGTCCCTGGACCCGAGGAGGTCGAGGAGGACGAAGAGGGCAATGGCGTCGAGACGGGACTCGTATGCCGCGGTGTCGGGATACGCAGTCACGGCCCACTGCGCTGCGAGGGCGCGCGAGCCGTAAAGCCCGTCGTTGGCGAGCAGCGTGGTTGCGAAGGTTTCCTCGCCGTCTAGGAAGAGAAGTTGGATCCCGACGGGCTCCTGGTCCGTGGGGTTGGTGCGGCCGGGGGTCGAGGCCCATTTACGGGTTAGGGCGGGATCGATGCTCTGCGCTAGGTGCATTAGGATTGCGCACGGGGCGGCACTGTCGATTGCGCCGATGAAGCCTTCCAGGTCTGGGGTGGAGAGGCTGTCGTAGTGTGCGGCGAGGGTGAGTCTGCTGACGTTGTGGGTCTCGAGGCCGGGGGGATCGCGGGAGACGATGATGTTGGCGAATGTGGTTCTGGGGGATTCCGTGACTGGGATCTTGGAGGTGGAGGTCTGGTATTCGATTGTCCAGGTTGGGAGGTTTGTGGCGAAGAAGGAGGTGATGTGCTGCCTTGCTGCTCTGGAGCCGGGGGTTCCTGGGATGCGGGGGTGGAGGAGGGGGGCGAGGATGGCGCCGGTGTGGATGTTGAAGGCGAACTCTGGACGGGGGAGAGAGGAGAGGGTGTTGGTTGAAAGGGGAGTGTAGGCGTGCGTGTCCGAGAGGAGGAAGCACACGGCCGCAATCAGAGTTAGGGCTGGCATTCTGAGCATACACACCGCTGCCAATTGTTACGATGAGGTCGGGATGATGCAGGCAGTGTGCCAGCTGGGCTGGGTCTATATACCGGTGCTGACTGCTTACGTCTCGTCTGATCTACTATGGCACCAGAGCAAGTAAGCAGAACTAACATTCATCATGGATAGTTGACATCAACCATTCCAGGTACCGTGCCTGTGAAGTACAGCAACCTATTCCTCACGCTTCTTGATGCCGCCCCAGGCTCCATACAGCTGCTGCGAGATGTCGTCGACGGTGGTCCCCTCTGCACCACCTTGCTCGCGCTTCTTGATTCCGCCCCAAGCACCATAGAGCTGCTGCGAAATGTCGTCCACAGTGGTTCCCTCGGCGGCCTCTTCAGCGCGCTTCCTAATACTCCCCCAAGCGCCGTACAACTGCTGGGAAATGTCATCCACAGTCGTGCCCTCCGCATCGGCTTCAGCGCGCTTCTTAATCCCACCCCAAGCGCCGTAGAGCTGCTGCGAGATGTCGTCGACGGTTGTGCCCTCTTCGGAGCGCGGGTGGACGCCGTGAGCTGCTAAGGTCAACGTATTGCCCCGGTAGTTGATTGGAACGGGATCAAAGCTTACGCGTGGGAGCTGCAGCTGCCAGTGCAGCGAGGATTCCAAGGGCGATGGCAATCTTCATGATGGTGATGGTGTTGATTGGCAGGGGATGCGATGGATTGCGGTGGCCAGGTTTCTGTTGGGCAGGTTGGAGATCCACTGTAGGTATGCTCGATTTCCGATTTTATAGATCGAGGCCATGGTAATCAATCCAGCCTGCGTAAGATGCTTACTTGGGGTTGTCAGCATGCAATGTCAGCAGCCCTAACCCGACCGACCAGCCCAGGACCATACCCTATCCCCAACAAACGAAGTATTGCCAGAAACCCACGGGACATTCACCTGGGCTGCATCTTATCGTCTTTTCTTGCTCTTCAACAATTGAGTATCAACCCAGAGCCGACACAATGTCGCCTCCTACTTCCGAATACTCGCCTCGCCCGTCGATCGAGATCGAGAAGCAGAACCTTCTGGAGTCTGGAAGCAGTCAAGTCCCGCCAAAGAGGAAGCGATTCCTGTTCTCGCATGTCCTGACTCTATACATGGTCATCGGCTTCTTGCTCTTCACAATCGCCGTCATGGCGAGGGATCTGTGGAGGAAGCCCAAGGATCCATCGCTGCAGGTTTATTGTACCATCCCTCCATTCTGATGTCCTCACGTCCGAGCAGTGAGAAAGCTGACATCCCAAAGCCCCCGCAGCCAGCGCCGTCGAGTACATCCCCAAGCAGCATTTCCGCGCCGCCCTCTTCAACCAGACGGAATACATGGGCTTCCCCACGGACGAGACGGACAGGCTGTGGTCGGACCTGTATAACTGTACTTACCCCTTCCACCTCAGAGGCTCCAACTCCCCTCGTTATGCTAGGCTTAACTAACGATCAACGCAGTCGGAATCTCCACCATCACCGAAGACGAAGCCCGCCAGCTGCACACGCCCACGCTCCCCATCCCCGGAACAAAGCGGTACCTCGTGCTGCTGGACGTCTGGCACGAGCTGCACTGCCTCAACGACCTGCGCAAGATCCTCTACCCGGAGCGGTACGCGGAGGACTCGCTCGAGAGCCTGAAGTTCCCCAATGGGACGATCAACCGCGACACGGACATGTTTCGGCACTGGGGTACGCCCCCTCCACCCTTTCAACTTCAAGTACTTGCAGCTAACACCGTGTCATTTGCTGATGGTAGACCACTGCATCGACTCCCTCCGCCAATCGCTCATGTGCCACGCGGACATCTCCCCGATCCCCTTCCACGTCAACGTCCCCGCCAGCAAGGGGATATTCCCGCGCCTCGCGACAACGCATACGTGCCGCAATTTCACCAGGATCCAGGAGTGGGCGCGGGAGCGCTTCGCGGGGGTTTGGGAGGTCGAGCTGGAGGCTGAGGCGGCGCAGCGGATTATCGACACGGCCGGGTTCTCGCAGGATCCAGAGGAGGATATACAGTTTCTTTACAACCTTTTCCCGGGGAATCTGTTCTTTGAATACTGGAGGGAGCATGAGGGAGATGGGATTAGACATTAGGTGTTGTTATCTACATTTACTGCAGTGTCCACCTCTCTGATGGCCTAGGGGTACTTGATAGATGTCTGCTTGAATGGTACCCTATTTATGGAGTCATTGCTGCTACCCTGGCAAGAGTGCACTACTACCTGGTAGACACCAATGACTTATGATGCCATATCATGATCGGCATCAGGTAGCCAGCTCAGCCCTCCAACCCCAGCACCCCCCTCACCGTCTCCCCGCCCACAATCTCCCTCGCCAACCGCACCGGCTCCCTCTGCGACCGACCCACAGCCTCCAGGACCCCGCGTGCATCCCGACACCGATGCCTCACGCCCATCCCATTGATAACAGCGACCTTCCTCTCGGGGTCCAGGACCCGCGGCTCGAGCGTGTCGTCCGCGCAGCACACGATGCCCTGCGCAGCCTTATCAGTATATCCGGGTACTATCAGGTAAAGTCATAAGCAGGACACGCAGCGCTCACCTGCGCGATGTAATCCAGACAATGGCCCAGGTGCTCTGCGTCAAGGACGTCGAGCTCGCGGAGGCCGTCGCGTCTGGGTTGAAGATGCGCGGCGTGGTGTTCGTGTCCGTTTTGTGTTTGTGGGGTGAACAGCGCGGCGCGCAGCATGTCGATGCAGTGGGATTGGTGCAGCATCGAGACGCCGTAGCCGTGTGCTTTTGCGTTGGGCTTGGTGCTGTCCTGGGCCTGGGCCTGGGCCATGAAAAAGCCGCCGTTTGCGGTGAGGCGGGCGTCCGAGAGCAGGTTGTCGTTTGGGGAGGGGGCGGCCGGAAAGAATGTTTTGAGATTCGCCTCGGGGTCCAGGGGGGATTTGCGGGTGTTTGGCGTGGTTTGGCTTTGGCATAGGGTGCTTTGGATCCGGGGGTATTGGTGATAGGTCAGGAGGAAGAAGGCGAGGAGGGTTAAGGAGAGAGTCAAGAGGGGGAGCTTGAGGAGAGGTAGGATGCCCATTGCGTCGTCGGGTGGTGGTTTTTGTCTACCCTATAGCTCAATCGGGGTGCTTTGATTTCGAGGTGCGGTGGTGCTTTGATAGGCGTGCCCTAAGCTTTTCTGCTGACAGTGAGCATGCATCGGGCCTGTCAGCGCTGGGTTGGTGCTTGATTGATTGGGTTCATGCTCGGAAATTTCCCTTGGATGAGCTAGGTATGGATATCTACTCGACTGCCCAGGTGTAATATAGTATTCTACATCAAGAGGTGTATGCACAGAGTAACCCTAGCTACAAATGGGTACAGATGAGGTCAAGACAGTCAATCAAGAAGCCTCCCCCCACCAGGCATCGACCATGTCCACGCCCCTCACCCCATTCCCAACCGTCCAGTCCCAAACAGCCCTGAAATCCCGACACCGATGCTTCGTGCCGAAATCGTACTTCTTCGCCCGGTGCGCTTCGTGATCCCCGTCCTCAAAATACATCAGAATCGGCGCAGTGTCCGACCAGCATAGAAAGGTCGTCCGCAGTCGATCGAGGCACTGCTCGAGACGCTGCCATGCTTGCTCCTCTGACCCCTGGAATGAGGGGCGATTGTAGGTCGGTGCTTCGTCGCGCTGCCCGTGCAGTCGCAGGAGATTGAGGCAGTGGAGTTGCACGAAGACTTCGGGCAGTGCGAGGATGGACGAGGGGTTATTGGGGGAGGAGATGTACTCGAGTCCCGCGTCGTTGGTTAGATTCAGGTCGGGGAGATGGGAGGTTGGGATTGAGATGGGGTGGCCTTTATTTGGTTTGTTTTAGTAATGGATGGGTATAGACGAGAGGAGGGTAGGGCATACGCGGAAGAAGCTCCCTCCAAGCCGCCTCCCGCTCAGGCAGAGGCGAGTCGAAATACACTGAGTGCGCTAGGAAATGGATTGGTGGGAACATCGTCCACTCGTATTCGATGGCCTCTTTGGCCGGTGTCCAAGGGGCCATTTGGGCATCGCATTGCGCGTCATTTGGCTTGAATGTTATTGCGTCGAAGAGCAGCGCTGACGAGGCGAACAGGAAAGAGACTGATAGGCCTAGCGAGGCATAGAATTGGAGGTTATCACGCATAGCGAGTCTGGAAGAAAGTTGGGCTTGATTCCAGGTACGCCTTGGATGTAGCATGCGAGTGTTTCCCTGCTTACCTAGGTACCTTGATGACTGCCGCTCATGCATGCTGACATCCGCCCTACCCTCCTAACCAGGGTAGTACTGATATTCCTGCCTTTTGAGATCAATATTGACGACCCTCACGTATTATGGAGTTCCTGAATCTCGTGAAGCAATATTTGCGCCCCCTTGTGGATAGAAAGGGGAAATACAAGCAGATCGAGCATGGCCAGTCCGTCCCCGTCAAATGGCAGGAAACCCACAATGAGCCGCGGAATGTGCTGCCAACAGCCCTGTTCTTCACCAGTGCCGTTGTGTTTGCACTCTCACTGCTCCTCAACATATTGGTTAAAGAGTATCTGCCCATTGAGCGGGCTTGTACAACGCGCTTCTCTTCATGGGGTAAGTCCAAGTTCACTTCCTCCGAGTCTGACTGGGCTGAGGGGCGAGCTGAGCAACCTTGGAAACGCTGGCAGCCCCCATGATAGAGGCAGTATCATATGAATGGACACAATACGACTCGGTCAACCTCAATCCTGACTACGCGGGCCCTCCGACCTGGGAGAGGGAGTCGCGGTGGCCAGAGCAATACGATCGTAGGCCAACTCCATTCCAAGACATCGTCCCCGGTTGCTGACCTCTACCAGACGGCTTCGTCACCTATCCCTTCGACAAGATCTCTCTCTTGAACAAATCCGCCGATGACGACTGGTGGGTTCATGACGGGGACCTCATCACGCTTACAGAATGTGCATCCCCCTGTCCACCATCTCTCTCAACCTATCGAATGTCTTGAATCCGCGACTGACCGTCAGGCTAGGGCAGCATCAAGTCCACTGCATCTGGCTGATCCGGCAATGGCTCTACCGCGACGCCTTCGACTACAGCCCCTTCACAAATGTCAGTTCCACGCGCTTCCACATGCACAAAGACCACTGCTTCCTTGTTCTCAAGACCATGATTGAATGCAAGGCGGATGCGACGCCTGTTTTGTTCGCCAGGGACGGCAGTAACTTGGGGGTCTGGAGGCCTGTTGATCCGCCCAAGCTGTGTAGGCGGAATGAGCGGTTGGTGCAGTATGTAAGGGAGAACATGGTCTGTGACTTGGAGTGTGAGCCCGAAGACCTGGAGTGATTTACTTGTACTGCTACATAGCATACTAGCCAAGCGGCGGACTGCCATGTTTGGGGCTGTACATGTCCATGATACTTGTGAACTTGGTCGAACTTATGATAGGACATATCATATTGACTTGGCCAGACCCTGCATTTGGATATTTGCTTTTTCTCATCTTACGCCTGCGGAGAGTTGCTTACTGCTTACAAGTCCACTGCCGTCAGCAGCACACACGCTTACTGCCATCCAGACTGTAGCAACTCCCCTGCAAAGCACCACCCATGGCACTGACCCGGTGCATGGGAGAGATTAAGGGTTATTGTCAATCAGCTTGATACTCGCAGCAAAACCTACAACCATGACAATTCTCAGAGTGAAAGCCTTCCTCTCCCGCCTCACCACACCCAGAACCCAAACGGCAGCATACGAAAGCCTCAATGTCAATGAGCAAGATGTCGAGCCAAAGGACTCAATGGCAGAGGCCACACGTGGACTCAGGCGACCCCCAACTCAGTTCCGGCAAACCATGAGCCGTATCTACCAGCGGCTTGCCGAGCCTGACGACCGACCAACGCGGCTGCTAGGACTGAACATCGTCCTGCTCTGTATATCGGGGGTCCTATTCTGGAGCTCCCTAAACAGCACAGACGGCCTCTCACTCCGAGAGCAGATTTCAATGCCCTGCAAGTCCATCCCCACATCCTATACAGAACAAGACCGGAGGGGAGAGTCTAACGCCCATCCAACAGCCCCAGTCCTCTCCTCGCAACCCCCGCAATTCCGCACCAACCGAGTCGACGGCACGCTCTTCCCCGGCCCCAACCCCAACATCTTCCGTCAAGAACCCAGCCCCGAGGTCGACCACGCCTGGCACCTCATCTCCGACACCCGACCGATCCCCCTAACACGCGAGGACGTCCTCGCCATCGGCAAAGACCCCTCAGCCGCCGTGAAACTGCCCCACGCCGTCTTCGGGCTCGGCGACGACATCTACGCCGGCCGCCTCGACGTCCTGCACCAGCTTCACTGCCTGAACGCCCTGCGCCAGGAAAGCTACTTCGAGTACTACTACGGGCATAAATATGCCAGCCCGGCGGAGGCGCGCAACGACACGCTGCACGCGTACCACCTCAGCCACTGCGTCTACATGCTCCTGCAGAACATCCTGTGCCATGCGAACACGGACGTGTACACGCATCTGTGGACAGATGGCGTGGGCCATCCGTGGCCGGATTTCGGGATCGAGCACCGCTGTGTGGATTTCGGGGCTATCTTGGAGTATCAGATGAGGGAGGGGGTGGATGAGAGGGCGTTTGTGGAGACGAGGGCTGCGCCGGGGGATCGGGTGCATCGGATGAGTAGTTTCTTTAAGAAGGTGGTTGATCCCGAGAGGTTTGGGGCGCTTGGGGATGATGTGGAGGATGGAGAGTATGCTTGATGGCTGGATTTGGGTAGATTGACTAAACCTGACATTCAGAAACTGTCTCCAAGGTTAGCTGGCGTACCTACCCAATCGAGCCGAGGTTGGGAGATCCCTGTATGCATGCTTACATGCTGACATTGCATCGCGGACCCCCACAATACCGGTATACCATAAGCAGCTCGATAGACAGGTCTAGGTATGCTCGTCTGAATAGCATCATCACTGGATCTTGAGGACTGTCTGGAGGCACCCCAGCCCGCAATGTCCTTCACACCTAGCTCCCAACGACCCAAACCCACCAAGACATCAGACTACCTCCCTCTGTATCCCGACCAAAGCGAGAGCAAACGGGCTCCAGCTTTATCCTTACAGGACCTAAAGCAAAAGCTCTGGACCCCAGTCCTCGTCATCACGCTCGTCGTAATCTCTATCATTCTGTCGATCTTGGTCGTCGCGTTTGTGGAGGGTAGAGATGCGGATGCCGGGGACGAGGGCGATGGCGAGAATTCAAGGCTGTTATCCCCTGTTCCGCAATGTGAGTTCTTCGACGCTCAACAGATACCAACCCATTAGTACGAAGAAATAGACCGAGGGAGACTAATCGCGTGCGATAAGTTCCAATGACCCACCGGACCTTCGACGAAACGCCCTCATTCGAGAACCTCACGACAGAAACCCAAGTCCACGAGGCCTGGGCCAATTATGGACTGCGTAGGCTCCCTCCAGCTTTCTCTCCTCCCTTCTCGTCCGCTCCAGAGGGCCTTTCTGATTGCTTTTCTCGGTCCAGCAAGCTATGGATTCATCACGCTCTCCTCCCCGGGTATCTACAACCTCCCGCCCAATGAGAACGTCGTTCCGGGCGCAACAAATGCTTATATGGTTTCCGTCTACCACCAGCTGCACTGCTTGAAGGCGTTGCATGTGGCGCTGTTGCCGGTTATTGTTGGGACTGGCCGCGGTGACGCGGGGGGCCGGCAGGTGGACGTCCATCAACCGCGAACAAAGCTGGGCTCTGGTGGCTCTCGCGCTGGATTCGAGCATAACCACATCGAGCATTGTCTGGATTACCTGAGGCAGGCTGTTATGTGCGCTGGCGATGTTACCCTGGAGCCGCCGGACCAGCGTCCACAGCTGGGAAAGAGTCCGTTGCAGGGGTGGGGGGTGGAGCATCACTGTAGGAGTTGGGAGGGGATTGAGAGGTGGAGGGGGGAGAATGGGGTTATATAGGTAGCTTAGTCCGGGGTTGATCACCGATGCTAAAGGTCTCGGGAACGTTAGAAGAGCGGATAAGTTTCATTCGCCATAAGTAATTTGAATTGTCAGTTGAAATCCCGAAAAAGCGAGTCGTCAAGTGCCGTGAATCGTCAGTGCGTTGCCATCAGTTCAACTCGGCAACGATCTTCCCCAGCGCATCCGTTTCCTCCTGTTGGAACTTCGCAAACGGAGTCCCAGCCAGATTGCTGATGCTAGCCTGGGCCTGGCCAACATACTCTTTAGCCTCGACGACCTTCCCCTGCTTCCACAACGCCTTGATCAGAACCCTCAAGCTTCCCAACGCCTGAGGGGTATCCTTTCCCAGACGCGAATGAGCCTGGATATCCGTTAACGCTTTACGCGCATTCGATTCAGCTTCTTTGTACTGCCCCGTTTCCTCGTAGAGCGCCGACAGATTGTGAAGGGCCGCAAGGTCTCGGCCAAGAGGGCCCGGGCCGGGATTGTTGACCAGCTCAAGGAGGATCTTCTCTTGTTCGTCGATGTTGCCGAGACCCTTGTGCACGTGGAACAGGCTGCTCTTGAGCGCCTTCCAGGTGTTGTAATCCGTGCTGTGTAGAGTGGAGGGCTTGCTGCTGGTTTCGGCGTTGGAGAGCTTGGCGGCGAGAGCGGTTTCGAGAGCGTTGAGCTTGGTGCTGTTGGAGGCGGAGGGGTCAAGCTTCAGGTTGTCGAGTTCTTGCGGGGTGAGGACTGCAGCGACGGTGCTGGCGACGGTTGGGTCGAGAGAGGCCCAGAAGGGACCGCTTGGGGGTGTAATTTCGCCGGGGATTGCTTGAGAAGACATCCTGATAGAGTTGCTCTTTGATGGAGGAACGAGGATTGACTGGATCGAGTGAATAGGAGGGGTTTCGCTGATGGGCAAGCTGAGCAAGGTGATGGAGGAGAAAAGAAAAGTGAAGAAGAGCAAGATGGCAGAGGGGTGTTTGTTGTCACCCAACTAAGGTTCTTCGCCACCCGCACTGCACTGTCCAACCAAAGGACTCCCTTGAACGTTGAACAGACAATACAGGGACATCATTCGTCGATAGTTCAGTTTGGATCAGGGGTGCGAGGAGCAGCCACGGTTGGCCCCAGCCAGCTTACAGTTCCCTATAAGGCCTAGCACCTGTCTCTCTTCGTCCTGCCTTCAGGCTCCAGCTGCAACCATCGCAACCATCGCAACCATCGCAATCCTTCCCCTCTTTTTCCTCATCAACTCCCGCTCTGCGGAGGCAGCTTATTTGCTACTGGCGAACGCCTGTTCACCTCTCAAATCTTGATTACCGCCACTGCCGCTAATGTGTTCCATCCCCCGCATAAGCTGCCGATCGTCCATTCCAGCGCCCCAGACAGGTTGGAGAAGTCGTCGATCGGCAATTCAAATCCCATCAGGCTTCACCTATCACATCACAACACCCATCACTTATCACAAGGCCCTGCAGGTGGTAGGATGATGGCTGACAGTACATATAAGCGTCAGCTTCCGTGAGAGCTTCGTATGGCATTCACCACTCACATTTATCGATGGAGATTCAGGAAGACGAAGCCAACCTGGTCAAGCAAGCATCCGATGCTAGAGAACGGCGGAAGCTACAGAATCGTCTGGCGCAGAGAAACTTTCGTCAGTGTCGAATTCCTTCGATCAATGAACGCGCACAAGAAGCTAACCGGCCACGACAGGCCGTCGACAGTGTCTCAAGGCAAAGCAGCAGCAACAGGCCCAACAGACGCAAACCACAGACATCGTTCAGATACCTACAAACTCAGGGACTACGACTGACGTAGCCCATCAGTCGCCCTTCCTTCCCGATGACGCCCTTCAAGAAGTACGAGCAGCCCCGCCCCCACGAGAGACCGCGCAAAGCACAGGTCAACCCAGATCAGACGAGCCTACCGCATATCCACCAATACCACCGCTTCCGAACCTTGAAACTTATTCCGAGAATGCAAAGTATACCGGCCCCGGTGGCCCCATATCTCCTGTTTCCTTTCCGCTCTTTTGCTCGCCAGAAGAACTGTGGATAGATCGACCGGGTGATCGGCCGCAAGTGGACGGGTCCGAGGTCTATCAATCGACCTTTGCCAGTAATGACAGGACAGCCGTCTCCCTACACTCAGCCCCGCACAGTGCGGGTTCTTTTCCGAAGCATCCCCCATCTGAGCCCATGGAGAAGACCCTTGCGTCGCCCGACCTGCGATCGTTAGCAGTAAGAGGCCCTGCCAAGAATGTCTGGGCAAGTACCTCGTCTCACCGTCGCAGAGCAGGAAACGCCGACAACCGTCCGAGCACGACCATGGAGATCAAGAGCGGCGCCAATCCACCTCCCCTCGGCGCCTCTCTGCCCACCTCTTCACTCCCCCCGACACCTCAATGTCTTTCAGCGATCCCCAGTCCCCCGAGACGTGCGAAGGGAAGATGACGCTCCACATCTGCGCCGAGAAAGGCTACGCCAACGTCCTCCGCTTCCTGCTCAAGTACGGTGCGGAAATTGATGCCACCGATAGCCTCGGTCGCACAGCCTTGCACTACGCAGCCCTGAAAGGCCACGTTAGTTCGGTCTGTGCGCTGCTAGAGCAAGGGGCCGACACTGAGTGTACTGATGAGTTCGGGCTCAACCCGCTGCATGTGGCTGCGCAGAATGGGCATGAGGCGGTGGTGCGGATGCTTGTTTGTGAGGGGGCGGATCTGAATGCTCGGGTCCGGATTCGGGGTCGGGCGTTGTCGCAGCCGCAGTTGGGTTTGTGTTAATTGGTGATACTGGTAATGTTGTGCATATTGGCGTGGTCAGTTGATTTTAGACTGTTAATTTGCCGATACGAGGGTTGCGTTCCCACGTCTAGCCATGTGGCTACGGTATCGGAGATAAATTTTTGTAGAATTGAGGCCAACCGGATGCTCTTCCTTCCTCTCATACCACTTGTCTCATCTCGTGCAAGGGGATGAGGAACACATAGTGACTGCTGCTGCGAGTGGCTGATGCTGCGGGACAGCCTTCGCGAGGATCTGTACGTCTCGAAGGGACGAGTCTCCATGGGAGCCTGATACTAGTCAATGGCAAAGATCATACCTTCCAATAACCTCACGAAAGACGCATGCTGACAACAAGATCTCAGGCTGTTAGGCATGGTGCCGTACCCAAGTAAGCAGTACTTCCAATAACCTTGGAAACCGGGGGTGTCCTCTAGGACCATCGACTCCGTTGAAGACAGCCAAGCTCAGCTTGCCTCCCAGAACTCATGCTTGAAGGACCTACTGGAGCCAGAATCCATCATTTGGAGTAAATTCTAAAACTGCTGAAGGACTAAAGGTGGCGAGTAGGTGATCGACATTCGTATAGATAGCGATCACGTGACTTCGCCTACATCTCCCTTCTGTTTCAGGATCTTCAAGACTCCACCACATCCTCGACTCAGGCCACAACGCGTCAACCTGGACATCTCCTGCCAAATATCTATACCATAGGTGTATACACAGATCCTGGTCCCGTCAATACGCGTCCCTCCTAATTGAAACGCCAATTGGACGCTCTGACGCACCCCGTCAAAGGCGCACGCTGCGGCCGGTTTGTCTGTGTTTGTCTTTGGTGGAGATAAGTAGGCACGGTACACTTAGAAAAGTCCGACACCACAATTTCTTCCCAATACACGAAAATCCACTTGGAACTTAAAGCCCATCGAGCTTCTCTTCTGCACGCGATTGGGAACCCAAGTATATCTATGGAAGTGAAATGCAAGTGCTTTTTCTGGAGTGCACCACCATTCTAACCACCACCATGATTCTCACGATCTACTTTCTCTGATACTGACATGACAAAGGTTATGATTAGCGGACTTCTCTCGCCAGTGCAGAGAGAGCCGACTGACGGCCGCTCAGGTTGAACGCCGAACCAAGTTGGCGTAGGGTCTGAAGTCCACCAGCCATTCAAACGAGCAAAAGAACGGGCCCCGCTTGCTGGATAATACTTCTCGACTGATGTCGTCGCTAATACCTAGAACAACTGCCATCCACTCTTTTCCCATAGCATTGTCACTTATCAGCAGACCGCTGAATCACCATCATTTCCATCATTTCTCGGCTTCGCGTCAACCCCGAACACTTTTGTTGAGGCATAGTCTTGCCGCAGACACTGTATCAACATGTCCAGCTCTATTTCTTCAGATTTGCCTTTTGAGGCCATCACATATCTATTCCATCATGTTTTCCTCCCCCCGAAGCTCCCGCAGGACGATGACTACAACGCCGACCACGATCTCGCTCTCTTAAGTACCGTCATTCGAGCTCTGCGCAGTTTCACGGACCATGTGCCTAGTCAGAATGCCAAATGGATTGCCGCGATGTTTACAATGCTGCATCGCTTGAAGCAAACTCTAGTATTACATGGCGGCATAAGTGAATCGAAACTCAAAACGACCTTGGAACAACTCCTTTCCGATGGTAAGTCAACTCTTCGCAAGTCCCGGTTTTAGGCCAATGATTTCTCCAGGGGGCGCCTTGCCTGTTTATGTTCGCTCTCAGAATGCCGCGCTCCTCATCAACAAGAACGACACTGGGGTACATCTGGAGGCATTCGAGTTATCTCCCCAAAACGCAGCCGTCAACTCAACTGTGGGTCGCCTGCAGCGTCAGTTTCCTGGGTCAGTCTACACTATAGACACTGCCACGTTCAGGAAAGATGCCCTTGCAGACGTGATCGCTCCGATACTTGCCAAAATGAGCAGCCAATCGGTCGCGGGGACCAAACCTCAAGTCAAGAAGGCTCGTCGTAGCCACGATGAGGATAGGGATGCAACCGACCCTAAAATGGTAACTGAATTTTTCACAACATTTTTGCGCCCTTGGTGCAAAACCATTGGTCATGGCCTGCAACTCCACAAAAATACGCGCGAAGAAGTCCTGTGGCTCGACAGCCGATCTCCATGGCGGCGGAGTTCTCTGTGGCTTCTGATACGAGTGGCCCTTCAGCTTATGCTCCGAAGGGCCTGTTCAGTCTCTAAGATATCAGAGGATCTGTACAAGCACTTCATGGTATATTACATGAGCACAATCTTAGATACCTGCCGCGAAAAGGTGTCCGCAGAGCAATGTTACATAATGAACTGTAAAATTGCTCGCCGGCTACAAAAACTTGACTTGTCCATGCATCCCGCATGGTTTACTTACGTTCAGCAGACTCTCCAGGCCGCTAACAATTCTGTTCAGAAGAGCTGGAAGATGGTCATGCTGCACAACAGCTTCCGGCACAACGCTCCTTTGGCAAGTTTGGATTTCAACAAGGACGTTTATTGCTCATTGCCCTTCCTTGACGGATGGATAGAAGGCATCACCAGGCGGCGACACTCTTTACCTCCGGGCATGTTTCAACCACAGCCAGAACTTATTGATTTCCAAAGCATAGTTCTCCCAGTACTTCTTGCCACAAGTGACCCTAAATACCAGCTCCTGAGACTTGCGGCATTCGAAGCATGGGTCGAGGTCAACCTTGACATTTGGTTGCAATCTCACCTCAACGAAGAGAACACCTCTCTGGTGCTAGGGGACCTGATCACCCACTATTATCAGATCTCGTTCGGGCTTTATTCCCAAAATCCTGAAGCAGTATCGGTGATGGTGCTCACAATCCTGGAATTGTGGATTGCTTGCGACAAGGCTACCATCCAGCAGCACCCGCTCCTTCGCGAGTACAGCACATGCATCCCAATGGGCGTCTTCGAAGCTTTAGTGCTACCCTATCGATCACAGATGATCAGACTATCTCGTGCAGAAGACTATCTTTACCAACGTCAGCGCCGGCTTCGGTTCCCGCATGCTTCCATTTTCCAAGACTTTGGCACTCGGACCTGCTTTTCTGTTCAGTATTTTGCACAGTCCCCAGAGCATCAAGGTTTGTTAGCGACCATCGAGACCAATGCCCTGGAGACTCGGGCTGCGAAGAAGATGGAGCTTCGTCAGAAGCATGAAGAATACAAACAATTGAATGCTCGAGCCAATCAAATGAGCTGCACGTATATTGAGGTTCCCTCGAATGGCCATGAAGGCTCAAGAAAGACGCTCCACAGCACGTCCTGCCAAAGATGTTCGTACAAGTCGCAGGCAAGCTCACTTAGCATAAACATCCACGAGTGGCCGTTGCCTTCACAGGATCTGCAGGCGAAATCCACCGTATTTGAACTGAACGTCCCTCGCCCATTTTCGGTCTGGCGTGACACCACACTCTTCTTCTTGCTTACCGTCCTACATCTCGACTATGGTGAAAAAGCGCAGCCCAGAACAAGGTTTCAGCCGCAAACGTACGAAGGTCTTCGGCCATTTTTCACTTCTGCCAGTGACCGTCAGAGAGCCGGCCTTCTCTCACAGAATAAACCCCACCAAAATACACACAGACGGGAAAGGATGATTATTGATGTGACGGAGAGTGATATTTGCCTGGAAAATGGGATGAGTTTCCGTTACTACGACAGCTTTACCGAGTGCTTCATCACCAACTTCAAGGCAACAGACGAACTTGCAACCTCGTGTATGTATAAGCTGCCTGAGTCATCTTCATCCTTGCAACAGTTCCTTTTCCGCCCGACTGGCCAAAAGAACGGGCCCTCCCCTAACACGGTTATTGCGTCGCAGGACGCCTGTCCGCAAAACATGTCGCTTGAGGAGTACAAGGCGCTCTGTTCAATGGCGCTCGGGGTTGAAATTCAGTGGCAGAATATACTAAGACAACTAGCCATGCCATCGGTAGTCTTCAGGAAAGCAGAGACTTGTCTTTTTATTCTACAGATCATTCGCCAGGTTGGACCTCGAGCCCAAACAGTTTTACGGGCAGGACATGCTATCTTGCACGATGGGTGTTTTGTTAAAGCTCTGCTCGCCGCGATTGAGGACACTGCAGACAGAATTAAGGAAAACTGGGAGACGGCTCACGAGCTCAGCGCACTGATCTTCCTTGTCCAGAGAGTGCTGTCACTTTCGACCTCCGCCGACGCCGTTGTTGAAGACCGATGTCTGGAGCTGTTATCGTCTCTACGCCAAATAAGTTTCAACTGGGTCAAGCATGTTAGGGACAAGGCTGGCAAAGAAGCAATCGACGTGCGCCGGATCGAGTTGATTACACGAAGCACCCATTTGGCTCTGATTTGCGTCGCCACGTATGATTCTGAAAGCCCCGCTTTACGGCGAATACTAGCAAATGCGTCGGACGCCTCGATTTGGTTTCAATGCTGTATGATCATACATGACCGAAAAGGCATCATCGACGTTATAAATGGTGGGATGGTTCAGATTCTTTACCAACGCTGGCAAGTCGTGGCTTATCGCTGCCAAAAGATCTTGGCCCACAACGTGGTCCATAACAGGCAACCGGCGTTGGATCTTGCAATCAGAGAGGCTTGGGCTGCATACCAGATGGGTTCTTCATGGATACTTGCCCCGGTGGTTGGAGATCACTGGCTTGTCGCCAGCCATGGCAGCTTCCTTGCCCATTATAATTTACTGACAGGGGAACTACTCATCAACGGCCGACCGTTGGCTCGCCTTCCCTCGGAATTTGAAAGCCACAAGACATACAAAATTCTGTTTGGCGAGTCGCCTGTGGAAGTGATGCCCAGTGAGATTCCTGGGATGCTGTTCTCTGGCCAGAGAAAGCACATGAATCAGACTATACACTTCGGAAAGGAGCTGTTGCATAAATCAGACCAATTTGAACTCTCTGTTCGGGCAGTGAGCGAAGAATCTGAGGTTCGAGAGTTTGTGCCGGTTTCCCTTCTTCAAGGGGCATTTCCAGACGCCTTTCTTGAGGACTGCGTGCACTGGTATAACTTCAACACCGGGCATGTGGAATTCCGGCCGCTTAAAAACCCCTGGGTATCATCCAGCTCGCACTGGCGACTGCAACGAGGACATCCCGGTAGTAACGCCTGGTACCTTGTTAAAGGTGATATGTCCTTAATTAGCATGTGCAGCCCGACTGCTAAATTACTTTCTTGCATCCTGCAACCTATCGAACGTGCCTCCAGGCTGCATTGCAAACTCAACACCTCATCATCAACACTAGAGATTGAACTTCCGCGCCTCCGGCTGAGTTTCAACCTCAAGTCCGGCCAGTCATGCATTCGATCTCGCCAGTACCGTGGAATGTTGGTTGATTCTGATCAGTCATTGGGTACCCTTGTCGGCTTGCGCACCAAACTCCTCTTGCGACATGAAAAAGACGGGAACCGAATGGTACTTATTCCTGATGGCAATGCCACTTGGCTAGTAGATGGAGATCATATTACTGTCCAAATTCTCTGGCAGGAGGTGTCATATACCCATGTTTACTCCGTGGATGAGCAACTTGGCCGTTTAGCAGACAACGGGAGCCTTCAGAGCAAACTAATGCTCTGCTACCTACATGGCATTACTTCGTTCTGTCTTCCAGATCCGCTTACGGGGAAGACGGGTACCGAGCAAGCCTTAACTATCCTTCGTTCTGCATCAACACGATCTTTTGGTCAACTACGACCAGAGAATGTTGCTATCCTGGTGAAGCTGGCCGGTCTAACGCCTGAGAGGAAGTATTATCCAGCCAATGAACGTGTGATGCAAAGCATCAAGTGGAGAGAATCGCTCAGTTGCCTAGCCCAACATCGCGACTTTCTCAAACAGGTCCTGTTCATACTTGACCAAAACCGTCGGATGCGGATATTCTATCCAGATGCCAAGGATTACGGCGAGCTGCCACTGCCGAGTGTGGATAATGTACTGTCTCAACGTGACAAGATTCGTTCATCTTCATTCCGTTCACCGGGCTTCGGGGCAGAGGATCACACATGTGCTTGTGACACGCGGTATACTGAACGTGGTCAGGATCACCAGTCACAACAGTGCTATCAAGTTTTCACCCTATGCCAAGCACTCTACAACAAGACAACACCGTTCGACAAGCGACTGTACCGCGATGATTGGCTTTCAGAAATATGGAAATTTTTGGGACACGTGGTTGAGGGCCCCAGTGTTCTTGTCGAAAAGACGCGAATCGCGTACGATGCCACCTGGTTGTTCGACGGCAAGGAGTTCCTCTCAAAGCACTGGTGCAGCATTCATCAGTTGCTATGCTCTGGGGCTTCTCGCCCAAGTAAGCAACAAATGATGATCTGGCTTTCAACCCTGTCGCTGTCCGATCAAGTCCCAATGGGCGTCCTCAAGAGCATTGCCGCACTGTACATTTTACCGAGTATGGCCTCCATTATGCCGCCATCGCGTATCCTCTATAATCCATCCCAGGGATACGAGCTTGATGACGAGGCGCTCAAGACTCAGATACGGTTTACAATGCGTACTGGACACAATCTGCCAGTACCCCTTGATCGCAACCCAGGGGAAAGCGAGAAGAAATTCAAAACACGCAAAACGAACTGGATAAATACAAAGAGAGAGGAGGTCCTTGAGAAATTTGTGGCTGGCCTGCGCATCCAGTGGCCTACAGCATCTCCGGTTGCTCCAATCAGCAATGAAAGCCCAGGGTTCGGAGACTATTTCGATGCGCATCAAGCAATGCCCCGTGTCCAGGCAAATTTCTCAATTTGGTTCCATAACCTAGAGTTGAAGGAGTATCTGGAGAGGGTCTACGCAATTATCTCTCGTGAGATGGTTCAGCCTGTCGAGATGCCACCTGTTCCATTACCTCCCCTTGCTCGTCCTACCCCTCGAACATGCGGTTTCGCTTCTATCGGCGACGTACTTGATGGGTCCCTTGGACCTCCGCCATTTTTGGCTACAGAGCCACCGCATCTAGGCCCCATGCTGCAATCTGATACTTCGGCCACAAAACCTGTCTCGCGCCTTCCTGCCTTGGTTGATGTGCTGGGGCGTCAGGCACAATCCGAGTATGAGAGACATTACGTCGAACAACTGTACGGAAGCTCCCAGTCCTTGCTGGACATAAAGCAAGCCGACAAAGTTACTTTGAATCGAGATGAGGTCCAAAAGATCACCTCCGAACACCTTCGACTCTGCGTCAAACACTCCAAGGAAATACGCGACTCTATACTTGCCCGATTGACTCTTTCTGGTCAGCCTACGGAGACCGCAAATCAGAAGCAATTTATCCAATATGATATCTTGAAGACAGTGGCAAGCATCAACATGGGGCCGAGGTTGTCACCGGACCTGCTGCTTCAACAATTGAACCGAAGGAGGTGGAGTCAACTACCCATGGACTGGAAGACCTGCTTCATTGCGTATGGACGCTCTATAACAGCACTTCAACGGGCAAAACGGCTGGTTAAACTAACCAACCACCAAGAACAATTCGTCAGGGAACTCCAGAACCCCGGTCATACCAACTGGAGTCCATTCGAATTCCCGGAGTCATTGCTCTTGGAGATTGAGAGCGGCCTCTTGATCCGCGAAGTTCAAGAGCAAATTGCCCAGGAAATGCGAAACGCGGAGCAGAATGCCGTCATGCAACTAAATATGGGCGAAGGCAAATCCTCCGTTATTGTCCCGATGGTGGCCGCTGCACTTGCCAATGGCTCCTGCCTCGTGCGCGTGCTTGTCGCGAAACCACAGTCTCAACAGATGCTTCAGATGTTGGTCTCGAAGCTTGGTGGCTTGCTTGGGAGACAAGTATACCAGTTGCCTGTGTCGCGTTCGTTAAAAATAGGCGATGCAGAGGCGGCAGAAATAGAGCGGATGTGCTTGGAATGCATGGCCAGTGGAGGAGTTCTCCTTGTGCAACCAGAACACATTCTTTCCCTAAAGCTTATGTGCGTTGAATGCTTTACTATTGGGAAAGTATCTGTTGGTCAGACCCTTTTAAGGATCCTGGAGCTCTTTCGAAATTCGTCGCGGGATGTTGTTGACGAAAGTGATGAGAATTTCAGTGTCAAGTTCGAATTGATCTACACCATGGGTGCCCAGCAGGCTTTGGAGTTCAGCCCACAGAGATGGACTATCATTCAACAGCTTCTGGATCTTGTACGGATGTATGCCCCTTTGATAAAAGCAAAACTTCCCCACTCAGTTGAATTGGATAAGCAATGGCCTGGCGGGTTCCCTCGAACGCGGTTACTTCGTGAAGACGCTGTGTCCGAGCTTTTCAAAATGATTGCCAATCACATCTGCAACAAGGGTATCGACTCTTTACCCATGTCAAGGCAGCCAGAGCTGATTAGAAAGGCTGTTTTCATTTATATCCTCAACCCAGACCTCGCAGCCTCTGAGATTGCAGCAGTCGAGGACAACAGCACGGAGCTCTTCTGGACTTCGACCAACAAAGATACTCTCCTTCTCCTGAGAGGCCTCCTTGCCGGAGGGGTCCTGTCTTCATGCCTGGGTCAGAAACGCTGGAGAGTTAACTACGGACCTCACGATTCTAGACGACCTCCAACCAAGCTCTCCGTCCCCTACCGCGCCAAGGACAATCCAGCGCCGCGGTCTGAATTCAGTCATCCTGATGTTGTTGTTGTGTTGACATGTCTAAGCTATTACTATGCCGGCCTTAAGGATGATGAGCTTTTCCTAGCGTTCCACCACCTGATTAACTCCGATCAGGCGGATATAGAATACCAGCTGTGGATAGATAATGCGCCCGAGTTGGACCAGGCGTACTGTCAGCTAGGAGGAATCAACCTCCAAGATCGGCCCCACTGTTTGCAACATATCTTCCCCAAGCTCCGGGGTTCAAAAGGTGCCATTGATTATTTCCTTTCTCATATTGTCTTTCCCAAAGAGATGAAACAGTTCCCGAGGAAACTCTCTGCCTCGGGCTGGGATATCGGTGAGGTCAAAGCACTCCCAACGGCTGGATTCAGTGGGACCAATGATTCCCGGGTGATTCTGCCACTGAGCGTGAAGCAACTCGACCTCCAAGAGCAAAATCACACTAATGCTTTGGTCCTTGAGTACCTCTTGCGGCCTGAGAATTCTGTTGTTCATGTTCCAGCCCGAGAGGGTGGGAACTCAGACGCGCAGGCTCTGCTGGATATGGTTGTTGGGCTCGACCCGCCTACGCAAGTGATTCTCGACGTTGGCGCTCAAATTTTGGAGCTCACTAACTTCGAGGTTGCTGTAACGTGGCTAAAGATGATGCCGGATAACGATAGCGGGCGCACACAAGCCGTGGTATTCGTCAGTGACAGCGACGAAATCTGTGTTGTGGATCGGACGGGACTTGTTGAACCGCTACAGACATCTCCCTATGCAACGCAACTAGAGGCATGCCTTGTTTTCCTAGATGAGGCACACACGAGAGGTATTGACCTCAAGTTGCCTCGGAATTACCGCGCTGCGGTCACCTTAGGAGCTGGCATCACCAAGGACAAACTTGTACAAGGTAAGATCATGGAGAAACTACAAGGCGCCCACTAACTCTCGCACAGCATGTATGCGAATGAGGGACCTTGGCAAAGGACAATCTGTTGTTTTCTGCATGCCCGCGGAGATTAAGACCAAGATCTTATCTCTGATTGGCAAGCCAGATAACTACACCATCGAGGTCTCGGATGTGCTTCGCTGGGCGGTTTCAGAAACATGGGTCGAAATGCAACGTAATATTCCACTTTGGGCTGTCCAGGGCGAGCGTTTTGAACGCCAGTGCATCCTCTGGCGTAAAGCTCGTGGCGGCGCAATCCCCGAAAACCATGCGAAATTGTTCCTCGAACCCGAATCCCAGTCCCTGGAACAGCGATACCGCCCGCGTGCTGACAAGAATGCTGCTCCGTTCCTTGTCTCTGCGTCGAACAAGAACAACCGCAATATCCAGCTCATCCTGGAAAGAATCCGCCAGTTTGCTAATGTCAATTTTAATGCTACGCAGCTCCAGGAGGAACAGGAACGACAACTTGCGCCTGAGCTTGAACAACAGCGACAAGTTCAGCGGCCGCCTGGCGCTAAAGCAAGGGACCATTCTCTTCACCCTGATCTGCGTCAATTCGTGGCTACTGGGCAACTGAATAGACGATCCCAGGCGTTTACTTCAGCTTTCCAGTCGTTAGCAATGACAACAGCGAAAAAGCACCTAGATATCTCTGAGTTTCCGCGGGATCTCCTAGTCACCAGGGACTTCGAGAGGACCATTCTTCCTTTCAACGGAACAACAACTGTCTTTGACGACTACCAGCGCCCCGTCCAATGGGTCCTCATAAGCTGGGCTTATTCTGAGGAGGGTGAACCAGCGGTCTGGAAAATGCTAATCATCAGCCCATACGAGGCAAATGAACTCCATTCTGACATCCGAAAGTCTACCTCTGTCACAATGCACATTTACGCGCCGCGCCAAAACCGGAGCTTCTCCCCTCTCGACAATCTCAGCCTATACACGACACCTGCAATGATTCTTCCGAAAATCCCAGTGTTGCTGCGCATCCAGCTTAACTTATTCGCGGGCCAGCTGTACATATCTTCGTACCAGGAGTACCGCGAGATATGCGATTTCCTGGGCGTTGCGTACTATACCGCGCCAGAGGGCCTGACTGTCCTGTCTGATGGGTTCATTCTGGAGGCGAATGATGGCCGTGCCTTGCCGGGGGAGTTTCAGAACAGCCCGCTTAAGTTTCTGAAGGTGCTTATGTCGACTATTCGGAAGGATGGGCAGGAGATTGATAAGACGCATCTTGGCAAGCTTCTTGATGGGAAGTTGCTGTTTGAGGCGGACTTTGATGAGGGTGCTGGAGATGGTGATGCTACGCTGGTCCAGGAAGATGCGATTGATGATGCTGCCCCTGCCCCTGCCGCTACTGCCACTGATGCTACTGATGTCATCCCGGTACATGAGGACGCCGCTGACGATACTGTTGATAATACAGTAATCAAGGAGGAACCTACCAGTGGTGCTGGTCCTGTCGTTGCCGATGTAAGCCCGGTGCGGGAAGAAGCCGCTGACGATACTGTTGACAACACGGTCGTCAAGGAGGAACCTACTAATGGCGCTGGTCCTGTCATTGCCGATGCCAACCCAAGGCATCAGGAATCAATTTATGATGCCGTCGATGCCACAATAGTCAAGCAGGAGCCCGACCGTGACGGCGACATCACCATGGCAAACGCAGAAGAACCCGACGACGACATCGTGTTCGTGAAGGAAATAACATATGGCGTGGGAGCCGTCGACCGGGATATCAAACCTGTGAAGCTGGAAGAGCCCGATGACGACGACGACGTGGTCTTCGTGAGAGAGATTCGGAATGTGCGCAGGGGCGCAACGCAGCCCCAGCCCGATGCCGCAGTGGTGAAGCAAGAAGGAGAAACTGCTGGTGGTGGTGGTGCAGTCAAGGAGGAAGCGATCGATGAGTTTGATTTTGTTGCGATGGTCAAGCAGGAGGCTGGCTATGAGTCTGAGGATGATCTGTGATGAACACATGCGCAATCTAGGGAGAATAAAGTCTAAGAATGATCTGCCTCATCGTGCCTGGTCCTTGTCCCCATTACGTATGGCTCTCTCCACCGGCTGAACTTACCCTACTCGAAGGGACTGCGGTGCTGCTGTTTGGGGTTAAGATGCAGTAAGGCGGGGGAAGGCCATTACTCTAAGAACTATCATGGCTGTAGCCTTCGCTGCCAGTATCAAGCTGTATGAGCCTTTGCATGCTCATCGCCGTGAGTCATTTGGCTGCGGAAGGCTGTTCCAGTCCACTGAATTGCTTCGGACCAAAGTTCCGCTCGATGCTTCATCCATCGACCTTTCCCTCTTTTCATCCATAAGCCCAACACACACCATCTTCTTTTCTCATCAACATGGACAGCGAGACTGCGGCGCGGGTGACCTGCACCGACCTCGCCTTCATCACATCGCGGCCGCCGGATGTGCCATGCAAGAACAGAATCGTCGCGGTCTGCGGCATCTACGACTGTCCAGCGGACAACGATGCTGCTGCACCCTACCGCGATGGCTTTATCCTGAGCGACTTTTACCTTTTCTACCATCTACTCTTTCCCACGCGTAAGCTTTCATGCCCGATCTCGTTATAGCCTGGGTACCGATGCTGACCTTTGTCATTTTTAGACACACACAGCACAAATCAGATCTGGCTCACGGCCGAGTCCGCTGAAGGACTAGTGGAGAAGTACACCGAATACGCACACGGAAGCCCAAGAGGGGAGAGAAGGGTGGTTCTGGACGCCTCGTTCCTCCCCCTTGACGCCGGTCTCGGGAGCATGCGGGTGGTAGAAGCGGACATGCTGTTAGATCGGTTTGTCGAGACTGTTCGCGAGCAGGCCCGTTTGTCTGTGCAGAACGACGAGACGCTGATTCTGCTGATATTTGCGCATGGGCAGGGAACAACTGGCAAAGTTCTGTTGGGGGGCAACACGAAGACAGGGAAACCACACTTGTTGTCAATGGATGTTTTGAAGCGGACGCTCCCAAAAGAGGCCAAAGTCACCCTCATGATGACATCTTGCTATTCCGGAAGCTGGCTGGTCCAGCCCAGCGTGCAATACGCCACGCACTTGAATGTCACAGGAGTAGCCTGGTCAGGCCCAAGCCGCAAAACACGCTCCTGGGCAGTGAGCAAAAGCCTAGGGCGTGCCTGCGGTACTTCTGTTGCCAGTGCGCTTCTCCATAATCTCATCAGTATTGAGGAAACCGATGAAGCAGAGGGGGACGCGTTGGAGGATCCGACATACATAAGCTTCTGTGACGCGATATACCAAAAGGCCAAGGCTCTGGATCGATTTAGCCCTCACCAGCAAGTTTACTTTTCGGCCCAGGATGACGAATGGGAGACTCAGTGGGCCAAACGGACTGGGGCCCCCCTGGCTGGGTACAAGGCCCGCTGGGAAGCCCTAAGGGTGCTATCGCGCGGCGATTTCGACGACTCGAACCCAGCAAGCCAAACCGCAAGCTACCGAGAGACTTTCTTGCACCGAGAGTACGAGCTCCGTGCTCGCGAGTACTGCGAAGCCAAGCCGGGGCCTAATAACGTGGCGTCCAACGTCAGCCTTCACGCCACGATCGGTCATTTCTTCGGCCGGTTTGAGAGGAGCATACCCCGTGATAAATTGAGACTGGAGTACGACCTTGCCAGGATCAAGGGCCGTCTCGCACAAATGGGGGAAGTTGACGAGCTGATCGTGGCAATGGCGCTGGATTTCCCCTCCTGCTTGACATATTCATGGGAGGAGGATTATCACCCTGATCCAGCCCTCGACAAGAAGGTCAGCGCGGCGTTCCATCTGGTAGCCAATGCACATCTGATCCGCGACTTCTTCAATCCCCATTTCTACAAGCCCATTCGGGTGCTGGCAATTGCGCTGGCGCAGAACTGCGAGACCGAGGCGGAGATGATGAAGCGCATAGAGATAGCGCAGGATTGTATGGTTACCTGGCTCTACCACTGTCCAAGTGTATGCTAACCTCATCACAGTTAAAGCGCAGCGCGACGAGTTTCTTCTTCCGCGTGTGGGTGCCGCCCATCTACTTGACGACCCCGAGGTCCAGGCAGAGACGCACTCCCTCGCGGCCGCTATGCGAGCCCTCGGCCACCGCGTGCGAGTCAAGATTAACTCGCAGACCCCTTCGCATAGGGGATACCAGGCAGTGCCGCAGGCCTGAGTAAAGAAACTGGAACCATGGTTGGCGGAATGCTTTGTTAAAAGCCCCTGGTAATTCATGTACTTCTACCACATTGAGAGTAATATGGATGCTGAGGAAGGTTTCCCCAACACCCCCCTTGGTCAGTTATCTGGCTATGAACGAGAGCGCCCGCTGTATCATGAGCTGTAGCAGGAGAGACACGTCGCTAGGCTTGACCACCCTTCTGAACTTCATTTCTTTCCACAATATCAAGCTAATCGCCATGCGGGACATATTCAGGTCAGATCTGTTTTCTTCAACTCTACTTAACAAGTTAAGGGTATAGATTAACACTTCTAGCCTGTACTATTTAGACCAGAATACGGCTTGTAGGAAAGGATACTGCGTAATGTCAAGAAGCGGAAAAGTGAACTAGGCGTGGCTGTGTAGCGGCTTCCCTCTCACTTACCTACACACGCTGTCCTTCCCATCAGCTCTCCACAGCTTGGTCTCATACTTTCTTCAGACTCAATCTGCCCAAGAAGACCAGTCGGAAGACGAAGATCTACGCACGGCGCAGTCAAATCCCGTCTCGCCTGCAATGACTTCAGCACCCCGCACCCAGCGAGCCCCAGCAACACCGAATGCACTCCCAAGCCATAAGCGGAAATCGCAGGACCAGGCACAGGAAACCGTCGAGACTCCTGGCGACGAGGAAGAACACCCTCCCAACCTCCTCAACGCCCGAAACCCCGAAGCCCCAGCTCAACAGCCCGAGTACTCCGAGGCTCCCGGCAACCCCGTACAACACAACAACCTCAACCACAACAACACCAACCCTCCCGACAAAGAACCCAAGAGAACCTACCCCTGTCTCCGCTGCGCAAATCACTACTAGACCGCAGACGCACGCACAGACACAATCCTCGCAAAGCCCTGCATCCGCAAGAAGCCCGGACAAAGATGCGAGTCGTGCAGCGGCGCGAGCAGCAAATGCAAAGAGCTCTCCCCGGGGCTCTACGCGCGGTTCAACAGGCTTCGCGACCTCGACGCCAGCAAGGATAATCTCGTCGAGGCAAGCAAGGAGTTCGCGGAGTACGCGATTGCGTTTGAGCGGCGGGTTGCGCGGGAGGACGAGAGTCTGAGGCTCCTGCGGTCGATTAATCGGCACTTGTTTCACTTGAGGGGCATGCTTGGGGCGGAGTTGGGGAGGGGCGAGTTGGACGAGGCCCAGGAGCTGGTTTGGCCGTGTGTTGATGGGGGCGCTGGGGGGGATAATGCTTGATTGTTTTAGATTGGGCTTTCTTGATTGATGAGTACTCACCTGTGGCTTTTGTCCCGTCGGTCTGGATTGAGGATACTACAATATCTACAAGCCCGAGCAGGGAATCTAGGCGCTCATAGTGCCACATGTTCTTTGGTAGGGCATGTTCTTTCCAAGTCGGTACGGGCGTTCTCTGGTCCGACCGTTCTTTGGCAAACCCTGTTCTTTGATGCAGACCGAGGCCAACCCCAGATTCTTGAGGTTTTTGAAGTGTCCTCTTCCATGCCCTTTGCTGCTGCTGTTTGAAACTGACGAGAATCCGGCTTCGAGGTCGAGCAAGCTGCTGAGGTATAGAATGCAATAAATTTCGAGATTGGATTTTCAAATATCATCATCATCCCTCCGATTTCGTCTTTTCGTCTTCTTTATCGCAAAGGCTCACAGGGCCAGGCAGCGCTCGAGGCAAGGCCAGCATAAATGGAAGCGTTTACCCCCTGCCGCACAGAAGAGTATTGCTCTTCCTTCACAACTGTCACCCTTCACAAAGCGACATCCACAGATCGAAACCATGTCCGCGGAACTCAAACGTCCAACTGATGTGGAGGTCGCTGCCGACGCAGGTCAAATCCTCCAGAAGGCCCAGATCCCCAACATTCTCATGGGCTGGACGGTGATGCGCCTCTACACGGGGCCCTGCAATTTTCGGCTAGGGGTGAGTACATCCCCGATTCCATTCTATACTGCCCCTGTTTCCCAGGTATCCCATACCGAATATTCTCTGCTCTCCTCCAGGACATTACATTCGTGATCCCCGACGCCCTGCTCGACGCAGCAAGAGACGCCCTGTCCGACGCAGCAAGAGGCGTTCATACCGAGGATGAAAAATACTGGACACCCTGCTTAACTACCCGAAAGACTCCGCAAAAGCCGTGGCTGCCGCAAACCCAAAGTACACACGCTGCACCAAGGAAACCTGCATGGAGCTCCTGGAGCTGCGACAGGACCACCCAGAGTACATGCCCGGGTCCGGTGACAAGCTCTCACGCCACCCCAATCCCGCCCACCACTTCCACATCAACTACTACATAGCCGTGTATCTGGTCCCGCAGTCCGAGAACCTCTGGTGGCTCCCAGAGACAAGCATGCAGCCGGGGCTCCCCGACCCAAACCTCAACCCGTACGTCACGCTTTCCACCGACAGCAGCCTGCCCTTCCCCGACCACTGGCGCGACCTGTTTCCCCTGCGCGTGCTAAAGACGGGCACCTTTATCGAGGCCATCCTCCACCTCTGGATGCGTGATAACCGCCGCCAACACGAGACCGACCTCTGGATGTTCTGGGACGGACTGGCCGGGTCGCTCCAGCACGGCCCTGCCTCGCAGGTGCACCTGCGCGATGGATTCCAGCGGGCCTGGGACTTTTGCCGTGGCGAATTCGACCACTTGTACCAGAAAGCTATAAAGCGCGGTATTGATGTGGATTGTCATTTCCACCTCATCGGTCTGATCCAGCTCCGCGAGCAGCTGCGGAAGGATGGTAGGTTCCCACTGGAGCTGAAGGAGGTTGGGTTGCCTGACACTCGGTGGCTTGATGGGTTGTAGATGGCAGTTTTTACCTTGTTGGAAGTGACGGTGGATGCCTGATTTGGTTGATGTGTTTGGTCTGTGGGACATTGCTGGTCTTATTTGGTTTTTGTTTGGTTTGGCTTTTTTGGTCTGTTGTCTAGTCATTCCATTTTGCGTGTTTGTTCTGCTCTAGACTGTTAGGCTTGAACTGTTCGGGCTTTTTCTGCGTTTGATAAGTTTGATTAATATAAAATAAAGAAAATAACCAGCCTGGGGTGGCACCTCTGGCTGGAAGAACTCAAGTATCCCGCAGTCCCATCATAACGCCAATATAACAGACCAAGTGGTACATCCTCGTTCTTTATCTAGAAAAATATCACCCGCTAAGGACTGACTGCTTATCTCCGAATCCTATTCTCTGGACACGCCTGCCTCTCCTTATTCCCCCAGGCTCGCATCAACTGCCTTGCCCAGGGAGTGTCTGAGACAGCATAGCTAGGGCCGTTAGGGACGAGGTGACCGAAAACCCATGCTTTGATAACCCGGAGCTTGGGTGCACTTCTGAGAAAGAGAATCTCATACGGCACATCACCGCCAGGTCCGACGGCGTGTTTCTCTGGGTGACCCTTATCCTCTAGGGAAATGTGGTGTCTTTGGGCCTTGCTCGGGGTCATAAAAAGATCTTCTGTTGGGAGATTAGAGATTATTCATGTTGTACTATAGTATGGAATAAAGTATAGGAGCATCGAGCCTTTGCGTACCATAGAGTCCTTGATGCGTTTCTGAGATTTTACTTCAAATATTACCATAAGTATAAGGGTCTCTATAGCAACTTTAAATTTGTTAAGATGTACGAGAACGCCAGTGTCAGAATGGACCAGCTTGTAGCTGGAGGGATAATGTAATAGACTAACTTTCAGGATTTATTAGATTCTCATATACAACAACAAACTTTCTGCGTATGTATGCATGCAAGCCCTAATAAGCAATAACGCCGGGATATCTTATAGAACGCCAAACAAATCACAATCCAAGAACAAACCAAAAAACCACCTACTGCTCAATCCTCAACCTTTCAAACAACTCCCCCAACCCTCTGGTTGAATCAAACACGGGAACCTGAAACTCAGCCCGGAGACCAGCTGCAGCTGCACCATCTGCCCTCGAATTTCTCCCATACGCCCTCAACACCTCCTCATCCACAGCCAAATACCCATCATCCGGCTTCCCCCTCTCCGCAAGCCCCCGGAACTCCCGCTCACTATACCTCGCATCCCCAACAAGCCGCATTACAACCTCCCCCGTCGTAAGACCCACCCCCTGCATCCGCGCAAACAGCCTCGCAACAAAGAAGTTGTTCGGCCCCCGCGTCAGCGCCCGGAACTCCCCCTCAAACCACTCCAGATACGCCCCAGGCATCTGCCCCAGATAGCTGAACGCCCCGAACGCCCGGTCGTCCAGCGTGTCCGACGCGGCCGCGTCGTAGACAAGCTCCCAGCTCATGCCTAGCACCGAGTCCCAGTCCATGCCCCCGCCTTGGATCCGGCGGAGGCTGTAGGAGCGCGAGTGCCGTGTCCCTGGGGCATGCAGGAAGATCGTCCAGTTGGGCGGGGTTTCGTTTTCGTGTTTGGTGGGGCGCGCGGTCGCGACGATTACTTCGTAGGTTGAGGGTGTGTCTGTCTTCTTTTGGGTCTGGTTCTGGGTCTTGCTCTGGCGTGTGCGTATGGCTAGGGCGGGGTGGTTGGCGGCTTGGGCGAGGGCTGTGCGTTGCTCGGAGATCAGGCGCAGGGCGGCGGAGAGGGATTGGGCGACGGAGGTGAAGGTGCAGGTGGCGGCGGTGGATTGAGACATGGTATCTGGGCTAATGTTGATTCTTGGTTGGGATCAACTGTGTCTATGGCAGGTGGTAAGCATGCTGGGGCCTCGAGGGTTCGAGGGTCTGATATACCTGATGCCGATGAGGCTTTGTGTTGGCGTGATAAACAAGAGCACATCCGACAATAGAGATTTCTTTGATTATCACTTCGGTGCACTAAAACGCCAGTCAAAGCGCTTTGATTGTGGCAGACATTCACAAGGACTACCGCTTTGACATCATGACCGTCAATAACCAGTCTCTTTGTCCTGTTTATGAATGGTCTTTGTAAAACTCCCTAGGTTGAGTCCTACACAATAAACATTGACCGGGCAGATATAGCATATAAGGCCGCTAACTACAGCCTCGACACCCAGTTCATCCCATCAGATCAGTTTTCGCCTCATCCATTCACCATATCTTACACCTTACCCATCCAACCAAACCACCAACGAAACCTCAATCTACCAACCAACACCACCACCATGTCTCTCCGTGTTATCACCCAATACATCCCATCCGCCCGCCAGCTCAAGGCCTCAGCCTGGGATCTAGTTGAGCCCTTCATCACGACGGTCGACGTGGACGGCGTCACTGAAAACGGGACCTTCCGTCGAGGTCCGCTGTTCTCACGCCGTGCACAATGGTGCATCCCCCTGAACATCATGATGTTCCTCTTCTATATTAATATTCTCCCTGAGGACCTATGGCACATTGGTGCCTTCACTACCGCCTTCACCTGCCTCCTCGCGCTCATGCAGCGTGAATCAGCGACAGGGACTCTTGTGCGGTTTTGTCCGCAACGGGCAAAAGTGATTGTCCGCGCGGCAATCCTCTACGTGCTTTGCTATGCTGTTCTTCCGACTGGATCGTTTTACATCGCTGGTCCTTGGTGTTGCGTGTACCTTAGCGTCTTGTTGCTTAGCGAGCGTGGGTACGGGTATGAGCGCGATGGGTTGTGGACTCCACGTCTGCAAGTGAAAGTCTTCCTCGTGGCGATCGCCATGACGGCTCTGGAGATTGTCGTTTCACCTGCGGCTGAACTACGTGCGCAGTAAGTTGGCTTCTATCTGAAGTACAAGCTTTTTTCTTTTTCCATGAAGCGTGAAGGGATGGATTAATGCCGGGGCTGCATAGCATAGCATAGCCATGACCACGCTCGTTTATCAAAGGAGATTACTCAATAGTGTCCCAATTGACATTCTTCATACTGTCATTTATTTCTTCCTTACTATACCTACCGTATATCCAAGTAATAAAACCCAAGCTTAAAAGCTCATAAGCATGAAACCATCTTGATCCTTATAGTTCCAAAACAGCCGCATCTAGTTAGGCAGTGTCCAAGAGCAGCCTATACTCCCTTGTCTATCCTTGCCTAGCAGCACACGAGCCCAGAGCTGGTACAACGATAAACATCTGGAGACATGTCCTCCAGGCAATTCGACCGGGATCTTCAGCGCCAGGTCTTTAGTACCAAGATATCCATCACAATCAAGCGCGACCTCGCGAGATGGAGCTTGCTTTCACATTTGCAGTCAAATAAAGATGCTTTATGTACAGAGGCCCCCTGTAGGACAGCGGTAAGTTTTGCTTTGCTAAGAAGAGCGAACTAAAAAATGCAGTAATGCCACCCTGGGGCAGCCTTCTGGGGTGTTTCTGCTCTTGCACAGGAGGTTGATACTTGGGCTTGCAGGGTTCGGTGGATTGTCTAGTTACTGGTTGCAAGGCATGATACCTGGTACCACCGACTTAGATTTAAAGGGAAAAATGCTAAATAAAAATTTTTTCTCTTTCCGAGTCTTCCCACTTGGTCGTGGTCCGCTCAACCTCTTAAGACCAGGGCCTAGCAGGTTTTCTTGCGCCCAATCCATATATTACTGCTTATAACAAATTAAATATTCTTGGCTTACGGTAGTAGAGCAATCTACTCAGGAGCATGGAAATTGCTGTAAGATGAAGGAAGGGTTGTGATGTCTTTCTACTCTATTCTACCTGTACGGGTGCCTATAGGTAGGGCACAGTTCAAGCTAGCCCTAAGTTAGCACGCCGGATTCATTATCCACTATGAACAAATGAAAGTTCTCAAGCAGTCCTATCTATGACACTACGGTATTGGAAAAAAGGCAGAGCTTCTTTCCTCATTCTAACCTCCTCTCTTCTTACAATTGCCTTTCCTCTTTGGGACTAAGATTCCGCAATGCATGCTAAACTAACTCGGAATGGCCGTTCGCATTTCTTACAGAGCTTCGCCAAACCACGCCTATCAAGACTACATGGAAAATTGCTGCGGCCAATTGTGAAACCAGTAGAGACTGGCGTATTGCCTGATTTACTACCTGATTCCCTCTAACATGCATCAGGCCGGTTCCCATCGCTTGACATGGGCATCAAGGTCTCGTCCACACTAAAAGACCATGCAGTGTTGAACTATTATCTCACGTGCTCTTGCAAATCTCTACAAGGATTAATTGAGCAACTCCCAGGGATAAGTCCAGCCTTTCTGATTAGTTAGATCTCAAAGCGCAATACCTGTGACCTCTTGCAGCGAGGGAATTGTCGGGCACACCTGTTGCAGGCGGCGCTGGTGGCATCCTCCCAACTGGCCTTGCACAGTGGCTGCTGTACTGCAGTTCTATTCTCAGAAGGGCCTTATCTGGAGGCTGACCATCTCTGATGTGTGGAGAGTAAGGCTTCTTTCTGATAACTCCTGGCCAGGAACACCTTTTACTGTCATCGGTCATCTGCGAGCCTTGGGCTCTTTTTGGCTGAATAACCCACCGACCTAGTCGAGAATCAAGTTCTATTCTATTGCGGTAGTCCAACTGTACGTTTGGACTTAGTAGGTGTCATACTGCTCGTGCTGTGCTGCCCGGATAAGTCAATATCGGCGAGATAAGTAGCAGGCATAGACATTCCCGAGCCCTATGCTATATTTGCGATATTTTGGTCAGACTGTCATTTATTGAAACAAGCTTGGTGGTTGACGGCCTTCCTCGTCGTTCCTTACAGGGCACTGATGCTCAGTGCCGCGGAGTCAAGGGGTCATAGAACTGCACTACTCGCGAATGTTTGAGCTAAGGGTTTGCGCCGTGATGGTACTCAAATATAGGAGGCTTACCTACCGTTCATCTGGCTTCGCCGCCTCACTTGCTCTCAGCTGTAGAGCAGTAACCTAAACTCTGACATTGAGCCATCCTCACCTCGCGCAAAAGAGGATGCCCATATGTTACAGGGATAAACACATGGCAGTAGAGATCGGGATTTATCAGTGATGGGTGAGTCTCGTTCCATAGTAGTCAATACTCATCGCTGTAGAGTATCTGGTTCGGCTCTTGATTGTATGAGTGCACTACGCTCGGAAGTTAGGGCTAGCTTCGATGCCCCGGCCGTGGTACCTTAATAGGCCCACACAGTGGAGCAGCAGCCACACAAGCAAAAAAGCAAAAAGAAGATGCGATGCATCATCCGTGAATCGAACACGGGCCTCATCGATGGCAACGATGAATTCTACCACTAGACCAATGATGCTTCTTGTTGAAAAAAGTGGTGCTTTTTGCAGTAATGTCACAGAATCAATAGCAGTATAGACAGGTCTGTAGTGCCTGAAATTACAGCGCTCAGCGATTGATTGGGGAAATCTCAATAGTCAAGATCGTTCAATACAATATATAGTATAATCATGTGCTTCTCGTACCTAGATATGAGCTAGAAGAGCCAGCCAATAAGTAACCCACGGATATTTCTACCCTCCTTGTCGCATACATATATATATTTGAGTCTGGTTACGATGCTCAACCTCCTGTGACCATACGCCCAGAAAGTCAGGTCGATTCTACCCCATTCCATAACTCGCCGGGTATACTGATATTATTGACCCTGTTTATCGAAAGTCCAATAACGTTCCTCGCTCAGACAGAGCCTCAGCATGGCATGGCAATGCCTCCACGGCCCTAAAAACGCAGTGCAAGCACTGTCTTGCTTCCAATGCCAATTCTTTATACGTCATAATTCCATGCCCTCTAGACTCTAAAAGTACAGTTTAAAGCACTGCTACCTTTCCCAATGATCTTGGTACTCTATTAAACTGGATTTTCCCCAGCGCGATTGTTCTTCCTCTCTAAATAACTTCCAGTCCAAGACCTTTAGTGCGCATATTTGAGATAACACTCCATAACATTGGTATGGCAGTCCTTCGTCAACGCCCCGCAGCGACTAAAACTGCAGTGCAAACATCGAGAGCCCCGGCCTCATACCTCTCGACTCAGCTCGATACCCTCTACAACCCTAGCCCCCGTTGCGTCTAAAGATGCAGTGCAAAGAGCCTCCCGACCCTCCCTTTCGGAAAAGTGCCCGTCTTCTCAGTACCAAACCTCAGCATCTAAAATTGCAGTGCATATGCAGTACTCCCGAGCACGCATGGTGGCGTTAACTAGTTTACCATCCCGGTCAAATGTCCCTTCCTAACGCCCAAGGCATCCCAAGGTCCAGATTGGTCTTTTCCATCGTGTGATTTATTGATTTTACCCATGCCATGACCAGGAAGCAGCAGCAAAATAGATATGTTATGACAAGGGGTGTAGGTACGGTACGAGGCCACGTGACCGACGAAGCCCTTGCTCCCGTCCATTGTCAAAATCCATGGATGGCATATTTGCTTCTATTTCCATGTATTCTACTCAGTGCTCTTTACCACGCATTTGGAGATTTATGGCAGTTTTTACAGAGTATTAAGCTGTTCGTGGCGGCGGCGTTGGCGCGGCAGGGCTACTTATCTACCAGGTGGCTGGTGTGCCGCAATTGCAGCGTTACTACCGTAAAGAAGATAAAGCCAAGACGGGATTACTGCTAGTCCTAGCCATAAACACGCTTTGGATAACCTCGAAAGGGCTCTAGGTATAGATCATCTCACTTTAATGGTATAGTCCGTTCTTCACCCAATCAGTATACACTGAATTAGAACTGCAGTATCCAAGCAAAACCACTTCAAAATCCTCACGCAATATCCGGCATAACCTTTGCTATCTCTCCAGCCATAAGGTTAAACCCCTTCTGTTCCCGTCCCTGCTGGCTTGCAGTTCTCAGCAGATTCTCCTCGAAATCCATCTTACTCAGTGTCAGCTTGTGCATTGGCTGCGAACACATATCCTACCAAAAGAAATCAGCCAATCTGATAGCGCGAGCAACAGCCTGACTCTCTACACTTGGATTCCACTGCGGCTCAACGATAAACACTCTATTCACCGACTGGGGTTCAGACCGAATGCTCCAGTTCCGGCTGTCATGACTAGAACGGGGAACGTTGCTGGTCCCGTCACGCGTTCCATCGAAGCGGTCGAGGATTTGTTGGCGCTTCGAGGAAAGTGCCTTGCCGTCGATGCGACGGAAGCGGGTTTTCGCAGAACGGAGATGGCGCGCTATAAGGTCGAGGGTGCGGGTCCAGTAGGTGAGATTATGCTGTGGTTGTGGTTAGTGGTGGGCTTTAAAGAAGGGTATTGGGACAGGGGTACCTTTGCGTGGAGTCCAGGTTCCGTTGGATAACCGCGTTAAGAGTCTGCATCTTGAACGAGCACCCTTCCGACAGGAGATAGCTCTTGAGCATGGGGGATATCCGAATTTGGCCGTCTGAGGGACTGGCATAGCGGGCAGTGCACCCTGCCATCTGCTCGTTGTACAATGCCCATGCAGCAATCCTCGCACAGAGCATGTCCGCGCTTCTCAATATGCTGTGGACTCCTCTCCCTTGAAATAACGGCCAGTGGCTGACGGCACCCTAGGCACCGATCCCAGCTATTACGAGTCAGCGAGCGTACGGCATCTGCCTCCTCGTCGAGGAAGTTCCGTTTCGCCTAAGAGAGTCTGGGTTAATACGTCCTTGGCGAGGGTGTTGCATGTTGCGGTAACAATCTCGAATCGATCGCTGCTGTCTAGGGCTTCTTTGCGCGAGCGGCCATAGTAAAGCATGATCTTCATGCTGCCTTTGAGGTGACTGACGGTGTCAGCCTGCAAAATATGCTAGTAGGGAGAGTACCTACTGCTCAGTCTTTTTCTTTATACGTTGATTAATACTGCTATTTTTAGCTTGTTATCCGGCAGACCTGGCAGAATAACGGACCTCTTGAGGGGACAACAACCAGCATAGCCCGACAAGTGGTCTTAGCCAGGGCTGTATCTGGCAGCCTCTTGCGATGCTTAGGGTAACCCACTCACGGGCATCGTGCATTGTCTTTCCTATAAGAATAAGCATGGTAGGTGGCTTTCCCATACCCATCTTGTTAGCAAGAAATTCCCCGTCACTCTTGTCTGGGTGTTCGCGCTCCGTGGTGTTGGTGATAACATGGCGGAAGCTGTGACGTTAGTGCATCTTTTATTGTATGTGGGTGGTTGTACACTTTCTCCCCGTTTACCATCTTTGGCTGCCATAAATGGTACTTATCCGAGATATTTCCCGTCTCACGCTGCGCTACAAAGTTGAGGGCTTCCTCTTGGTGTCTGAATTGGTTAGGATATTTTTTTTTGAACCAGGGGTTCTACTCACGGGTATAGAGCATTCCCAGTTTAGATTATGGCCCCCCTTGATCTTATGCAAGCGCTCGTGGCGCGTTACCGTAAAGACCCAAAGACCTTGGCTATTGTCTGCTTAAAGTCATGATCTTGTTTAGGCAGGGCCATAACTCCCTCTTCCTCCTGCTCAGCCTCGACCTTAAGAACTCCCTCTTCCCCCTTGGTATCACTCTCCTCCATCTCCTCCAGCCTCAGCATATGGGGGTTATCATATATAAAACCCGCTCTCACCATATCCAGAACCTGCAAAACAGATTGGACCTCGAAAGCTCTCCACCAACTTTATCCCGGTTGCTCTCAAGACCATAGACATTGACATTGACCCGAAACTTCGCGTCCTTTGCCTTGGCCGCTCTTCTCACAGCATCAACAACCGCACTAAGCTGCGCCAGGGCATCCAGCTTAAAGCCGGGTAGATCGCGAAGGCCATCAAGTGCTTTGACTATTTTCTCAAATAGATGGTTGAAACTCGTTCCGTTGGGGAAGGAGAGAAAGAGCTCGCCGTCCTCCGTTGAGCGCTGGATCCGGAATGTATGCGTGTTCGGGGATGGGTTGGCTCGCGCAGCTGAGTGACTTTTTCTTATAGGTCGGTGCCTTTTCCTAAGAGGCGGACTTGCTCGCGGATGATCTGGTCACATTAGTACTTGTGTTTCTTAGCTTTGGTATGGGTCCTGACTATTTTGTAGCAAATTTGCTGCCCGTCCGGTGTATTAGTGTTCCTTCTATAAAGATTGGCATTAGTGGTTTCGGCTAGGAGCTGCTTATCATAAAGCTCCCGGGGCGTGGTTATATACAATGTCCTACTAAATACTCTTGTATAATCCTCCGGCAGAGGGAGGAAGGATGTTTGCTTATAAAAGGCAAGGTTGATGTTGGCAGAAGAGGGAGACCCAAACTAATTAATAAATATTATATCCTAACTATTAAAAAGCTTGTCACAGGCCATGTTCTCCGGGTATGAGAATAAATCAATGGCATAACTTATGTTAGTTGGCCTGGTCTTGTTAGCGGTCTCTTTCTTTGATAATTCAAAGGTGTCTGTCAAGGGAGAATATACACAGACCATTGCTTAGGCCCATCGAGCCGCGGACGGACTCAAGAGCCCTCATCATGCCATAGATTTCCATTGTTGCCTCCTTGCTCCCCCGTCCCCACCGGGGCGGGTTTAAGAGACGCTTTAAAGGGTATGGTGAATTTTGCATTCCACTGTTACTATTACACCCGTGAGCGGCATACAAAATAATTGAAAGATACAATTCAATCTATAAAATAAGGTAAGAGACCCGCCACTATAAAAGAGGAAAACCGCGCCCCTCAAGGCTAAGGCTGAGGCTAAGGCTAGGGTATCTAAGCCATCTACCAACTGTCCTGTAGTCCTAGACACACTTAAAATGCAGTGTCAGCCCTATGGAGGGTGAGTCCCAGCCCGGGGGATCAATGTTTCAAGCGCCTATCTAACAACCACTGCCAGAGCGATACAACCCCCACCGTGCCCCATAACGCAGTGCAAGCCCACTAACACACGCACTAGACGACTTTACACAAGTGCCTTACCCCGGGATCTCTGAATCTCTGTCTTAAGATGCTGGCTTAGCATAAAAAGCTCACCAGCGGGATTACTACAGTAGTGATCAGGGCATCTAACTGGAAAACCCAACGCAGAACATGCCCTCCGTTACAGCCCGCCCCAGTCCTTATACACAAGCTCGCGTTCCGTCTGATCGATGACATTGAGGTGGTGGCTCGCAGTGTCGGCGACAGGATCCCGCTCACCCATCGGGGGTCTATATTAATCATGCTGTTGTGGTCGACCTTGCAACTCTTAAAGACCGATATGAAGAGTAAACATAGATTTAGGACCAGACCTGAATCAATGTCATATCCGCGCTGTGTACTGGTAGCTGCGGTCAGAAAACTGCATTCAGCCAAGGTTGTACATCCTGCAAGGAGAACGGAATCTGATGAACTGTTCTTGCAGAACTGAGACGGGAGATTCAGTTCATCAGTGAATATTTTCCGCAGTAGGACACCGAGGGATCTACCTTTGTCGAGGATCACTGCCCGTGGTCACGTGACCCGGGTGCTTGGCGCTCCCGAATATCTTCATGTTTTGTAGCCACCACCTAGCTTAGTTAATTAGTTAAGTTAATATAATTATTTATAGCTTATATTATTTCTTTTTTTAGGTTATAAGTCCTTGCTCTGCCTAGGTTTTATTACTTTTTTTTTTTATTTATAAATATATAAATTATAATTACTAGGCCAGCCCTAGTAACTATATTATTTTATATAAAAAATTTTTACTTATTTTTACCTTTAAGTTTAATACTTTAAGCATTAATACTATAATAAAAGGCTTTTTTATTATTACTAACAAGGTAAAAATTACTAACTTAATTATTAAGCTTAATAAAAAAAAATTATTTTTAATAAATAAAATTACTAAAGATTAGACTGTAAGGCTTTAACTTTTTTTTTTAGTAAGTTTTTTAAGGTAATTACCTAATGCCTGCAGAACCAGACCTTTATAACTTATAAAATAATAAATTTATTAAAAAAACCTATTATAAAAAAATAAAACTTAATAATAATATTAATATTTTTATAATAAAGATTAAATACCTGCGCGAAAAAATTATTATATATAATAAAAAATTAAAAAACATGTATAATAAAAAGATAAAAAAATATAATAAAAAAAAGTTTATAATACTTATAATTTTTTAAAATACTTATACTTTATTTATTCAGGCAAACCTTTATACTATATATAATTTAAAAAAGGCTTTTAATTTACTTAAAGCCTTTTATAAGCCTTGCAGCCATGTAATAGCTTATAATATTTAAAATAAGCTTTTTATAATAAAGCTTATAAATATATAAAATAAAATTATTTAGTTAAATAAATAAAAAAATACTATTATTAAATTAAGGTATTAAAAACTTAAGTTACCCCTTTAAATAAAGGTTTATTTTTTTTTTATTATAATTTAAAATATAAAGTCTTATAAAGCTTAAATTACTTAATTAAAAATATTTTATAATTTAATAATTTATAAAATAAAAAAAGTATATATTTTTTTTATAATACATGTAGCACTGTTAGATAAAAAAAAAGTTACTTAAAGTAATTTTTAACATGCTTTTTATAAATATAATAAATAAAAAAAATAAAAATAAAAATAAAAAGAAGTTAACTATTAACAAGATTTTTAAAAATAATTTACTTATAAAAAATATTAACTTTATTTAGTATTATTATCACGGTGCTCTGGGTAATTACTTTTCTTTTAAATACTAATTAATAAAGTAGACTGGTTCTCGCGGCCCGCAAGGCGTATTTTATTTTAATTTTAGCCCTTATAAATAAGGCTATAAAGGCTATTATAGCTATAATTTTCTTAGTGTATTTAAAGGCCGCGGTTAAGAAGGGTATAATAAATATAATAAATATAACTTATATAAATATAATAACTCCTGGAATCCCTTCGGAGCTTATTATACTAGTTAATAATTATATAATAATTAAGCTAACAAGGTTTAAAGTAACGCGTATAATTAACACTTTTATTAATAATAATAATAATAGTAAGGCGCTTTTTAATAATACTAGCTGTTATTAGTAAATAATAATTTACTATTTTTTTTAATTATATTAATATAAAATACCACGTAGCGGCTTATAATAATATAATAAAAAAAATTCTTATTTTTAGATACTTAACTTAGGTTTATTATATTATATAACTTTTTTTTAATATAATTTTATGTTTTTTATGGCCTGCGTTGTTAAGGTAAAAACTATTATAAGCATGTTTTTTTTATTAAAGAATATAGTAATATTATAATTAATCTTATACTTTTAAACTTAATAATATATATTAAAACTTTTATTTTAAAAAATATCTGGCTAGCGCCTACGCTAGCTTATAATTTTATTTTAATATACTAGCTTGCTAAGGCGGGCGCGCAAATACTTTTAAATAAAAATAATAAATTTTTTTTATAAAATAATAAGGCTAAAGGGTATATTATAATTTTAAATAATTATTATTATTTTTATATAATTAATTAATTTTTTATAAAGCTTATAAATACGCTAAAGGTTAATAGCTTGCTTATTATTATAATAAAGCTATTTTTTAATACTAATTTTAAAGTAAATCTAAAGTTAATTTTTATTAAATTAATATATTATTACTTGGCCCACGCGAGCAAGCAAAAAATATACTAAATTACTTAAAATATTAAAGGCCTAAAGCTTAAAAAGGGTGGTCTTAAGCATTTTTATAAGCTATACTTAATAAGTAAAAAATATTATTTTTTACTAGGAAATTACCGCGAGATTTATATAAAACCTAAAGATCTTATTTATTTTAATATTTATAAATTAATTTTTATACATAAATATAATAAAAAATATTACTTTATAATATTTATAAATAATATAACTTATTTTTACTAGGTATTTTTACTCCGCGATAAGGATAAATTACTAAAGAAGTATATTCTTTTAAAAAACTATTTTAAAACTTAGTATAATATTAATATAAAATATATTTATGGTAATAACACTAGAGAGCATGTTATGCTTGCTAAATATTTTTAAAATAAAGGTAAAATATGGGACCTAGCGCCTGTGTATAATTCTTAGTTTAATAATATTTTTAAAATTAAGAATTATTACCTTATAAAGCTACTTATAATAATTATAATAATATATTAAACTTTTAAATATTTCTAGGGGTATCTTATTTTTATAATTATATTTTTTTAAAACTATATTTTTAATAATTATATAAAAATGTTACCTTATAAAGCTTTTACTAGTAAATAACCTAATACTTTAAAATAGCGTGCTTTGGGTTATAAATACTAGTATTTTATTTTTAAAAAAAAGTATTAAATAAAACTAGATTTTTACATGGCTAAAGGCTGCTTTGTTAGTTATTTAAATTTTTTTTATAAAGTTTATAATATTAAGATAAAAAAGATTAAGTATATGCGTGATATTATTTTTAAAAAGATTAATAATACTAAGTTACCTTAAGTAACTACCTTATATAATTTTAATATCTTAATATATTAGTATAAATAAATTAGTAATATTAAAAAGGCTAGATATATACCTATAAAGTTTTTATAATTATATAATTATTTAAATAAATTATAGCCTTAATTAGCTTTATTTATACCTTAAATTTTTATATAAATACCTATTAAAGTATTTATAAAAGCTTTACTTATAATTTAAAAAAGTGCTTATAACTTTAAAAAGGAAATTCCTGCTTAAATAAAGGAGTATAAAGTAATAAGTATTTTATTTTTAATTATTACTAAAAATAATCTTAATAATACTTGCTATTTTTTAGATTCTTAATATTTGCCTTTTTTTATAGTAGAGGATATCCTTAATAAGGAAAATATATATAATCTAACTTTTATTAAATATAAGTATTATACTATAATTAAGATCTATAGTTTTAAGTTTTTTAAATACTTTACGCGTATTATAAAGCTATTTTAGTATTTTAAAAAAGCGCTAGATATAAATAATGTTTAGTTCTTTAGTATTAATCCTAAAATAAAAAATAAATTTCTTACTTTTTTTATTATAGCGCCCCTAGTGGTTACTAATAAGATTATATAATAAATTTAGCACTAAATTAATATTTTAATTATTATAGTTATATTTAAATTATTTAATATTATATTATTTAAAGATCCTAATTCCTTTAAGTTTAAACCTTAAATATATAAAAAAGTGCTTAATTATAAAAATATAAAACTTTAGCGCGAAGCGTGTTATAAAAAAATATATTTATTATTTTAAAATAGCACCTAGCATATTATTAATAAAAAAAAATATAAAGTTATTATTAACTTACTAGGTCTTTAAACTTAAGCATAATAGTACTTATAAAGTATATTTAGTTATAAAAGGCTTTAAGTAATACTATAGCAAGAATTTTTATAAAGTATATACTATAATAATAAAACTTATATTTTTTAAGATGTTTATCGCGCTTATAATACTTTTTAGTTAGTAATTATATTCTTAGGATATTATTATTATATTTTTTTATATAAAACTTAAAAAAATAATTTATATTAACCTTTTTAATAGCCATAAGCAAGCTAGTAAATATAGCCTTTTATTAAAAATAATATATGGCTTTAAGTAGTTGCCTAAAGAATAGTATATCCTTTTTTTTAAAACTTTTATTTTTTTAGGATTTAAACGCCTGCACGTAGATTATTTAATATTTATTAAAAATAGCCTATATATTTTTATATATATTAATAATATTTTTATACTTTTTTAAAATAACACTTAGTACAAAGTTTTTAAATAAAAGTTTTTAAAACTTTTTAAAGTAATAAATAATAGCTAAGTTAAAAATTACTTAGGCATTAATATTTTATTTAATATAAATAAAAATAAAATATTCTTGTTATAACACTCCTATATTTTTAAAATTTTTAAGTATTTTAGCTTAAAGGATTACAAGCCTTTTTTTATATTATTTAATAAAAAAAAGGTTTTTAAGAATCACGATGGCTAGGCCTTTATAAATAATATAGTATTTTATTAAGTTATAATAAAATACTTAATCTAGCTTATGGTTTATACACGCCTTAATATTACTTATATAATTTTTAAAGTTATAAAGTACGCGTGTAATTTAGGTTAAAAATACCTAATTATTATTAAGTGTGTATATTATTATTTATATATTACTTTTTTTTTTATTTTATATTATTTATTTAATAAAAATAGCTTATAAGGCTATATTAATACTAACTAGGCCGGCCCTTATTTAATAAAGAAAACTTTAATATTTAAATATATTTTTAAACTTACTAGTAGTCTAATTTTTTAGGTATTAAAGTATTAGCTTAGTATGGTATTTTTTTTTATTAAATTAAAGTATATTATGCAGGCGCTTGTAACTTAAAAACTTATTTAAATTTAATTACTTTTTACTAAGCTAGATATTAAATATTTAAACCTTATATATATATGTTTTCCTAGGCCTATAACTATTTATACTAATAATTAAGGGGTAATTACTATATTTAAAAATTTTAAATACTACGCCTACTTTAAGCATATTAATATTTATTATTATTTTTTTTGCTAAAAAGTATTAAATAAAAATATTAAATTTTTATATATACTTATAATAAAGCAGGCTGTTAATAAACTTATAAAGTTACTTAAAAAAGTGGCCTATTAATATTTTATTTAAATAATTAATATAAAATACTTTACTATACTATAAAATAACTTTATATTACTGCTTTAAAAAACTAGGATAGCCTTATTTATTTATTACCCCGGGCAAGGGGGGTGTTAAGGATTACTGCTTATGGTCACGTGACCTGGGTGCTTGGCGCTCCCGAATATCTTTATGTTTTGTAGCCACCACCTAGCTTAGTTAGTCAGTTAAGTTAATACAATCGTTCATGGCTCACATCATTCCTTTCCTCAACCTTGATGGATGGGATCGAGCCTTGGTTGCCATTCTAGCTGTTGGGCAATAACTCATGGCCTGAGAGTTATACCACACACGTCCCCTGGTCTGTTGAATGCGAGATTCAAGGTGGAGGGGATCTGATGCTCTATTGCACATAGGTGGTATAAACTCAAGGCTACTACATAGGCTTTGCTTGATAAGATATCTCATGTGATTACTCTGAGGATTTCATACAAAGTGATACCTCGTCATTGCCCTTGAGAGAAAATTTCGACCCAGTCAACAAGTTACCTAGTCAAAGACCCCAGACTTCGCGCTAGGTCTATTCTCCCAAGTTTGGTGTATTATGTTCTAAGGTCGTGTTCTGCAGGTCACTCATATAGCACCTGGTTTCACGGACCTGGTGGCTTTCACGGAGTTGGCGCGTGTGAGCAAAGAGTTCATCCTGGAAATCCTCATCAATCCAGGTCTTGATAATCAGGTACTGACCATCCTGTTAACAATCAGCCTTGCTTCAATATCTACATTGGTGTTAATGTACCTCGTCCCAGGCCCAAGGAAGCCCGTGGGTGTCCAGTGTCTCTGGAAGCATATACTTGCGGTGGACCTGCAAGATTGTCAGGTAAGTCTCTGGGTGAGTAGGGCTTCGACGGTAAGCCACTGTGGGCTTAGAAGACATACCTTGACCCAGGCAGTTTTAAAATCAACGGTGTCTTTGATTTGCTCGAGATTCTTCCATTCCACAGCCGCCTTGGATCTTGCCTCTCTGGCAGTTTCCTCTTGTTCATCGCTGAGCATGTACCGGTAATCACCTGATCCTTCCTCTGAGATTGATGCATTACTAATGTTTGGTTGCATTTGAGCTTCCTCGTTGTTGCTATCTCCTCCTGTGGCTGTCTTGTTATCAAGCTGAATAGAATGTGGGTAGTTCCGTGGTGGTGAGGTTTCATTGAGTGGCTCCGAATCGCTTGATGATCCTACTGGCTCCGGTTGGGATTCGCGGCCATGTTCATCCTCATCCTCATCCTCATCCTCGTCCTCGTCCTCTTCTTCAACTGTCCGAGGAAGAACAAAAAGGGATAGCTCTTCCAGGTGGCGGCCGACATGTCTCTCGAACGAGCTGATGGGCAGTGTATCCTCGCTGCACAGTGGGCATTCGTAGGTCCCGGTTTTGCCCTCCGAAGACAAATGCATGTCATGAACGTGGCGGTACCAGCTTTTTCGACTATCGTATAATTTGCTCCCCGTGGGACAATTTGGGAAAATGCAGATGTAGGGCGAGAGGTCTCTAAAGATATGTCTAGCCCACATGCGTCGGTCTTTTATGGTGACGATGAAGTAACAATAGGGACATTCGAATGGCCTTTGTGCGGCCCCCTCCTTTGGCATTGGAGGAATTGCCAGTTTCTCATGACCAGTAAGCAAGCTCCCCGCATACGACGTAAATGAAGCACCGGACTCGCTGGTGAGGTCGTCTGGTGCCAGGCCTTGCATTTCTTCTCTGTGGAAAGAAGTCGCGACAGTCTCTGACAGTTGAACCGTGTTGTTGTCTCCATCCCTTATGTTTAGCCCCTGACAAAGTTTCAGATGATGCCTTTCTCGATACTTCAGGATCGCTTTCTGTTTCGCCATTGCGGAGCTAATGCGGTCGACGATGGGTCGTTCTGCCTTGGAGTATTTATGCGACACGTGCTGGTGGAAATAAAACTCGAAAGGCTTCCCATCGACCTTTTCAGTTCCAAGCAGACGATCATGCTGAGCCGGCTGGCGTATCGTCATGGAAATGTCGAAAAGCTGGGACATCTTGTTGATGAGGCTGTGGTAGGCGTCTTGCAGTTCGGTCACTCCACTAGACGGATTCTCCAAATCGAGATCCAGTTCAGCACAGAGGCTTTGCATCTCCAGCTCTTCATCAAGCGAGACTTCCTTTGGCTCGGAATGTCCCGATAATACGTCGTCTATGTCTTGGAGGAGCCCCTTTGTTGCTTCGAGGACTTTGATGGTCTGAAGCCTTATATGGGAAGAATCCCTCAGACGATAGTCCAATGACGACTGGCCCTTCTGGTGGGCACCGATATTGGCAGCCCAGACTCGCAGGCGCCCGAGCTCATCTTGCCAGGCCTGAAGCGAGATGCCAGTCTGATCCCGGCTCTGGGCAAGAGCATCCCGCGAACATAAGTTGGTAAACTGCCTGAGACAGCTGTGGAGGGTTTCAGAAATGGTTGGCATTGTGAAGGTGGAATAGAAGCTTGGAATAGCTGAAGCTGATCATCGGATTCTGGATCTCAGCGAGAGATTATCATCCACACCCTGGTTCGTGTTTCGAGCGTTGATTGGCCTCCATGGCGACAAGGCTGGACAGCGCGGGGTCAAGAAGCTGACGATCCTCACTTTCAATTCTGAGCAAGTCCACGTCCGTCACAATGTCGGGAGTTGAATCTGCCGGACTCGCTCTTGCTCTCTTTCCGTTGCTCGTGAACCAGCTCGACAACTATGCCCGCGGCATTGAGAAGTTCAAACTGCTGAGGCGTTACAAGAATGCGCTGGCAGATGTCGCGCTTGAATTGGGGACACAGCGCATGGTCTTCCTCAACACTCTGGAACAAGCATTGGATGGCGTCGTTGATGACGACAATCAGGTGCAGGATTTAATCAGTGAGCCTGGCGGGGAGCCATGGAGGGACCCTCTGTTACAGGAGAAACTCAAGATAAAGCTGGGACGGAACTATGATTATTTTGTTGACAATATGGCCAGCCTCCATGCTATGCTCGTGAAACTGGCAAAAAGGCTGGACCTTGACCTTACCAAAAGAGCGCACGTAAGTCGCAGCTTCCTCATTTTTCAAGGTGGCCTCTGACTCTTGGGCTGAACAGACCGCGACGCCCTCGAACAAAGACATTGTGTTATTCCTCAAAGTGCTGTCCAAAGCCGTTTACGACGATATCCTTCAAAGGATCAGAGACGCTAACGAGGCCCTCAAAACGTTGATCGAACAATCCGCCCAGCTCGAGATCAGCCGTGAGAAGCGCGGCCCTTGGAGCAAATTTTTACCACGATTGCGAGAGGCACGGAAGAATGCTGAGGGCTTGTATCGAGCTATTCTCCATGGTTCATACTGGAGCTGCCAATGTCGGGACCTCCACAGTGCCCATCTCCACCTTCACTCGAACCCTCTGGCAGATAAGATGAAGAGCAACAACCAATCCAACTTCTGGGTCACATTCTCGAGCGAAGATACCCTGGAAGGTGACAGGATTAGTACATGGAAGTGGACCGATGTGGAATTCGAGCCGTGCGAGCTGGAGGCCAGCCAGGTTCTGTCGGTAACCCAGATGGAAGAGACTACAACCTCTCTAGGAAAACTTCAGATCTCACACAGCCAGCGAGTCCGGTTCGAGATTCCTAGAGCCATAACCGAGAAGAAGTGGAAAAGCCAGGCATCCAACGTTTCCCCAATCCAAAACATCTGCTCCGTGCTCTCTCACAGCGAGAAGCAGCCCCTCAAGCAAGAAACGCTGGGATTCATCACCCACGAACCAGATTCCACAAGACGGTACAACCTGCACTCGATAAAATGTCATCCCCAGGCAGTTCCGCTGCAAACCCTTCAGCAGGCCTTGCCGAACAGCAGTCGACGCGATCGGCTGTATATCGCCGCTGGGCTGGCCTGCGGCGTCATCCAGTACCACGGCAACTGGCTGAAAGCACATTGGGATAGCTCCGACATCCATCTCACGGCGAGCAATGACAATGGTGACGGTGGAGAGATCCCGCCAGACAGTGTGTACCTCTCCTGGCCATTGAAGTTTCAGCAAGCGGATATCCTAGTTGAAGATCGGGATGAGCATCCATGCAGGTCGCCCCTTATCCGCAATCGAATACTCTTCCCGCTGGCATTGGCTCTGACAGAACTCTCCCTCGGAAAATCCATTGCGTCCCTTCGATCACCGCAGGACGAGCAGCAGGGGAATAGTGAAGCTGAAGACTCAACACGATTTTACACTGCATTCCGGCTTCTTAACAAGGTATACCGGGAAAGCGGATCGAATTATGGAGATGCGGTGCATAGCTGTCTTCTCTGGCCAGGGCCGGGACCGGGAATGAAAGCCCCCTGCTTTGAGGACGAGAAGTTTGAAGGCAAGGTGTTTCATACTGTGGTGACTCCGCTGCTCAAGGATTTGGCACACTTTGAGGATCTGGGGGCTGTGTTGGCCTGATACCATCACCCACCGGATTACGGGTAAGCCAGGCATTGCAACTGGGCAGCTCTGTACCTACATCAGGTAGACACTTATGTGACTTCCCGATGACCCAGTCGCAGCCACAAGTCTTGGGCCCAAAGGCACAATACCAAGTGATAACCAGGTCATCTGTGGAAGTCAACCCCCCAGAGTCCAAAAACGCAGTCCTGGATGCGAATGAACAACAGCTACCTAGGCAGCCAACGAATTGCCAATTCCTGATTCGACCCTTGCTTTGCGGTTCATCTACGGGTCGAAATATCCCAATCAGAAGAGGCATTCGTTGCCAGTCACCTGGGCAGAGTGAATTAACTACCGTGCACTGGCAAGCTTTCACGTCTACCCCATCAATGGCAGTGTCGCTGGTGGAAATGGGTTACCATATCTCCTTAAGTACATGTGCACAAGTTCGTCCCACCTTCCAGATTATCATGGCATCTCTCAATAGACCTAAAAATACGGTACCGAGCGTGGAAGCCACACTATACACGTAAATAACACTCCCAGCTCTAGCTTATGCCTCACTTTCGGTGCCAAGAAGAGAATTACTTTATGGATGGGCTCGAACATCGAGTAAAGGTCCCAGATCGAGCTGCGTGACACCCGTAGTCGGGTACAGCACAGTGCACTGATAGCCAAATATCAGCAACACTCGATACTACCAAGGTAACTCTTATAGACCTCTGCTCTTCACGAAGCACTTTCAATACTGGGTATTTTGGCAAACTATATACAGAGAACATCACAAGCGGTCTTCTCAGAACAAACAGAAAACAATCTCCGGCCCGGAAGTACAGTCTAATGAATCTACACGAGGAATGACATTCTATCTTATTTCCCCGAAGCCCTTTTACTCGACACGTCGCCATCAGCATCAGCGTCCTGCCCACCAGATGCAACAAGCGTCTCACCAGACTCAACACCCTCACTCGACTGATTCCCGCCCTCCGCATCCGACCCCAGTTTCCTCTTCATCCTCGCAGATTCACTCTCGCCCTGCACCTTCGGCGCAACATGGATCTGCCAGTCGCGCCTCCAATCGCGCGGCCCATACGCCTGCGTCCACGGAACAAGCGCCTCCTCCTGGTACGTCTCGTGCGTCATCTCCTGGTCCAGTAGACCCTGGCGTTCGCCGGTGATGACAAAGTCGATGAATTCGCGGATCCGACGCACGTACGAGAGCACGCCTTCGCGGGCGTCGACTGCTGCGCCGGTCGCCCAGCCGAGTAATAGCGGTTGCAGGACGGGTGCATCGGTGCAGCTTGCGTGGCTTGTGCCGAGACTCGTCATGAACCAGGCGGCGCCTGTTCGCTCTAGGCATTTCTGCACGAGGTCCCGGACGACGTCGAAGTGCGGTCTGCCCATGAAGACGCTGATCTTCCGGCTCCAGCTGTGCGAGTGGATGACTAGTAGTGGGACGCCGATATCGTCGTTTAGTGGACCGCTGGCTTTCCCCGGGTCTAATGCGATGCAGCCGGCAAGGGGGATAGGCAGGGCCTCGCTCAGATCTGCAGCGGGACGGCATGAGCCCAGCACGCCCGTCGCCCCATATGAATGTCCAGCCACTATGACCCTCTCAACATCCAGCCTCCCCCTCCACCCGGCAAGATGCGTCCCCTCCCGCCGCGCATTATGCCGAAACACCGACTCCCCATCACCGGCATTCAACATCCGCAGCACCCGAACCGTCTCCTCCATCTCCGCCTGCCGAAACGCAATCTGCGCCCGCTGCAACCCCTCCTCATCAAGCGGCGGCTCATGCTGCAAATGCTTCGTCGCGAAATGCAGCACACTGCGCAGTCGGCGCGCACCGGGCCTAGCCCGGCCCCCCTCCCTCCCAGGATCCGTCGACAACACCGTCCCTTTTCGCCCCCCACCCCGCCGCACCACACTCCCGGGCCCGCTCCCATCGCGATGCTCCAGCGCAGCAACAACATACCCGCACGACGCAAGCTCGCCGCAAAGCTGCGTGTAATCCGTCCGCGACGCCGCCATGCCATGGCTGAACACGACGACGGGGTACCGGTGCGCACTGTCCGCCTGCGGCTCGCCCAGTTTATCCGTGGTGCTCGGATCGCGCAGCGGGATGTCAACGTCCGCGGGGATTCGCACGCTCCCGGCCATGGCCCAGAGCACGAACGCGAAGACGCGGTCCGTGAACCAGTTCGAGATATTCGCGAAGCGCGCGAAGCCCTCGCCGCGCAGGCGGATCGGCTCGATCAGCCATCTGTGCCGGGGTTTCGTGGGGACCGCGTCGGAGGATGCTGGGTAGTAGAGGGTGAAGAGGACGGTGTCGAGCTTGAATGCGGCCTGGCCGTCTTCGAGGTGGGTTGCTGCGTGGACGATCCGGCCGTCGCAGGGGGCTTCGATGTCGATGGCGCCGACGCGGTAGGGGCCCGAGTATTGGGGGAGCTCGCTGGAGAGTGATGGCATTTTGTGATACCTAGGAGGGCCTAGGTTGGTCTGGGGAGGAGAATGTTTCCCGGCTAGATCTTCCAGTTGGTCGATGGGCTGTGATGTCATACTGGGCCGTTGAGACTGACAGGCCGCTAGGCTGCTTTTGGTAGCCAAGTCCGACTAGCTGGGCTAAAAGAACAGGAAATAGTCTGGTATCCTAGTTGCTATAAACCTGTGCAACTATCTTCTTCATAAGGGACTTTCTCGAAGTACAGTCGATAATTGTAGTACATGTAGAACACTCTACAGTAGGCTATATATCATAGTCTATGTGCCTTTGGCTAAGATGTATGCATTACCCGCAGGAATGGATGTGGAGTTACACTGCATTTTTAGGCTCTGGGGGGCCTTTATATGAAAGTACGAAGAGTGTACGGAGTAGGTTCATATCACGCTCGTTTACCGGTAATGAGGTGGCTGGGACTGCAATTTGTGTTTCCGGGCGAAGAGCGAAATACTTGAGCCTGTTGACCCATAACCGCTGTAGTCATAATGGCTGGCACTCTGCATTCTTAGGCCCCGGGCGACGGTAGAATAATAGTTCTTCTGGATGGCTATATCGCTGCATTGAATATGTGGCCAGTAAGATTGAAACAGGATTGTGACGCTGATCATCGTTATAAAGGTTGACATTACTAAATGTTCCTAGGCTAGACGATAGGAGAAAGGCATTATTGCTAATCATTCTCCAAAGGAAAGCTATGCCATTCAAGCTCCTCGTCCTCTCCACTCGCCGGCCAGAGCTCACGGAACAGGCCCTTGAGTTCTTCCAGGTCAAACTCCAAGTACATGTATTGATCGCCGTTGCTCTGCCTGCTTGCCCTTGTGAGATAGAAGCCATCGCTATAGATGAACCGCCTGAGTTCCCAGATCTTGTGCAGCCGGAGTGCGACATACCGCCATGCATCTGCAACTTCTCCTGATATCAACGGGATTACCTTGAGAAACTGGAGGCGCGAACTAGATGAGGGAGATTCTTGTGTAAGTATGGCTAGGATGGAGCGGACTAGCGTTTCATCAACGGCAAGATTGACCATGAAGTCAAGGACGTTCTCGGTACCATATGGATTTCGAGAAGAACGAAGAGCAGAGTCTAACTCGATCGTTAGGCGTTCAATTCTGGACAATGCTTTGTAGATGTTGACTTCATTTTTGTCGCCCTGGGATCTTTGAATACGAACTGTAAGACTGCAAAGATTCGGAAAAGCGCGATCGACAAGTTGGAATATTTCTGGTGTAATCTTCCATCTAAACTTATCTTGGCTGTCGAGTGGAACGAGACCCAGTCTTTGCAAGGATGATCCGTGATTCAGCATGGCGGCTAGCAACGTTTCTTCAACGTAAGTTCCAGAGAGACAGAAGCTTTCGAGAGGGGGTAGACTTGACACGAAGTCGCTGGCGAAACCATCCGTCATAAGGACTATGTCCTGTCGGTCTTCGATATTGTCTCTGCAGATCCTGAGGTCCAATGAAAGCGTTTTCAATGACGGGAACTTGTATCCCGGCGCATTGATGAGCAAAAACTCATTGCCGAAGGTATGCAGCTGAAGGACTCGGAGATTTTCAAACGAGACATAGTTGCTCCAGTAGTCTAGCTCGTCAGGAGTCATATCATCAAAGCTTGACTGGTGTAGGCCCAACATGCGGAGGGGAGAAGCAGCCTTGTCTGGTGAGTCTCCGAACCAGTTTACTTCTGGAGGCAGTGGACCGTGTCGGCCCTCAGGTGAGCCGGAATTGTCATAATGAAAGTAGACCTGGGTAAGGTTCGGAGCAGCTCCAGCGGCCAATTGCATAATCGCCTGTTGCTTATACTCATATATTCCATGCGAAACACCAGTGACAATGCTAGAGAGAGAAGGTGAGGTAGCAAGAATGCGATCATACTCATCTATTCCGCCGTCTCCGTCAACATTAGGGAAGCAATCTCTCAGGTGCAAACGACAAGTCGGTATATCCTTGTGCAAAACCTCAAGAAGACAGGCCGGAAATTGGGCTATACCGATCCAAAGCACGTCCTCAAGGCCCAAAAGCTTCTTTAGAAAGTCCGCGAGTGGTTCCCAAACGTCGTCCAACGCAAGTGAGGGCTGCGGTGGGATTCTTCTTCCATACATGGCGCACATCCAGAGGTACAGCTCGCCAAAGCGAGCCCATTCGTCTTCATCGGGCAAACACTGCTTATAGATATCGTTTTCCAGTACTTCTAGGAACCCATCATCACTTTCGGGCAAAGGTCCTCCTGCGTCAGCGGCGCAGTGAATGCTCAAACGTTGAACAAATGGAAAGGACTGTGTACGTTCAAGGACACTGTCCCAGTATTCAAGGTTCTCCAACATTTGTTCTTCTCCTATTATAGTAAGATGGATATTTCGAAATCGATAGCAACTGACGAGAGAATAGCAGCACTTGTTCACTAAGGAGAATGCGTGGAGGTACTGTAGCTCGTCGGCTCTCAGGCAGTCGGCGATTTCGAGGAGGATCTCTCGAGGGAGGGATAGAAGCGAAGTCATGCTTTCTGTGTTGGTGTTGGTGACGGTGATGGTGCGGCTGTCGAAGGGTAGAAGATGGGAGGACGGAGAATCTGACTCAGAAGATGACGGTGCATCGATAATGAAGAGGAGGGGATGATTGTAGAGGTAGAAGATGATGGACTGAGCGAACTTGAATTAGAAGGAGCCCCGGGTCGCCAACCCCAGCGGGCAGGAGCCCACGAATTCCGCTAACGTATTTGTTTGTTAGGCATTGATTGTAAAGACTTCTATGTGGCGATATATTGTCTAAATGGCCGGTTATGGTTTCTAATCTTGATGACCGTAGTTATCTCGTTTCCTTCGCCGTCTCCTTCTTGCTATCCTTTCGCTCTCGCTAGAACATTGACACGACACTGACAGTACGCGAATGATTCACCCGTTGTTCGAGTCGAGAGTGCTAGGGTAATCCTTCACTGAGTACCCATGAGCATGGAGCTGATGCACGACAAATCGCAGATCACAGTAGATGATCTGTCCCCGGTTAGCGGGTTTATGTTCGGGGAGTTCAGTGTGTTTGAAGGAGGCTATGCATGACGGGTGCAACGGCTTCATCTTGAAGCGTACTTGTGGAGATCAACTCGTCTGCTGATCGATTTTCAGCATCGCCCACGCAGCCGCGTGAAACCCCCTTAGCAGTCGCGGTGTCGTACAGCAGCTGGATGCCTCAGTGTGCCAGTACTGTTGGCAAGTCGGACGGCGGCTGATCCGTCCCAGGATCATGACCTTATATCCTCCACGGAGAATTATGTAAGGACTATCGGCGAATTCACTGTTCACTCCTCCACCTCGTATTCTTCCATCTCAACTTTGAAGTACTGAGCGACGCGAGCCTTTTCAGCGGCTGCATACTCAGAGTCGACAATAAACCGCACTGCCGCGTCTCGGCCTTTCTCCCCAGCCTTGGGGCGTTCTCCAATGGCAGTGGCCGGAATAAGCGGGTGATAGAGGGGATCGGTAGCTGGAGCGTCTTTCTCGCTCTTCGAGCCATTGGTTGCTGGCCCTCTGCGGGAGTCTCTCATAGGTTTTCCTTCGTCGGCTGGATTGGTGTAACGCGGGAGCCTCTGCTCTTCCGCTTCTTTGTTCAGAGGAATGCGCACGGTAAGGAAGCGGTCTGCGGGGAAGTGAGGCCCGACCGATGTAGAGCCGCGGTTGTGTGTATATAGTTCGAGTAGATCGAGAAGGGTTTCTAGAAAAGTGAGCAGTCTGATGGCTTTCTGGTAGATTTGACATACCCATAACCTCCTCCCGGCTTGTTCTCCACCTCGCATAGTCTGTCCCAAGCTCAACCTCCTCTATCCTCTGCTCCAGTAGGCGTCCCGCTAGCTCGAGACAGGCAAATGCCATTGTGGATGTAGTCTGTTTAAGCGGCGCAAAGGTGCGGTAGAGATCTTGCGAGATGCGGTAGGCAACGTTCGATACCTCCGACTGCGGCGAAAGGCCGTACTGTCCGGCGAGCTTTATGAGGGTTTTCTGCGGATGGCGCGTTCGGAAATCGAAGCCGGAGCTCTCGAGCATGAGTCGTTCTAGGCCGATGATGCCTCGCGCGGCTTCGTCGAGTACCTAAAGACTCCAAGTTAGGACTGCCCTAGGGACGAAATAATGAGCGGTGAGCGGCCATACTTGGTTGTCAGAAGAAATTTGTTCCGACTGTGGTTGTTTGAGGTTATACGCGGCGCAAAGAATCTCACGCGACTTTTTGAGCGTGTCCTCGATCTTGCAGGCCATGAACAGGGCGGCAGCGGCAGCGTCCTAAACCGTCAGTCTTGACCTTCGACAAAGGAGACCCAGTTCCTACCATATTATTGTAGTCCGCATCGTGGTGAATCAACCGAAACTTGTGATAGTACACTACCGCGGTGTTGAATGTCCGAATTGGCCTGGTTCATCAGCAGCCATTTCGCCGTTGATATCGGAAACCACGTACAGATTCAGCGCCCTACGGACACTATCAATCCAAGTCACGCCCTGCAAGCGCAGCGACTCCTCACGCAGAGGATTGACACCCATCGCCGCCATGCATTGCTGGATCGTTTGCTCGAAGATGTACGGCTTGGCGACCTGGATGAAAGACGGGTGGATTGGCGGGGGATCGGGCACGGCCACGTCGGAGCCGGACGCGTTTTTCGAGTCCTGCTTCTGTTCGGGGGCCATTCTGGAGCTGGACTTGGCGATTGACCTCCAGAAAGCTTCCACGAGTGGTTGACCGTTGATGATTTGCGGCCGCAGTTCGCGAAGGTAGAAATGGAGCCGCGGCTGCCACGTGATGGTAGGTAGAATGTTATTCCGGGCCGGCTATACTTCCTCGAGATTTGAGACCAAGAACCGATTGAAGTTGTCTGGAATGGAAAAGAAATGAAATGATAACCTTCAACGTGTATACACGCAGCTTCGGATTGTTAAGATTACTATGGCCCTAATAAGATGGGTAGTGTGGTGATGAAACCAAGTGACTACAAGACCCAGCGCAGAACTATATATTCCGCAGCTTTGCTTAGCCATACTTCTTTAGCAGCTTCTCCATGATTGACATAGCACCAAATCGATAACCTGAGCCAAAAATGGCATGATGATTCAGATGGTGATACCTAAGCTCGTTAGTTGACATTCAAGTATAGCACGAGGACAACTTACAGCTCGTACAATCTTACCCGATCCTCGTACTCCTCAACGGGCTCAGTCTTCGGCACGATCCGATGGTACTCACTGAAGAAGGCAGACCCAAAGCCGCCAAACATCTTCATGATCCCCAATTCATACTCACTATGCGCATAGCAAGCAGACGAATCGTAGACAACAGCACCGACCTCCTCATCCTCCTTACGTCCACTCCCAACAATCCGTCCTCGATCCGCATTACCACTCCACAGATCTCCATGGACAACAACGGGTGTAATCCCCTCGCCCTTTCCAGTCTTATCGTGACCAAGATGTCCATCACCCAAAAGCGCAGGAACAACAACGTTCGCCGTCTGCTCAACCAAGCCCCTCAACCCCGAATCCTTCCCATTGCGCTTCTCGGACGTCGCGAGAATCGTCAAAAGCCGCTCATTTGCGTAGAAGTCTGCCCACGACTCACACGAGTGATTCGGCTGCTTTGTGTCTCCGCAGAACGTCGGCACCGGGAATCCGAACAGCCTCTTCCCCGTCTTCGGATCCTTCGGCGCAGGCGTGGAATGAAGTTTCCCTAGCCTCTGGGCAAGAGACGGACCACCACTCCCACCAGCTCGGAGATCCAGAAACTCAGTTGCGAGGAAGTAGCTCTTCCCAGCCTTGCCGTCTTCCTCTAGAGGACCCCAGGCTATAGCGCGTGGACAGAAGCCCGGGACAGCTGACGAGATGGCGTTCAGGGACTCGTACTCGCCTGCAAACATCTCCTTTGCTGCTTCGCCGTCGGCAGACGTCTTGACGAAGTACTTGCGCTCTTCATCGTGGCCGTCTGCGCCTGGGACGGTTGCTGTGATTGCGCCTGTGCTGGTGAAGCCGGAGCCTAGACCTGCTGTGGAGAGGGTGGCTTTGGAGGGGTCGGAGATAGAAAGGGCACGGAGAATAGAAGGTGGTACCTGAGGCATTTTGACTTTCTGCGATATGACTGTAGTATGACTATGAACAGCGTGAAAAGAAGAAGTGACTCGACAAGGACGAGTACCTGAGTGATGCTGTTCCTATGACGTTATCTTAAAAATCTTATCGATAAGAGCCATATAGATATCGCTCTGTAGACTCAAGAGGCAAGCTACTGCTTGAGTGAATCGAGTCAAGCAAATGCTGAAGTTCATTTATTTATACATCATGAATGATTCAACTCTAGCATCACACCCAATGATCAACAGGCAGAGCAAAGAATGAGATAGTTTACAAGCAACGCTAAGAGTGAGTCAACGAGTTTACCAAGTGCAGTGCTGTTTTTGTTCGTTCTCGGACGTCAAGGTCCGGGTCATGTTCAAGGGTAGTAAGTCGATCTAGCACTCCGATCGAACGAAGCTCGAGGGCGCGTTTCCGGCAACCCTCGCGGTCGTGTATATCGTCCTCATATGTGAGGTTGATCACCACCCACACGCAGTTCGCTCTCACGTCCCGGTGGCCATGATTGAAGTAGCTCATCAAGAAACGGACGAGGTCGCGGTGCGACACTATAAGCTGGCGATATTGTGGAAGACTTGCTGCAAGGTGGATGATAACAAACGTTACCGCGACCAAAATTTCGGTTGGAACCTGGAGGGCGCGGTGGTTTGGAGATTCTCGCCGATGTGGCAGCTGGACGGAACGAGGACGCAGTTTGTCGGCCAGAGTATCCAACAGCAAGTCCTGACCGAGCTGCTGGAAAAGGTACTCGATCATTTCTGACGCACCAGACCCGCATATAACATTGCGCAGGAGGTCAAAGGTTTGCTCCTGCGCCGCAATATCATCCTGACGAGCTTGCGTGGTCTGGTCGAGGTCACCGTGTAGAGCAAGTTTACGCCGTCGATTGGCGTCTGGAAGAAACATATCTAGACTGAATTTCGACGACGGCATGGAGTCGGTCATCCTCATGTCCTCGTCTCTCTCTCGGAAGTCATCCATTGGGTTCAACAAGTCTACACGTTCTCCAGCCGAATTGGCTCGACTCATACCGCCTGGAGTGCTGCTGTCCGTATCCTCCTCCAGCCCACGCTTAGCCAGAACACTTGTTGGATCCTGAGTAATAACATGCTTGATCCAATCTGGCCGTAAGCCCTCGATGATCTTGATTTTGACGTCGTTCGTTGAGTTGTAAGCAACGTGTTTTAAGGCCCATAGTGACTCGATCCGAAGTTTAGTACTTGGCGAGTGTGCATGTTCGCATAAGATGGGGAGAATCTCGGCGGATATGATTGCCTATACGAACGTCAGCAGCTTCATGTCAGTTAGTCTAACCATCCATACCTCTTTCATAGGACTAAAGTCGAGAGCAAGGTTACAGATAACAGAGGTCGCCGCAATTTGCACCTCAATGTCCGGATGTCGAATTAGAACAAAAAGCGGGGTTGAAACGCCGGCATCAATAAGGCTTGTCCGTAAAGCGCTTACTGAGCGCGTGAGCATTCGAGCTGCACCGCAGGCGGCTAGAAGGGTAGGTGTTGGATTGCCGTCAGCAGCTGGGTTCCCTGAATTGGAAGGCTCTGCTGGTATATTGTCTGGGAATGGTTTGAGCGAATCGATGATATACGGTACGACGCCGTTCTCGCAGACCGCCTTGCGATATTCATCCTTGAAAGGCACCAATGCAGCAAGCGCTTTTAGAATGTTTTCTCGATATCTCATGATATGGTAACGGAGCGGGGAGTATCCAGGCGGTCCTAGTCGGCACGCTGCAGGCTGCGAGTCCGCATTTTCGACAAGTGGTTGGCCTTCGGCATGCCACATCGTTCGCGAGGGCTCTTGAACGGGGTTATACGTTTCTTTGAGAAGTTGGGATAGTCGTTTGATTGCCTCTCCTTCCACCGCGTGCCTTTGCAATTCTCGATCATCAACGACTAGGGTAGCTAGCACGCCCGGAGCCTCCTCTTTGATACGCTTCGAGCATGAAATAAGCCCGCCATATTGGACACCATCGTCAGAAGCGTCGTAGTCCTTATCAAGCATACGAAGCAGAATTGGAATCAGCAGATAGCAAAGCATTTGGACCCTGTGCTTTTTGGTCAGACCTAGGCGGCATAGCACAGTGACGAACCGGGCTGCCATAAGCCGAGCCATGCCGTTCTCAGCACGAACAAGATATAACAGCCACGGAACAACCGGATTTTCATCGTCCTCGGCCGTCGGCGGTTCGAAGCTGGAGAGCGGCGTTGGAAACGAGTGACTCTGTCGGCGATGATGCCCATATCCACCTAGGGGTGGAAAGTTGGTGGTGCTGGCAGAAGGCTTAAGCTGTGACAAAGGAATCGTTGGGAGAAGGTACTCTAGCGGGGTGCCTCCAGGGTGCCGTGGCACCGCGGACCCTGAAAAGTAAGACGAGCCCCAAGGGCCTTTCTTGATATCCGACGGCGAAAATCCTGGTATCTGCCGGGGAAATACAGTAACTATTCCTGGGGACGATAGAAAGTGCTCTGCGCGCCACTTAGAATGCTCAATAATGACCGTGACGGCACGTAAAATAGGCGCAAGCTTAGCCCCGGAGGGAGCAGGAGAGGGTAGCGATCCCAGAGCACCTGCGTCTCCTACGTGATCCTCGGCACCGGGAAAAACGAAGCCCTGGGCAACGATAAATGATGCGACCTTAACCGCCAGAGCGTCCAATATCCCGCAGTCCGCCAGAACCGCCTTGTGAGTTTCCTCCGTACACAGCTTCCCAATGAGACCCGCCGCCAGTTCAATCGACGCCAGTCGGCTCTGGGTGCCGTAGTCTTGTCCAAGAATGCGGGCTAAGCTGCCAATATGCTCGGTTGAGAAAAGATGGTCCGCCAAGCGAGTATCTTTCGGCCATTGTTGCTGGTTCTGCAGCGGTAGCCGATCGGCCACACTGTTCAAGACACGAAGAATCGGAAGGACGAACGATGGAGGGCAGTTGGACGACGACAAAATGGACAGGAGTGTCAGAAGTATGTTGCTCGAAAGGATCGGGGACAAGAAAGGTGCGCCTCCTGGTGTAACGTTAGAGGAGGTGTGAAAATATCCAAATGACCAAATACCTTGCGCCAAGCTCCCAACCAGGATGATTGCCTGTAGACAAGCATCATCTCTCTCCTCTTTAGAGCCAGGCAACTCAAGCTGTTGGGAACCCGCCTTGAGCTCACTCCTGCCGAGGCCCCGAGACGCAAGAACGTTGCCAAGTATAGGAATGAGCCCCAACCGTACCCAGGCCTCCTTCCGCTGGTCGTGGCCAATGGTCTCGTTCTTGAGGCTCCTCAGAGCAGCAGCTTGTGACGACAAGGAATCCGCATTTTGTAGCTGGAGTAGGATGGGCGGCGTTTCGGCGCGAGTCATTGTCCGGAAACACCACCTCGAGCAGAGAACCCGGTGGGATCAGAAACTAAATGGCTCGAAGATTCAAATGTCTCAGTACTATTATTTAGCGAATATAGTGTGCGCGGTGATGGTGACAAGACGTGGTGGTGATGGCACCGATGCCGAGTCAGGTGCGGAGTGATGCCCCGGCTACCTGTTGCGATTCTGGGGCTCGAGGAGCATGCAATTCGAGTCGCCAATGAGGCGAGCAGGCAGAACTAACAAAAGCTAAAAGCCATAAACATCGAGCATTTCTATCATATACAGAACATCAAACCGAAAAATTTAGCGACGGATTGTAGCCACGAAAATGATCAGCTCATTCTGAGCAGCTTGAGCGTCACATTGCAGTCGACCGGGGCCCGGGGCAGACCGCTTTCGGCAATTTATCATGTGATAACTAGTCCAGTTATGACTAAGCCGGCTCGATCATGTGATTCAGCCTTATCTGCTGCCGCATGCAGTTTGCATTACTCCGGGTAGTTCGGCGGAGCTGTGATTGAGGCGCCTAGACTAGCCGGTCAAGGGACTCAGAACTCGAAGGGAGGGGCTTGGCCGCTTGGTTGAAGATCTGAGATTCAACGATCAGATAGCGAACAATGGGCTTTCAAGCTTTGATTGCGCCCATCAGCTGAATCTGCGTGGGAGGCATCGGGAGCGCCCTGCGGCAGGGGTGTCATTTTCTGCCAGGTTCCTTGGTTGTGAGGCAGATGGAGTCGAGTCCCGGGCAGCATCGAGCAATAATTCGTCAAATATAGCGCATCGTCTCCAATGACGGAACTGCCTCTCATCAAACCCGATCCACAGCTGACGAGCAAAAGTTCTCCATGTTTCAAGGATGTAACAATACCAGCCGAGCGGCGTTATCGCTGCCGATCAGGAGGTATCATTGGGCTGTGGAAGCACGCTAAGCTGCTCTTGGCGACGGCCTCGGCCTTACAAACGGTATCTTACTGTCAAAGATCTTATGAAACTTCAGCTCGAGTCCAGTGTGTTGAAGCGTGGACTGACTCTGGTCTTTGTCTTCTTCTTCATCTCGTTGATAACCGTCAAGACCATCAACATACTTCTACTCTTCTATCTGTTGAGTAGGTGTTTACAGAATGCGTCTGTGCACGACCCCAAACGCAATAGTACCGATCTTGGGTTTCACAGCGTCTGCCAGTCTCGAAGAACCTCGTTCAGTCGTGCGCCCACGTGGTGAACCTGTTGGGCGGAGATGTTAGTTTCTTCGCCTTCGCCCTCCGCCCTTCGCCCTGCTCCCTCCTCGCCCGCCGCCACCCAACTTCAACCTCCTCTCTCCCCATGTTCGACCTCGTTCTCGCGCCGCCTGTCGTCGACGTCGGCTGCCTTTGCCTATCATAATCAGCAGTATGACTCTGCCGCCGATCGTTCTGCTGCGCCCGGTAGTCCTTTCACTCCCCGTTCCTCCCGTGTGGCCATTGAAGAGCTCCGCTCGGCTTTGAAAAGGCACTCCGTTTCGTCTCCGCCTAGCAGGCCCTCAGGGGATCTTCCTCGCGGCCGTATGTCCGCAGGACAGACCTCCCTTGGGGGCGGAATTAGCACCTCCGTGTCTGCTGCAGCTACCTCCGCTGCTGGCCCCGGTCCTAACGCCGCCCTCCCTGCTACATCCGCTGACCCTGTCGGCCACACTTTGTCCGCTCCCGGTCCTGCTACATTGGTTCCTTCGGCTCCTTCTGCCCCTTCCCAAGTTTCGCAAGCCCCTCCAATGCCGGCACCAACTAGTACATCGGGGTCCAACAAGCGTAACAGCCTGACCGATCCTACTCTTGGTGTTGAGCCAGCCGGACCGGGGCACCTAGCCCGTGAAGGGTCCCTTTCGAAAAAACTACGCCCCGAGAACCCTGCTGTCAAATATCTCCCTACTCGTTATGAACTTGCAGAACCCAAGGACCTGGTGGTACTCATTTCGAGTATGCTGATGGAGCTCATTCGTTTCAACGACAAGATACCCCTGAACCAGGGTCGGCTGACTCGTTTCCACTCACGCACTCCGCCTCGGATCTCTGTACATGATTACCTGCAACGACTCACGACTCACGCGACTCTCTCGCCGCCGATCCTTCTTAGTATGGTGTACTATATCGACCGACTTTGCACACTATACCCCGCCTTCACCGTTTCCAGTTTGACCATCCATCGGTTCCTGATTACCAGCGCTACCGTCGCATCCAAAGGACTAAGCGATAGCTTCTGGACCAACAAGACTTACGCTCGTGTTGGCGGTATCAGCATGAACGAACTTGCCCTGCTTGAACTCGAGTTTCTTTTCCGCGTCGAGTGGCGTATTGTTCCTCAGCCCGAGGTGCTGACCGACTACTACCAGAGCTTGGCGGAACGGTGCGACGGCTATGAAATCAAGTCAGGGGCTTGATCCTGCCGCTCGCAACATATCTCCTTTCCTGTCTGGACCAGGATCTCAGGCGTTAGAAGGTGACAGCACTTACAACCACTGCATGGAGTTGGCTTGCATGCATTAGACGCTCGAAGCTGACTGTCGGATTGATGGTTGGGGCTTTATATCCTCTCTGCTTCTGGTTCTGCGTCTTTTAGTTTCTTGTTTTCAATATCCCTCGGGTTCTGTATTATTTCATTCAGGGCGTTTCAGGTAGTTCGGGGGGCATCTTGAGATTCCTGTTGTTTGCATACTCGATTCCAACACGGCGCCATTATACCCTGGCGCCATTATACCATTTCATTCTGTTCAAGACTTTCTAGCAGTATCTATCCTCAACATTACTACTACTACAAGCATCGTGATCGTGATGTCATAACTGCCTCAGGCATTACATTGAAAGGTAACTAGGGCTTAGGTCTTAGGGTACAGGGTTGCAGCGGGGATATCTCCAGTCTTCCGTAGATAGATGAATATTTGACGCCGTTCAATGCGCAGATCAATGTCGTGATATAAGTATAGCGCTCTCGTCGCTTTTCTGTGCCTTCCTTACGCCAGCCGCCGCCTGGGTTGCATCCGCAGTCCCCAATTCTTCATCCTCCTCCCGCTCCCAAGCCCCGCCAGAGCCATGGAGGTACAGGAGGTTCTCCGTGGCGTTCAGCCTCTTGTAGGCGAAGTGACGCCGATAAGGACAGTGCAGGAAACTCAGCCGGCCGAAGAGTATGGTAAGGCCAGTCGTTGGTTGCGGGGGGTCGGCCTACTCTAACGACCTTCAGGCAATGCCTACGTCGCGGGCGTGAACGTGAAAAGCGCCGCAAAAGTCATCAAGTAAGTCCATTCCAAGTCTCCAAGGTATTCCATCACTGATAAAAATAGAGTCCTTGACGCAGCCTATCCCCGCGATTCAGCCCGTCCCATGAACCACCTCCGCCGCTTTGCGAAACAGAACAACCTCCCCGAATCACTGCACCCAATCCTTCTTCAGGATAACCCATCACCGCAGACCATTTTCGTCCTTGTCTCACCACCTCTCCCAGAAGCTGCCCAGTTACAAGAACTACTCGCTCCCTACGTTCCTCCACCGGCGGACCCCGACGCGCAGTCTTCAGATCCCGCAGGTCAGGTCAAGCTGCATACGATCAAAGTCCCCACCCTCCCGCCGCTCAGCACGGCCCAGGCAGAGAAATGGTCAAAGGAGTTATGGCCCGTTGTGTACAATCCCGCCGCTGCACGCGCGATGATTTCGCCGCCTGTTCAAGTTCTAAACCGTACTCGCGACTTCATCCAGCCAGATGCGGGGCGGTATCTGGCGTTTGCGCAAAAGGTCGCCGAGGAAGCGGAGCGATCTGGTTGGGGACGGGGCGTTGGCGCGGTAGTCGTTGATCCTGATATCGTCGCGAGGATCCTAGATGCAGACGGTGATATCGATTCCCGATGGCCGGAAACAATCGTCGCTGTCGCCGGCGACGCGCGGTACGCCCGTCGAGAAGGAGGAAATCCATCAACAGCTGAACTGCATACAGGACCGGGACCCAATCCCGCCACAGAATCATACAACGCCGACCTCGAAGGCGGCCCAGACCTCCACGCCCTCATGCGCGCAGCAGAGATCGTCGCCTACAAACGGCGCGCCGGCGACCCAGCCGCAGAAGCCGATAAACCCCTCTTAAGCCCCTTCGAATCATACTTTCTCTCCCAAACAGACCTCACAGCTCCAGAGACGGAAACGGAACTTGGACCCGAGTCCGAATCAACGGATGAATCAACGGGTATCTCTCCAGTCCCGGAGAAATACCAGAAGACCGGCCCTCACGATGCTCAGGCTGTTCCGCATTCATCAACAACAGAGCAGGGCGAAGGCAAGGATTCACCAGGTCCGCGAATTCGCCCCCGCTCCCAGGGCGGATACCTCTGTACTGATCTGGACGTATATCTGACCCACGAACCCTGCCTCTGCTGCTGCATGGGTCTCCTCCTCTCGCGGTTCCGGTCCGTGACATATCCCCAACGCGGGAGGATGGTCATGGGTGGTCTCGCTTCTGAACCTGTCGTTAGACCTGTACCTGTTGTTGATGAAAATACCGAGCACGAACAACAGTATGATGGAAGTACAACCGGACAAGGAGAAACCCCAAAGCAAGGCAGACTATACTATGGCCTTCACTGGCGGAAGGAGTTGAACTGGCGCGCATTAGGGTTCGAGTTTGTTGAAGAGACTGAGGAGCAGGGTCCTTTGGCTGCAGATGGGGTTGCATTCTATGCGTGATTAATTATCTTCTTCCTTTTAATTCGCGTGCATCTTTGCTGCTGGAGCGCTTCGGAGCCAGGGGCAGAGGAGAACCGGACTACAATGGCCGGTATCCAATATTATTGCGTTGCATGGTTAATTTATATAGATCTTAGAGCCGATCAATCGGAAAACATCAGAAGACCACGAAGCAGGAAGCTCTAGTATACTCGTAATCGGTAGCTGGAATGAGGTCAGTCTAGTTCTGGCATGAGAGAGTCGGCTGTCCTGCAGTTGGTGAGTCTGGGGATAGGTCTAATGGAAGCTGAAGGGAGAAAAGCTACCAAGTCAACTACGAAATCAAAGCCAGGAGCAATCAACTCTGCATGGAAAGCCTGGAAAAGGTACAGCATCAAAACTCCTCATTGAAACCCATAGCTACGCTTGATATGCCATCTCATGATCACATGCTAGCAAATGCTCCAGCTCATCAATGCCCTTTTCTTATCCATTAAGCTAAATATGCATATGCTTCAAAACTCCTTCCTCAACCCACCTCATCCGGCTCATGCCGATTGCTGGTATTGCGTCAATGCATGATTCATAATATAACTATCATTAAGATCCAAATGCAGATGCATTACGCGTTCGATAATATGACGGTCGTAGTGATTATGACCGTTTGACGCCTAATGACCGCGGAGTTCGGTGGCTCTGCGGGCGAGAGGCGGGATCCGGCGCAGGATGGGGTTGCCCGGCGCCTCTTTGGCGACGGTCATGTAGAGCTCGTTGAGGCGGGATATAAGGATGTCCATGATCTTGGGCGCGACATCTTGGATGTCGGTATCCTGAAGAGAATTAGTGTTGCGTTAAGACAAAGAAGTGTGGGTGCTTACCCTCAAGTCAACGGTCTGAAGGACGACTTCTAGCCAGGCAAGACGCTGCACCACGTTTGTCTGCAGCGACGAGGTGACCGCAACACTGACTGACAGGGCCACGATGGGAGAGACACTGTTCAAGTACGAAGGTTCCAGGTGGACGAAAAGGCGATCGAATAGGTCGGCCTGCTGCTCGGATTGGAGCCACTGGTGCGGATTAGAAAGATGCTACCGGTAGAGGAACAGTCGACATACCTTGACAGAACCTTCCTCGAACCTTCCTTGTTGTATAAGCTCCGTAATTTCGGCAACTTCCCTGTTTTCGGGGCTGACCGAGCCGGCGAGCGGTGTTGGCGAAACATTGCCTGGGCCCTCGGAGACGTGTCTACCTTCGGACGCATTGCGAGCAGCGAGAGTTTGGTTCAAGCGCAGAAATTCGTTTTGGAATCCAGTCTGAGCGGTCGCCATAGCAGTGACGGTGTCCGAAAGTCCGCGGACCAAAGAAGTGAGTTCATCAATCTTGGCCGCATCGGCTTGGCGCTGAGCTTCGAATTGTTTTGCCTGAGCCTGCATTCGCTTCTCCATGTCGCTTCCAACCTTTTCGGCTGCCCGGATGGCGACGTTCTTCAGCGTAGGGGCAAGACTGTCATGCACAGTCTTGGATATTTGATTCTCCACCTGAGCGCTCAGCTTCTGGCCCACAGCGTCCGATACAACTTTCATGACCTCTGGCTGTTGCAAGGCACGGGTGACCGCATCGGGCAGAGACTGACGTAGTTCGCGAGAGATAACGTTCCCAGACTGCTGAGATAGAACGGTGTTAAGTTGTTTGCTCACGGCAGCAGAGGTGAGGTCGCCTAGCGCAGGGACAACGTCGGATTGGATCGCATGGGTGACAATGCGTGTGAGGTTCTTTTCGACATTGTCGGAAAGCGTGCTCGACACCAATCGCAGGACCTGGTCTTGCTTGGAGGCAGACGCGGCATCCCAGCTGCGTCGTTCCTCGTCGAAGCGGGCGTAGAGACCCTCTAGCTCGCGGCCGAGGCTCTTGTTGAATTCGGAGGTGACCCCCTCCTGCAGGGCCTCGATGTGCTTATTCCAGTCGGCAGCCTTCGGAGCTTCAAGAGCCTCACCGTTCAACTGTTCAACGGTTGATGGACCCTGAGTAGTGGCCACGACAGGCTCCTTCTTAGGTTCAGTTGCGGTGACTGCAGCCTTCTTTTTCTTCTTCTTATCAGGCTTCTCGGATGCGGCCGCAGAGGCCGTTTCCACAGGCTCGTCAGCCTTCTTCTTGGGGGCAGCCTTCGTGGGAGATTGGGTGCGCAGGATACTAGGTCCGGTGCTTGCAGCTCCGTTACTCTCCGGCGCGGTCTCAGATGTCGCCTTAGCAAACTCCTTAGGAATGACCTTCGTGGGAGTGCCTGTAGAATCGCCGTTGACGGAGAAATCGTCGGCCATATAAGGAGGGAAAGATTGGAGATCGGCGATCTCAATCAAGCCCTCTTCCAAGGAGTTGACAGGGCGAATAATCCTGTTGTCTTGTCCTAAACCGAGGTCCTCTTTCTTGATGTTGAGGCACGTCACACCACGGGAATGCATCACGTAAAGCTCGAAGAGGCCGCTATCCTCACCTGCTGCCTTTGCGATGGGAAGAAGGTCCAGGCTACGAAGTTGGCCTTTCGAAGCGAAAGAGATCTCCCGGATACCACTCAGACACGCGGTGGACTCGGGCTTAGGAAGGCTGTTGTCCTTCTCGGCGGCACGCTTGATGAATGACGCCTGCGACATGGACTGCAGGCTGTACTTGGGCGCCGATAGGTGCACAAAGTAAATTGAGTTGCGCGTAGGATGTCCGACAACGAGGATACCGGACGATGCGTGGTAAGCCACGCTGCAGATGGCGTCCGACTCGTTCTCATGTGGGAACTTGAGCTCCTGCACAGCCTTGCCTAGCCCAATATCCCAGAGCTGCAAGGTGTGATTCTGCTTCAGACCAACAAGAACATAGCGAAGAGCCATCGACTTAACATAGGGACGTAGCTTATCGAGGAAGAGGACAGATGTCGGCCATGATTTTTCCGTAGGGCTGCCAGTCACAAAGGTGCTCAGAGGAGTGCGAATCTCATTGGCCGTTATCTCTGCATCAGGGGTGTTGACCACCTCACGAATATCCCAGAAGCGGAGGCGACCGGTCTTGTCCAGAGATGCAATGACAGTATCATCGCCACTGAACGTGAAGTCTTTCCCGGCCTTTCCGGTAGAGATCTTTAGAGCACGCTCCTTGAAGAACTGTTCCGTGTTGACAGTGCGGTTATTCCCGGAAACACCATAAGCAGGGTTTGCAGCAGCTTGTGGAGATAGCACATAGATGTTTTTGCCTCGTCCGATCGCGAAGAACCCGGGGTGGCAAGAGCTCCGTTTAGCCCGCGTTTTCAGCTGGCCGCCGGAGGTGTTCTCGTCAGAAGCCGGGAACGGGGGGAAGATGAGGCTTTCGCTCTCCAAAGCATCTTGCTCAAAAAGATCTCTATCTCCACGAGAGATCAAAACCCAGTACACAGCACCGCTGACGCCGATACCCAGGATAGCTTGGTCGTCAGAAGAGCCACCGACCGGCTGCGATGTGCATACGGAAACATTGAACACACGATCACGAGTAGATCGGAGGACTTGCTTGTCGCTACCATCCTCTTGGCGGATGATACGCATACCTCCATTCTTGGCAAGGGCGTAGACTATGTAGTCCGGGGTAGCCGAGGTCAAAGAACGATCTAGTTGGTCAAATTCCTTCTTCAAACGAGCAATATCCATAATCCCATCATCGCGCAGAGCCGGAAGCTTTCCAGCATAAGGCTTGACAACAATGGTAATGAATGGCTTCAAGGGGAAGTTGTGTACAGGAACGATGCGCTCCTCGTCCTTTTCAGCACTATCTTCAGCGCTCTCCCAGCTATCCGCCAATGCCTCTCCGGCGCCGTTGGAGTTCTCCTGGGCGTCTTCGGTATTGGCAATTTCCTCGGTGGTCTCTTTCAAAACCTCGGTCTCGCCGGTGGGATTTTGAACAGCAGCGGTGGACACTAAAGTAGCCTTGACCTTATCTTCGGAACCTGCCGGCGCTGGCGAATCATTCTTCTGAGCCGCCTTCTCAAGAGATTCATCGACGTCCTTGACGATCTGCTGAACAAGCCTATCGACCACATTGGTAACGGCTTCCTTTTGATTTTCGTTCAACGGAGGCGGCTGCGGGCGTCCGCGCTCGGTAGTCTGAGAAGCAGGGAGAGACTCGACCTCAGCAGTGACATTGACTTGCTTCGTCACCTCAACAGCCGGGCTCTCGCCACGAGAATTGAGCTGAGGAGTTCTGCTTCGTGAAACTGCCGCCAGCTGCTCAAACGGGTTCACAGTAGCGAAGATAGTCTCGTTTGGAGTTGGCTTATCCGGTTTCCCAGATGCCAGGCCCGTGGATTCCACAGCGCCGTGCGTTGAGGGTGTGAAGCCGCCAAAGTCGGACTCAAAAGTGTTCCTCTGAGAGGAGATGGAACTAGAAGTCTGACGAGCCTCGGACAATTCTTGGCCAGATTTGGGCCGATTGAGCAGGCGTAGTAACACATCCTGTGGTTTCTGAGCGCTTGCCTCAGCGGTAAAGGGACTCTCTGTAACGGGCGGAGCCTGAGACAACGACTGGGTTTGCGGAGCAGGAGCGGCCTGGCCCTGTTTGCCGAAGAGCTGAGCAACCAAGTCCGACGCAGAAATGTTCCTAGAGTGAGATCTCGGAGCATTTTCCACACCCGGTGCCGATGGATGTGTGTGAACAGCCTGTTCCATGCCCGCAGGAACCTGCTGCTGGGCAGGGCTGGCGCTCGGCTGGTTGAACTTAAGCAGATTCAGCAGATTGACAGAACGGTCAGGGTTCTGAGGCTGAGGCTGGTGTTGCGGAAACGCTTCGCCCGGAGTGACGACATTAGGACTAAGAATGTCTGATCCGTGACGGGGCGGAAGGTTAACGGGAGACGGACTATGCAAAGTCGAAGAAACGGACGGATGGCGATAGGCCGGTTGGTGGAGATGGGGATGAGCGTAGCTCTGGCCGTCGTAAGGCGGCTGCTGGGGCCGGTATCCGTGCGGGTAATGCTGGGAATACTGGGCCATGCCGGGATCCTGCGCCGGCGTGCTCGACGGCGAGGGACGAGGCCTTATACTCGCCAGGAGAGCTTGGATATCATTTGGGGTGGACATTTCTGTCGCTCGCCGTGATAGAAGGCGACTCCAAGTGAGACACTAAGCTCGGTGTTACCACAAGAGCTCTCTTTCGAGAGTCAGCAGAGACAGGCGAATAAAAGGAGCGACAGGAAGAGACGTCGTAGAAAGATAAAGACCAATTGGAACGGAAGAAATCAAGCAGACTGCGAAAGGAAAGGATATTGTACAGGAAGAAGTGTGAAGCGAAAGCGAGGGAAGAAGAAGTCGGAGAACCGACAGTGAAGTGAAGATTCCTTGTGTGGCTGGAGCGAGGCTGACCGCTTTCGTTTTGCTGTAAAGTGGCGTCTTGATCCGCAAGTGAAGCCTCAATAATCGACATCATTGTATCTGTCGTCGGGCCACAAAAGTGCGAAGAAATCTGAGCACTTGCAGCAGCTAAAAATGGCTTGTTGAATGGCACTTTGTCCATCTGAGATTATTCACCATCTGCTCTGCTGTTCAACGCATATATACGGCTTTTCTTGCCAGTAATTTCCACCACCCCGACGTCTCCCTCGACTTCGGCAACACTAGCAGCCTTCCGTCTGCCGTACTCTGCGTTCTCCGTACACTGTCCAACACACGGAATAACTTACCAACATGTTCTGTCTCAGGAGGTAAGCAAACATACATTCCATCTCTCTAAGAAAATCGTTCCTCCGAATTGAGCCCAGAAGAACCTAAACTAACGAAATTCAGCTGGCTCCCCCTCCTCTTCATCCCGACGAACGCCTCCCCGCTCTTCCTGATCTCTTTCGTAACGCTCACCTACCTCCTCCACCGCCCATGCATCTACTGTTCCGCCCTCCTCGTCATCCTCTTCGCCTCAACCTGCAACTGGTCCGACCGTTGCTTCCTTGACCTCCGCTCCGACTGGTTCGCCCCGCGGTATACGCCCTGCGATACGCCCGCTCAACACGAGTCGCTAGCGGGATACATCTTCGACACGTTGAACAGCACCGCGAAAGCCCTTGCCGGGGCCATGTATGACGAGACGTCACGGCGGCTATCGGGCAATGGCTCCTGCTCAGAGTCACAGGAGGAATTGACGGGGTTCGGGCTGGAGTGGCTGCGGAGCTTGGTGGGGAGGAGGGAGTGGACGCTGCCTTGCGTGGACGTTAAGGTGCGCATTTGATTTGACTGGTGCCGCAGGCCTTTGATGCGTTGAGGGCTTCTTTCTTTCTGTTTTGCATAGGCGTGGATATCGATGTTTTGTTTTCGGCGGAGACTGTCTTATATTTTCTCTCTTTTTCTTGTCATTCTTACTGGTTTAACGGCCTTGGTCGTCTAGCATTCCTACGGGCTTTGCTGTGCATACTATACACATTATTCCCACCATGTGATTTTCTAGGTCACCTAGCAATCTGATGTACATTACCAAGAAAGACTCCGGATAGCTCAGAATGAACAGCCGGAATCGAGTATTCGAGCCTCTTATAGCCCCGTGAAAATATATATCCTCATCCAATCCTCTTCCAATTATTTAAGTAGACACTTTTTTGGATCCTTTGTCCTAGCACTCGAGTACCTCGTAAGTAGGATGAACCATATCAAATGCACATAGAGAATTACGCCAGAGTTTCACTGACTGTATAGGCTATGACATGGCATAGCACCTCAATGAGCCGGGGTCCTCGATAACCAAAAAGTCCACCTGTTCACACTTCAACCTAGAAGAATAGCAGCACAAAGTGGAAGCGATGAGACCAGAAATGTGGGAATATCAGTTATGTATTACTACTGGAGTCACTACTACTTACATCGCGAAATAGGTATCTAGAAGAGAAGAAAAGCTGCAAAAACGTACATATGGATCTGAGCCCGGGTTGAGCTGAAGTCTGGAGTTCGGACGGAGTTGATATCCGCCTATTCCACATTCCAGACCTTAAGCGCAACGCAGCAAGCGGCCGGGTAGATCATAGTCAAAATGGCAAAGATATCGTAGTCGACCGAGGCACATTGGCACATCCAAGACAATCAATCGTGGGAACATGAAAAGTATACATGGGTAAAGGTGGAACATAAGCTGGATTTAGATTTTCAAGTCGAAGTCGAATTGGTCGGTCCTTCGGTTATTAGCGTAAGGTGTTGTTGAGGGTATCAAGCGTTTGCGCGGAACGATCGTCGGCGATGGTAGTGTTGATTGAGAGGACGGCGAAGGAAGGACACTCTCCCAACCTCTAAATAGATTGGATTGATTTTTTTTCTGGTTTTCGTACTTGCAAATCAGGCGATATTAGTTGTACCCCGGCATCGGCTGCGACAATGGCGTAGGCCAGTCGTCTTCGGTAATACTGCTCCAGAATACCCAGAGCATAACCACTGAGAATAGAGTAAAGAGCGTCTCGAACAAGGCGCCATTAATCTTCCCGTCAGTTGCCTGGCACAGATGAGTGCTGACGACGTAGTTGAATATTTGTCCGATGGCAAACAGAAGCCCGGCGGCGGCAAGGTACACTGTGGATAGTCAGTCAATGAAGGCAGCATTTGTCCTGAGAGATATACGCACGCATTGGACGGAACTCGCCCAGAATACGAACGACCAGGAAGGTTTCTAAGAGGAAGAACGCAACCAGACAGACGAGGGGAAAAAGCTGGTATAATACATAGAGGGCGATATTCCGATAGTCGTTGTCTGCGTTCGTCGCAAACTCGCCGGTCCAGTCGAAAGCAGTGTCTAGAGCAATGTATCCCGTGCCAACGAAGAGAATCAAGCCGGATACCAAGAGAAGACCCATCGAAGCAGGAGTTCCGTCGTCAAGGAACTGAAAACCAACAAGCGCATTCAGCAAGAGAACCCAGCATGTCGCAGTAATTGCAGCAACGTGAGCTGCCGAGAAGCCCTGCAGGATGTTAGGTCGTTGGACAATGACCATGCACGGGTAAACAAACCTTTCGAACATCATCGTCGAGAGGAAAGCCGCCAACGGAGAAAATTTCGCAGATTTCGACGAAAATAAATCCCAGCAAGAATATCTGCATTTCTCTGTACGGTCCGTGAGCTAATCGTATATCTCCCGGTTGGTCGAATCTCATACCTTCGCCCGACGGCCGCTTGTTTCCGATCTGAACGCCATATCAGAAGCAATGAGACAAGAATAGCTATAAATGCGAGCAAAATAGACCCTATGTCCATGAGCAAGAGACTTGTATGACTGAATAACATTCCATACCCAGATTCGCAAGATATCGGTCGTCGCTAAGTCCAATTCCACGGAGAGCGCAACCGCCGTAGGCTGCATTGGGAGGCTGATTGGAATCAACGAAGAGCTGGAGAGAGGCAGGATTAGCTGCTGTGTTCTTCGCGCGATGCCGAGGATATTGGAAGGAGAGCGACATACATTGCAGACCGGTAGCGTGGAATCGCGACAGAAGTCCTAATCGGTCGGAGATACGTCAGTACATTCCTCATAGGATGCCGGTTGTGGGACTCACGTCGAAGTTCCCGAACTGAGTCGAACCCATGGCTTCCTCAGACTGAATCAAACAAACACCATGCGAGGGAAAGACGAGAAGTTGAGCGTGGAGCGATGGGCGGACCTGGTCGAAAGAGGACGAATTCGCCTGGTGGACCCACGCTCAGGGACCAGTTACGATCGCGCCGTCGTAGATCTGAGATGCGAACGGTCTATGAACCTGGTAGTTGTGCTGAATTGCGGTTTGCTCCTGGAGTTATCAGGTGGAATTGAGTCTCAAGATGCGAGGCACACGTTTCGACCGTGGACAGGTCGGATCTGAGGCGACTAGACTAGGTGCAGCGGTCTGAAACAGACCGTGGACGGAGGAATAGGAGTCGCCCTCCGATCTCCAGCAATCGATTAACGAGAGGCTACGCCAAGTCACCAAGCGGAGGCGTAGATAGCGGACGCAAGAGGAATTAAAGAACGAAGAGAGAACAGTGGAAGAGAAGCAGAGCTGACGATGATGATAGAGTCGGCGCCGGCCAAGGTTTGGGAGGAAACTGAGGGGAAAACACGAGATGGCGCAGCAATTTCCGCTGGATCTCGCAGTGCAGCCAAACGACTCGATTTCAAATTAAATGACGACAACCCTGCAGAACGCAGGGACTCAGTTGCTGTTCACTCTCCGAGCCCTCACTACAAAGTAAATCTTGTCTACTACCCTCGAACCCCTGGATAAATGCTATTGACCCCTTTTCAAGAACTTGGTTTGGCGTCCCATGGATCCGGTTCGATCGGGGTCCCCAGTTTCTTTTATTTTTCCAATTTCTGGTACCTGGAGGCTGGAGCTGGCAGTCGCGGTCGACGAACAACTCTCATAGACACCGCCAGGCGTGATACCAGCCACCAGACCTGTCTACTCCGCAATAGCCCCAACTCACCGGCCTAATATACGGAGTAATCTAGAGTCTTCAATGGACTACAGCATTGGCGCAAAACTCCGCCTCGTCGCCTAGCAACATGACATCAGCCCAGCCACACTCGAGAACCACTCATCCTTGATCCGGTTGCAGATTCTGTGCGTCTTGATGTATGAGGTTTCGGCATGCTGCAGCTCTTGAGGGCGGTTTGACCCCTGTGATACTTTGCTACACTACTATAGGAGCCCAGGCCTGGTTTGTACTGCGGCTGCCCACTACAGCCCACCTGTCCGGTACCCGCCCCTTGCGCGTCTCCGGATTATCGTTGATTGGCGTGGAAAGCAGTCCATTGTTCAGATCTGCAATATACTCGAGATGCCTTACATAGTTTGATTGTTCGCAGGGCAACTGATGTTAGGAGGGGTACGGAGTGGTTATTGAGTTCTGGATCTTGGTTTTTCAGTCTTGGGCCTCGGCCTACGAGACTTCCAAGGTTTTCTTGTAGGTAGGTATCGCCTTAGCAACGTGAAGCTCCCCAGTGTGCTATTCCCTCATGGTTCTACTGGACCTTGGTAGTATAATAGTTCATCCACAGAGAGCTTATGAGTCTAGGTCTCTGTACTGAATTAAAGCCCTCTCTTCAAACAGTCACACTGTGGCATCTGCACCACAGTAATATCCAACCCCTCGCCAACTAGCTCCATCAAAGACATGTCATGGAGCCAACCTATCTTTGCACACCGTTCCCCCTTTCTAGCTCCTTTGCTCGGGAGTCGGGATCTATCTTCATCCTTTCTGCGCCCACTTCTGATTGACAAATGATTATTTCAGCGGCGCGCTTGTTATTGACGAATCCAGCATGGAGAAGAAGCAAGAAGCCTCAACCCGACCCGCTTTGATGTTGTCCTGATGGAAGACTGGAAATGCTAGCTCTTGTCCGTTTAAGTCAAACAGGTAATACGAACAAGCTCGTCCCGCCGTCAGAACGCTGCGAAGCTCCCTCTTCATCCAGTGTTACTGCGCTTCTTCAAACGCCAGAGCCTCAAGGCAAATTCCGCACAATATTTCGAGATTGAGCTACCAACTCCTCAGCCTTCTAATGGGAAAGGCTGTCTTGAGCTTCGATCAATTTGACACTGCCAGATGAGGCTGCAAACACGGTGCCATACTCGGATTCGCTTTCCATTGCCGCGAGATCTAGATTGCAGGTCGCAAGTCGCACCCAGCTTCCGTCACAGCCTTCCTACTTCCTGGAAAAAGCACTGCTATACATACCGTCTGCATCAGTAAGTGCAGCGCCTTATCCTCGGTACTGTTCTACGCATCTAGCGCACCTGTCCAAATGCCGCCATGCCGAACCACTTATACCCACTGTTCCCAGCGAATCCTGGATTGAAGGAATTGTGGAAATCTGGATTTCAGTATTGCCTGGCCGTGGAAGATGGTTAGGTTCACCAGATAGCCTTTGAGGTTGTTCTGATGCTGTTTGTTTCATGTCCTTTGCGAAGGATAGTGCTTGGTGGCCAATGATCTGCCGATCCGGCCGAAGGACAAAAACTCTGCGGGCGCCGTCAACAGACTGAAAGCGATGGAGATATACACCTGGTATCATACTCGACTTTTCGCGGCGGCATTGGCCTTGACCGTCTTAAGAGAGTCTCCATCTGGTATCAAGAATATCTGGCGTTGTCGACGCTTGCGGAGACTTCTGTCCTGGAAGACCGCATAGATGCATTTGTGTGTCAGGCTATGATGCTGTTGTTCGCGATGCTATCTCGACATGAATGGTAGAATAGAAGGAGTGGCCGTGGGTTGAGGTTTGAAGCAGTCTTTTCCCTTGTCTGGACGGTTGAAACTTTCGGTCAATCTTAGTCCTTATATCGTTCGATTGAGGGTGGAGACCTTGCCTGTCATTGCGTATCCATGTTGGTGGAATGAAGGTGAGAAGACTAGCCATACTCACTGCGTGCCTGTCTTTTCTATAGCCACATCAGTCAAGCCCATGTCCACAACTGTTGCTCCTCCTTGGCTACAAATCGTATGCGGTTTTTGTTTTACATTGACCTTGACTTCGAAGTGAGCTCAAAGGGACTAAATTCTTGTATTTCCATGTGAGTTGACTCTCAATGTTCTTTCAGTTCCTGTTACTTCAACAAGCCCTCTCCATTTCGTCTACATCCCTCATCCTATCCTGTCCTGTAGCCTTCTCTCCTATTAGCACCTCCTACTGGGCTGCCCATTCCTCAATCTTTACTCTGTTTGGCTTCATCAACTCGCCTACCTCTTCTCGCAAACCATATATCTTGCTTCCGGGCATCTTTCTCTTCCTTCCCTGATCATAGCTTCTCTTCTTGAGGGTCGTCTCTGCCCCTTCTATTCCTCTCTTAACTTCTCTGCCAATCCCTACAATAGCACCCTGCTTTCTCATCCTGGATGCATCCAAGACCTCATTTATTCTGCCCATATACCTACCACATAAATTCTCCTTCTGAGATCCTCTTTGCCTCCCGTCATATTCTTCCTTCACCACTAATCGCACTTATATTTGTTCTTCTGCTTTCTCCTTCTACTTCTACTTTCTCGGGAGATCCTCTTTGCCTCCTGTCATATGCCCCCTTCATCCCTAATCGCGTTTATATCTACTCTTTTGCTTTCTCCTTCTACTTCCACTTTCTCCTGCTCTCTCTCTCTCTCTCTCTCGATTCAATCCATCTCTCTATTCCCGTCCACTGATCATCCTGCCCCCTCTCCTTGTTCTCTCCTGCATATTCTTCTATTGCTTGCTCGTCCCATTTACTTGCTTCCAAGTTCTCATATCACTGTTCCTAGGCTTCCTAGGCTCTTTGCTCCCTCATAAATCTCGCATCAACGGCTTTTTCTCAATCTTACTCTCAGTCTCGACCTCTTCTTACACCCTCTCGGTTGCTTCCCACAGTCAGGTTGTAGTACTTATACCCCTCTATCCGGAAATCTGGCTTCCCTGCTTACATGCTCTTAGCACTTAGATACCCGTGTCGAGATCCCTTTATATACGCAACCTCGTTAACGACCAGTGTCCATAATCCGCGATCATCGGACTCGCCTCGCCTTCCTATCATCATGGACTGCGAAACATTTGGTTACATCTTTCATCATGTCATATTCCCGCCGAAATTACCCGACAGCCCAGAGCATAAACAGAAATCCCTTGAAAGAAATTTGATGCTCATTGTCAGAGATGTCCTTGATTCTTTCCTAGCAAAGAGAGAGCAGGAAATCAAGGCCAGATGGGAACCTGTGACCCATATGATTGAAATGTGGTTATCCATCGATGGTGCAGCAGGGTTCGACCTCAATCGGTATGAGGAGGCACTTATTAACACCCTAAAAAGACTGAGAGATCATGGTATAAAATTTTACCCTTTTTCAGATGCAATCTATTAACTAGCATCGTCTCCTAGGGGCTCTTGCACTTTACGTCGCCGAGCAGAACTGCGGATGGCTGGCACACTACGATATTGAAATGAATAAGATCATAATCGACGCCTTCGAGACTTCAGCCTTATCTACTGCTGTTTTGAAAGCACGGGGTCCACTTATCCGGTGTTTCCCCGGTCAGAGCGTTGCGATCCCGGCTACTATGGTTGACGACCTTAGTTTTTGCAAGTACTTGGCGCATAATCTATGCCGGCTCAACATCGAGTATGTTCGCGAGATGCGTCCTAAGGCATGTGATCTTCGAGAAAACATTGAGGAAACCCGTGATACTGCGCATCCAGGTTTGATTACGGAGGGCCTGATGGCGCAGCTTCTGGCATTTGGGGAACACAGCGCGTACAAGTCGTTCGAAAAGCATGTGTCGGATGAAGTCAACCTCAATGACGGCAAAAAGGCATGGCGACGCTCGCCACTTTGGTTCGTGATAAAAGTCGCAATACAGACGATCCTCTATCGCATATTTCCGGATTGCGAGGGCCGCACGGAGTACAAAAACTTTATGGCTTTTTTGGTCGTTGAACTTGGCTCCCGTGCCCGCAACCAAGAGAGTGTTGCCCGAACACAAAAGTTCAGTGACATTGCGAGTGTACTGAACATTATGCAAGCGAAGATAGCTCGCCGTGTTTCTAAGCTGCAAGACAAAACCCTTGATTTTGTGCTAGAGCGAGTTGCGGAAGTAAATGGGGCTATCATGGAGCGCTTACAAGAACTTCACTCACACATTCGAACCCGAGATCTCAAAATTGTCCCCACGACTTTTGGTCCAGTTCGAGACATCGATTTGGCAACGTCGCTCAAACATTCTCGAGACCACTTGCGCGAGGCGATGATGCATTCACCCGCAGTTCGCCCAAAGTCGACCTTTAACCGGCAACACAAGACACGGATCCAACGCCAGTCAATCGGTCTACCTAAGCTGAGAGATGGTGAGATACTCACGTTACTTGATTTCGAAGCCTGGGTAGACACTCAGCTTCAAAGTTGGCGAAGTACTACCTGCTTGACCGACAAGGTTTGCTGTGATCTTGCGGAGCTTATTCATAAATACTCGTCATATGCCGATAAGAAGTATGCGCAAATGCCCGACCAGATGTCCCTGATGTTCCTAGTTATAATGGAGTTGTGGGTTGCTCTCGACAAGTTGTGCATCAAGCACTGCCCTCACGGGTTGCTTGAAGAATTCTCGCCTGAGATTCCGAAGAAGTTCCTTCAGCCACTGCTACTCCCTCACCAACGTCAGATGCAGCGTGCCCAGGACGTCGAAGAATACATCCGGACCCGGCATCAGAAGTGCAACTCCAAAGGGCCAGGAATCTTTGATGATCCAGGTCCTGACACGTTTGCTGTGCGGTATTTTGACAAAACTCGGCACCATAAGAACCTGCGTGATAGTATTATAAGATCAGCAACTGCTGAACGTGAGGGCCGGCGCAGAGAATGGGAGGAGCGTTCAAATAGATACCAAGACCTTCTTGACGAGTCTTCGAATCTAGCCCACGAGACAGAATTTGACGAATGGAACCGCGAGATCCATTATTCTTCTTGCAAGAAATGCCGTTTGGAAACAAGTGCCTCCAATTTACACATTGAAGTCCATGAGTGGCCGCTTCCTGAAGACGATGATCTGATCAAGAACATTGTGTTTGAGCTTGATTGCCCCATATGGTTTGCTGGGTGGCGAGACATTACTTGGAAAATCATAGACGAATATGGCAGGCCGCAGGCAAGAGAAACCTCAACGATGGAAATCAAATTGCTGGATTACCCCGCAACCAAGAATTTTGCCTCCAACCGGGCCCCGAGACTGACACTTGCTTCCTCCACAAAGTCCTGGGCCAACACGCATTACAGAATTCAAAGCTTTCCCGTCCATTTTGAAAAAGTAGCAGTGGGGAACACGCTCAAGTTCTCGCTATGGGATGATGCGAAGCAAGTATGGGCTGCAGTTAGGTGTAGGCTCCCGAAGGCTGCAATCAAGTACCTTTGCATATTCAATGTCAGCGCTACTGCCTACGGTAGTCACCAATATGCTGTCGAATCTTGCGGCCATGGCCAGAATAAGGTACTGGCCGACCAGCGTATCTGCCATTCGACTCTTAGTCTTCATGAGATGAATGCTTTCGGCCATCTGCGCTCTGGCGAGAACTTGCAGTGGTACAACATAACCAGGGAGTTAGCCTCACCACACATCTCAATGAACGAAGAACCTGCGCACAAGTTATTTTGTCAAGCAGCGTGGGAGTTCGGATCAGTCAGTCCAGATAGCCAACTCAGAGCCGCCCATACATTTTTTGAAGAGCCTGACGCCGTCAACAAGCTCTTGCAAACACTAGAAGGGAGGCTGGACAGCATCCACAAGAACTGGAATGAACATTATACGCTTCACACAATTGTCGTTCTGGGACTCAGGGCTCTGAGCCTGTGTCCAACATCATTTTTCGAACGCGCTGCATCTCTCCTGCGACATTGCAGAAAAGTAGCATTGGAATGGTGCACAGGTATTACAAATATGCTTGACGCACAAGTTGGCCCGGACAGTCATGCATGCCTGAAGTTACTTTTTAGACTCGGTGGAATCTGCGTCTTGACTTATGCTGTGGAAGATGAGCATCTCCCAGCGCTTCTTCAAAGCGGCGAAGACTTGCAGATGCTGGCGAGATCCTCGATTCTGTTCTTTGAGAATACCTCTCAGCCAATTGCTGAACAGGCCCTGGAGACGAGAGCTATGGTTATTCAGACCACGAGGATTCTGCGCCGTGCTGAGCAGCAAGTGTCCAAACTTATTGAAGAAGACCCTACAGGTCTCAATGACGCAGTCCAACAAACCGCGAGCCACATAAAGATAACATCTGCTTGGAGTTTCGACAGCGGAGACAATATGAGATGGGCAATGAATCGATCAATCCAGACCCTGCATGAACGTCCACAGGAAGTTCGGTACAATGTATTGAGCGGAGAGCTACTCATAGACAACCAGCCACCAAGTCGTCTTCCCGAAAAATACACTAAACATGCGATATTTCAGCGACTGTTTGGACAGGTGAGAAAGTCCTATACCTGGTCTCTGGAAGGCCCTGCTAATATCGCAAAGCGGACACTCTCTGTAGTTCGCTCGAGCTTGCGAGGCTCAACCTCAACCTTTATGACGACGAAGCCAGTTGGGGACTACCAAGTAAGCTGGACAAAGCCTAGTCAACCACTGATTTTTTACTCACAGATTTAGGTTCATTTTGGACTCAACGGAGACCAGCTTGTGATCAAAGCAAAAAAAGCAAGTCAGATCCTGCGGCTAATACCGCATGATGTCTTGGTCGAAGACTTTCCAGAGTCCCTAATCAAGATGCATGCACATTGGCTAGATCTGGAAACCGGAGTCCTTGAGTTCCGACCGCTTGACCAGGCATGGCAACCAAGTGGTTTGAATTGGAGTATGTCCTTTAAGCAGGAGACTGAAGGGTCCTCCGCCACCAAGCAAGGTCAACGGACCTTGGTTGACATACACAACACCCTCTTCTCACAGATTGCCGATGTTCTGAAAGGATTAGACGATCCAAAACATATTCAAGTTACTATATCACCGAATGGCACTGTCGAAGCGAAACTAGTCCGGTTGCACCTGAGCTTCTTTATCAATGAAGAGAAAGAACTGGAGTGCAGGGAGCACAACGCCATTGTTGATTTAAACCAGGATATAGGCTGTTTCTACGGTCTTTTAAACAAGCTTGTTCTACGGGCCAAAACGGAGCAAGGTCACCGCACCGTGCTGATTCCTCATGGGAAGGTGAAATTTGGCAAAGATACTCCAAACACTGAAGTTTCAATAGAGCTTCCGGGCGCTCCACGCATCAAGTACTTCCATTACCTTCTTGACTCAAGCCTGGAGTTGCTTTCGGACTCTACAGGTATGGTGGGTGCCCTATACCAGGCATACTTGCATGCCGTTACCGCATTTGTACTTCCTGATCCCGCCACCAAGCGCACAGGAACTGAGGAAGCACTTCGTATTCTGCGCCAGGCAAGGATGAAGTCGCCTTTCCCTCTAGACAGCGAATCTATCCGGCTGCTGGAACTCATCGCAGCTCTGACACCATGGCGCCAGTACTTCCCCCCTGGGATGGAAGTATTGCAGAGAGTGAGTTGGAACGGGGAACTCTGTGCCCTAGCGCAGCATGATGATTTTAGGCTACTTGCCCAAGAGATCTTCGACAACACGACCAAGTTTATCAGGTTCTGGGACTCGAAGAAAGAGCCGCCTCCTCCAGGTTTAGATCGAGGAGATATGCGCCTTCTCGATAGGGCACGCTCCCGGAATTCTCATTTCTATAAATCGGAATATGGAGGGACCACCAGATGTGAAGCGGGGGCTCCGTCAGAGTATAAGGCCAGAGACAGACCTGAGCCTGCTAGTGATCGAAGCCATCGTGCTTACGAGATTGCGACGCTCATCCGAAATTGGCCGGCTGCCCTGCTTAAGAAAGAAGACCTTTTTGGTGCTATTAAGGGTTGGGGTAGGATCGATACGCAAATCCGGCAGCCCAATCAGTATACATATACTACGCTTATTGATGCTTCGATGCAGAAGCTATGGGCCTCTCTGTACAACCAGTGCCGCTCAAGCAGACGGGAGACCGACACATACTCCTTGATTTCCGTGTTTTGTATGGTGGCCTTTGGTAAATCGAATGATTCATCCATGTGCCATCTCCGTTCCTTGCTGGCAGTCGCCTTCTCCGGGTCATTTCCGGAAATGCCCGCCCAACTCTTGCACGGATCAGTGCAGATAGGTCTTGCACCAGGACAGAATATTGACAGGGGCGAAGTCCAGTCTACCATATCCAACCACTACCCGTCTTTCAAATCTGATTTTGGCAAGAATCCGAAGAGTGTACCTAAAGATGAGAAGAGGAGGATAACGAAGACACAGAAAAAGTTATACAATTCAACCAAGAAGCAGGCCATTGATGCTCTCACAAGCTCGATTGTGGAACAATGGCCATGTGAGACCCTTAGACGGCCTTCAAATATGGAGCCTTGGCAGACAAAGAGCTTCAATGACTGCGAGCAATTGTTCAGGAGCTCTAGGAAAAACATACTGTTCTCTCAGTTTGTTCGGGACGTGCAAGACAAGCTGGATACTATGACTGTATCCCTCTGCCCACCATTGCAGCTACCCCAGCCGCCCAAGCGTCTCATGTTCCCAATACGCTCCCTGGACATTTGGCATCCACCTTGCATTTACGATCTTCTCCGTGCGGCCAAGGCTCCGTCTCTAATGGATATAGACTACACATCTCTAAAATTCGAGAGGGATCAAGTGCCCGCTTGTCCTAAGAATGATTCAGATGCTACACTCGGGACCCTGATCTCAGGTCTCCCTAAGGGATCTAATCACTTACTTCAAGAGTATGCGCGTGATCTCTTGGAAAGCTGGGAAGCCCTCAAGAAGGTATGCTTGCCTCAGGATCCCACCGATTTACCTGTAAACAGAGATATACTTGAGCGGCATCACGATGATATCTTGGAACGGCGAAATACTCTATGGGCTGAGATTACCTCCACATTAACAACAGTTAAACATCGCTGGGAAGATATTGGTATCTCTATACTTGCGCCTTCCGTCACCGTTTCCTCAATACTATCATTTCTGGCAGCCGATAAGTGGAGTTCAGTCCCAGAGCCTTGGAAAGCGATACTCTTGACATTTGCCAAAACGATTTCGTCATTGCGTCGATGCGAAAGGCTTCAAGAGCACTTTGATAATTACGACGTCAACATGTTCTACAGGGAGGCTGAAACAGTGAGCTGTGATGGTTGGGAACCATCAGACAACCCCGACTGGCTACTTCTGGAGATCGAGAGTGATCTGACCATCAGAATGCGCCAGGCAGACATCGTAGGCAAGATGATTACTCCTGAAACCCAAAGCAATGCGGTTCTCCAGTTGAACATGGGAGAGGGAAAGACCACCGTCATTACACCGATGATCGCGGCCTCTCTCTCGAACGGATCCCAACTGGCTCGGATCATAGTGCTGAAGCCACTTCTACGGCAAAGTGCCAACATTTTAGCCCAGAGATTAGGCGGACTACTGAATCGCCCAGTTTATTATGTTCCATTTTCACGGAACACAAAGCTCGATGAATCTTTGGTTGAATCACTGAATGCAATCTACAGTGAATGTATAGAGAAACGAGGAGTCTTGATAGTCCTCCCAGAACAACTCCTCTCTCTTCGACTGGTTGGTCTTGACATGGCAACAAATACAGCTCTCAGCCTAATCCGATTGCAAGAAGAGTTACAAAATAGGTGTCGCACTATTATTGACGAAAGCGACGAAGTTCTGGACCCAAAATTCCAACTCATATACACAAGAGGTAACCAGCAAAACGTGGACGGAGATAGCGATCGTTGGCATATTATACAAGATGTACTTGAAGTGGTCGAGAAAGAAGCAGTCGCTTTGCAAGCCGAGGATCCAAACATTCTGCAGGTCGAACAACAGGGTACTCGCTATCCTCTTCTGCACTTCTTGAAGGCACAGGGCCCTCTTTCATTGCTTGGGAAAGTTGCTAAAGCTATTTTCCATCAAGCTCTCCCAGGATTATCATTCCAACAATGGTCCGAGCAAACTCGTTTATGCGCATTGCAATTCGTCTGTTCTCCGGACGTCAGCCAAGACGACCAGGATACCGTGCGAGAAGCTTTTAAGAACAGCATCATGCTGAAAAGGCTTCTTGTGCTCAGGGGGCTTTTTGCGCATCGCATCCTACGGTTTGCATTGGCAGGAAAACGCTGGTGGGTGGACTACGGGGTTCATCCCTCGCGGTGCTTGATGGCTGTTCCATTTAGGGCCAAGGGTGTGCCTTCAGAGAATGCCGAATTCGGACACGCCGATGTTGCCCTAACCCTGACATGCCTAAGCTACTATTATGGCGGCCTGAGCGAGGACCAGGTACGGCAATGCTTCCAATTGATCCTCAAAGACAATGATCCCGGAGTCGAGTACGAGCGTTGGATTGTGAAAATTCGAGAGGACCTCCCTGAAGGCTTACGTTCGTTCAACGGAGTGAACTTGGAAGACCGACAAACCTTTCGAGAGGATTTATATCCTCGTCTTCGGTATCAGAAAGCAATTATCGACTTTTTCCTCTCCAAGGTCGTGTTTCCCAAGGAAGCAAAGGAGTTTCCGTTCAAGCTCTCTACATCGGCGTGGGATATCCCTTCAAAGCAGGGTCAACTGCTTACAACAGGCTTCAGCGGAACAAACGACAATCGGTATATGCTCCCAAAATCGATGCCCCAGAAGGATCTACCCGATCTTCTCCACACAAATGCGATGGTTTTGAACCAGCTACTGAGGGAAGAAAATATGCGGTGTGTCCTTGCCGAGAATCCTAACGGCGGCCAGGTGTCTGTAGAGGGGCTTTTGCGGCTTGTCAATGACCAGGATCATAGAATCAAGGTTATCATTGACGTTGGGGCACAGATTTTAGAGTCAAGCAATGAAGAAGTGGCCAAGGCCTGGCTTGCTACTACCGGAGCTCAAGCCTCTGCCGCCATCTTCTACAACGAGGAGGATGAAGCCGTGGTAGTAGATCACGATGGATTCATCGAGCCACTTATTGCATCTCCATTTCGGGGAAGGATGCATCTGTGCTTGGTCTTCCTAGACCAGCATCATTCACGAGGAGTCGATCTAAAACTCCCCCGAAATTATCGCGCAGCTGTTACGCTAGGACCGCGATTGACCAAAGACCGACTTGTACAGGGTGAGTTTCTACATCATATCTTCGATAAAGGGTACTGACTTTGAAAAGCTTGCAACAGGATGAGAGAGCTTGGGAACGGTCAATCGGTTGCATTCTTTATACCTCCCGAGGTTAGGCATAGCTTGAAAGCGAATGACAACGGCAATTTCACTTCCTTTGAGGTGATAGACTGGGTGCTGAAACAGACATGCGCTCACTTGGAGAACCTTCGGCCGCTTTGGGCGTGGCAGGGACTACAGTATTACCGCTGCTTGCAAATCTGGGAAGATTTTAAACCGGAAACGAACACTCTCCAGGACATGGTAACCCAAATCCAGGAGTCAGAGTCAAAGACACTCTCTCAACTTTATGCACCCTGGGAAGACCCTCCATACTGCCTTGACACTCTCCGGGCACTGGCACTTTACGACCAGGCAGCTGGAGAACTCTTCGACGTATGGTATAACTCTTCTACTGCTATCACGATGCTTCATGAAGAGCAAGAGCGAGAGATTACGCAAGAGGTACAAAGGGAGCAGCAAGTCTGCCGGCCACGAGCAGTGACCGCTCTAAATCATTGCGTCCACGGCGATCTCAAACACTTCGTCAGACACGGCCGCTTCCCGGGGCACTTCCGGTCTGAGGCCGTTGGAAAACAACCGCCCTTCATGACCCTTTTGCGAACCTCAGCCGGCAAGTTCAAGGCTCCCTTGGAACTCATGGGCAAACTACTCTATGCCACAGTCGATTTCCTCAAATCGATAGAAGAGGGCGCAAATTCTGTTGACGACGAGTTTCTCAAACCAGTTCACTGGGTCCTCTCTAATGTCCACAGCTCGCAACTTATCATTATAAGCCAGTACGAGGCCAACGCCCTTATTCCCGAGATCCGCAAGTCCGAGAAGGTTACCCTACATATGTACGCCCCACGGACAACCAAGGACATGTGCTCCTTCAGCAAGCTGGACTTCCTTACAATCGGGAAAAAGCGACCGGCGCTACAGATACCACCGGAGCTGATCCAAGCACTGGAGATCTTCTCGGGTAGCCTGTATTTCGACACCTTTGCGGAGTACGAGGCGGCATGCCACTTTTTTGGCTTCATGACTGACAGGACTCGCGACTTGAATGTCCCCGAAGAGTGCGTCACGAGCGAGGGCTTTGTGAACGAGCAAGGGCGCAATCAGGTCGGGTGGCCTGTGAAATCGCCGTTTGAGACAAACCCGCTGCCGTTCCTAAAGGCGTGGTATAGCACTCGAACGAAAGGCCATGGGTTTGCACAGTCGCATGTGGGAACGATCGTTGAGGCGAGGAGGTTGAGCGAGGACCGGTTTTGATATTGCATATATTGTTGCTCTTTACTTACCATCTACCTCAGGATCTTTTGGGTTTCTCTTTTGATAAAGCTCGAGACAAGACGAGATCATCTTTATCTACACTATTTGGCACATACGCTATCAACATGTCTTTAGCTAGACCAGACCGTGGCCGATAGACTTGACTTGCTTCTAGAGACTTAGAACGCAGCAGTTACTTATCACAATTTGCCCCACACTTAGTGGTAAAAAGAAACACATAGGACAGACAACCATATCAGTAAATATAAAGTAAAGGGTATATATATATATCGAAGAACGAAGATGGATTAAAGAAATATATACTAGAATAAGCTAAGAATATGTCTAACAATAACAACTATAGCCAAGCTAGAAGTAGAAGTGGGAAAAAGAAGGTACAAAAAACAGTGCCGACTCCAGTGATGCAAAACCCCGTTCTCTAACCGGCCATCTAAGAGCTCTTCTTTCGTGACCTGGCTGCGAGATCTATCCAGCGGGGAGACTGAGTACGGAGACTCTAGCGTTTCAAGGTTCGAAGGGAAGAAAGGCGTCTATGTCTAATATGTGCACTTGCTTTTGGTTTTGTACGGGATGGCCCAAGATGTATGTACACCGCGCATCCTTATTTTCATCATCGGCAACGAATGCTGTCCACGTATGCGTACGTGTTTTATCTTTGAGGAGCAGTCGTGGCGCAACCACTGACGTGATGTTGATGGGATGTGGCGCGAGGATGTGGTACGATTGGATCACAAAGAAATCTAGGTATGATCAAGAGGCGAGATTAGGGCATTCACCCATTGCGCGCTGAAAGGCGTTGGCAAAGAGATCTTGCATAGCGAGATAGTGGAACAGGATGCCGCCGAGGACAGCAAAGTGCCAGATGTTATGGCTGCCGCCGACGTAGTCGAAGAGACCTGGGCTCCAGCGCTCTGGAATCTGAGAGGCGTAGACGCAGGCACCGACAAAATAAACGAGGATACTCTTCATGACGGGAGCGTAGAAGTACAAACACCAGGAGAAACCGCGAGCGTAGGTTAGCTGAGCGAGAGGCGCGAAGCCAGTAAGGGCCAGAGTAACGTAGAAGGCGACGCGGACCCAGGCCCAGTCAGCACGGTTGAAGGTCGGATGCCACGGGAGAATGACGCCGCCAATCCCCAGAGACATCGTGAGGAGAATGTAGACCCAGCGGGAGGTGGGTTCGCAATAGAAAGCAGTGTATTCGGTTGTGACAATAGAAGCGGCAACGAGCATAGAAATGCCGGTGTAGTCGACACAAGCGAAGCGCTCCATCAACGGTTGGTCGGCGATACTGTTCATTGTGTGCCATAGGGTGCTGCAGACAAGGCATTTGCACGCGGCAAAGAAGAAGACCGCGGATACGAGCATGTCAGCATTCGTACTCAAGTGGAAGTTAGGGTTCAGCGGGTAGAAGTAGAAGGCAATGGAGAGGACGATGACGAGGCCAATTAGGTGCGACCAGATGTTGACGAGCTCGTTCGAAAAGGTGAAGACTGAAGTAAGACATTCCACTTTGGATGAGTGGAATCGGTAGCCGGAGAGGATATGTGGGTTTATCCGCCATGGCGCAGGAAGATCTGAATAACCGATCAAACGTTTCTCTTTAGCGAGTAAGATAGCTCGGTCGATGTTTTCGCGGAGGGCGTCCTTGACCTGGCGGGCTCGTTCAATACCCTCATCCATAACCTCTCTTGCTTGAACCAAGGTAGAGTCAACCGCCTTCCAGCCCTCGTCCAGAGCTCCATAAACGCCGCGATCCCGGACAGCGTCGGCGCGCGATTCCAATTCTATCAAGAAAGACTCCATCAAGCGAACGCCGGCTTGAGCCTTTTGCTCTAACGTTTCCTTTGTCGCGAGCGCATCGTTGTAACGGCTTTCCAGGGTCTCCACCAGGATCTTGGCTCTCTTCTTGCCGCTGCCCATCAGCTCCCCCGATGCATGAGAGCAGGAATCCCTCACAGCTTCTAATGTTGCATAAGCCCTGCGTAGACTGGTGTCGATCTGAACCATGTGGGAACGGCGGTACTGTTCAATCCAATGGAGGCGCCTCTCCAATTCCGTAAGGAAGAGTTCGACCTACCAGCAGTTAGAAGTGCTGAAACAAGAAACATTAAACCGGTCCATACCCTAAGATATATGGCGTCTGCATCGTAGTCGCAGGATAGCTTCCGCGCCGTATGAAATGAGTGTCTTCGCTTGCGGTCTCGGAGCAGAGCGGTCTCCTCGGACGGAGTGGCGTAGGCTGAGGAGACACCAGTGTCGGGGTACGACTCGATGGTCACAGACCCAGTTGAGCAAGCCATGATATAGATATTATCCAGGGCACCCTCCCTATGGAAAATCAAGCGTACATAACCTGTAGAGAAGTTAGACACTGCCAAGTGGCGGCTATTTGACCGGGGACGCGGAAACCAAGGGAGTTGGCGACAGAACTTACAAGAAGACAGCGAAGAGGTGTAAAGATATTAAATAAAGATAAAGAAGGTAGGAGATTCGAGGATATAGTGAGGAGAATGAACGTCGTCTAGACGAGAGGAGAGCAGAGAGGTGAGGAGGAAGAGAGTCTGGTCCGCGGGAGGTTGGCCTTGGGAGGAAGAACAAGGCCGAGAGTGGGGTAGACTCCATTAATTAATTCTCAACATCGTTCTTTTTCGTCTCCAACAATTAGGTCCGACAGCAACGGTTCATCTCCTTGTAGGGCGACATTGTCGATCATTGATCAGGTGAATTGGCTACATCGGTACCCGTCTCTTCAGTCCAATCCGTTGGCGCGTTCTCTCCACGTTCAAGCCACCATCCCGCCGACAACTCCCCAAGTGCTTCTATCCGCCGTCGTCATTCGTTGTTCGCCTCATCATTTGCCATCGACGTCTACTCGCCATGGCTGCAACTGCTATCAGAGATATCGTCTCCGACCCCTCACTGCTGCCCGTCCTAAACACTGCCGCCGAGACTCGGGATCTCTGTCACAAACTATTGTCCTTGTTGGACCCGTCAATCGCCCCCGACCAGCTATCTGAATCGCCGCATACAGTACAGAAGCATCTGTTTGCTCTTCTCGCGCAGCTCCGAGGTCAGAATCGTGATGCCATTTTCCGGGTTCGAGATACAAAACAGCGCACCGCGGAGGCACGGCAGGAGATCGACCGGTTACATTTACAGCTTCAGAATTTGTATTACGAGCAGCGACACTTGACGGGAGAGATTGCCGCTTGCCAGTCCTACGAGTATGCCGCATCCATTAACTGTTTCAGCGCTTCTTTTTAACCGGACCTTTATAGTCATAAATATCGGTCGCTTCCTCTGATACCGGTGGAGGAATTCCTAGAGCTGCATCCTGAGCACCGCGAGTCGGACGAGCACGAATTGATGGTTGCGCGAATAAACCACGAACATGCAGAACGGGAGAAGCTTGAGCAGGCACGGCAGGAGCTTCTCAAGCGCAAGCAGGCTCTGATTACGGAGAATAACAAGCGGAAGGAGGATCTAGCCAGCCTCGATCAAGATCTCGAGAAGTTCATCGATGTGCGCTTTTTCTGTGATGATGTATCCGCAACAATGCTAACGCTGTATCCAGGCTGCGAAACCCATACAGAAGCTATTCGAAAAGGAATACTAACCACGATCACATGCGGAGTTGCTTCATCTTCCGCCACACATTGCATGGAGTCCTTGGCGCATCGGTTTGATACCCAGAAGTGTAGATATTTTGATCAATTAATATATTCGATAACCATTGTCAATAGTCCGCGGATAGTCATTTTCAATAAGAACCTACTCCCGTAAAACTGAGCAAAATGTGCTGTATACTTCGTATCGCGGTAATCATTGCGCCTCTCCGCCTTCAACCGCGGACTCAACCACCACTTGGCTTTCTACGTCTCCCTCACATCGGACTCACCCACTCCACTTCCATTTCTCAGTGGATGCGGCCAAATCTTTGCCTCAGAAGCATGTCCTGCCTGTCATGAGCGCAAAGCAAGAAGACCTCGGGTCTTCGCAACCTGACATGACATCAAAAACCTCCGCTTCCACTCTCCCCCCTCCGGAGAAGCCCAATGCAATCCAGACTCGGTTCAAGGTTGTGGCAGCCTTTTGGGCCGTGATACTCTTTCTAGGCTTCCCAATATGGTGGAAAACGACTTCTATTTACCGTGCTGAATTGCCCATCCAAGAGATGCTGGACTGGGCTGGCGGAAAGGTACCCCTTAGAGCACCACGGTTTCCTTGCGGACTGAGCTGATTGAATCCTTGTACCCAGAGCTGTCGTCCTGTATTCCCACTCGAGATCCGAATCGACACACCGTCCCTGCCGGATGTCGAAGCGCAGCAGCTTCTTCGCTTAACTCAACATACCTTGGACGATTTGAACGAATTCTCCGCGCATCATCTACGCTTGAAACTGGCCAATGAGGAGGCTCAACAGACAGCCGTGAGGGCTGATACGGCGCTGACTGTCCGTCTGCAAGCACAGGATGACCTACCGAGCCTTCGCTCGGAGCTTCACGCAGAAACGACCATGCTTGATATATTTTATTCACCGAGTCAGATCCCTCCGCCATCTTCGTCCAACTCGCCTCTCGCGTCGTTCATTGCCGCCGAATTGCAGCGTTTGTTTGCAGAGGAGAAGGCGATCATGGCACACATTCTGTCAAGTAATGCAGTGGGCAACTCAGCTCCTTCGTCAAACAGCCAGGCGCAGCAAATTTCTCCGCAACTGGCGGAGAGCATTACGAAGCGGCTGAGACGGTCGATGAAGTATGCAGAGACGTATCATCTCGCATTTTCCCTGTTTACTCCCGGGTCGGCTCCCTCCTCATGGGACATTGAATCCGCTGTACAGGAATACATCTCTCCAGTCATCCAGGAGCTGTCCCCAATCAGCAACTTCACCGTCGACACCCAGGTCCAACTCTACGCATCCTTCTCACCCACTACGCCTGCCCCTGAATTCGACGAGACGTATGGAGTCTGGACATTGAAGGAAGAGAACCTCAGCGCCTTCATCAATGCCGCAGAATGGCCTTTGAACCCAAGTATCGGTAGTGGCCCAACAATCAACTTCATTCTCTACGTACCGGCCCCCTCCCAGTCGCCCCTCGTCGTCAAGGAAAGCAAAGCCACCAGCTGGATTATCCCGCAATGGGGCGGCGTCTTCATCCTCAACCCTCCCCTCCCTACAACTGAGGACTCAGACAAGTCCAACCTACTCCATCTTCCCCGCGACGCCCTCCGCGCCCCCTTCCTCACCTTCTCCCACCAACTGCTTAGTCTCCTCGGCACCCCCTCAACACCGTCTTCTCTCCCATTCCGCCTGCAAACCCTCATCCGCATTCGCGCCGCTACCCTCCTCCTCTCCGCTTCCTCGACAACGGGCTCCCTTGCCCGTCTGACAGAGTCCCTTCCATCGATCCCTATCCCAGCGACAGTTGCGTCATCCGTCGCAACGACACTCTCTCACCTCTCATTTGCGTGCGAAAACCTACGGAACGGACAGTTCCAGGCTGCGCTAGCGAGTGCCCGTGTCGCAGAGACGGAGGCCGAGCGGAGCTTTTTTGAGAAGAGTATGGTGGGCCAGATGTACTTCCCTGATGAGCATAAGGTCGCTGTCTATTTGCCGTTGTTGGGGCCCATTGGGGTTCCGTTGATACTGGGCTTGTTGAAGGAGGTTAAGAGAGTTGTTGCCGGGTGGAAAGCTAGGAGGCAGGGATCTGCTTCATGATAGACTAGATCATCTGTTAACAAATTTTTGTGCCATAGTGCCTTTTTTCAGATTCATAACATTGTCAATATTAATTCGAAGGGAATATCTTGATTATATATCTGCTAGCCTGTTACACTGATCAATCTAGAACGGATGACGCAAACTATGCTCGCTAAATGCCAAAGCAAAACCACGAAAGGGAAAGCGAAATAGATGGAGAAATACTTCTAGAACGACGCACAAAAGAACGTTGATGCTGGATGTAGACCAATGAAATGCGAAGACACTCAATAAGGCAACTGCTTCCTCCTTCCCAGCTTCTGCGGCGGCGGGAGCAAAAAGCGCTGTGTTGTATTGTCCCCAGCCGTGCTGTTGGTCTTGCTGTTCGCACCGCTAGCTGACACGGACTCAGCTCGCATTTGTGCCTGTGCTTGATCCAGAATCTCCGTTAGGGTCGTGTTGGGTCGCTGCTCAGCAGGGTATGGAGATGGATTGAGGGTCGGTGTGTTCGAGAATACACCAGGGGGCGTGTAGACGCGGATACTCTCCGTGCTGGGCTGGCGACTTGGTTGGCGCTGACGAGGCGGTGTCACAGGTAATGAGAGAATAGCTGGAACTGGCGGCACAGCGGGTATATCATCGTCTGGGACAGCAGGCGCGTGTTGGGCCTTCGGGGACGCGCTGAAGAGGCTCTTTACGCGGGACCTGCTACGCGAGAGGACGGAGCGGGAGTCATCAGAGCTGCGCTTGGAGTTTCTCCCCAGCAAGAAGTCTGTGCGGAACGAGCTCTCATCGGAGGGGATCGGATCGGATATGCCGATTAGGGTTCCTGTGGACTTGCGGAAGGTGTTTTGCGCCACCTTTTCTCCTGGTGGCAGGTTGTTTCGCCGTTGGCGCCGGATGCAGACTGTGACGAGGAGGGCGGCTACGGCGCCGAAGACAGTGCCAGGGAAGAAGCCTGCTAGGACAGCGTTGGTTGGGAATCCGGGACAGGAATATTCGGCTTCTGCTGCGGATAGATTGTTGCTTGATGCGGTTGAATACTGAGATAGCGTGGGGCTTGGTACTGCAGTACTGGGGTTTGATTCTTCCGTCACTGTTGACAGGTCATCTGCAATGGTGAGTGGAGAATCGGTTGTTGTTCTAGTAGTTGTGGACGATTCAGTGGCCGACTGTGTTGGGGATGCTGTGAGTGACGCCGTGGACGGTTCTGTGGACTCTGACGTTGACTCTGACAAATACTTGGTTGATGGCTCTATCGATGATTCCAATGTAGCTACAGAGGCGGAAGTAGTCGTACTCCTTGTAGAACTGGCAGATGAAGACGAAGATGCTGTATCGTCCATGGCGCAGAAGCTGCCTTGACAAGTATATCCGAACGGACAGCACGCATTCCCGCACGTAGGCAAGTCGTCGTCCAGTCGAGTGGTTTTGATAACATTGTCTGGATGAAGGCTTGCGTCTTGCTTTGCCACGTCGCAGGTGATGGGCTGGATATAGGTACAGTCCTGACCTTTTGGACAACAGATAACCGAGCCTCCACTGTCCAAACTGATGCAGGTCGATGAAGAGGGACAACAGAAGTTATCCGGCAAGCCACCGCCGGTACATTTCTGCGATGAGCCGGAGCAGCTGCTTGCTCGTTTGGGATGTAGTAGCCCGCGGTGCGTGGATGCATTTGCAGTCAATATTGTCAGCAGCATCACGATCGATTGCCTCACAGAGACACGGTGCGTAAGAGACCTGGTCATTGTCTGGGAGTCCCGGTCGAAGCTGATAGCTGTTGGCAGATAGTAAATATTATGAAATTAGGCGAGGAAATATGCTTTCCAGAGCAATCCAGGTATATTTTTGAAAGAACTGCAACAATGAACTGAACTGGATTAAAAGGAAGAAGCATCACACGAGAGAAACAAATGGGCCAAATGCTTTTATCGGGGAGCGTTAGGTATTTGTCGCCCAAGAATGCCTCTTGCATCACGGTACAGAAACATCCCACGACCAGGCTCCGGTAGGCGCCGTAGTCTTAGAATAGAGACAGCAGATGGAGCTCATAGTTGCTGGTCTAATAGCATCAAGTGAACAAGCGCCGGGTAGATGGGGCTATGGGGTGAGCCATCATGGGCCCACACAGTGTCGTGGTGCGACAGATCAACAAGGCGCGTAGGGAGATGAACTGCCTGCAGTGGAAGGAAGTATGGAGGTTGACTCTTGAGAGACGTAAATAATCCTGGAGGGCTGTCAGGAACAGAGGCAATCTCCGCCCAATGATTGGCTCCCGTTGGCGCCCGGTTACCTCAGCCGCGCCAAACCCAATTGGGAACCAGCGAGGAAATTCTGCCGATGGCAGTCGAGAAAGCTGCGAACTGGACCGTCGGACGGATTCCTTGCGGCTTTCACTCCATATACCCTATCACCATGCTCAATCGAATCTTCCGGCCGCAGGCTTCGCTGCGGGCTGCCTCCGCCTTCTCTCAGGTGAGCCGCCATTCCCCAATCCGCCCCTTCTACAACACAAAGTAGCTAACATGTCGCGCGTTAGAAACCCATCTCCGCCGCTCTCCCACGCTTCCAGACTCGAACATTGCATAATGTACCCAGCTTAGTACACAACCCATACTTCAGGGAACATGGCGTTCCGGAATTCTTGACTCCAGAGGCATACGACTTCGCCTGGACACAATATCAGGGTCTCATGATTGATAAACTCAACTTGATGACTCAGGGTAAGCCCACCTCGGACAGCCGATACGGCGGCATACCCTCAGGCGTGGCAGGAGATACAAATCGGACAGCATAGAAGCTGACACCTTTCGCAGACACCGTCGATGCGGGCATGAGTCCCGCAGACTTGGTGATCAAGTACTCCCGTCGTCCGGAGATGGCCTCCGTGTTCAACTATGCCTCAATGGCCCACAACAACCACTTTTTCTTCAGCTGCCTTGTGAGCATTAGCCTTACCATACCGGTCGTAACTTTCTAACAGAACTCTTCCAGTCCCCAACCAAAACCGAAATCCCCGAGAAGTTCGCCAACGAGATCACCAAATCATGCTCCTCCGTCGAATCCCTCAAGCTCGACTTCCTCGCAACCGCAAACGCCATGTTCGGCCCGGGTTTCGTCTGGCTCGCCAAGAACATCGAGCGCGACGGCATGCTGCACATCTTTTGCACCTACAACGCCGGCTCCCCCTACCCGGCCGCTCACGCCCGCCGCCAGCCCGTCGACATGGCCACGCACCCACTCGATTCTGCCCTCGGTAATACGTACGCCGGCGCGTTTGGTACACACTCGTCCAACCAGAAGAACTATGCTCCGGGCGCTGCCGACGTTGAACCCATTCTGTGTGTCAACACGTGGGAGCACGCGTGGATGATGGACTACGGTATCGGGGGCAAGGCGGCGTACCTGGAGCGCTGGTGGGACCGGATCAACTGGGATGTTGTTGTTGAGAACTACGAATCCGTTAGCGGAAGGACTCCCCGGGCTTCAAGCAGCGTCTACGACAAAATTAGAACGAATTAGGCACCAGGCGGGTGTTTGTTCTAGAAATTCTAGAAATTGTATTATATACCTGGTCAGCATTATTCATCTAATGTACAGCGATATCGCGTAGAGCTATAAAAACAAACCAGTTCGCCTTGCATGTCTATCATATAATACATCTATACCACCCATCTATACCTAGCCGTGCCCATATACCGAAAAATCACCGTCCATGCACCTCCCGAATTCTCTTCTCAAACGCCTCAATCATAATCCGCGCCATCTGCCCCTCCACCGCACTCATCATACTCACATACAACTGATTCTTAAATTCAAACCGAATCTCCAGTTTAACCGTGGTGCTCGCCTCAGCCTCAGGAACCAATTCCCACCGCGTACTCAAATATTCAAAGATCCCCTCATCCGCGCCCGGAAACCCCGCAAGGCTAGCCAACGCCCCTAACCCGGACGCCTCTTTCTTCGGTGCTTGCTGAACAAACCGCTCGCCACTCCTCGCCTCAACAACCCATCTCGCGCGGTCACAGTCAACCTTTGATGTGAACGTCTCGCTGAGAGGCCCGTATCCGACTGTTAGGTATGCCTGGCTCGGAAGACCTGTTTCGGAGTCACGTGCTGTGACGGTTGAGGCCGTGAGGAAGGGCAGGAATTGCTCGTAGGATTCGACGGAGGAGATAACGTTGAAGAGGGGTTCCGGCTTGTAGGGGAGTGTTCGGGAGGCGGTTAGGATGCGGGCTTTGTCGTGCCCATTGTTGTTGTTGTTGTTGTTGCCATTGTTGGATGATTGAGGGGGGGAGGGGATAAATGAGGAAAGGAAGGTTCGTTTTTGGTCTCGGCGGTGGAATTGCGGCGAGAGGTTTTGGAAGAAACGAAGTTGTTGCGATTGCGATTGCGATTGCGATTGCGCGGTGGGAGTATTATAGATGATGCGGCATCGTGCGAGTTCGGGGCGGATGGTGGAGGGCCCCGGGACGTGGGAGAGGGCACGCGGTGCGAAGAGGCGGTTCATCATGAGAAGGGTGTAAGAAGGATGGTTCACTAGTGGTTATTCCCTTATCATTTGCTGGCTGCGAAGCATATCGAGAATCTTGGAGATGATGTTCTGGAATTGTTCTCGAATGTTTAGTCAGCTGGTGCATAATTCTAGATGCATATACTCCGGGTAAGGGACGTACTACTCCGTACAGGGAACATTAATTAGTTGCCCCCTAGGACAGAATCATTATACTTGTTTGGTGTGGTTGCGACTATGTGTATAAAGCTAGCATATATTATGGAAGCACTTATCTCGGCGGTTGTTTGCTTCTATTCTTACTATTTCCGTAGACCATTTACGGAGAAGGGTTGAAACAAATAGATGTGAAAGTCCCTGACTATGGGTATAAGTTATGATCAGCTGATAGCAAGCTTCAACGCCAGTATAAAAGAGAATGGTTTCAAGTGGTCGCACTCGTGCCAAATTCAATGCCCATACCACGACTCATCGCCGTTCATCACATGGTTTGGTCGATTCTGGATATGTTGGTCCCAGAGTTGCTACAGCGGTTAGATATACCATCAAGGCAAAGATTATGCATAAACGTACCCAATCAATGTTGGCAGGCGTATCAAGCATCTCCCCTATCACGTCCAGCGATGCGTATTGCGTGTCTATGGTAGGTATAGGCTCTGGCGCCATGTTGGCAGATACAGAGAACAACGGGTTTTCTAATGTTCCTGCATCTAGACTGGGCCAAGCATCGTATGGTGGCGGCTCTATAGCTTGATTAGCATAATATACATATGTAAGGCGGAGTGGCTCACCATTGATTACTTCGGTAGGTTGAGTGACTGTCGTTGTAATTGGTACATTGGTCTTCGGCGGCGGTATGGTGTGCAGACCGCGCTTAATCCTCCCGAGCATGACGGTTAATGCTGCGTGTGCCTTCTGAGCATCGGCGGATTGCTTTCGTAGGTCGTGCAGTATCTGATGGGAGTTCTCAAGAGTTGATATTAGTTCCTCCCGGTCTTTGGTAACGACGGCCACGTCGTCGTTTGGCATCACCTTGGCCATTGTAGCGTGACTATAAGACAGTTCCATGCAAAGAATCATAGCCGCAAGCAGGTAGTCTGTATATTGGATCGAGTTGGGAAATAATCTGTTCCTGTACATGAGCCCACCAGGTTGGATCTCACGGTACAAATCTGTATGAACACGAAGAATCTGTTTCGCGGCTGTAATGCACACCACGCGCGAGTACGCGTACCGCATGTTCGTATGCACTTCGCCCAAGTACCTTCGATGAAGCACGCAGCGAGCCTTTTGATATACATTTGCAAGAGTGAACCGCTGGAAGATCAACTCCGGAGGATCTGCAATGCACTGGTTGATTGGCCGAATGTGGTATGCTTGAGGCTTAAGACTGTTTGCTTCTTCCAACTGTCTGTCGACTTCCAAGGTCTCTTCGTAGGTTACAGGTCTCCGCGAGAATGCCATATCCAGAATTTTCCCGAAGACAAACATTATACGCGATTTGGCAATGACGTACGTTGATGTAGTAATTTCGTTCATCGGCCGAGACGGAGGCAGTTGCAGCGAGTTTTCGTTGAAATCCTCATCCATCAGGTTCCGTGGCAGCTCCGTGTCAAACTGCCAGTCTTGTAACGTCCGTGGCACGCCGACCTCAAAAGAGAGCAACGCATCAAGTTGACAGAGAAATACCCATGTGCGTCTTCGCATCTCTCCGTCAAATGCAGATATAGCCGGAAACTGTGATGGATCACGGTGGTAACCACTCCGCATTGCCAACTTGATTGTAATCCCTAGTAGGAAAGGGACTCCTGTTTCCACGTCATGCTTCTTGTAGAACTCGCTCATAGTATAAAGGAACAGTGCTTCAACTTTGTACCGCCCTGCAGCAATGTAGTTGGACTGGACAAGACACTGGGCACTCCTCTTTCTGAAGATGCTGGCGATTTCACCGTAGTCCCCAGCTAAACCGTGTATCGGGTCTCCGGTCCGTTGATAAAACATAGTGCTCAATGTCATGATTGCATACAGCATTCCGAGCCATGGCAGTGAAACGTCTTGTGGGTTCGACCAGAATTTGTTGTACTATAGAACATTAACCGGCCATTCAAGACATGCGAAGGCGCAGTGTTGGACATACCTCTTTTTGAAACATAGGAATGTGAAGGATGGCTGGAACATCTTAGCATGCACAAATTGTCAAAGAGCGGGAATACTTACTGACAATTGGTTCTTTGGAGATCAGATAATAGGAAACCAGCCTGTCTGTGATTTGTCGAACCGGCATATCAGATAATAGCTCCTCCTTGCTCGTCGGCCTGCTTATTCCAAACCAGATAGTGGGTTCTTTGCCACTTGAACTATCATCGTCGATAACTTCTTCATCATCCGACAGATCAGTGTTTTCCTGTAATGACTGCTTGAACTCGTTTATCTGACAGTGCGTTAGTGGAGATTGGTGGGAGTGTCAACTGGGAACTTACCTCTTCAAGAATGGCCTTCCAGTGTGCGCTGTAGATATAGTTGGTCACGGTATCTTTTACCAACAGCTTTCCATCCCCGCCAGAAGGAGAATCTTCCCTTTCAGGTGACGTTCCCTCAAGTTTCGGCGGCGAAGGGGGCGTTAGCACCACCTGCCCTCTAGCAGACAGCTCAGACGCTTGTAACGGATATGAGGGAGAAGACTCTTGGTTGTGAGGGTCTTCCTGCTTCTTCTGCTGTGCAAAAGACATAATCAAGTTCTCGAGATGCTGTAAGCGGTCTTGGACATGCGTCGGGCTGGCCCGGCCATGGGATGACCTTCCTCGAGGCCCGCGGCCGACAAAAGTACATGAGTTGCCCTCTCCTCTCTTCAAGCAATTGGTGCAAGGGTGTGTGCGACAACATTTCAATCTGTAAGGCTGATCAGTAATCGCATCTCAAACATTTGAGGCGGACTGTGATGAACACACTTGCGACTTCGGCAGGCTGTGCAAGATAGCTGTACTCTCGTTCTCTTTCTGTCTTTTGACATGTGAGCGGTGTCAGTGGGTTGAAGGTCGGCCATCTCAGCGTGCTCGGATGGGACGCGGAGTACTTGAATGAACTAGGCAAATAATAACAGATGCAACTCCGGAGTTCGGAATATCCAGGTACGATCTGAGATCTGGGATAGATTTCCGATGAGGAGAAAGCAATGTCGGTCATGAGGTCAAGTTGTGTTGGACGTCAGCCACTGTCAGGTCGGACTTCTTGTTTTATCTCCGTCGCTAAACCCCGTATGTACTGGTCCGGAACTTTATCACAACGTCCAGAGTTTTGACAGGCATACTTCTAAGACTAAGGTTATAGATTTCATGTCCATATTGAGGTTTGGACGCTATCGAATTCATTTCTATATATCTAGAGCTTCGCACGGTAAGCCGAGCGAATGTAATCTAGTCCTGGTGGCCCATCATAGATCTGCTGCTCCACAACCCGGGTGTTGACCTGCCACAAGGTCAGTAATTATAAGACAGCGAGGAAGAAAAGGGAAATGCTTACATGGTGAGGTCCCAATTGTTCTACGCGCTCGCAGCCAAGCAAGCGCATGGTTGTGGCTGTCTCATCGGCCAGAACTAGATACAGTCAGTAATTTCCAATCGATACGAAGCGCAGGAGCCATACTCTGTAAGGTGCGCTTGACACCCTCGACGCCGCCAGCTCCCAGACCCCATAGAGCGGGTCTTCCAATTCCCACAGCTTTCGCACCAAGGCAAAGAGCCTTCACTACATCGGTTCCACGTCGAATTCCACCGTCAACCCAAACCTCAAGCTTGTCAAAGACCTCGGGGCAATATTTCCGGATTTCTAGCAAAGTATGCACCGCTGGGGGCGCAGTATCAAGAGCTCGTCCGCCGTGGTTTGAAAGAATGATACCCTTGATTTGCGGGCCGTGGAGTGATGCGATATATGCGTCTTCGTGCGTCTGGAGGCCCTTGAGAATAATAGGTAGATCGGTATGCTTTTGCAGCCAAGGTAGAGTATCTCTCCAAGTGAGTGTCGGGTCTGTTCCCTGGAAAAGCTGCCTCCCGACGCCGCTCTCCCCTTGGCCAGCACCGGCTGCAGCGTTGCCACGCTCATCATCTTCTCGTTTACCAGGAACCGGTGCGTCGAGAGTGAGAACTACAAACTTAATTGCCTTGAGCTTGTTGATGCGCGCCAGCTGGATCTCACTCTTCTTACGATCCGTCTGCACATACAGTTGCCATCCGAAAATCTGATCGGGAGCGGCATTTTCAACAATCTGTTCCGGAGTCATAGAGGCATTGTTCGAGATGATCTGCATCGCACCAAAGCTGCGACAGGCTTCTGCTATCCCCGCCTCACCGGCCGGGTTACCAAGACGTGCCATGGCTGCGGGAGAAACGAAGATCGGTATGCCTAGTTTGTATCCGAGGGCCGAAATATCTAAATCGCATTTAGAACAGTCGAGGAATACCCGCGGTCGAAGCGTAATTGATCGATAGACGTCTGTGTTGAAGTGTTTCGTGATCTTGTCGTCGGATGCGGAATAGTAGTACGCCCACGCCTTTTTGCTGACTTTTTCGGTGGCCAATTTCTCGATATCGTCCATGTTTAGAAGTGCCTCCATGGGCACATCCTCTTCCTTCTTTTTCTTCTCCTCTTGCGACTGAGTAGCATCGGCCTTTGGCTTCGGTAACGTCGCAGTATCCACCGTCCCTAGGAAAGCCTCTGGCTTGAGGTTCTCCTCTAAAATCCCTGGGGGGTGAATGGGATCATATTCTTCGGTGGCATCCTGGCCCGAAAGCTTGAGAATGATTTTGGAGCCACCAGGGTGCTCCGAGAGAAAATCGGTCACCTGCCCGGGTAAATCGTTAGCAATTTAGCACTGTTCGGGGACGCTGCATGCGATGGAGACACGCACATCATATACTTTCCCATATAGAATCACCCAGCAACTATCTTTAGTATTGTGTTTTGCGACTGCGGTAGAGTTAACAGCAGTCGCGCATGAGGATTGTCAATGTAGAACCTACCCTCGGCCGCATCGAACACCTTGCTCATCTTCGCCAACCACGATCGTTCCAGCGATTGGGTAGAATGAAGGAAGAGAAACAAGGAAGAGAGTTGTGTAAAAGAGAAAAAAGCCAGGCCGACCTGTCGTTGGAGTCGGTCTGATCAGCCCTGGCCTCTTTTCGCTCCGCGCCCAAGCACGGGGTATTTTCGCCCGAGCACCCCCATCAAGGCTCGGACCCATCTCCGACGGTTGCTGCGGTCTGGATAAGATGTGGGGAAGTCCAACCAAAGATGGGGGCGGCAAATGTTGCTCTATCAGGCAATCTCGATAGCCGACAGTGCGAGGAATTGATAATGTGGCAGCATGATTGGTGGGAAAACTGATCTTAAGAAGAGTACAGATGCCGGCCCAATAAGAAGCGTGGCTCGCCAGGAGGAATTCCGCAATGAGGTCAGAGCTCTGATGGATGGAGAGTCTTTGATGGAGTATGCTCTTTACTCAGCTTTTTCGAAGACTGAAAGCACGAATCTGACTACTCCAAAGGTGCGATTTTTGGCTGTCGCAGGTGGTTGTGTCTTGTCTATCTATGCTTAGCGCGAGTCAATGAGCTAACAATGCTTTTTCGTCGTCCACGTGAGCGATGCAGCTCTAGCTAGCTAAACTCGCTTCCTGCGCGACCACTTAACCATCGTCATCATCTCACCCTGATGACTTAGTGAGATCAAGGATCCCGCAAAGACTGTTATCTCCGCGACCTGCGTACTCGAATGCACTGAGGCACTTCCCAGCCCACCATGTTTGAGGTAAGCTTCTCCACCTGGAGCAGTCGTGTTACTACTCATGTACTGTACCATGCCAGCCGATCCCTGTCACCTGTTTAAAACCTGTGACATAAAGCTAAGGCTGCCAGCGTCGCGCGGCAGATCGATATCGCCTACGGATGCACCGTGCCCGTACAGTGGCGTTGACGAACGATGAGATCGTGGAAGTGCGGGCGGCACAACGGACCTTCGAAGGCGCCTATATCCGAACAGCCCTCTCTCAGTTCTCGTTTTCCCTTGTGGTTCTCAAGATTTTCACAAACGAGTTCTACAGCACTGGGGCATTATTCGCCGTCTACGGTACAGGGGTACTTATAATCGGCCTTTTCCGACGGCAGCAGGGCAATCGACAGTTCTTCTCCGAGGTAGGGAATGACGGAGTTCAACGCCACAAGTTCAGGACAAGCGGAAATGCGGTGGTCATCTTGACTGCCTTGAGTATCGCCGCTTACGCCACGCTCATCGCCTTGACACTTCGGCTGGACAGGTAGGCCCGATTTACCTGGGCTTGCGTGGCTGAAGGAATGTACACGAGCATCACGGCAATTTCTTTCTAGATGCCGGCATGTATTCCCAGCAGGAGCGTGACTGCCAAGCGCCAAGCATCCCGCAGCATGCGATAGCTATGGGCCCCTTACCCACGTCAACAACGGTCATACTTGAGAAGTCGGAGGCTCGGAGCGGGACAAGGCGATGATGACCCTTGATTCGGAGATCATGAGACTGTCCACAGGGCCGGTGCCAAGAATCAGGAGCATATTCCGATGGTAGTGAAACCACACAACTCGGCGGATAGACTGCGCGTTACACCAAAGTAGTTCGGATGACAACGCCTCACTGTAGGCCATAAGGCGGCGGCTTCCGAGCTCTAAAGGCGCAAAACTCGCTCAGCCTTAATCGCATCCCCCGGGCGACAGGGTTTGATGCTCGATACGGAACATGGTTCGATGTCGCATCAGCCAGCGGACGTGGGCCAATGGGCATTGGATGGAGGCGAAACCACAGGAAACAGCGTACAAGCGAACGGGCTTTACTCCGGAATAGTGAGATCTCGAGGGTCATTGCTTGGCAGACCAGGTTCCTGGTGTAGTTGAACTGGATTGTGGCATATACCAGCTTATCGTAGTGCACCCTTACTTGGGCCAAGCATTCTGTATCCGCTGTGTGGCCATCAGGGGACCAGAGCCAAGCCAATAACTTTTTTTGTGATCTACAGTACATGGTAGAACCCAGAACATCCTCAAAGTTGGGGCAGTAAAAAATAGCATGGAGTAAGATAGCCGATGGATACGGAGTATGAGGTGTGGACCTGGCACACACTACTTAAGCAGTCCCTCGTCTCGAGCGCATCACAATTGCTTAGGCTTGACATCATCGCAGTTAATCCGGCTCACCTGCTGTTTATTAACAGTGAAAGCGACCTTTAGCACAAAGAGACATCAACTGATACCCTGCAATATCACCTGCTATATACCGGACCTATAATATTGTCTCCTGTCCGCAGGTGTTTAAGTTGTTGGCAGTAAGAGCCTGTTGTGTTCACAGTTCTGTGATCCGGGTTGACTCATCCACCCACCACGAGCTCCCCTCTTCCTGATTGCAAAGTCTTGCCTCCCTTTATTATTCACTACCTGCTAAACTGTGCACTCCAGCTTGTTAGGCACTTTTGATCCTGCAGTTGGCTGCGTTGTTAAAGCTTTCTGCTCCCAGCCGGGAATTTTTTCTTTTTTCCAGTCGTGACTCGTCCTACCTTAACACACATATTGGCTGCAAATCCCTGCGCCACTCGCGGGGAATGGCCCAACATACTGACATTGCCCGCTCTGCGATCATGACGAGTGCTTCCAGTTCCCCCGACCATTCTCGCAATTCCAGCTCCAGCAAGAACGTGAACGGTACTGCGTCCAACGGCAAGCCGAAAACTGATAAGGATGCCAATTTGATGCCCCCTCCGAAGACTGTTGCCGGAAGAGCGCTAGGGAATGACCTGCATTCCGATTCCCACAAGCATTCGCGGCCATCCAGGGATGGTGTCGGATTCGCCCTAACAGACACTCCGATTTCTACCGCACCTTCGTCTCCACAGTTGTAAGTCATATTCTACCCCGTTGGCTGGTTTCTGTTTTGTCTGCAGTGTTTTTGTTTTGTGTCCAGAGCTTGTTCGCGGTCTAGAATCGCTCTTTGTGCTATTCCTGTGTGCCTGACGCTCATTGTATGTCGGGATATTCTCAGCACTTGTGGACCCCTATTGCATATACTATTATACCTTATCGTATCCCTTGCAGTTTTACTCCATTGCCTTGCTATCATTTCTTTGTTATCTTACCGGCATCTTATCTGACAAATCTAATCGTCGACAGTGTCGCTTCAAGTCAGGCTTCGACACCAAGCCGTGTCCGTGCGACCACCCTTGATATCCCCGGCCTTACCAAATCTAAAGTCTCGCCTGATGGACGAATTGCTCAACGGGACCTCGGCGCCAAGCTGGTCATCGTCATGGTCGGCCTGCCTGCCCGAGGCAAGAGCTATGTCACGAAGAAACTCGCTCGTTACCTGAACTGGCTTCAACATGATACCGAGATTTTCAACGTCGGAGAGCGTCGCCGTGTGGCTGCGGGGAAGTCGCCGGCTGCACCTCACAGGAATAGTTCTGTTCAGCAGGAACTTGTTGACTCTGTACGGCGTCTCAGTGTTAGTGTCGGTGGGATGACCTCTGCGCAGAATGAAACGGTTCCTGCGCCACAGAATGATTCCCCTCCTGAGCTCAACGCTCTACCACCTCCTGTTGTCCCTCCTACTAAGATTCTAGTCAATGGAAAGGAAGCGGATGGTCCCATCGTTGTTCCTGCGAGCGAACTCCCACCTCAAGATCAGCAAAAGATCGTCGAGGCGTCTCCGGAACCAATGGACCAGTCTGCAAACTTCTTCGATCCAAAGAACCAAAAGGCTCTGAAGCTGAGAGAGCAAGTGGCATTGGAGACGCTGGACGAACTGCTGGACTACGTTTTGGAAGAAGGTGGCAGTGTGGGTATTCTGGACGCGACCAATAGTACACTGGAGCGCCGCAAGGCCATTATGGACCACGTTCGCAAGCGTGCTGGCCCAGAGCTTGGGGTTCTTTTCCTCGAGAGCAGTTGCGAGGACCCCGTGCTTCTGGAAGCGAATATGCGCTTGAAGCTGTCCGGACCGGATTACAGGGATCAGGATCCTGTTAAGGCTCTCGAAGATTTCAAGAAGCGTGTCGCCTTGTATGAAAAGTCCTACTTCCCCCTTGGGGACTATGAGGAGTCGTTAAACATGCCGTACATCCGCATGATTGACGTTGGTCGCAAAATCGTCTCACATCAAACCCACGGTTTCCTTTCCTCCCAGGTGGTATACTACTTACTCAACTTCAACCTCTCGCCGCGACAGATATGGATTACTAGACATGGCGAGAGCAAAGACAACCAGGCCGGGCGTATTGGTGGTGACTCCGCACTCAGCGAGAATGGCCATCGGTACGCCGAGGCTCTCACGCGGTTCATCAATGAAAAGCGAAAGGAGTGGGAGTTAAATCAGAGGCAAAAGGACATGATGTCGCAAATGCCACCCCGTGCTGGAGACAGTACGCCCCCAAACCCCTCGTATATCCCTCGAGATCGACCACGAAACTTCTGTGTTTGGAGCTCGATGATGCAGCGCACAGTCCAGACCGTCGAACATTTCAACGAAGATGACTACGATGTCAAGCAGATGAAGATGCTCGATGAGCTCTACGCAGGCGAAATGGAAGGCTTGACGTACGATCAGATCCGCAAGAAATTTCCCGACGAGTACGCAACCCGCAAGAAGAACAAGCTGTACTACCGCTATCCCGGCCCTGGTGGCGAGGGATATCTGGACGTCATCAACAGACTTCGAACCGTCATCATCGAAATGGAGCGAATGACCGACCATGTGCTTCTTGTCACTCATCGCTCCGTCGCACGTGTTCTCCTGGCCTACTTCCGCGGTCTAAAACGGGACGAAGTTGCCGATCTAGACGTGCCTTTGGGGATGTTGTATATGTTGGAGCCTAAGCCTTACGGAGTGGAGTTCAAGGCCTACCGTTATAGTGCGGAGAGAGACACCTTTGACTATATCCCCGATTTTCAACTCTCACAAGCAACTCATCCTTAGAGCTATCTATCGGTAGCGGTTGTTAGACTTATACGCACCGCATCTCTGAGACATCTCTGTTTTCTTCACGACACGCTTATGACTTATGGCGGTATTGTTCGATTTTCCCTCTCCTCTTCTTGTCGTGTCTTCACTGCTCAGGCGCTGGATGGCTTGTTCGAATCTCATTCTCATCAGCGTTTTGTTTTTGTTTTCTTGTTTGTATTTCTAGATATTCGCATGCCTCCGGCGTCTGCAGCTATGCTTCTCATCTTGGAACGGCTTTGTGGGTTGTTATGGTGTCATGGCTTGTTCATTCTGTTCTGTTGCGAGTGGATAGCTAGCTTGTCTTCAACACTAGTCTCAACGCTGAGTCGGTTTACCTTTTGTGCTATATACAATTAAATGAAACTAAACAACAACTCACTGCTCGGCCCCCTTAATCTTCCCAAACACCTCCAGGAACGTCTCCGGCTCATCCGCCCCCTCAATGGCATACTGCCCCTGCACCATGAAATAAGGCACACCGGTAACGAACTGCCTCCTGGCCCCCTCAGCCTCACCATCAACCTCTTTGCCGCCAACATCCGAGTCCAACAACCCCTCCACCTCGCCCTTCTCCAGCCCCGCCCCAACCGCAGCCTCAACCAACACCCCACGCTCAGTAATATTCTTCTCCTCTTCAAAGTACGCCCTGAACAGCCTCTCGACAACCCTCGTCTGTAACCCGCCTATCGCATCACCACCAGGCACCGTCCCACTCTCCCTAAGCTCCTTCTCCTTCAACCCAGAAAGCCAAATAAGCCGATGCGAGTCCCTCGTCTTCCCTGTGCGCCCTCCAAAACTGAACTTGATGCCCTCGCCCTCTCCAACAGCAGCAAGACGCTCGAAGATCGCGCCCGTCCGCGCAGCGCCGAACTTGCTCTCGTAGAAAGAACGCTTGTCGACGCCCGGGTAAGCTGGCGAGGCTGCGTTCAGGTAGAATGGGGACCAGGTGATTGTGAATGTGTCCAGCGGGTTGGTGAGTTTGTGCGTGCTGATTGCGCGCGAGAGGCGTCGGTAGCCGACGTAGCACCACTGGTTGAAGTTAGATCATTCATGGTTCTGATGGAGAAAACTGGTGTTTTAGGAGACAGGGCATACAGGGCAGACGCTGTCGGAAATGATCTGGATGTTGAAGTTCGTCATTTTGAGCTAGACCGGGAGTGTTGGACTTTAACTCTGTCGTTCGAAGTAAGAGCGCAGGCCAGGATGGGGAGATTTATATAGATATGGGGCTCCACGAATCGGAGATGGTTCTTGGAGGCTTTATATAGGCGGATTTGTCAGCAATATCCCGATGGAATGGTTCCAGAGACAGACCAGGAATATCCTGCACCATGCATAAATTGATGATCGAGCATAGTGGCAATAATCCCAATTATTCTACCTAGAATCAGAAGGATTGAACCTTTGATCAACCTTGTTCCTGTCCCGGCCACCGCCGCAACCCGGAATGGATGGTGGTTTGGATATATACCTCCATATCATTCCTTGAAATATAATATGTTTCGATCGCACCGTCTAACGGGACTACGTACGACGGACTTGGAAATGTACTATATTCATGATCTTGTAATCCTTTTTGTTTTGACTAACCAAGAAAAAAGCACGAAACAATGCCCTAGCTATAGAAACAATGAAAATACAAAATAATCCATGCTGTTGCCAGGCGTGATAATCGTAAAACAACGCCGTAATGCAGAGATAATGATACATCTTCTCTGAAAGAGGTAGCACATTGGACCGCAATTTGATTTGAGGTTCGAGAGGAGCTGAGGTACTCTTATAATCAATCACTCGCGACCGAGAGGTTGTTGATTAATCAGCTTCCAGACCTCTGGCCTCATGGCCATGAAAAAAGAATCTTCCACGTCGCTCTCGTCGATTGCGTGATTCCTGCGAATTTTTTCGAGTGTAGAGGTGTATTTAAAGGCGAAGTTCAGGACTAACGCAATAGCCAATCCAACGCACACGACAATTGGGCCAAATGTGTTATCGAGGTCACGCCCGCTTCGTGCTCGGATAAGTCTTGCGCGCTTCTCATGCATGTACCAACCCCAGACCGCCGAGAAGATGGCGAAGCCGGTGTAAACGATGGACAGTGCACGAGCTATATCATTATGCTTGCCTGCCGCATTGTACAAACCAAGAGAAAGAGACGAGAGCAAAATGCTGACATGTAGCCATTTAATAAAGGTTCGTTGGTTCGCCAGCCAGACCTTGGTTTCGACGCGAACGGGTCCAGCATCCTTGATCCACCAACCTGGCTCCTTCACACCCGGCGGCAGAGCAACAGAGCGACGTCTGCCGGCAAAAGACGGGAATAAGGCAGCCAAGCGGGATTGTGTAACTGGCCCTTCTTCCCTTTCAATAAGCGCAGGCTCTTCCTGACGATCTCTGTCAACATCGCGCTGGCGATCCTGCACGGCGGAGGGCGTCGGTTGTGGCATGGAAAATTGCGATATCTGTCGCGGCCGCGAAGGTTCGAGGTCAATAAACCTTGTGATGGGAGACCCCACGAGAGGCCGGGTAGGGGGAGATTTCGCTCCTAAAAAGCTCCCAACTGCCATGTCCTCCTCGGCATGCTTGGCCTGACGTTCCTGTTCTTCGTGAAACGCCGTTTCAGGATCACGCCTGATGTCGTTTTCCAGCTCGGGGAGCCAGAATGGGAAACTATTGACATGATCCTCGAAGAGCTGTGCGACACCATGGACAAACTTCGAAAAGCGGGGAGCTTCTTTGACAAGATGAGACACCATCAAGTCTTTTACCCATTCCGAATTGTGCGCGGCACTCCCACGAAGCTTTATCTCTAGCAGGCCATGAGGGAAGCGGACTATTTCGCCATTCCTGATGGCGGAGAAGGGATACTCCATGCCAGCATCATCAATGTCGGTACGGTGCCATTGATTCTCGTCACGGCAAGGGCGCTCGCTGTCCAGCGAGTCTTCTCTGATGAGCGCGAGATTCGTATCAAGTGATATGCGAATTCTATCGTCCCCGGGGATTTGGAAGGCAGTGCGAGTGTAGTTGGCGCGGAGCATAGGCTGGAGGTTATTTTCCTTAATGAAAGACTGCAGCGCTTCGACGTCGCGTTTCAAAGACACCGCATGCTCCACTTCTCCATTCCCCATATCTTCCATTCTATGCACCTGCTTCTCTAACCGATACTCACCGTCAAGAAACTCCTTGACGTGCTTCTGCTTCAGCTGAACCTTCACCTCATTGCTGAAGTTGTCGCTAGTCACGATCTTTTTCTCCAGGTAAATTGCCGGTTTTTCGTTGAGGTTTCCGGTCCATCGTAGCCGCAGCGAGCCAGCTTCAGGGCTACGAGCAACTTTCTGTGTATAGAGATCGAACTGGGGGTTGTCAAAGTATAGCGAAGTGATTGTTGGGTCGTTGGCGTGACTCTCCAGTTCCTTTGAGGACTTTGGGTTGTAGATGAGAACCGGGAGCTTGCGGAGAATCAGAGTCTTGACCTCCAACATGTTGTCCGAGTGCACCCAGAACTTGTACGAGGAGTAATGGTCTTGGCCGAACCCAGGTTCTGGCTCTGCACTTTTCGTGCTCAGGATCTCGCGCACAAAAGAGTAGACCACCGAGAGCCTGCGGACGAGGGGCGAGTAATCTTCCGAGTTGAATGGTAGCTGTGACAATCGGACTTGGAGCAAAGGCTTCACCCGGTATCGAGCGCCTCGTTTTCGGTCATGTTTCTTTGCGGCTTTGAGGAAGCCAGTAAAGTTGATACGGCTGTATTTCTCTAGCTCGCTGACTTCCTTGGTGATGTCGTCCAGCTCTGCCAGAACCTCGGAGGCAATCCTAATCCTGTCCTCTTCAGCAACAGAAGGGGCATCCTCTTCAGTGTGGGCCAGAGGCCGGAGTTTGTCCTCGCACGCGGTGGTGCGTTCCCTCAATTGCTGGGAGGTCTGCACCTGGAAGGCATTGACCTTATCAAGCTGCACATTGAGCAGTTCCTGCACAAAGGCTTCTTCGTCCTGTTCCGTCCATGCGGTGTCGGTATCGCTATCGTCGCCAATGACATCACGCTCCCGGAGCAATCTCTTCAATTTGTTGTAGTCGATATAACTCCTACTCCATGGCGGGTAGATGGAATTTCGCAACGTTTTCCCGTAGCGCATTGCAGCTCAATTGCTCCAGAACGGGCCGTTCCAAGTGGGGATGTTTGTAGTCCGTATGGTCGAGATAACTGTTGACAGTCAGCCAGGGGGCAAGCGAGTGATCCCCCGGTTAAAATATGTCGCCAATGTAAGATAGGTCAATCGAAATCAGAAAAATCTTTTCACCGTTCAAAGTGGAGGAGGGGCAAGTTCAGTAGATATAGCTTTACCGGTCTAAGATGGCAGGCGGGCTCTAGTGAGGCAGCGGACGCCTTCCAACGCAGCATTCGAGCACGTGCGGCAGGAGCTCCCTTCCAGCCTCCGCTCGGAGCCCGCCTCGGCCAATTGGAGAAATCCCGTGATGAAGCCCGCTGCGGACCCGGGACGCTGCCGGTATTAGACTATTAGTGTATTGACAGTCCGTATGATTGCTGGTAATCTATGGTGTCCGCGGAGCTCCACCCTCCGCCTCTTATGGCGTAGTCTCGATCAGTCGATCTAGCCTAGCAAATTGTCGACCATGCATGCTATTGCTCTTGGTGTCGCACTCCCTTTGATATACAATTTATCAATTCTTATTGCTGTTACTACGTCCTGACCTGATGCAAGCCGAGGACACAACTCCGTCGCAATATTCGGCGCTATCTTCGTCTCTCCATCATGTCCTGCTAGACCTCCACCAGAACTCCTATCCTCATGTTCCCAATCCTCCGCAGTGCAAGAAACGAGCCTCCGTCGCCCTAGTCCTTCGAGTTCGACCCACGTACAATCACCGGCCAGACCGATCCTCGCTGCCACAAAATGATACTAGCGCCCCTGTGGCAGACCAACTGAACAGTTTCTTCTCCCAACCGTGGGTGCAGAATGGAGACCCTGAAGCCCTATTTATCAAAAGGGCTTCGCGCGTCGGCGACCGCTGGACCGGACATGTTGCTTTACCGGGAGGAAAACGAGATCCAGAGGATGTGGATGACCGAGCGGCCGCAATTAGGGAAGCCTCAGAAGAGGTTGGCCTCGACCTGACAACAGATGATTGCATCTACGTGGGAAATCTACCTGAGAGGGTTGTGACATCGAGCTGGGGTAGTGTTCCGTACGTTTTATTTGCCCCAGGAAAGTAAACAACGCTAATTCTGCAGATTGATGGTCCTATGTCCATACGTGTTCCTCTTAACGGGAAGCGACTCCCCTGTCCTCGAACTGCAACCAGATGAAGTCGCGTCGACTCACTGGGTATCGCTGAATGTCCTCCTCTCCCCATCTTCGCGGACGGTAGAACATGTCGATATGACACAACGGCTCTCAAGTACAGGAGGACTCATGGCTCGTCTGGCCAGCCGCGCGATGATGGGCTACATGCAATTCTCGGCGATAAGTCTGAGACCAACAGAAACCTTGCAATGCAGTGTCAACCTCAAGCGCAACCTTGCGACTGTTCAACCCACATCCTGGCTTCAGAGGTGTAGATCAGTGGTCTGCAAGTCGCAGCAGAGCTCGAACCAGGCTCCACCACTCCTTCTCTGGGGCTTGACACTCGGCATACTCGCTGATTTCTTGGATATGCTACCTCCTCACACTGCCGTCCAGCTATGGAAATATCCCAATTTCACTGCCCCCGACTTGCGCTTTCTCGTGAATCTCGTTACGTATAGACTACGGAAGCGCAACATTCATCAGATCAAATTCGGAGCAAGGCGCCGGCCGAGCGACACCGCCATTGATGGCGAAACGGCAGCGCTGCCGGTTGTCGAGGTGCACGAGAAAGACGACCGCAATCACGCTGGCATTGGAGGGCTTGGGATTGGAAGATACTATGGTCCTTCCGATAAGAATCCCGATGGCAGTTCTTACGCGGTGGGTATCATGCTTAGGGGTTATTATCAGAAGATTCGACTGGCTCTCTATATCTTTGTTGCCTGGCGAATGGCCATGGGATCTGTGGCGGCTCTTTGCGCTTGGAGATATATACGCCGGAGACTGACTAGAGATGCTTAGGTACCAGCTAGATAGTATAGACCAACATATAGATTAATCTTAATATAGATGCCCTCTTTTCGCGATCTATCATCTATGTCCATTGCATCATATCAGCGTACGGTAATCTGAATACCGAGTCGCGGGCCTCGGCCCGATTATGTAACCAGAAGGCTCGGGTCCTCGCATCAACTCGTTGCTCGGATGAGATACGCAGCCCTGGAGGGATATCCTACTTGCTCAATTCAAACGGATATCAACGCCCAGTCAGAATGGTTGCTACCCAGAAGCTCTATCCCCGCGCGACAGTAAAGCGGATAGTCAAAGCCCACGCGAACCGCAGCCTGAGCAAGAACGCCGATATCTTGGTAAACAAGCACAAACCCAAGGATTGGTTAATGATAAATGCTGATGGGCGTATTTTGCTGCTAGATATTCCTCGACTACATGCTCTTCATGCAGGAGTAAGTCAGCATGCCTTAATTGCCTCCTCGCCGAGTCCTCCAGTCCGGTTTTACCAGACAAACCGCGTACCGCTCTGACGATAACAGATTAATGCGCGAAGCCTCGATTCGATCGCATAAAACTAGCGAGAAGAATATCAGCCCGAACTCTGTTCGTAAAGTGACGGAGGTATGTGGTGACGCGTGCAGGCTTGTTAGCATGATACTGACGGGGTTCTGATGTCGCAGAAAACGCTGCGGAAGTTCAAGGGTTGATTGAGAATCTTACTCAATCGCGAAAGTTACAGGTGTTTCAATGGATAGATTTGCGCATTATGAATGGAGGTTCGGGATGTCGGCGCAGCATTGGGAACGGTCATCTTCAACGTCGGACCCAATATGTTGATATTACAGAGAAGGGCCTAGGGGCGGAGTTCTGGCGTCATATTATTTAGGAGTCATGATACCCGAACTATGTTTAATTGTATAGTTATGAGTCACAGTTAGGTGCTAGTAGCTTAAGCTCTACAGAGCCTCAACCACAGATACCACCTTAGAGCTTGTACTCCATACCTCTAAACGAACCTCGCAAATCCAAAGTAAGCCGTGAAATTGACATGACTGAATGCCATATCATCAAGTAATAGGCCATTGACACTGACTAGGACCAGCGTTGAAAACTGGACTGCACGGGACAGACAAAGGCGGCTGATGATCGGTGTCGGGCCCGCCTTTGACCTTTCCTTCTTCTGCCCTCCACTCGTTTCTACACGTCAACTTCCCTTGTCTTCCTCTCTGTTTCTTGCATTCGTGTATCTTTCAGGCAGTTGCCCGAGCTCCGAACTTGTGAACTTGCTTCCTTCTATACAACTCTAATCCTCTCGACCCATAACCTTATTCCCACACGAGACTCGGCCTTTACTTTCACCTACATCACATCATGTCTGCAGCTGCTCTCGACGCTGCCCCTGCGCAGTCGCCCTCTCCTTCAGACATCAAGCCCAACGCGCCTTCAGAGCTTGTCGAATTTCCGCACTACAAAGAGCTTCAGAGGTATGTTCCGCTAGAAGCTCCCCCCGCGTCCCTCGCTCTATGACCTCGTTCGCGGCGGGACTGCTCCGTAACACGAGGCTAACTACCTGATGTTCAGGAACCTGCGCAACAACGTGAAGAAGCTGGTTAGTAGCTTCAGCTACGATACCTTGCAATTCTGTGATTTTTACTAACTCAATCTAGAATGCGACCTCCAAAGTTGACGCCGTTGTCGCCAGTAACCCGAATAAGACGCTCGACCAACTGGTTGAGGAAAAGATCATCAATGAAGATCAAAAGGCTCAGGCGCTGAAGAAGCCTGTTCTTCAGGCTGCTATCGCGCAGCTGGAGGCGCAGATTGCTCACTACAAGGAGTTTGCGGCATTCTTCGAAGGACGTCTGGAGAGCCAGAAGGCAGAGCTCGAGAAGGCGCAGCAGGAGGTGGAGGCTCTCCGGGAGAAGGCTGCTAGCGCGACACCAGCCCCGGTGGAACCAACGCCCGAGGTGAAGAAGGAGGATGCTACCCAGCAGTTGCTGTGCGTGAGCAAGTTCCTTAGCACTGCTGCCATTAGGAGGCATCGCGGCGAGGATGAGACTACGCCCGAGAGCCGTGCCTTCGAGGGTGTGCTCGCCCAGGTCTATGGAGGCTCCCTTGATGCAGTTGCGTCGATGAACAAGCTCATTGATGGTGCTGACGAGCCAGTGGTCAGTGTCGATGGAGAGACGTTAGAAGTCACCTGTGAGTTTCTCTCTTGGTTGTTGTTCATTGAACGTGTTCGGGATTAAAGCTCATCAATTTCGATTGCAGACGCCCGAGTCAAAGAGTTGTCTGAAGAGGCCACGGCTCCGCAACCCGCTCCTCAGCCAGCTGCAGAATCTGCCCCTGTGACCGATCCTACCACCGCCAACGCCGCCTCCACCGAGCTCGAGGACCCGATCTATGTCGCCGAAGCTGCTACAAACAACACCGCCGTCTCCGCGAACGAAGCCGAGAACGTCGCTCCGCCTCCCCAAACTCTTGTTGGAGAAGGTGCAAATGCGGTCGCTGAATCTGCATGGGAACCTCACAACGATCCTCTTGCTTCTTCCACGAACACTGAGGGTTTTGTTGAAATTCCTCGCGACCCGGCTGAGACAGAGACTGGTCTCCAGGCGACTCCCGCCAACATCACCGCCGACGTTGCACCCGAGGGCAGCACCGAGCCCGCGAAGACCGAGAACGGTTTTGAGGCAGTCGGCAAGCATCAGAGGCAGTCTAGCTTTCGAGGCCGAGGCCGCGGTCGTGGCCGCGGAGGTGATGGCTTCCGTGGTCGTGGCCGTGGCGACTTCCGGGGTCGCGGCCGCGGTCGTGGAAGCGGTGGTCGTGGGCGCGGAGGCGCGAATGGAGCTCCCACCGCTACTCCGGCTGCTCAGTAACTAAACAGCATCGACTATCGGACTAGGGGAGCATAGTTCTCTTACACCTATACCTTTCTATCTTCTCACGCCATCTCCTCATCAGCTCGACTGTCCTTTTCCTTTCCTATAATATTTCTTACGGATAACGGTGGTGTTATGGTTCACGAAAGCAATGAATTTCCGAAACGATACAACAACACTTTGCGCCATTTCCTTTGATTTCGGATGGTCCTGCAAAAGTTTCTGTTGGCATTTGCGTTGTGGTTATTGAGCGTGCATCTGGTTGCTCTTCGGTCGATATCTCTTTCTACCTTCTTTTGATCTAGTTGGTGTGTTGCCTTTGGTAATGCATACTGCTTTCTTTTACCTGTACTTTAGTTTGGCCTATGTGCCGACATACCTATAAACGTCGGGGAGGGGATTGGGCAGTTGCTGGCTGACAGCGAGTGTGTCTGGGCGGGATAGAGGTGAATAGTCATGAAGCAGTTGCTGTCCGTGTTTATTTCTCGTGTAGAGCATACTCGTAGGCATATAGTCGGAAATGAAGGATAGAGACATGCTGGAAAACAGAAATGTCGCCTCCACTCATACTATGCGCGACTAGGGATTGCCCTCTTGGTACTCTTGGGCTCGTATCCGTATGCGTAGCAGTTGTACTCCGTACCGCTGGAGGACAGCATAACTTCTAAGGCTGTTGGTGGGTTGACTCCATTACTCCGTACAAACACTCAGTCCGATTGGTGGAGGGGGTCTGAACGTATGACATAATTTGTTTGTCTGGAACTCGAATGATTTGGAATGAAACAGACAGCTTGCAATCTTTAGTCAACCTTTTAAATGCTTTCGTTCTACTACGTTCCTCAGCGCGAACATACTTCGACCTGCTAGCACACCATGGCCGTGCCCGCAGACCAGCGCAAAAAGATCCTCAAGGTCTTGATGACCTCGCTGCTTCTAGACCTGGTATGCTTCCCCACCCCAAATCTATACAAATCTAACCATAATATCCGCCAGATATCATTCACATTTATCCTCCCCCTCTTCCCCTCGCTCCTATCTTTCTACCGCGAGCGCGACCCCTCCCCGTCCTCGCCTCTGAATGTGATCTTTCACTACCTGAACGCGTACAAAAACGCCTTCGCCAAACCCATCGACTCCCGCTACGACATCGTCCTCCTCGGCGGCGCGCTCGGCTCCCTCTTCTCCCTCCTCCAAGCCATAGCCGCGCCCTTCATCGGACGTCTGTCAGACAAATATGGCCGGCGCAAGGCACTGCTGGCCTCAATGGTCGGAAATACACTCAGCGTTGCGCTGTGGGTCGCGGCTACAGATTTCCGGACCTTCCTTGCTTCTCGCGTTGTCGGTGGACTGAGCGAGGGCAATGTGCAGCTTGCGCATGCGATCGCGACGGATATCAGTGAGCCCAGCCAGCGCGGGTCGACGATGGCGCTGGTGGGTGCGTGCTTTAGTATCGCGTTTACGTTTGGACCGGCGCTCGGCGCGTACCTATCGGGTATTGTTTCTGTCAAGGCGAATCCGTTTGCGACGGCTGCGGGGGTTAGTTTGGCGTTGATTCTGCTCGAGACGGTGTATATTTGGGGGTGTTTGCCGGAGACGCATCCGAGACTTACCGGAGCTGCGAAGAATGAGGATGGGAAAAAGAAAGAGGAGGACGACAAGGCGAAGACAAAGACCTCCCCGCACAAGTACACCAATAACCCGGCCGTTTTGAATGTCCTTCACCTGCTTTTCCTCCTCCCCTTCTCCGGCATGGAGTTTTCGCTTCCGTTCCTCACGGCGACCTTCTACACGAACAGTACCGCCTCCCCCGCGGCGCTTAACGGCCGTCTTCTTTCTACGATGGGCCTCATCGCCTCCCTGCTCCAAGGCACAGTCGTGCGCCGCCTTCCTCCCCTCCTCGTCGTGCGGATCGGCGTCGTGAGCGCAACCATATCTTTCTTCCTGCTGTCCCGGGTGACATCACTCGCCGGTCTGTATACAGCCGCTAGTTTCCTCGCCGTCACGAGCGCAACCGTTGTGACGGGATTGAATGCCCTGGGGTCCTTGGAGGCGAAGGAAGAAGAGAGGGGCGTTGTCCTGGGACGCCTGAGGAGCTGGGGACAAGTTGGACGCGCGGCCGGTCCGGTGCTGTTCTGCAGTCTGTTCTGGTGGGTTGGGCGCGAGGTTGCGTATCTCACGGGTAGTGTCGTTATGGCTGGGGTCTGTGTTGGCGTGTTTTTGGGGTTGAGGGCCCCGGCTGTTTCCCCTTCTGCTGGAGCGGCTGCTGAGAGAAAGCGGGCATAGATGACCCACTCTGCGTATTTACCAGGGCTGCTTGATATGCAGGTGGAACGGTTTGGGGTTGTATGATATGGTATTCTGTTCTATTGCTTTGTATATAGTATATAGAGTCCCTGCATTGGGTATGCCGCTGCGGGTCAGTGGCTGAGTTGCATGATGTACTGTTCTGCTTCGCATCACCCATTCATTAGGGTATAGATATATGTGGTATGATACAGTCACAAGAGACAAGAGAGGAGATTGTCCAGATAAATACAACGCCAGCATTCTATCATCTTCGCAACCATCTGAAAGGTCCAACGAAAGAAGAGAATCATAACGAAGACCCAGACCCCGTTGACATCCTAATCCTCCCGCCACCCTCATCACCCCGCCACTGCTGATACCGATCTTGTTTATGTTCCTGACCAGCGCCAGCACCAGAGCAGCACAGCCCCGCGGGTTGCGGCGCATCCAATGAGCCCCTTGCCTTCCCAATCAGCCAATCTGTAAGCGTGACAAACTTCGCCGTGCGCTCCCACCCGCCTGCATCTTCAGCATGCTCAATCGTCTGGGTCAAGACACGACCCTCCTCGTCGAAGGAGAAGATGAAGAGGCCCGTGAATTGGTCGTCGCGCGAGGGTTTGAAGATCGGTGCGTCGCCGCCTAGCAGAACGCTTAGGCCTTTGTTGGTGTTCGTTTTCGACTCGTCGCGGGTTCCTGCGTCTGGCTTTCGCGGTTCGGATGGCGGTGGTGTCGACGGTGTCGAAGTTGATTGCGTCCGTTCTGTCCGCCAGCGCACAACGAGCCTCTCATCGCCGGAATCTCCGTTCTTTGGTGCAACATGCGCCGAGTCCATCTGCTGACCCCGGACCGCTCCACCGCGCACGATCCGCTCGCTTAAGATCTGCAGCTTCACGTTCCCGACCAGCGGGACGCTGCTCCATGCCACTGGCACAGCCCATAGTGCGGCACGGTAGAGGGTGCGGCCCTTGACGGTGGGAAGGTGCGGGTGTGTCGAGGGAAAGAGGTGGAGGGTTACGCTTGGTGAGAGGATATGTGGTGGGAGCGGGTTTGTGAGAATCGTCGGAAGCAAGGGGGAGAGTGTCCGGAGAGCTGTTTCGGTCGAGTTAGCTCCGCCTGCCTGTGCATATTGGGGGCGAAGGGGAAGTACTCTTTCCGAGCTTTATGACCCGCTCATCGGGGGGTTTGTGGTCATTTGGCGGGTTGAGGTCATCTGTAAGCGAGTATTTGAAGTCGAAGCCTGACCCTGGCCGAGATGGTAGGAGAGGTAGATGGGTTTGAGCTGGTGATCGAGGGATGTCATGGCGGATTGGAGAATGCGAGGATGCGCTTCTCGCGTGGGGGCGAGGGTGATAGAAGCGGATAATGCGGGAGGAGACGGAGGTAGGTGAACGAGGGACGGCGAGCTTCGGCATCGCGAAATGATAGTGGCGTGGTTAATGCATTAGAGTATTGTAAGTGTATAGTTGTAGAGAGAGAAAGAGAGCTGGAATTTCTAGATGGAACTAAGATTACTCTAGAATGATGACGTTGACCCACAGTACCTTGATGCGGAGTAGATTCCAGCCAAACAGCCAAACAGCCATACAAAGAGAACATCCCAACAATACGGAGTATATCCAACCTGGTATCAATCAAACTATTATACTATTATCATACAGTCATCAGAAAGCTAGTTCATCATCATCGTCCTCCCCGGTATATCTCCGCGCTGCCAGATCGCGGATCTTATCCTCCAGCACGCCGCGGTTATACCGCTGTGCAACCTTGACAGCCGCCTCGACCATCTTCCCATTGCGGTCCTTCATCATATGCACCAGCTCTAAAGCCTTCATGCCCCGATCCTCGCCCTCGCGGCACTCAATCGCCAGAAGCTGCAGAAGAACCTTGTCCAGCTCCAGCTCCTTCCGCGACAGCTCAGCGCGCTGCGATGCCGTCGCATGCGTGGACGAGATGACGTCTTGGAAAAGGGAGAGGATGAGGTTGCCGCGGACGAAGGACTCCTCCAGTCGCATGCTGTCGTTGCGCGCCATGTTTTCTTCTTCGTCTTCATCCGTTTTGCTGGGCTTGTCAGAGATGGGGATCCGGAACTCAAACTCGCTGAGCATTGGTCGTGGGAAGTACGGGTATCGGTCTCCTCCCTTCAGGATAATGCAGTGGAATTTGTCTTGCGCGACGGCGACGGGCCAGTACGTTTCTTCTTTGCGGCCGCTTGCCAGACGCTCCATTTGCTTTGTGTCGAGGAGAGGCACCCAGCGCGCCTGGCCGGGGGTGCGCCAGTGCTGAAGAATTAGTAGCACGCCTTCCGAGTCGTAGATACAGGGGTCCTATATAGTTAGATAAGTCTCAAAACGGTGAGGAGGTACTCACTCCTGTGTCTGTGAAGAAAACGCTCTTTAGCTCAGCGCCTTCTGGAATAGCCACAACGTCCTCGTTTTGACAGATCTCGTCGCGCTTGACGTTTTCAACCGAGTACCGCAACGTCGCTGTTCGCCCATCACTCCCAATAGGCCCGTTTCCCACAGTCATGATATAGTCTCGCCAGGCGGCGCAGGTCACGGCCGGGCTCTTCTGTCTGTACACCTTAAATGGCGTTCCATATAGAGTATATACCCGGACGTAGTCTTTGGTTGTTACCGCAACGATATACGAATCACTTAGCGCCAGCGCTGCTATTGTTAGTTTGGCCGTGAATTATGAAAAGGGCAGTTTCATACCTCGGATGTGCTCTCCTTTGGGCAACGTTGTTCTCCAGTCCGCTCTCGTGGTCCACGTTTCATGTGGACGGTAGAAGATCGTAGCAGGGCTGTCATCAACTGGGTTGTTCGAGAATAGAGCTCCGTTCTCATTGAGGCACGCCCTGTCATACATGTAGGGGTCTGTAAAGTGAAAGTCACGGTGCAGTTCTCGGTCATAGAACTCCACCGTCACCGTATTGTGAGTCTCCTGGTCAACAGTCCAAACGGCACCGGTCAAGTTCAAGCCTATGCTATTAGTACGCGACTTCCAAATGGGTGGCACACTTACATAGATACCGGCGGTTTCCTCTCCAAGGTGTGCTGCCGGGTTGTAGCGGCGGGTGGACCTTTGGCTTCGTGAACGATGTCAAGGCCCGCTTGCCCGCGTGTCCCCCGATATCATCCAGATGCTCGTTCGTGCGTTTTCCGAACCCGTTCATGCCCTCCGCATAACCGGCTCCATCGTCATCGTCGACAAAATCTTCCATATCCTGGTCGAAGCCAAGGATATCATCCAGTGAGTCGATGCTGCCTCTGCGCGCCTCCTTAGGTCGACTTGCCAATGGCCGGCGCACATTATCAGACATCTCGGCCAAAGCGCCGGGGAATATAGGTGCTGCCTGCAGCGGCTTCTGAAGTATGACCTGGTGGTCCTTCGGCACGAATCCATCGAAGATAAAGATCTCTCCGTCCGACGTAGTAAGGGAGACACCGTTATTGTTCGGATGCCAGGCGAGATTAATCACGTTCGGAAAGCCATATCGGTGTAGGATCTTCTGCGTCTTGCTCTCCCAGAGCAAAACTTGGCCGTCCTTTGCAGCGGTCACCAAAAGCGCACCGTTAGGCGACCACGCCATAGCCGTGATATCCCCATTGTGGCCACCAGAGAACGTCATTTCCTTCTTGTATTCACCCACAGAGAATACGGCGATATCTCTTGTCGCTTCAGCCGTCGCAAATGCAGTCCCATCAGGGTGCCAAACCACCCTTGCAGTCGCCTCGTCTTCGGGTTCTAGCCGTCGAATCACGCCGTCCAGCTTGCGCACCAGCTCGGGCTCTTCGGTGTCCATTGAGTAGAGATACACGATGCCATCTGTACACGAGACCGCGACGTACCGCCCATTCGGATCGAAGGTGATGTGTTTCGTTCCCTTGGCCTGGTCGCGCAAGTACTTGACCTTGGTCATATCCTCGACGTTCACCAGTTTCACCGTGAGCTCACTAGTCATGTTAGCTCTCTCCAGCCGTTCGATTCGGCGGTAGGTAACTCACTCGCTCGCGATAGCAACCCACTCCTTATCTTTAGTAACGTCAATATCCCTCACTGGCAGCGCGGTACGAGTAAGAAGTTTGTCCATCCGTCCTGACTTGACCTCATACTGCCACACCGTCCCGTCTTCGGCGCCTAGGAAGAAATACTCGTTCTGCATATATTAGCCGCCATCCTGTATAGCACCCGGATAGTCGGTGAAACCTACCGTAGCTCCGATCGCGACGTGTGCATCAGTGCCCTCCTCCACGGTCTTCGGTTCGCCATCTTCGCCAGCGGTGTAGATACGGATCGCAGAATTTGAGCCTCCAGTGATGATGTATTTTCCGTCAGGGGTATATGTCAAGACCGTTGTTCCGGGTGTGTCTAGTTCATTCAGCTGTCAGCGGTTGCATCGGTGGTATAGCTTGGCTAGGTTGAGGTGAACATACGGGCCGGCCTGCCCCTAGGTCGGATTGGATCAGACATTGTAAACAGCCTTGAACTGAAATCGAGACGATGCAATCACCGTGCTCTTTTCAGCATGTCATAATTGACGTCCAGAACTTTGTATGGGGAGGTCTTATCGCATCTGGAGAAGCACATCCGCCGAGACGCGTCGCGCGACGCGCTTTAACCCAATAAGGTAAGAAGCGGGCTTAGGGCACAGGGTCAGGGCTCGAGCTTCTACTTGCATCATGATTCCCCGATTGATCCTCTAATAGATCCAGTGGGATTGATTGATAAACACAGTTAATTTCTTGATCCGCCATCCGCCGTAAGGAAATCAAAGTCCGCCCCATCCTGTGCCTGGTTGACCGACCGCTCATACAGCCCCCGATAACCCCTCTGCCTCGGCTTCTCCGCAGCAGCCGCCGCCGCTTTTCTGTCCTTAACTCGCTCCTTTAACTCTTCGTCTGAGATTTCCAGGTGCAGTTTTCTAGCATCTACATCGCAGGAAATTACGTCGCCTGTCTGGACAATGCCAAACGGTGATTCTGGCACCGCCGACTCCGGCGATACGTGCAGGATGATCGTTCCTCCAGCAGTGCCCGACATTCGACCGTCTGAAATGCGAAGCATGTCCTTTACTCCTGCGGCGGCGAGTTTACGCGGAATAGGTAGGAGTCCTGCCTCTGGCATCCCGGGGTTCCCAATCGGCCCTATGCTCTTGAGGACAAGGATTGAGTCTGCCATGACATCGAGATCTGGGTCGTCAATCCGTTTTGCAAGGTCGGCGGAGTTCTCGAAGACGACTGCCGGCCCGGTATGTGTAAGCAGGTCGCGATCTTTGGACGCAGATGCCTTCATTATCGCGCCGTTGGGCGCTATATTCCCGTGCAGCACTATCAGCGATGAGGATGGGTAAAGAGGATTCGACAGTGGTCGGATAATTTGTCGGGATAGGGGAAATTCTCGGAATGGCGAGGCATCTATAAGCTCGCCTAGTGTTTGGCCGGTAATTGTCATGGCTGATAGGTGAAGAAGAGGTCGAAGGGCATGCAAGAGCGCTAACATGCCCCCAGCATTATGGAAATCAGTCATGTATTTGTCGCCGCTGGGTTTCAGGTCGACTAGCAGTGGTGTCTTGCGTCCAACCTCTTCAAATGTCTGTAGGGTTATCACGCCCTGGACTTTGGGATGTCGATTTGCAATGGCCATCAGGTGCACTATTGCATTCGTCGAGCCGCCAATTGCTTGCAGAACAGTGATAGCGTTCAAGAAGGATTCCTTCGACAGAATATCCTGCGGCTTCCACTTGCTGTGCGCTGCCTTTACGGCATTGGCGCCTGTTTCTTCAGCAACTCGAGCTCTTGCAGATGAAACGGCCGGTGCAGATGCTCCGCGTAAAGGCATCATTCCAAGGGCAGCGGTGATACAGGCCATCGTGCTGGCAGTTCCCATGACGCCGCATGTTCCGATCTAGTTCCGTCAGTGCTCAGTTGATTCAATACCCCGATGCACTCACCGTGGGAGCAAGTTCCTCATTAATTTCCGAGATTTCCTCGATATCAATCTCCCCAGCACGGAACGCGGCCCAGTTATTTCGGCAATCCGTGCAAGCGCCTATCCTTTTCCCGCGATGACTCCCAGGCATCATCGGTCCAGTAATTAGAGGAAGAACAGGCTTATTGGCAGAGATGCCGCCCATCAGCTGCGCGGGAACAGTTTTATCGCACCCTCTTCACGTTCATCAGTAACTTACTCCACTAAGAGAGACAAAACTTACCCAATCATGATACATGCATCCAAGGGCTGAGCGCGGATCATCTCCTCAGTGTCCATACTCATCAGATTCCTCAGAAACATGCTCGTCGGGTGTGAGAACGACTCATGCACACTGATGGTCGGGAACTCAACCGCCAGGCCGCCATTAAACTGAATGCCTCGCTTCGCAGCTTCGATGAGTTGCGGTACATTCCCGTGGCATGGGTTGAATCCGGAATAAGTGTTGATGATTCCGATTATGGGTCTTGAGAGCGCGTCTTCTGAGTATCCTAGGGCTTTGACGAAGACTTTGCGCAGGAAGAGGGAGAAGTGCGCATCGCCGTATGAGGTCAGGCCTTGTCGAAGACCTGAGGTCGAGGATATAGGCGTGGATAGGTCGTAATCCTGGGGGATGGCGATGTCGTCTTGGTCATTCTTCATGTTGGTAGTCATTCTGTCTATCAATTTTCTAGAGTTCCGTCAAGACAGGTGGTAGGAGATCACGTATTTATGCTAGGAATGATGGGATCGGCTCATACATCGGCGCAAGTCCGCATCTCGGATTCTTTTCCAGCCTGTTGATTCGGATTCCAATTGGTCTTTAGCCCGGTAGATGGGGTCTGCTTGGTATCGGCAAATCGTCAATTCGCTGGATAAGCTACTATTTCTATAGCTGGGGTACTTCCCCACATTCTCCGGGGTCTTTAACTACTCTTCACTAAATGACATTGCCTCTATATACAACAATTGTATTCAATTATGCAAACTATGTACATCACGCAGGGTACCGCGGTGATATCCGCACTCGAATGTCGTTCTTCGGCAAAAACGCAGCACTCGATATCTTGTGCCCGGGAATCTTCAGTTCCTTCGCATCTGCCGGTGAGATTTCCCAAAGGGACACAATAGCTGCAGATAGAGCAAGGATTTTCTTCTCCGCGAAAGCACGTCCTTTGCATGCAGGCATGCCGCCCCCAAATGGAGTCAAGGTCTCGTACTTTGCGCGCTTCTGGCCGGTGCTAGGGTCAGTCTTGATGAACCTGAGAGGGTCGAATTGGTTTGGATTGGAGTATTGCATGGGGTCATTGTGGACGACACCATGCGGTACAATCACTAGCTCGCCGTTCTTGAGGGAGTAATTCTGCGGTGTTGACCGGCCCGCCTTTGTGGCCTCTTCTTCCGTCTCGGTGAGAGTCAGGTCGGCAGTCAACTGCCGGAAGGAAAGCCCTGCCGAGTCCAAGCGTAAAGTCTCGTAGAAGCTCGCTTTCAAAAGCTCGCTCGAACTGCACAGCCCATCAACGTCAATAGACAGTCTAGGTGCCTCCAAGATCGGGAATCCGGTTTCCTCCCTCGTCGGTCTCGAGACCTTAACAAATGGAGCAATCTCCTTTCGAATTTCCCCCAGGAGTGTCGGGTTGGCATATAAGCGAAGGAGATGGTAGAATACAATGTTAGGCGAATTTCCATTCATAGCCCAGAGCAAGGCTAAATGTGCTGGGGCACTGTCTTGCGGGGATAACCCCAGGTCTTTCGCCTTGCGCACTCTGTTTTTGATCGGCTCCGAGACGTCTTCGAGGTCACGTAGATCGCGAAACTCCATCCCAAGGTCATTCCCTTCATCCCAAAGCAGCAAAGCTTGATGAAATATTGCAAGAGCATCTAGCAGTCGATCGCGCGCAATATAAGCTGCGGAAATTCCCGGGGTTAAATGGCGAGGCGGGCCCATGGATAAAGTGGCGAACTGGTCATCAACGCTCCAGACATCCTGGAGTAAAGTTGGGAATGTCTCCAGAATGGCCTGGCCAAACAAAGTAGTCGTTGTCACGGTACCAACAAAATGCCTAATAAGCTTGAAGAAATCCACCTCGCAGAGTTGACCCTTTCCCTCGATAACAGTGACATCGGCCGGCCGTTCCCACATCATCTGGTCGATGGGCGCTGCCGAGAAAGTCACCAGGTTAGGGGCTTCCCGTTGAATAAAGTTGGCAGCCGCCGTTGAAGTTTGGGACAATGATGGCTCATGCATGAACTGGTTGGGAATGTTATGAACAAAAACATGGTGGTCGGAGGGGTTCAGTTTCTCAAAGACACCTCGTTCACCGAGAATCTTCTTCGAGATATGCTGCACCAGAGGGGCAGTTGTCACGCCTCTGATTGTCAAGACGGACTTGATCATCGATGGCGACATGACAACATTGTGCCTTGCGCCACCCATCACGATGGCAAATACAGCCTCATTCAGTTGATTCCTACATAGTCAGCTAAAGAACACATAACAGGGATAGTTTACGAACCTTGCCTTATCTAGAAACTCTATATGGTTTCGAGCAAACGATAGACTGTGGCCAAACCATGGTATCCAATATGGCACTATCCTAGGGCGACGCAGTTGCGCTGTGTCTTTTGTCTTCCCCGCTTGGCTTTGAAGCCCTGTGGAAATTCGCGTAAGAATAATAGCACAGGCTGAGATAACAAGTGCAGCCAGGGCCAGGTCCTTCAGCTGTAGCCCACCATACACCCTTTGTACCGCGTTCATCATATTCTCTATTCAAGAATTTGAACGGAAGACCACGCGTGGGAGCCCAAAGATTTTGGGTGGGGAGACCCCGGGTAAAGAGAATTATGAGAGAAAAACGAAGTCTATAGGTCTACTCATCGAATGTGGGATATCCAGAAATTTCTCGCTGCTGGAGGAAGAGACGAGCAGAAGTTGGAATCTTGGAAGTTGAGTGTGTACTAGAATTACGGTAATATACAGCTGACATCAGCAGTGGATACTCAAAAATGGAACGAAGAGATGAAATTAATTTACAGAGTTGAATTATTCTTGAATATATACAGTTGCATGTCATGATCATACAATAAGCAATAGAAGTATCATCAATGCTGACTTTGCAGCACCTTTTGGAGAGCCGCACTCTCGGCTTCATACTTCGCAATCTTGTTTTGCGAGCTGTACACCTTCTGCAACAGCCACTGGATTCTCCCTGTCAGCTCTCGCGGCTGCTTCGGTAACTTTCCGAGCAGCAGAAGCTCCTCCTCATATGTCCCAATACTCTTGTTCTCTTTGCCGATTAGCTGTGACAGCACCTCTAGATCCAAGCGGCTACTCAGGGTCTTGTTCTCAGTCAGTCGCTTGAACACCGCCTGGTAAACTGGTCTACCAGCTTTGACCCTCTCCGGCGAGCCGTTCACTGTGACGATTGAGATAAGTTCCGCTTGCTCGAGCTCGCGGAGAGATTGGCTATTGGACTTGAACAAGTCGGACTGAAGGACGTGGTTGTAGGGCACACTGCCATCTTTGGAATGAGCGAGTGTCTTAATCAGGTGCCAGGCCTGCTGGTGACTCCACTTTTGTGATTCGGTCTCAGGGCTCAAGATGAACATCTTCAGGATTTCGGACGCTGACTGTTCCACGATGCGAGTGACAGCGCCCCTGGGCGTTTCCCCAGCCTCGATACGATGCGCCATGAATTCAAGGTCCGTGAGGCGCCCGCCTAACACGGCAATGCAGCTATCGAGTTCAGCCAGATCCTCCTCGTTCTGCGTGTCCTTGTTCTTGCTCTTTGCTTCATACTCAAGGTGGTTGAGAACGAATCTTCGGCCGACTTCGAGTGAGCAATCGCCTAGTGAGATCGTTCGGAACACTGAGTTCGGCAAAGCTTTGCTTAAAGGCTTGGAGAACGATACATCGGTCGTCAAGAAGATGACATGTGCGATGTTCCCGGTTGCCAGCCCCGCAGCCCATTCTGTGATCTTGTCATAGACCACGCTGGTAGCCTCTGGGTTATTGTGCAGATAATTATCAATGACGACCACTGGTCGTAACTCGGGGTGGGCCTCCAGGTATTCCTCATCAGAAAGCTGCGCATCCGTGTCCGTCTTCTTGCGGTTTTCCAAAGTGATACTCTTGAGGGCCACGGCAGTGTTTTGCCAGATATTGCTGAGCTGAGCGTCCAGCGTCTCGGAGAATCCTGCCTTGGTGCCGATCATACCCTGTGCTGCAAGGTCGATAAAGCTGCTGATGCTGTTCATCCAGGAGAAGATCGGACGGTAGCCCACTTGGCTAGCTGCTCGAGCAATCTTCGCTGTGTCGCCTTTGGCATCTTGAATTTGCTTGCAATCAATGACAAGTTTGTACTTGTTGTCCTTCAAGGTGCGGTCTAAAACTAATTCGCGCTTCCCTGAACCGCGCGGGCCATGTATCACGATGAAAGTTTCCGCGCTCTCAGTCAGCCAGGAATGAAGCTGCTCAATATCACCTTGACGGTCCTCCCAGATTGCCGACAGTCCTCGGACATCGGACTTGCTTTGACCGAAGTATATATTCGCTTTGCTGACCTGATACCGAACCCACTGGAAGAACTTGTTCTCTTCTGTGTGGAGGGTCGCCTTGATCTTCATCTTGATGAAGAAGGTGCGTATCGGGTCGAAGATGGTCACAGTGACGGCCGCAATGAGAGCAGCAACAGCGGGAATGACTAGACGAGGATGACTCAGGAGCCAGTCCTTGATCATAGACAGTCTGATCTTCCGCTCATACTTGACCTTCACGCGTGTACCTGACTTGCCTCCACCTCCTTCTGGTGGTATGGTAAATCCGTGGACGCAGTTTTTGGCTGTAACCGCATTGCTAGGTCGGGAGAATTCTACCAATGCATATCTCGGCGTAACTTTCGAGTCCGGTGGCTGCCTTTCAATATCCTTGAGCTTGCCATATCTGCGAAAGACCGAGTAGAGAGCCTCGGTGGATAATTCTGCCGGCGAGCCCTCTGGTGCAGCTGGATGAAATTCAACTCGAATACGCTGGCTTGGTATGCGATAGAGGTCTTCAATCCACGGCCTGCCCTGGACTTGGGCAACTGTTGCCTGCTGAAAAGGATTGAACCACGGCCGGATAGGGTGCTTCTCTAAGTGTTTCCTTATGGCTGCCTCAATTTCGTGGTCTGTGGCTCCTGATTTGCGAGCATACTTCACAAAGGCACCGCCTTCGCGGAAACGTGGGATGACATCTTTGATTTCGATATCCAAGCCCTGAGGGAATACTTGCCGAATGATATGTAGCGGATCTGACGCTGCAAGGTGCGGTCGGTTGATGCGTTTCAACGCATTTTCATACGACTTTGTCCCGTTGAGAGGACCCAACAGCAGCAACCACTGAAGCTTTGGTGGGAAGATGTCTAGATCCTGTTAGATAGAAAGCCTAAGACACAGACAGAAGACTCACTATTGACAAACACCAATCCCTCGTTGTCACTGAGTTCAATATGCCCCGTCTCGAGCGAGCTGACATTCGCCGACCCTGTTATACTAGTAGTGCTCGCCTGCCGGGCAGTGTAAAGATAGGGAACCTGATAAGCAGGAGAGTTTCGCCAGCATGGCAAACGCCGGTAACCGTGGGACGCCTTCCCAGCGAAAAGGGCTCGCATCATTATGGCGAGGATGAAAGCATGTCGGAAACGCAGAACAAGCGATGGCAAGAGTTAAGTTGCTCGATCGATTGCGATGGGTGACGTCAAGAATCGATAGCAGCCGATTAAGGTTTAAGATTACGGAGACGTGCACCAAAAGTTTCCGCACGCCAAGAATGCCAAGGGTTGGTATTACGTGTTCAGGAATATATAGTAATTACTATAGAAATAGTAACATCTAATACTTCTTTATAATTGCTTTTTCGTGCCCTTTTAATAGCTTTGTATCCTGTAATCTAGCAAACTTTATAATACTATTTTTACACTATAACTTGGCTTATTTTAATAAATTCTTGGTGTTTTAACCTAATTTTTAGCTTAAATTAATTGCCTAATCCCCCTTTATAGTTTTTTTAATCCTTAACGCCAGTTTCCCTATACAACAATGCCTAAAGGCGGGTTTTATTTTAATAAGGTTTAGGTACAAGTTTTAACTTTTTAGGCTATTAACAAGCGTGTGGTAAAAATCTCTAGGCTCCTAGAACTCCCTATATATACTATTTATAATATTATTAAAAAAGGCAAATACCGGGGCTATCGGCCGAAGGAAACTGGAGTTTTTTAGGTATATATTAAATTTATTAAAAATGGCAAGCGCTCTAGAAGGCCTGTTAAGATTAATAAAGATATTTAAAAAGCTATAATAACTTTAGTTATAATAGATTGCTTAGGGCGCAAGAAGTCTTTAAAAATTTTTATATTTAAAGCCGGTATTTCTTATTCCTTTGTTTTGCAAATTTTTTATAAATATAAACTTTTTTTTATCAAGCCCTCTTACAAACCTGGTTTAACTAAAGCTGCTTAAATTAAATGCTTAAAGTTTTATATAGCTTATTAAAACTGGACCATTAAAGACTAAAAATACGTGATTTTTATTAATAAAACCTTAGTTATTCTAGGCCAACGCCGTGGCTTAATTTAAGTATAAAAAATAGTAGGGGATAAACACAATTAGACCTGTATTTAAAGGCGTTAAAAGGGGTATTTTAACTTCATGGTATGGGGTTGCTTTACCTATAATAAAAAAGGGCCTTTGCATATTTTTAAAGCAAAAATAGCCTAGTAAAAACGTTAAACAGCCCGCAAGATTAATAAGTTAAACCGTGAGCTAAAGCCTATACTAAAGGCTAAATAAAAGGTTAGTACAGCGTTAAAATAACTTAATTTACGCCTAAAAAAAGGTGGCTAAAGGCCTTAATAAAGGTGGAATAAGGCCAACGGCAAGCTAGAAAGAAGTGCTGGTGAAGGGATTAATTAGTATTAATATTAGGCAGTTAGTTTTTAAAGCTATCCCCAACTCCCGCAGTTAAATACTAACACCTCTCTTTATTTATATAGGAAATTTTAAAGCCTTTTTTTATTCTTTTCGCCTAAAAATGCATAATTAAACAGCTAAATACTGTTATTTTTAAAAATAGGGCCCCTGCTTATTAACACTAGATTTAAAAGCGTGTATATAATATCGCGGAGGTTTAAAAGATTATAAATTAGCCTGGTAATTTACTAGATTTTAATATTATTAAGTTTGCTTAGGCCTAGATAAAAAAGCGTATAACTTTACGCGGAGTGCCTTGGGATAAAAAAACTAGTAAAGCAGCCTAGTATAAAGCTTAAAAAAAGCTTTTTTAAAAAACTATTTAACACTGGATTAAGAGGCTAGTTTAATATATTTAAGAGGTTATTTACTGCGAAGGAGGCAATAAGTATTAAAAGGCTTGTAAAAATTAGGATACACGTAGTTAAAAAGGCCGCAAAGTGAAAGGCAAGCTTTCCAAGCGTTAAGACCTTTCTTTACTAAAGAATAATAATAATTAGGAGTTTAAATAGCTTTATTTTTTTAATTTTAGGCCATTTTTTAATTTTGGGGGGGCACCTTTAGTTCTAGTATAGCCTGTGTACGCTTGGAATTTGTTTTTATAGTAATTATATGTAAAAAAATTTGAAAGTTACACAAAGCTTACTAGCGTGTGCGGAAACTTTTGGTGCACGTCTCCGTACCGGTTCGCTTTGGTATTGGTATGACGGACTAGATTACAGTACTAGGCGGCGGAGACAAACAGGGCAAACAGAGCAAACATTGGCTTTTCCACGCGGGATCTAGCAATGTATCCGTCGCATCAACACTACAGTGTATACCTTGGAGAGAAGGAGAATTTCATAAAATGGGCTGGCTTTGGAACTCATCAACTCCTACGAAGAGCTCTTCCGAGTCTCAAGCAACTCAATCTCCAGCACTAGAAGGCCTTCCGAACCCGACACCACCGCAGTTACAATCACAAACACAAACCCAAAAGCTCACCCGGGAAGAGCAAGCAGATGCCGAAGTCGCGCAGCTATGGGCAAGCCTGAAAAATGACATCAACCAGCCCGAGCAGACACAAGAAGCCTCGTCAAAATCAGACTTACAATCTTCGCCATCCTCAATAGCTCCCGAATCTCTCTATCCCGATACCTGGTCCTGCAGCGACGCCTTCGACTACGCCTTCTTCTGCCAGTCGCTAGGCGGACAATTCGTAAATGTCTACCGATACGGAGAGCTACGGTCGTGCAGCGAGCACTGGGATAACTTCTGGCTGTGCATGAAGACGCGGAGGTTCCCGGAAATGGAGAAGAAGAAGGTCATTCGGGACCTTAATCGGAAGAAGGCAATCAAGTATAAAACGGGACCAAGTAGTGAGGATGTTTGGGCTGTGAGGATGGAGCCCGTCAAGGGGTGCTTTCAGGGTGATTTTGCCGCGCTGGAGAGGCAGATGAAGGCCGACGAGGAAGCCGAGGCACGGGCTAGACATCCGTCTGAGACTATCTAACCCTCAGTTCTTCCCTTGTGAGTGTGCTGAGCTTCTTGTCTTTGGGGTCTCGCCGACTGATGATTTGATTGATCAGATACCAAGGCTTGCACTTGTCCCCGGGCCTTCAAATGTACATTACGATATATGTATAACAAGAGTTGTCTATAATGAACAAAACAGCACAAGGATTGGATGGGTTTTTCCTGTCACTTTTTCACAACTGGGGTTCAAAGGACTTTCCGTGGTGCCTTTGTTTCTTATGATACAATGAATCCTTTCACATCACAGGAGCGAGTCCGACCTGGCAATGTCGAAAGAATCGTTCACCTTTGACTGTCGTCAACAACGCGTGACGCGTCCTTTCATCACTGACAGGCATTATCATCTTGTCCCTCATCCCCTTTATCACAATAGGTCTATATAAAGGCTCTCTTTCCTCGACAATGCTCGCCACCAAACCCCCAATATTCGACTGATAATGGTCCCAAAACTAACCAAACCGTCAACATCGAAACCAAATCTAAGAACCAAAATGCCGTTTCTATATAATCTCGTTGACCGTCTCGCAGACGTGGTCATCGCGGCCGTTAGCCCTCCAAAGCGTCCCCATGAACGTGAACGTGAACGAAAACGTTCATTTAGCCCCCCACCACGACCAAACCATCGTCCCCTCCGCGAAGAAGATTACGATGATGAAGACGACGACTACGAGCCCCTCTCCTACTACAGCCGTCGGGTAAGCCGCCAGGTCGATGAGGAAACCTTGCCCTCGTTCGCTGAAGAAGGGGCCCGTCCGGGTCCTGGCTATAGCAGCAGGGACGGAGAGAACGCTCGACGCTACCGCGCCCCGCACAATGCAAAGCGTGTCCGCTGGGGTGGTATCAAGGCCTATGATGATTATGTGCCCCTGGCTTCTGCGCCGGGGTTAAGTGAGTTCCCGCAGAGGCGGACGAGTACGAGCCCTAATTATGTCTACGGTGCTGAGGATCGTAGGAGCCCTAGGGAAAGGCGCAAGAGAAGCCCTGGTTCCAGTCCTAGGTCCAGTCCCAGTTCCAGCCGGAGCGGCAGCAAAAGCCGCGAGGGTAGCCCTAAGCTTCCGGGCTCATATGAAGAAGGAAAGGGAGGGCAGCCAGCAGCACCTTCTCCTCCTTCTGCGCCGATACTGCGACAACTCCTGCACCGCACGCACGTTCCGCGCAAATCCATACTCAAGGCGCCAACTGCAACAGATGATGAGATGATGGTTAGAAACCTATGGTCGATGGTCGTGCTCTCACAGAACCAGCTCGAGTATACATATGAGTTCCTCTCATCTGTAATGCTCATTGGCGATGATGTACTTGATACCATGTGGACAGCGGGCGAGATGACGATGTTTGAGGAGGCTAACAAGAGGGCGCGGAGGTCGCTGGAACGGGAGAGGCGACGTGCCCGCCATCCGATTCTCGAGCCCAGACCGCGGTATAGAAGGCCGAGAGGGCCTGAGCCTGAGCGGGAAATGGTCGCTCCTGAGGTTGCGCCCTGGACTGAGGGGGGGCAGCAGAGGAACCCCGTTTCAGAGCCGAGGGAGATGGATATTATAGAGGAAGAAGAGGAAGGGGATGCTAGTTGGACGTGAAAAACTCAGCACTCAGTATAGCTTGCATAGTATCCTGACTCTTGGTGTCTAAATTTATCACAAGATATGAATGAACTCTGAAACTTAGATTGGCTATTTGATGCTGAGATCACAAGGTTGTAGGAACATGAGAGATATGAAATGTATCAATAAATAAATAATAATATTTACAACGAAGTAGATGACTGCAAACGCTCCAACACCTTGCCATATTTTAGAAAGACGCTGCAACCAACAAAAGCACAAGCACCCTTTTGGAAAGCAATAAACAGGAATCGCGAAAGTATATGTATCAGTAAATCAAGAAAAATACCCCTTCTAACCATGACCATGCAGGAAATTATCGTGCCAGATAGAATACAACCCATCAACCGAACATTTATCCCGCTGATCCCGAAGCAAAGTCTTTTCCCGTTTTCGATATGGTATTACTCATAGATCATCGTCATCATGAGACATAGAACGAACCTGTCGTCGCGCAGGAGCCAGTCCAGCGTGCCGAACTTCTATTTGTTTGTGTTGTTGTTTATGCGGCAATGGTCACAGTCTCGGTGGCCTGGCGGACAGCATCAATGGCAGGTCGGCGGATAATACCACCAGTCACAGGAAGTTGGGAGCTGATGCCGGAGAGGAAGGTGTCGACCTCGCGAGCGCACTGGCGACCTTCGTTGATACCCCAGACAATGAGAGACTGTCCGCGGCGGCAGTCACCCGCAGCGTACACGCCGGGAACGTTGGTGCCGTAGTGGCCAGGGCTGGTCTTGACGTTCTTGCGGGCGTCACGCTCGATTTCGTCGCCCAGAAGACGGTCCTCAGGGCCAAGGAAGCCCATGGAGAGAAGGACAAGGTCAGCAGGGAAAAACTGCTCGCTGCCCTCAACGGTCTTCATGTCCCATCCACCAGTGGCGCTCTTGGTCCATTCAACACGGACAGTGTTGATACCCTTCACGCGTCCGCTACCGTCGTCCACGAATTCTTTGGACATGATGCAGTACTCACGGGGGTCCTTGCCCATGTGGGTCTTGACCTCGGAGTGACCGTAGTCGACACGGTAGATACGGGGCCACTGAGGCCAGGGGTTGTCACGGGCACGCTCAGGAGGAGGCTGAGGCAGGAGCTCGAAGTTGACAACAGACTTGGCACCGTGACGAACAGAGGTACCAATACAGTCGTTACCCGTATCACCGCCACCAATGACGACGACATGCTTGTCCTTGGCAGAGATGTAAGAACCGTCGGCCAGCTCGGAGTCAAGAAGAGACTTGGTATTCTTGTGCAAGAACTGCATGGCGAAGTGAATACCCTCGAGTTCACGGCCAGGAACCTTGAGGTCACGGGCGACAGTAGCACCGGTGGCAATAATCACAGCATCATTGATCTTGCGAAGAGAGTCCAAAGAGACATCGCTGTCCGGTCCAACGGACACACCAGTGACGAACTTGATACCCTCGGCGGCCATCAGGTCGACACGGCGCTGAACGACCTTTTTGTCAAGCTTCATGTTGGGGATACCGTACATGAGCAGACCACCAACACGGTCGGCACGCTCATAAACAGTGACACTGTGTCCAGCGCGGTTGAGTTGATCTGCAGCCGCAAGACCGGCGGGACCAGATCCGATGATAGCAATAGTCTTGCCGCTACGGACAGCAGGAGGACGAGGGACCATCCAACCCATCTCGAAACCACGGTCAATGATCGCACACTCGATAGACTTGATACCAACGGGGTCTTCGTTAATGCCCAACACACATGCACCTTCGCAAGGCGCAGGGCACACACGACCAGTGAACTCGGGGAAGTTGTTGGTCATGAGCAGGCGGTTGAGGGCATCCTGCCACTGATTCTGGGCCAAGGTCAGTATTGTGCTTTTCTTGTTATCTCTAGAGGGTTAGGGTTAGGTTTCTTACTGCGAACACCAATTCGTTCCATTTAGGAATGATGTTAGAGATCGGGCAACCGGTGTCGGACTGGCAGAAGGGAACACCACAGTCCATGCAACGAGCAGACTGGTACTTGAGCTCGTCCTCGGTTAGACGAGAAGACAGTTCCGCCCAGTCACGGGTACGGGTGGCTGGGTTGCGGTACTTCTCGCTACGGCGGTTGTACTTCATGAAACCACGGGTCTTGTCAAGGATGAGGGCGGTTCTCTTCTTCTCGACCTTGGAGTCGGTGACACTGTCTTCGATGTCCAGAAGCTCAGCCTTCTTGGCATCACCTTCAGCCTTGGGCTTGTGCTTCTCAACAGGAGTGCTAGGCAGCTGAGGAATGGTGGTCTCAGCCTTCTTCGCAGCGGCCGCCTTTGCAGCTTCTTCCTCGAGGACACGCTTGTAGTCTGTGGGCAAAACCTTGATGAAATGAGGAAGAGCACGGGTGAAGTCCAGGAGGATACGAGCAGCCAGCTCGGAGCCAGTATAGTGGTGGTGATCCTCAATCAAGCCGCGGAGGAAGGCGATTTCAGAAGGATCTTCGAGGCTGGAGCATTCCACCATCTCCATGTTGACCTTAGACAGGAAATCCTGGTTCATGTCGAGGATGTAAGCAATACCACCGGACATTCCGGCAGCAAAGTTACGACCTGTCGAACCAAGGACAACCACGCGGCCTCCGGTCATGTATTCGCAAGCATGGTCACCAACACCTTCAACAACTGCCGTAGCTCCAGAGTTGCGAACAGCGAAACGTTCAGCAGCAACACCACGGAAGTAGCAAGTACCACGAGTGGCACCGTACAGACAGGTGTTACCGACAATAACATTCTCCTCCGCCTTGTAAGCCGCACCGCGCGGGGGATAGATGATGAGGCGGCCACCGGACAGACCCTTGCCGACATAGTCGTTGGCATCACCCTCAAGCTCCAGGGTAATACCAGGAGCAAGATAGGCACCAAAGGACTGGCCAGCCGAGCCCTTGATATTGGAATGAATGGTGTCCTGAGGAAGACCTTCCCCTCCGTAACGACGGCTGACCTGATAAGAAAGAGTGGCACCCAGAGCACGATCAGTGTTGACAACATCGCACTCAACACGGCAAGGCAGACCCTTCTCCAGAGCAAGCTCGGACTCGGCAATAAGCTTGTTGTCAAGACGAGTGTGCAGGCGGTGATCCTGCCTGCGTACATTATACGTTGCTACACCAGGGCGAAGTGAGTGAGCAGGAGTGAGAATGAGTGAAAGATCAATGTTCTCCTGCTTGGGATTGGTGAGGTCATCGCGGACCTTGAGAAGCTCAGCACCTAGAACAAAGGTTAGCTGTATCATGAATAATCATCAGAATATAGCACTTACGGCCAATCATCTCGTTGATGGTACGAACTCCCAGCTTGGCCATGATGGAACGCAGCTCGTTGGCGATGTAGTAGAAGAAGTTGATCACGTGTTCAGGCTGACCCTCGAACTTCTTGCGGAGTTCAGGATCCTGGGTGGCAATACCAACCTGCAAGAAAATTAGTAATTTTTTACAACATAATGGGACGTGGTCAAATATACAGGGCACGTGTTCAAATGGCATTTTCGCATCATTATGCACCCCATCGCGATCAAAGGAGTCGTGGCAAAGCCAAATTCTTCAGCACCGAGAAGACAGGCAACTGCGACATCACGACCAGTGCGGATCTGACCATCAGTCTGAACAATGACACGGCCACGGAGGTCATTGAGAACAAGAGTCTGGTGAGTCTCGGCGAGACCCAGTTCCCAAGGAAGACCGGCATACTTGATACCAGTCCAGCGAGAAGCACCAGTACCACCGTCATGACCGGATATCAAGATGTGATCAGCCTTGGCCTTGGCCACACCAGAGGCGACGATACCAACACCAACTTCGGACACAAGCTTGACGGAAACACGAGCACGGGGATTGGAGCACTTGAGGTCGTAGATGAGCTGCTTCAGGTCCTCAATGGAGTAAATGTCGTGGTGAGGGGGAGGCGAGATAAGACCGACACCGGGGGTGGAGTAACGAGTGTGGGCGATAGGACCGACAACCTTGTGACCAGGTAGTTCACCACCCTCTCCAGGCTTAGCACCCTGGGCCATCTTGATCTGCAGCTCATCTGCATCGGCAAGGTAGTGAGATGTGACACCAAAGCGGCCAGAAGCAATCTGCTTGATGGCAGAGCGCATTGTGTCTCCGTTCTCCATGCGCTTGCTGCGCTCTGGGTCTTCACCACCTTCACCTGTGTTGGACTTTCCACCCAGGCGGTTCATGGCAACAGCAAGAGTAGAGTGTGATTCCATGGAAATGGATCCGTACGACATGGCACCAGTCACGAAACGGCGAACAATTTCCGTCCATGGTTCAACCTGATCAATGGGGATAGGCGTCCGCTGGTCAAAGTCGAACTCGAGCATCCCACGGAGAGTGCAGTTCTTGATCTGCTCATGCGCGGCCTTGGCGTACGCCTCGTAGGACTTGTCGTTCTTCGTGCGCACAGCATCCTGGACATTGGCGATGCTGACAGGGTCGTTGATATGATCCTCGCCACCGTCACGCCAGTGGTACTCACCGGTCTCGGTAAGACCAGGAATATCAACGATGGAGCGAGAGGGGTAACCGCGCTCGTGAATGGCAAAGGCGTCCTGCGCGATCAGCTCAAAAGTCATACCGCGGATACGGCTTGCAGTGCCAGCAAAGCAGCGGTCGATGACGCTGTCATCGATACCAAGCGCTTCGAAGATCTGAGCACCCTTGTAGGATGCCAGAGTAGAGATACCCATTTTGCTCATGACCTTAAGAATACCGCCATCGCACGAAGCCTTGTAGTTCTCAATGACCTTCTCATCGGAAAGTTCCTTGCGGATCAATTTCTCTCTGTTCATCTTCATGATACACTCCATGGCGAGGTAAGGGTTGATACCATCTGCACCATAACCGACGAGAACACACATGTGGTGAACCTCACGGGCCTCTGCAGTCTCGACGATCAACGCAGCAAGAGATCGCCACTTGTTGCGGACCAAGTGGTGGTGAACAAGGCCAGTGGCCAGGAGAGCAGACACTGGGACCCTGTCGGCAGATGTGGCACGATCGGAGAGGATGAGAACCTTGTCTCCGTTTTGGATAGCCTCAGTAGCGTCGTCGCAAATCCGGTCAAGAGCCTCAATATATCCTGGGACACCCTTCTTCTTCTCGAAGGTGATATCAATGAGTCTAACGGTCCAGTCCTTGTGGACAGTGTGGACGTTCTTGAGGGCGTTAAACTCGGGGATGCTCAGGATAGGAGAAGGAAGAAGCATGCGGCGGCACTGCGATTGGTCCATTTCCAGCAGGTTGCCCTGAGGACCAACGTAGCACTCCAGAGACATGACGACGGCTTCACGGATAGGGTCAATTGGGGGGTTGGTGACCTGAGCGAAAAGCTGACGGAAGTACTCGTACAGAAGTCGAGGTTGCTTGGCGATGCACGCGAGAGGAGCGTCATTACCCATGGAACCAAGAGCCTCCTTAGAATCAGCTCCCATGGGGCCGAGAAGAAGACTGACTTGCTCAAAGGAGTATCCGAAGGCCTTGAGCCGAGGGTCGTTTTGAACAGTGGTGTTGTCCAGTTCATAGCGGACGTCCACATTCTGCTCAATCAGCTTTTCGGTGACAGCGGGAAGCTTGACAAGCTCCTTGTTTAACCAGCCGCTAAAGTCCGCTCGGTGGGCAACGGTGTACTTCAACTCAGAGTCATCAATGATACGGCCGGCGACTGTGTCAACCAGAAGCATTTTACCGGGCTGAAGACGACCCTTCTGGATTACTCGCTCCTGGTCAATATCGACGGCGCCGACTTCGGACGCGCAAATGATACGGTCATCATCGGTCACATAGAAACGGCAAGGACGCAGGCCGTTGCGGTCCAAGTTGGCACCGCAGTAACGTCCATCGGAGAAGGTGAAGAGAGCCGGGCCGTCCCAAGGCTCCATCTGGCAAGCAGCCCACTCGTAGAAAGAAGCCTTGGCCGGGTCCATGGCTGGGTTGTCCTGCCACGCCTCAGGAATCATGATCATGACAGCTTCCGGGAGAGAAAGGACACCGTTGATCATCAGCAATTCCAAAACGTTATCAAAGGCAGCCGAGTCGGAACCGCCGTCTTCGACAATAGGAAGCAGAGACTCGAGCTCGTCGCCAAAGATTTCAGACTTGAGCAGACCTTCACGAGCACGCATCCAGTTCTTGTTACCTCGGAGGGTGTTGATCTCACCGTTGTGAGCCGCCCATCGCAGAGGCTGTGCACGGTCCCAGGAGGGAAATGTGTTGGTGGAGAAACGGGAGTGGACGAGAGCAAAGTGACCTTCATAGTCGACGTTTACCAAATCGTGGTAGTACTGGTACACCTGTATAGGAGCGAGCTGGCCCTTGTACACAATATTCCGATTGCTGAGAGAGCACAGGTAGAACCAGTTGGCAAGGCCAATGATGTGCGTAGCACGCTTTCTTAAAACGTACAGCTGAAGTTCGAACGTCTTCATGTCAAACTGCTCCGGATCAGTAATCTCGGGCTTGTTTCCCTCCCCGTAAGCGGACTTGAGCACCACGAACGGCTGGAGAATTGTAGGCTCCCGAGACAGGGCTGCAGGGCCCAAAATGGTAGAATCGCGAGGAACCTCGCGCCACCCTAGTACGCGCAATCCTAGTGTTGTGGCGATCTCCTCGAATTGTTTGATGGACTCTTTCAAAGCCTCCTCGTCAGGCTTGAAGAAGAGGTTACCCGCAGCATACTGCCCAAGGGGAGGGAGGTCCACTCCAACTTCGCGCGCAAAGTTTTTGATGAAGAACTTATGGGGAATGCTGGTCATTACACCAGCACCATCGCCGTCTCGTGCATCAGAACCGACTGCACCTCGGTGCGTCATGTTACAAAGCAGATTCCGGGCTGTAGAAGACTTCTTGTAAGCGGGTCTACTTTTGCGTTTCTGGTTTTTGGATTCTCACCATCGCTGACAATCTTGTGACTAGCCTTGCCTTTAATATTGCTGTACGATGGAAAACATTAGATATGAAATAATCCAGCGCAATCGCAGCGATCCGGCGACTTACGCAGCAAAGCCTACACCGCAAGCATCCTTTTCGTATTCCGGGTCATAGAGACCTTGCCGCTCGGGCAGAGTGTTAGCCCAGCCATAACCTTTCTTTGGCTGATACTCCGAATATTCGTTCGGGCTCTGCTCCTCGACTATAGTTTGGCCATAGATTTCCTCCAAGTTCAGACCCATTCTTCCGCCGGTGGCCGACAGAGAATGGAATGACAGAAACTGGGGGATTGGTGGCAAGTGTTGGTGTCGGCCGCCGCTTTTCGTTCGGGCGGGGCAGAGGTCGAGGTGAATAGGGAGGGATATGTCGTCAATGGCGGAGCGTGGGCAGCGGAGTCAATCGCAGTGATGTTATGCCCAACGTCTGGCTCCGTAGTTGATGTGAAATAGTGAGAGAAGGGGGGAAGGAAAAGGAAAGAGAAGATGGGAGAACCGCAGAAATAAGAGGAGAATGAATGAGGGGGGAGGGGGCCTGCGCAGTAAAAAAAAAAGTGACTGGCACTGGGCAGTGGGCGGGAGGGAGCACGGGAGGCAGAGGTCCGGGGAACTGGCCAGGTCTCCGAGTTTCGGTATTGTATTACAGCGCTGGAGGAGTGTTTCGACTGAGATCACGGGGTGGAGGACAAAATGAACGGAAGACTAATTGAGAAAAATACATGGTGGGGATCTACGAGGAGTTACGACAGCAGTCAAGGGCCCTGGTCATGGCCGTCGCCGTGGCGAATTCTGTTTGCTTAAGAGGGCCTTCTCCGGAGGGCTGCAGACGGAGTGGCTTCAAGTTCAAAGAAAAAGAAACAATAATGCCCATAGCTTCATTTATGGATTCCACCTTAGCACCCAGCAGAGCAGAGCGTTTTCGGCGGCTTCCGCTCCTGGCCAGAAAATGTCCGCCACAGCTAGACTACTTGGAGGAATCTGAACAGACCAGGAACTTCACATGCAAGTCCGGCTTTCGAAGTCAGAATCGCCTGACGGCTTCATCGAATATCTGCGCGGACTCAGGGCTAATTGCAAAAGACGTATGTAGCCAGCCTTCTTCAGATCTATACCTGTGAAGTGCCCAGCAATTTGCGACTTTGTAGGAGTCGGGATGGACGACGGGGGCCAGTAGACGCTTGCCCAGGTGCTTCACGGACGTCTCCAAAGCCGGGGAGCAGCGTCAGAGATAAGACAGCAGCAACCAATCAGGGCAGCGGCTTTTCAACCCTTCAACCAGAAGACTAGGTTTCTCCTACGTCAAGATCCAAGCCGGTGGGGCACAAAAGCAATGCAAGGGAACGGCGCTAAGGGGAACATGCAAGCCCGTATTTGTATTTCCATTTATGTTACGCCTCGGCGCTACGAGTCATCTCACTTCTAAAGTCCGCAGTTGCCAGCACCTTTCAGCGCATACTCCAATACATAGTGGACTCATAGAGATCACACGGCGTAGCTAAACCGCTAAATGAATCGGATAGCACCCTATATTAAGCGACTGAATAAGATAGCACCCGTACAAAATTAAGCCCAATAAAGTATAGCGCCGCGTTTCAGCTAGTAAAGGCCGCCCCGCCAAGAACGCCCTGTAGCCAATAGAAATTCGCGGCGGCCAATGTTAACTCCTCACCACCAAGGCCTTCACCCCTAAGATCTCTCCGCAGTTACTAAGTTACTAGAACAAACTACCATTATCCCGGTTATCCGCTACAACATTAGCTCTATACAAGGCCTTTACTACACCCGCTACGCTTACTACAATCCCTAGTCTAAATAGCTTTAATTTAGCCGTGTTAAAAAGAAACTGGCAGGCGTACAAGGTCTCTGCGGGCGCGCGGCGCGCGCGCAAAGTTATTTGTTTTAAATATTTACCCCTTTTTAAATTAACCAATAAGATTCTCCGTTGTATTAACGTAAATTCAACTTTTAAAAGTTCGGAATAGCTTCAGAGTACGCGGTTTAGTTAGTATAATTAAGGGTGCTATTTTATTTAGTCAAGGGGTAGCAGTGAAGAACAATTTTACTAATAAATTACTAGGCAAGTTATGTAACGAGTCTAGAACAGCGCTATTTCAGGGTGCTATCTCATTCAGTCGCTTAATATAGGGTGCTATCCGATTCATTTAGCGGTAGCTAAACTACAGGATGCTAGCACTAGCCTGCCTCTCGGTGAAGAGCAAGACCATCAGGCAATCCCGTTAACACCCGATTGAATTAGTAAGTCTACTCCGCAGGGTGCAGGTGGAAGGTCTCCATCAAATTTCAATCCAGGTAACCTTAAACCTTGATGCGCTCTACTAGCTCAGCCAGTCGCTGAAGATCGGAAGAAGAAACGAAGAATGCTGGAGGGCGTTTGAGCCTTTTGAGGGGACACGAAAATTGGTTCTAAGAGATCATCGAAATAATGGTAGCATGACCATGCTGGCTCTGGTCGTCTTGATTGGCGGCCCATTCCGCTATTCATGAGATTGACCATCCTTGAGGTCCGCTCAAAATGTATAGTAGAGCGCATCTTGGTGGGCCGAGGTGCAAAATCATGGCGTTTCTGCGGATAATAATCCAGGAAGGCGACGGACTAATGTAAACATTCTTTTTCTTCGTCAAGCCATGTGGGAGTGAGTCAGAGCCTATTTTTTGCCACTCTAAGGATAAATTTCCTGTCTCGCTTCAGAATGGTCGATAGTGTCAGAACAGCCAGACGAAGGCCACAGAGCATCGGGAGGGTCAGCCGCTAAAAGTAAACAAACCCTAACGTCATTAGTCAAACACTACGGAGTACGGCCATGCTTCTTCGAATCTCGATGCTTTTCTTTTTCTCTTCTCCGCCCTAGACGAGATCAAAAGACCCGGCTGAATGGGTGATTGGACACTTGAGAAGTGGAGCAGTGCAGGGATGCAGTGCTTATCCCTCTTTGGTCCCAGACAGTTGGTCAGTGGCTACCGTCCCGTCAGCATGCTCTGCTGGATCCGGGAATAATGTGCACATGGCCAGTGGTCAGGTTCCCCGGGCTTTCATACAGCTGAAGACTGACGTCGGACGGCATTCATGTATGGAATATATAACAATGGGGGAAAGCAATCATGTTACTATTGAATGATCACTCTTGGCCTACAACACCGGCAAGGAGTCGTGGGGTGCCAAGGCCACACCAGAAAGGATATACACCGGAATAATTAGGGAGACCGACTGAAGAAATTCACATCATATTCATATGGGCTCTTGGAAACAGAAAGCAAGTGCAGTGTCCGCGGCCTTCCCCAAGGCTGTAAGCAAAAGATTAGTATGTTCCCCTCTTCCGCAACCTGCACACAGCACACCCAACTGCATACACAGCAAGTGAAGCTCGAGGCTAAGGATTGGTGGCATGAGCCACCAAGGGTGCATTGGGCGCTAAGTGATCTCTTCTGACCTTCGGAAAAGTACAGTGACAAAAGGACTCGCACCGCATACCCCACGCCCAGTACTCCGTCGGGAGATTGTCAGGGTGTACTAGCGCATACGCACACTTGATCAGCATATGTATTTTTGGCAGTGTCGGATTGGTTGGTGACTGGCACGGAGCGGTACAACGTTGAGGCGCGAGCGTCCGCCAGATTCCGACAACGGCTCCGGGGCCAAGCTACGCGCTATCCCCTTTCAGACCGGAACCCCCCTTTCCTCCCTCTTGTCACTGTGCTCTCCAAACGAAACCCCCTCTCCGACCCCCTTACCTCCTTCATTTCCCGTTGTACAGCCGAGTTTCCCCTCACTCCTCCGCCGAAATCGGGGGCCTCCAACTCTCCGAGCCGCACCTAGGGATCGATCACGATTGGCTCGTTAGCATTTCTCCAACCACAATCCCCGACCCCAGGCCGTCAGTTCGTCGACTTTGGGAATCAAATCTTGGAGTTGATCTTTGGATTTGAATCTCCAGATAATGCCGACATTGCATCAAGGATAGTGGGTTCCCATCTGTGAGAAAATGTAATCGAGTCTGTTCAACTCGTCCACCATCACCCATACCTACAAAACAACCACTGGCACCAGTCCCGGAGAAATCGAGCTCCACGCCGACGTGGCTGGCCCCGGCCAATGGGCGGCATCCAAGTAAGCCCCGGAAACGAGGTAATGTACGGAAACGAGCTGTGACCAGGATTCTCCAAGCCCGACTCGTCGCTGACTTGCTTTCGGCTTGAACCTAAGACCGGGCTCCTGATAAGCACCTTGGAATGTGATGATAATTCGAATACATAAAGCAATCGATTCCAGGGCGCCCCCCGTGCTGGCTGGTGTGTCCCCATTCTACTGGACAATCGTCCACTATTTGAGCTTCGGTCTTCGGAGAAGCATGCAGTTATTATTATTTTGATGCAGCCAAATAATGCCTTCTATTTAATTGGGCGCTGTGATTGTTACCCCATACCCACTGTTTCCACGGGTGTTCCAGTTCCCAGCTGGCCAGAGCTATGGGGTACACTATGTACTGCTACCTACCGTACTACGGTCACCGAAAGCGGCCTTACTTTTGATGCATGTTGGAGAAGACGAGCCTCCCTATTTCTGGTGACAGCAGACATGCATGCAGCAGGCCGCAGGTTCATTTCGTTTTTCTCTACTCCGTACGTACATTGCATGCTTAGCATGAAGCCGGCTCACACGGCAAGGACTACTAATGGGCTGACATTTGCATTTGTTGTCATGAGTGAAGATCCAATGATCCAAAAGTGTCTCGATACCATGGAATCAAACGCAAGCTGACAAAAGAAATCGTTTGTCGGGTTCCAACACCAGGCGCAGAAACGAAATGAGGTACAGAATACAGGTACGCATCCGTTACAGATACATCACATGACTGGCGGAAATGCCAATCGTTGGTGTGGTTCCGAATTCACCCGGTGCCCCTTTCTTGGTCTTGCCCTCTTTGGGTTCACCGACTGTGCCTTCTTCGCTGGTGGAGTGAAAGGCTGCAAGCTCTTGGAAGATACCGGAAGCTCTACAATCGGCCGGATACCGGAGTTTTGCCTTGTTACAACAAAGCACGCTCTAAGAAAACGGACACCATCTATACAAGTGTTATGCGTAATACGGGTCTCGTCTTTTAGGATGGAGTGTTTACTGCTAGCTCAGTTTCGGCCATGAATCGAAAGCATCGTCTAACCGAAGGAAAGATGATCCAGGCAACGCATGTGGCCATCCATGGCCTTTACTCCAATCTATCAATATGGTCCGGCACTCAGCTCGCGACTTGCACCAGCCCGCGCCCAGATTTTCTCCGATGCTCAGTTTCATTGGAGTGCCTCATGGGCTTTGCATTATTGCCGGTAGGGCTACGGTCAGTCATTTTGAGACCGGCACGCAACACGCTGGCAAGAACGAATGGGCATGCAAATATCTGTCCTCAACTTGAGCCGCAGGTTGTCTCGGCTTCAAGCTAATTCTATCATTTGGCATTGCTGCAGGGTCGTCGGACGCACGCGATCCTTAGTTGATTGGGTGCTCTCTATCCGCGGAGGACGGTTCATACCCCTTCAAGTGCACGACAGTGGCGTATGTCGCTGATAGACCTCGCATACTGTGCAGGTCTACGGGTGCCAAACAGGGTTCAAGGCGAGTTCGCGGAGAGGATTGAATGCCCGTTAACTGAAGGGAGGACCTCTAAGCACCGGGCGTCTTCAAAAGGGTGCCTTTTTAGGTAACCCTTTCCGTTTCTGACTAAGTGGTCTCTGTCTGTGTTACAGAGCTTGTGTTAACTGTGGACTGTTGAGACTCTAAGCCGCGACGGACACGAGAATTGTATAGGTAGGTCTGTATCACTATCCTCCACTGTTTGGGGTTGAGGATCAATTGCCGCTGTTATGAACCCTGGCCTAAGCGGTCAGTAATGGGATATGCAAAGTCAGCAATCAAATCAGGGGATTCTTTAGCCGAAGCGTATATATTTTAGCTCACTAATCCACTAAGTTTCTGGGATCGGTTTCTATATGCTGCACATACGGCACTTTGAAGAACATGAACGATGTAGTTGTGCCTTCCCCGCGTTGCTGCGGGAGATGATCCACCTCCAACTTAATTTCTGGACCTCTGTTTTTCTCCCCCTCACCTCTGCCATCTCCAGGGAGAACAGGCGCGGAACAAATATCCGTGAGTCAGAAACTCATTCAATGACTCATATATCTACTGTCAACTTTCATTCTTCCACGAACTTAGGCCGTTCAACTTTCTACAAAATCTCGCTTCAAATCGTGGCGGAGAGTTGTTTTTGTTTGCCCTCTGGATCCTCCATTACATTGCTCAAGCACTCAAGTTGACTGCGGGGACCGAGGCCGAACATACGATTGACTCACATTTGAGGGCAAATCTGATACGCACTCTTCTGGAGTTATTCCAGTAGTGGGCGATCAACAATGCTCTCTCTCCCGGTCTTCATACCGCGTGATGTACGTCCCCATCTCCCCAGACCATCACAACCAATTCTAAATAGGAAAAGTCGCACGATCTTTGGTTCAGTCCCCGAACAGTACCTCCTCCACAGCATACCGAACCACCATCATCCTCAACCTCGATCTCCGCAAGCCACGCCCAGGCCGCCCGCCGTCATGACAGCACACAATACCGGGACGGTGGGGCATCAGCAACCCGCCCCGGGGGCTCTGCGCTCGCTACAAGTGATACGTTGGCAACGTTGATACTGGAAGAACGGGCCCTACGCGCGCGCAAGAATAATATCGCTTCATTTGGATGCTCGTGGATTAAGCCGGCTGGATGCCCGAAGACGATGCTAGGGATGAAGGAGGAGGAGGCCGAAAGGGAGGAGGCTATGGCTGCTGCGGATGCGGAGTTTGCTGCTGCCGCTGCCGCCGCCGCTGCGGCAGGTGAGGAGGGTGAGGAAGGGATGGATGAGGAGGATGAGACGGGGATGGAGAGGGACTTGGATGCGGATATTCCGGACGCGGACGGGAATGAGGAGGGTGAAGAAGAGGAAGGCCTTGTGGAGGATGGGGAGGAAGGGCTGGAAGAGGACGAAGGTTTGGATGAAGAGAGTTACATGGAGCGCGACTTGGATGATGAAGTTCCCGAAGCATTTGCCGATTATGATGACGACGATGAGGAAGATTTTGATAACCAACCTGACCTCGATGGCGAGATTCCGAGCGCCGACGAAGGTGTCGATGAAATGAGCGAGCTCGAGGATGAAGAGCAGGAAGAGCGCGACTTGGACGACGACATCCCCGAAGCAGACGCAGGCGAAGATGAGTGGCAGCACACAGATACGGACGCCGAATTCGACGATGAAGAAGATGAAGTTAGTTTTGCGCAGCACCCGTTCCGTACCAGCACAGCTAGCAGCGCTCGTGGCCCACCGCTACCACAAGCACCAGCGCGTCCTCGAGAAACAGAGGCGCAGCGCCGCTTTCTCCAGCGCTGGAGCGGAGGTGGCGACGTCTTCGATACGAGTAGCCTGAACACGAGCATGTTGGTCGACGAATTCGACCAGGAACACTACCGAGATCGGGATCGGGACCGTGGACGGGATCTCCGCGCTTCGCTGGCGAGCCAGACTAGTCGGCGCAGCTCCGGGAATGACAGCATCTTTGGGCGGTTTCCAAGACGGAGAGGGCGGAGCGGAATGCCGAGGGATAGTCTTGAGTTCTAGAATCGGCCTGCAGTTCCTCCGCTTTACCAGTCATTCCGCTCGCTCACTCTATTCAAACTGGACACTCGCATTTTCCTCTTCCATCTGCCACTATTATGAACGGGTATACGGAGTAGGCGTTTGGCTTAGCCGGGAGGGTTGTCTGATGGTAGGTGCATGCATACGGTTGGAGTTTATGCATTATAAAGTCTGAGCTAGGTGTTGTTCTAGGGTTTCCAACATTGTCTTCCATCTTTAGCATTCGGAGTGTCGTTTTGATGATTATCAACTTTTTCATTTATAATACCCAATGCCAATAAGTCTATCCGCCTCGATCAGGTCTGCAAGTAATCTGTAAACTTGGAAGCTGAGTAAACCCATGCGAAGAGCATGCCCGTATTTTCAATCCGACAAGGTCTCCTTGCAACGTCATAAGAACGAGCCGTTGGACTAGCTCCGCGGATATACTCTATAAATGCCTCACGAACCAACAAGATGTCATGGACAATTGGACCACATAGTACAAGTAATATACATTCAAAAATATGATACATAGATTTTCATGGCCTGGTCATACACTAAACCCACTGCCTGGGATGCCTCAGCACATCCATCATCTCTTTTTCATGCGCCTTATCCTCGCCTAGCGCCTCCTCATCATCCATATTCTCCGTCCGGGTACCAGACACGGGATCCATGTAGGCCCATGACGCGGTACGGGGAAGACTCATCAGGATACTCTCAACACGGGCACTAGGTGTCCTCAAGCCGAAGCTCGTGCCACGGTCATAAACGAGGTTAAATTCGACGTAGCGGCCGCGACGAAGTTGTTGCCATTCTTTCTGTTGTGGGGTGAAGGGCATGTTCTTGCGGCGCTCGATTATGGGGACGTAGGAAGGGAGGAAAGAGGCGAGGCCGTCGGAGACGAAGGAGAAGAGGGTCTCTTGTGGGTTTTGTGAGGAGTGGGAGGAGCTTTCGAGAAAGTTGGCGTCTAAGTCATCGAAGAAGATGCCGCCGACGCCGCGGCATTCGCGGCGGTGTGGAAGGTAGAAGTACTTGTCGCACCAAGCCTTGAACTTAGGGTAGTAAGTTGCGTCGTGGCGATCGCAGGCCTCTTTGATGGTTTGGTGGAAGTGCTGGGCGTCCTCGGGGAAGAGGTAAGAGGGGGTGAGATCTGTGCCACCGCCGAACCACCAGTTCTTGTCGCCATTGATAGGATCCTTGGGGTCTGACGTCTCGAAGTAGCGGTAGTTCAGATGAACCGTTGGCGCCATAGGGTTGTGGGGGTGTAGGACGAGAGACAGACCGGCGGCGAAGAAGCTCAGGGAGTCCACGTCGGCACCGACGAAAGACTTGTGGTCTGCCCGCATCTTCTCAATCGCCGGGCGGGGTAGTTCGCCGTAAACGATGGATACATTGACACCAGCTTTTTCAAAGACGTTGCCGTCTTGGAGAACGCATGAAATTCCGCCTCCTCCATTTGGTCGAGTCCAGGTATCTGCTTTGAATTGCTTTCCGTCTATCCGGCTAAGTTCCTCGACGATCTTCTGTTGGTGGTCCTTGATCAACTTCTCCATGCGCAACCGCATTGGCGAGGTCTCGCTGACAGCGGCTTTTTTCTTCAGGTTCTCGTCAATCTCCACAATCGACGGAGAGTCGAATTCGGTGACTTCGTTTGTCATCTACCTCAACAATTAGCGAGATCTAAGCAGCACGGATGGGTTCGGAGCATTACCATATCATATACAAGGAAGGAAAGAAATGGAATGCCGATTATGAGCCGCGCGCGGGGGAACTTCACGGTGAAGTCACCCTTCTTCTCTTTCTTATTCTCCGGTTTCTCAGGAGCTGACTTTGATGTTTTGCCCGAATTCGGTGGTTGCGCTTCCTTCTCTGGTTGGGGTCTCTCTGAGTAGAATCTGCGGAAGGCTGTTGGAGTGCTGTTCGGTTTGCGACAGGTTGGAGGGATCTGGGAAAGCGACCTGCGCAGAGGCATATATAGTCGGGGTAGACCCATTTTGCTGAATATAAGGCCAATTGACTGGCGCGCCAATTATCAGATGATCCTCGTAAGTATACCTCCGACAGTAATGGCGCCACCAGGCCGTGCTTGTAAAAAGGAAGCTTGCAGCCGGAACCGTGTGATATTCAAACCCGTTGAAGCTGCCGAAAGCCAAATGGGACCACTCGGAGCTCATTGTGGGGATTGCACGTGACACGTTTGCATAGTTTGCAGACAGATGCTGCGAGCAGCGTTCTGAAGAAGTGTGTATGACTTGGAGAATCGGGCTAAAAATGAGTCAGATCTGAGAGATAACAACGTGTACCTGACCATCTTTTATCACTACGGGGACGCTGCAAGGCACAACTTCTCTTACTTCGGGACAGTCTGGAACAGCTCCTCTAGCCGCGGATCAAGTGGAGGCTCAAGCCGTAGCGGAACTGCAAGTGGACCAGTCCGCAATCTCAACATCAGCCGACCCTGGCCACTGAGGCAGTTGATTGTATGCGCGTGAATCCATGAGTACCTTGAAACTCATTAACAAGCAAGCAAGTGACTTAAACAATGCCTTCATCTGACCTTAAGCGGCACATGACCATGACTCACGTGTGGGGCTTCACCGCCTCCTGCCAGTGAAGCCGCCTTATCAGTTCTTAGTAACATGAGTAACATGACGCGGGGCTCCTTGTCGCCTACTACATCTCCCTCAGTTCATCCATCCATCCATCCTTCTCTCCATCTTCCTAACTCCATCAAACTCATAGCTGCCACTGCTATTTCTTATCTTACTACTTCGCTTTCGCTGTTTACCTCCCGCTTCACCAGTTAACTCGATTTTCTATCCATACCAGTTCTTATCTAGCCACCATGCGTTCCAAATTCAAGGACGAGCACCCCTTCGAGAAGCGCAAGGCTGAAGCCGAGCGTATTCGAGCGAAATATGCCGACCGCATCCCGGTACGTCCTCACTTTATTGACGCTGGACGAAGGGTTCCTTGCGATTATTGTCCATGAGGAACTCGATAGTCCTGCTCACCGCTTGTTCAAGATGCTAACTCGCCCTTCCCCATAGGTAATCTGCGAGAAGGTTGAGAAGTCAGATATTGCGACCATCGACAAGAAGAAGTACTTGGTGCCAGCAGACCTCACTGTCGGCCAGTTCGTCTACGTCATCCGCAAGCGCATCAAGCTGTCTCCCGAAAAGGCCATCTTCATCTTTGTCGATGAGGTCCTACCACCCACGGCCGCTCTAATGAGCAGCATCTACGAAGAGCACAAGGATGAAGACGGGTTCCTTTACATCACGTATGTCATACCTGGCGCCGAATACATATTATATTGCAGCGGCTAACCGTTTGATAGATACTCCGGAGAGAACACATTCGGCGCCTGTTAAGCCTGGACCACCATTGTACTATCTCGCACAATCGTCCACACAGTCAAGACCCCTCGTATCGCAAGATCATGCTTCGGTTCGGATTACAAGCTCGATCGGCTCTTGGATGAGGCAGCTAGAATTTGTGTAGGCAGGCGTTACTTCAGGAGTTCTGAATTCTTTATGGTCTTTTTTGGGAATTTTCTTTTAGTGTTGCGATGACCAAATGGCATAACGTTTGATGCAATCATTTTCGCTCTATCTGGAATCATGCTGTAATCCTATCTTGATCAGCAAGGCTTGAAGGTCATACTAGAATGGACTCGCTTTTGAAACACTTCATTCCATACGTGATTAGAATCCGAGATCCCGACCCTTTCAAAGCCTCGGCTTAATATCAATATCACTTGTACACTGGTATAGCATACCCGATTCTCTTGAGGCTGCGGCTTCCCCGGGGGCCGAGGCCCCCGGTTGACCGAAAGGGACTAGCGCCGCAGACCTCCAAAGCTTTCCGATTCGGCGCAGAAAAAGTGCCGCCGGGGACTGCGATCTCGCTCTTCTTCTCTTTTCTGTGCTTGCGCTTTTTCCTTCGTTGACCACGAATTTTTGTTTTCACTGTCCTTATCTTTGGACTATTCTCTTCTTGGGTGTCGTTTTACTCCTAGTATTAATCCTTTCTTCTCCTCTTTCTGTCAAAAGGAAAAAGTTGGTCATACGACTTTGAAAAAACAGCAAAATCAGAATGTCTCCCGCAGCTGCTCACGGTTCCGCATCCAACGATGTCAAGAAGGAATCAGGTACTGCTCGTCTTCTTGGCTCAGGTACGTTTCCTCTGTCTCAATTGAATAGCCTGTATTGTGAAAGCGACTGACAAGCATCAGGATCCGCTGGTATTGCCGAACTCCTCGTTTTCCACCCCGTACGATTACTCTCCCTGTTGGCACATGTGCCGTTTTTCAATGAACTGACCAGTACAAGATTGATACCACGACGAAGCGTTTGATGAGCAACCAGACTCGGGTAAGCCCGCAATGCCGCATCAATGATGGGTGTTCAATCGACTGACGCGATTGTGTATCAGATCACATCTGCCAGTGAATTCAACAAAGTCGTCTTCAAGGAATACGCCAATGCCCCCGCGGGCCGCAAGTTCACGTCTCTCTTCCCTGGTCTTGGTTATGCCGCTGGTTACAAGGTTGGTAGAACCCAAAGGTGGTTCCGAATCCTCTTGACTCACAAACGGCGCAGGTTCTCCAGCGTATCTACAAGTACGGTGGTCAGCCGTTCGCTCGCGACTACCTGGCCAAGAACTACGGCGGTGACTTTGATAAGGCCTTTGGAAAGGGTACCGGCAAGGCCATCATGCACGCCACGGCTGGTAGTGTGATCGGCATTGGTGAAATCGTCCTGCTCCCCCTGGACGTGCTGAAGATCAAGCGTCAGACAAACCCTGAGGCTTTCCGTGGCCGTGGCCTCTTCAAGATCATCTCCGATGAGGGTATGGGACTTTACCGTGGCGCTGGCTGGACTGCGGCTCGTAACGCTCCCGGATCTTTCGCTGTACGTCTTTTCTTTTCTTCTCGCAAAAAAAATCCCAAGCTAATGATGACAGCTTTTCGGTGGATCTGCTTTTGCCAAGGAATACATCTACGCCCTACAGGACTACAACAAGGCCACCTGGTCTCAGAATTTCGTCGCTTCCGTCTGCGGTGCGAGCGCCTCTCTCATCGTCTCCGCTCCTCTCGACGTGATCAAGACTCGTATCCAAAACCGCAACTTCGAGAACCCCGAGTCCGGCTTCCGCATTGTCTCCAACATGATGAAGCACGAGGGTCCCACCTCTTTCTTCAAGGGTCTGACGCCCAAGCTGCTGATGACCGGACCTAAGCTCGTTTTCAGCTTCTGGCTGGCTCAGACGTTGATTCCTGCCTTTGGCCAGATTGTATAAGCGACCTATTTCCGACGTTCAAGAGTTAAGGAAAGCGATATATGATATATGGAGTTTAATAGCACGTTTCTTCTTGTTTGATTCTTCGGGCTGTGCGGTCCTATGACATGATAGAGCCTTTTTCTTGTATTGATAGACGATATTTTTTCATGTTGGCGGGTCTGTTAGGATATTAAATCAACTCCTCTTAATAACGAAATCAACACGAGCAAGGACTTCTCGAGCCTAAACCTTGATCATGCCGAGCATAGCAACATGAAAGCTGCCCCGGCTATGGTCGCTCATACATAAAGTCACGTGATACGAGGGTATCTCGACCTAAATTCCACTACTTTCATTGCCAAAGTGCTTGATCTAATCTACTACCAAAACGACAAACTCCTGCAATACCCTCATTTGCTTGTCTCGTCTGCCTTGAGCCCATAGAACCGGAAGCTAAACCGACGTATCCGACCCTGGTCCGTTTCATTCGTTTCTTCTCTTCCGGCTTCTTGTACACCAAACCAAAACATATACAATGCCCGTCTACCTGATATCCAAGTAAGTCCTTTCTGACCCCCTCCTTTCTCGACTCTACAATATACTTTTATGTTTCCTATGCACAGCAAAAATTACCCTCCTTTACAACTCTAACTAGGAAAACAGGGCTGTTGACCCGCTCTTCGCCGCCGCAATTGGGTCATCAGCCGCTCTGATCCGCATCAAGCGTGAAGAGAAGGAGAAGCATCCCGAGGCGGAAGTAGGGCTTGGTACTGTGTTTGGGACTGGCAGTGAGAGGCTGAAGAGGTGGTGGGCTGGGGAGTTTGATGGTGCTGCGAAGACGAGTGCTGTCGCGAAGTAATGGTAATGATTTAGTCAAGTTTGAATGGTGATGTGATGCCTTCGATGATTCGAGTGGCTACTGTGTATAGTAAGAGAACTGCCGTAGTCTAATATTCAGTCGAGTCTACGGTGTTTACAAAGGAAGAAAAGTATTGAAATTTATTTCATTCATTGGTAACGAAACTTTTCGCTCCCATCTGCGCAGCAGTCGTTAAGTGACGAAACTAAAATCTATGCAGTCATGCACAATTGCGAAGCAAACCCCATGATTTCGTAAAAGTAGGAAAAAACGCATATGATTAAGACAACAGAGAAACGTGAGAAAGAGGACAAGGTATTAGGACGCCGGGAAAGAAGAAAGCGGAACTAAGTGCGTTGGTTAGGCATTTAGTCGAGCTCCTCGTTCTCCTCAACGACACCGTCGTTGCGGAAACCAGCGCCACCAGGGGCAGCACCGCCGGGGGCAGCGCCAGGAGCACCACCGGGAGCACCGCCAGCGGCAGCGTAGGCAGCGGAGATGATGGGGTTGGCAACACCCTCAAGCTCCTTCTGCTGGGACTCGTACTCGTCCTTCTCGGCGGTCTGGTTGTTGTCGAGCCAGCTGATGACCTCGTCGACCTTCTCGCTGACCTTCTTCTTGTCGTCCTCGGAGATCTGGAGCTGACCCTCGGAGATGGTGTTCTTGAGGGAGTAGGCGTAGGACTCGAGACCGTTCTTGGCCTGGATACGGGCGGCCTCGGCTTCATCCTCAGCCTTGTACTTCTCGGCATCAGCAAGCATGCGCTCAATGTCCTCCTTGGAGAGACGGCCCTTGTCGTTGGTAATGGTGATCTTGTTGGTCTTTCCGGTACCCTTCTCGACAGCGGAGACGTTCATGATTCCGTTGGCGTCAAGGTCGAAGGTGACCTCGATCTGAGGAACACCACGAGGGGCAGGGGGGATGCCAGTAAGCTCGAACTTGCCGAGCAGGTTGTTGTCCTTGGTACGAGCACGCTCACCCTCGTAGACCTGGATCAGGACACCGGGCTGGTTGTCGGAGTAGGTAGAGAAGGTCTCGGACTTCTTGGTGGGGATAGTGGTGTTGCGCTTGACAAGGGCGGTCATGACACCGCCAGCGGTCTCGATACCGACGGACAGAGGGGCGACGTCGAGCAGGAGGATCTCGTTAGTGGACTTGGAGGAAGTGTCACCAGAGAGGATAGCTGCTTGGACAGCCGCGCCGTACGCCACTGCCTCATCGGGGTTGATCGACTTGTTGGCCTCCTTGTTGAAGTAGTCGGAGACGAGCTTCTGGATCTTGGGGATACGGGTGGAGCCACCGACAAGGACGATCTCGTGAACAGAGGACTTGTCGATCTTGGCGTCACGGAGGACACGCTCAACGGGCTCCATGGTTCCACGGAAAAGATCCTGGCAGAGCTCCTCGAAACGGGCACGGGTGATGGAGGTGTAGAAGTCAACACCCTCGAAGAGAGAGTCAATCTCAATGGAGGTCTGAGCGGCACTGGACAAAGTGCGCTTAGCACGCTCGCAAGCAGTGCGAAGACGACGGAGGGCACGGGCGTTTGTGGAGAGGTCCTATTGAGGTTTATAGTTAGCACGGAACCGCATGAAGTGTGTTTAGAGCCGCATGAAGTGTGTTGAAAAAGGAAGGCGCGCAGCCACGGTCCACCAGAGAGTTAGGGCTAATCCGCATCGGCCGTGGTCGAAACACCTCACTCCACCATGCAGAAAATGATCAGGAGAAAATGACCAGGACAGGGGAATGCATACTTTTCTATGTTTCCTCTTGAACTCAGATACAAAGTGGTTCACAAGACTAGAAGACAGTTAGAATGTCGGACGATGGCTGGTTTCACGGGGTATATGCTTACCGGTTGTCGAAGTCCTCACCACCAAGGTGGGTGTCTCCTGCGGTTGCCTTGACCTCAAAAATGCCTTCCTCGATGGTCAAAAGAGAGACATCGAAGGTACCACCACCAAGATCGAAGATGAGGACGTTGCGTTCACCCTCGACCTTCTTGTCGAGACCGTAAGCGATGGCGGCGGCGGTGGGTTCGCTACCATGTGTCAGCGGCGTCAACGCAGTTTCGGAAAGCATAATGACTCACTTGATGATACGGAGAACGTTGAGACCGGCAATCAGACCGGCATCCTTGGTGGCCTGGCGCTGGGAGTCGTTGAAGTAGGCAGGGACGGTGACAACACTACAGCCACATTAGCACTCGACTTCAAGCGTGAGTTTAGATCAGGGAAGTCTGACGCATTGTTCACTCCATCTCCCAAGAATGCCTCGGCGGTTTCGCGCATCTTCGTGAGGATCATAGCAGAAATCTCCTCGGGGGTGAACTGCTTCGTCTCGCCCTTGAACTCCACCTCGACAACGGGTTTTCCAGTTTTATCAACGACCTGGAGATTGCATTAGTGTTCGCTTCCCAGATACAGTAACACGATGCGCAATGTTCAACATACCTTGAAAGGAAAGTGCTTCATGTCCGCCTGAACTTCGGGGTCGGCAAAGCGGCGACCGATCAGACGCTTAGCATCGAAGACGGTGTTGTGAGGGTTCATGGCAACTTGGTTCTTGGCAGCATCACCGATGAGACGCTCGGTGTCAGTGAAAGCAACGAAAGAGGGAGTCGTGCGGTTTCCCTGGTCGTTGGCAATGATATCAATGCGGTCATCACGGAAAACACCCACGCAGGAGTAGGTGGTTCCAAGATCGATACCAACAGCGGGGGCCATGGTGTATGTGTGTATGTGAGAGGGGTTTCGTCAGGAATTCGTAAAGTGGTGTACAGGAGAAGCGGGAGAGAGGAGAGACGGGTTAGGAATGTCTCTGAGATGATAATTTCGTGTGTGAATTAAAGAGGATATGATTTTTGAAACTGGGGGAGAAAATTGTGCGAGCAGCAAGATTGATATACTGGTGGGCGGTGTGTTCTCTGCTCCAGCGAACATTCTAGCAAGCGACGGCTTCGATGGGCATCCATCAGGTTCGACGCCATTCTACGGTTCCAGCGCCCTATTCAACCAAGTTCTGGACCCTACGAGTGGGATCTTCTTTATTGTGCCTTGAAACGCCCAGGGTCTATGGATACTACTCGAACGTGGCCGGTTCCTTCATGAATGCTCCAGGCTATGCCTCCAGCACCCGGAGACCTCATGATCGAGGGGCACATCGATGACGCCTTTTGGCGGGTTCTGGAAAAAGAACCTCAGGCTTACTCCGTAGGCTGGGCCCAATCCATTGTGGCGGGGCTCGGGCACGGCCCAGGATGACGTAAGGAGGCATTCCCAGGATTTTTCTCTTTGTTGTGGCCGTGGCGCGTTTTCGCCTTCGGCCGTGGTCGAAACATCTGTCTGACTCTGACTCTGACTCTTTTCTTTGTCACCCCAGTAACTCTCCAGCATGGCCCACTGCCAGCCCACGGGAGAACTCATTCCGTACACCTCTGGCCTGCATGTAGTAGAATTGCTACCTGTCCAGTCCTCGAAACTCTAGATCATGTCCCTTCATAAGACCGAGTTTGCTACCTGTACAGTAGACCATGTCAATACCACATCACATGAGGGAGTAATTATCATGATATGGACCTGGTTTAGAGGCTATAACTTCGATAGGTCTTAGACATAGTCTACTCTTTCCAAATTCGAGACATGGTCATATAATACTTTTATAGCATTGGACCATGCTAGACTACAGTGTAAGATAACTATCAAACAGCGGGCCTTGGTGATAGGCAGACAGAGGGTGGATGTACTGTCACCTCTTTCATCATTTATTGGTGGCTGGGGCATTGTATCACTTGCATAATCATGGCCAGTGTCCCTCGCTCTTCTGCTGGCAGAAGTCAAAACATGTCCTTGAGGCCAGCGTCTCGTCCACGTTGCACTGATTGGTGGCCAAGGTCCCTTGGTCAATCAAACGTATGTATCTCCCCCGTAGTTACGCCTGTGGCTCCTCCTGTACATCGAGTGCTGTACATGGGTGCACCAGGTTTCAACTCTTCTGCCCGAGCGTGTCAGACTTCCCCGTACATACAAAGGTTTTATTTATTACATCTGATCACTCACATACTCTGGCGAGAAGCACCGCTAGTTTACTGTCCGATCTTGTCTTATGCTGAGGTCTTTCGTACACTGTAGGATGTTTTTGTTATGATTACAGGGCTTGGTTGGTCACGTGAGCAGTGATCGGCCGCCTTTCGCAGCCAATCAATTGCGACAATTGCCTCGAGGATCGATTCTCCTTGCTACAATAACACTACTGAGCTAAGATCTCGTCTCGAGCTTCCTTCTACTTAGTACTTAACTCACCTCTGAACTTCGAGCTCCCACTGTTTTACTCTACTCACTGCACTTCTTTTGACTACCATCTTTCCACCCTAAAAGCCTACTCAGCCACCAAACAACCACACCGAACAATGGGTGACAACAACCAAGCTACTTCCCCGGGCAATGACCCTGCTGCTCACGCTCCCGATGCCGCTGCGCTCGACAAGGGCAAGGGCAAGGCTGTCGAGGACATGGACGTCAGTATGGATGAGGAGGAGGAGAGCGAGGAGAGTGATGCTGAGCCTGTATGTGTTCCCAACCGCTTTTTTGAGTGCAGCTGCTAACTTTCGTCTTTATCTAGATGGCTGAAGGTAAGCCTCTCAAACAAGTCTCCAAGAGGCTTCGACTAATTGGTAACAACTACAGATGAGGATGATGAGGATGATAGCAACCTCGAGCGCATCTCCACCGAAAACATCATTAGCGGTGGACGCCGCACTCGCGGCAAGACCCTAGACTACCAGGAGGCCGCGAATAAGATCGGCGACGATGAGATGGACGAGGAAGAGGATGATGATGAGGACTTCCAGCCGGCCGACAAGCAGTGATCGAATACCTAACGACACCAATGAATGACTTGGGACGGGGCGATAATCGGATACAAAAGGCGCAGGGTTATTGGGGGCTTTGTCGTTTACTCCATATTTCAGGTCTATTTTCGCGCTCGCTCACGAGATCAGATGATGATGAATAATTGCATACTGATGAACAATTGATACCTTTGGGCTTTGTAGTCTTGCCTGTCTGTTCGTACATTGCTGCCGGCGCCTCTCACGTGCTGGCCGTCGGGCACTGCGCAGAGACCCGAATGGCAGCCACCGTGTTCTTGATCCAGCAGTTTACTCCCCGCAAATTGACCACAAAGCTTACAATAGCTATTCATAGGCTGATTACGCCATTTTGAAACCAAAATCTGATATTTCCCTTTAATCATGTGTACTCGCTAAGCCGAAACGGTCGTCACCACCCCCATAAACACCGCTGTTTAGCTTCTAATCTTCTTTCTCCGCATTGCATACCTCCACTATGGCTTCAAGGTACAGCTACTCTCCCCGTTCTACGTCTCTTATTTATACTTCCACAGTCAGTTTAACAACCTATCAGGTTTTCGCGCTCCGACCTCCATAGACGCGACCCTCGCGCATCCTCCTCCCTCTTTGACTCCTACAATGGCGATTCTAGACCCGCGAGCAGGTCCCCGGGTAATGTCAGTGGATACGGATATGGAGGGTATTCAAGCGCCGACAGGTCGCTGAATGGGAATGGCCACGCGGGCTATAAAAGCGCGACACCGAATTCAAAGTGCGTTTCCCAGCACAGACATCAAGCCATTGCATATAAAGAATTCCTTATAAATCGAAACAAAGCTGACGATTCAACCACTAAGGGGTCATTACTCGGACGCCGTCCTCTCGCACCTCGAATCTCAGAATGAAGAAGAAGTTGAGGGTATCACGGCCAAAGTTAAGATGCTCAAAGATGTGAGTTTATCAGCTGTGATATCTCATTCGGCTCGTACTGACATTCGGATCAGCTCACGATCGCAATTGGAGATGAAATTCGTGACACAACACACATCTCAGACTTGAACGACTCCTTCGAGAATACGAGAACCCGCATCCGGGGCAACATGAATCGCATGCTACGCATGGCGGAGCGCACGGGTGTCGGGTGGAAGGTCTGGGTTGGCTTCTTCGCCCTGGTTTTTCTCCTCTTTTTCTATGTCTGGATAACTTAACGCCTCTACTTCCACCGCTCTACGACTGCCACTGTTGCCGAGTCAGCTAATCTCGAAGCGGCTCGGGTTGTGTACAAGCATATATTCTTTGCCGCGGCATTCGGTCAAAGTATAACACCCTCACATTATACTCTCCCTATCTAATCATCTTCACACGAGGCGACGCATCTTCGGAGTTACTCGCCATCTTTTGGACTGTTTATGGCTGATTTTTTGCTCATGAAACTACATTACTGTACTCGATGACATGTACTGTACATAATACTGCTAGACAAAAAGAAAGCACCTCTGAATAAGACATCTGGATGGATAAAGGAAGAACTAAGCTACTCTAGGGACAGTATCCTATGTAGATACATAAGACTACCAGTCAGGTACTGGTAGCAAGCTTCAGATCCCTGCTTCAGGTACTGCTGTAGATAATAATAAAGAACTGAAAGATGTCCGAGGCAAGCAGTATTTGGTGTTTTTATGCCTGAAGCAGGGATCTGAAGCTCGCTACCAGTACCTGACTGCTAGTCTTATGTATCTACATAGGTTACTGTTCCTAGAGTAGCTTAGTTCTTCCTTTATCCATCCAGATGTCTTATTCAGAGGTGCTTCGTTATCAATTTGTTTCGATAGATAAGCTGACACGGGTATATATGTACTCCAATTGGAAGGTGCCCCAAGCGACCCCACCCCGAGTCTCCAAATCTCCAACTTAAACCCCCGCCTTCTCATCCTTGCACTGCGACTCATCTCCAACTAGCAATCGGGGTTGTGACCATGTCCGAAGACATTGTTTTTGGGGCAAACCAAATCCCTCCAAACAAGCGGCATAAAGCAGGTCATGATGGAGAAGTGAAGCGCCGTATGTGCACCCACTGCGGCCGAGCATTCAAGCGCACTGAGCATCTGCGACGCCATTTGAGAACTCGTGAGTTCCTGCTTAGAATCAAGATTCAAGTGACTAACACGGGCTACTAGATACTAAGGAGAAGCCCTTTGTGTGTCATTGCGGATCTTCGTTTTCGAGGCAGGATTTGTTGGCGCGGCATCGGAGGCTAGTCCAGCATGACGAGGCCGCCTCGCTGGCGGATGGCCCAGCCACTGAGACTGGGTCTACTCGTCACATTGCTGAGCCTTCGGTTACGAGTATAGGGCTACCGCCGAGAAATCATGGCGGCGCTGCGGATGAGCCTTTATCTAGGAGCAGCATGGTTCCTCAGCCCTATATGCGGACCCAACCATGGACGCACCTCCCCAGCACGGCGATGGTGGAGAATCAAAGCCAGCAGCATGAAATCGTGGATGCGAGACAGTACGACCCTGACCTCTTATCCTCGCCCATGCTTGAGGGTGGTAACTTACCAATTTTCGTGGATCAATCTTCCAATTGCTGATCACGTTAGGTATTGATTTTGATATGCAGTTCAGGGGTTTTACCAGCTTCCTTGATAGTGTTGGTCTGTATTCTGAATGGAGTCCAATTTTTAATGACTATGGCAGAAATGGCGACATCGTTGAGCCAAGGCCAGAGGAAGGGAGAGACGAAGCAGCGTCCCCTCGACAAGGTACATCAACAAGAGCTCAGACCCCGTTCAGTTCATGGTTGCCCTCTGCTCCAAGCATGAACAAGATATCGAACCATGTCCCAGACACGAACTGTAAGTACTCACTCGAAAACGTGTAGCGTCCGCTAAAACCTCCAGATCCTCGTGCCGTTGATCCTGAGACACGACTCTTCAAAGTAACGGAGGATCAACGGTCCCAGCTTAAATCTACTCTGGAGAACCTCTCTCATCTACTCGACCCTGGCTTCCGCCTTCCCTCAAGACATGCTCTCACCCGCTATGTCACCTCCTTCTTTGAAGGCTTTCATAACCATATGCCTTTCATCCATGTGCCCACATGGCGCATCCAGGATCACTCGGCTGAGCTGATCCTCGGCATTGCTGCCGTTGGCGCACAATACTGCTTTGAAAGAAAAGTATCGGAACAGCTGTTTTTCGCAGGGAAAACAGCACTGATGGAAAGATTTGGGAGAGATGCAAATATCTATGGGCCTTCGACCAGGTCCAGATTATCAATAATCAACTTAGTGGCACCGAGCAATGATAACAGCAGCAGTGCCCAATATATGCCGTCGGATGAGACTGTAAGAGCCTTGATCACACTGATGGGGTTTGCCACGTGGGAACCCAAGGCCTCGATGGTGCAGGAGTCGTTGGCTTTACAGGGACTTCTTACACATATTATTAGGGATGTCGGGCTTGAAGATGATAACTTCTCTTTACCATCCACGGTATTGGATGAGGAACACGATGGAGCCTCCCTTGAACGGTGCTGGCGAGCATGGATCAAACAGGAGTCAAGCCGACGATCTAGGCTTACGGCCTTCTCTTTCCTTCACACTCATAGCATCGCATACAATGTCTATCCCACTCTCCGCAGCAATGAGGTTAACCTCCGACTGCCTTGTTCGACTAAAGAGTGGAAAGCTGCGAATGCGGAACGATGGCATGCTGCGAGGAGGGAGGCCCAAAAGCCACAGTTATACTTTAGGGAGGCCCTTTCCTTGCTGTTGAAAAATAGAAATGAGTCTGCCCCTTTGGATCCAATCCCGACACCATTCGGAAACTACCTTCTCCTCCATGGGCTGCTTCAACGAATTCACATCGTACGGGATCTGAGTCTGCCGGTTATGAGCAACACGGCAGCCTTACCGAGGGAAGAAGTGGAGAAGCTTGAGTAAAATCTTGACACTCCTAATTACCTTGTATACGCCGCTAATAACATACAGGCGCGGGCTTCGCTCCTGGACTTCTGGTTGGCAACAAGCTCCTGAGTCTACTCTTGACCCCAATAACGAGAATGGCCCCATCCCTTTCACATCCAGCGCCTTGCTTGCATCTGCCTACGTTCGTATTTACTTGCACCTTGGGCCGTATAGACAGCTGGAGACGCGCGATCCACAGCGTATTGCCCGCGCCATTGCGTGTAGTCCTGAAATTGAGCGTAGCGATGGTGTCATAGCGGCGCTGTTGTATGCGGCTCATATGATCGGAATTCCTGTCAGGTTGGGGGTCGAGCGAGTGGCCAGGAGCCAGGCCTTCTTCTGGAGTGTGAGACACTCGCTGGCCAGTTTGGAATGCGCCGTGCTTTTGAGCAAATGGCTCGCAAAGCTGGCGAGTACGATGCTCGCCAGTCCGCCGAGTGGTAGGCTTCTCGACCTCATGACAATAGTCCGATGCGATATCTGAGCTAACATTCTCGCAGATAGCGAAGACAGGATATTGCACTGGGTGCGATGCATTGTCAAAGAGGCATATACGGTGATCGATTTCGACGATGAACCAGCGGCGTCCGTCAGTTTCCTAGATCCGGCGTTCCTGTCTTTGGCAGTCTTGGAAATCTGGGCTCATTTTTTCAAGAGTAACACGCAATGGCCGTTCATCAACATAATTGGACAGGGTCTGGAAAAATATCGCGAGCTCCTGGTTCAAAAGAGGCAAGCCCCAGCGTAGGTGTGTTCTCCTATACCATTTATCGGCAGGATCAATCTCCAGCCGGTGTTGACGACAGTACTTGTATTCTTATCTGTGGGGAATTAAGGCAATGTGGAGCATATGTACCCCAACGATACTACTGAGATAAGGGAGGGTTATCAACTTATCTCTGGGGTAGATTCGGGGTAATATACACGAGCTACCGACCAGTTGCCTGATGCAAGTGAAAGGTATAAGAAGGGGTCTTGTAAAGCGACCATGGCCGGAAATACTTTTCGTCTTGATTTTGAATCTCGCTCTAGTGTCCAGCATCGATTATCCCGTTGCCTCAATCGAACTATTCATGGAGCCTCCAACACGCATTCCGGGAACGGTGCAGTTGATCGATGCACAAGGAATCCTTAACGTCAAGCACGGTCAAGGAACGGGCGAAATCGTCCTCGTTCCGCAGCCTACCAATCACCCAGATGATCCTCTACGATGGAGCAAGCCCAGGAAGATGACCAACACCATTTGCGCTATGGTGTGGTGCTTCTTCATCGGGGCCATGATTTCTGGGCTATCGCCTGCCTACATCTTGATTGAAGAGCATACTGGTATTTCCGTTGCAGACTTGAGCACAGGCAATGGCATTCTCTATCTCTTCATGGGATGGGGGACTATGATTACCCAGAGTCTTGCGCTTAAATACGGTCGTCGTGTTGTCCTTGTGGCCTGCATGATCTTCGTCACTGCCATGACGATATGGACCGCATTTGTTCAGTCGAGGGGGGAGTACTTCGCCAACCGCATATTACTAGGGATATCCGCTTCGCCGCAAGAAACTTTGATTGAAATTGTTATCGGCGATACCTACTTTACCCACGACAGAGGCTTCTACATGGGTGTCTATGCGTGGTCTCTCTTTTGCGGTGCCTTTCTCTCACCTGTGGCTTCTGGTTATGTTGCCCAAGCTCTTGGATGGCAATGGATTCAGTATATCCTGACTATTGTGGGTGCCGCAGTCACTCTCTTGACCTTCCTCTTCTTTGAGGAGACCATGTTCTTTCGCGACCACGGCTCAGTCATCACAGGCGAGGCTCTAGAGGCTGCGGCCATGGCCAATACTCTCAAATCATTCAAGGGTGCAGCTGCGGGTGATCTGGAGAAGATTGGCGAGTCGGAAACCCGTACTACTGCTCCACCATCTCGCGAAGTTTCCATACACAATGATCGGGTCGGAAGTACCAGGACCTATCTCCAGAAACTCAAGCTCTGGGGCTACCAACACCCTCAGCAGCCGAACCCGTTCAAAGTCTTCTTCCTCCCAATTCAGCTGCTTTTCACATTTCCTGCAATGTTTTTCAGCGGCCTCCTAGTTGGTGGGACTCTTGCCTGGTATAACGTCGTGATCGGCTCCTTGGCCCTAATCCTAGGCGATGCACCTTACAACTTCAGCACCAACACCATAGGACTGACCTACCTCGCCTGCTTCGTCGGCGTCACACTCGGCTGCTGTGTCTCCGGCTGGATGTCCGATTTCACCGCTATCCACCTGGCACGCCGTAACGGGGGCGTTATGGAGCCGGAACAACGACTCTGGATCTGCCTGGTTGCCCTGGTCGTACACCCGGCTGGCTGTCTTTTATACGGTGTCGGGGCGTCGTACGGGATCCACTGGTCTGGAGTCGTTATTGGTCTAGCCCTAATAGCTATGACTTTTCCTTTGGGGTCCGCACTGGCGTATACTTACATACTGGACAGCTACAGAGAGATGGCGGGCGAGGGCCTCGTGTCGGTAGTCCTCATTCGAAACATGATGGGTATGTTTCCTTTTTCCTTCCGGACAGAATAAAATAGACTTGACACTAACTCAGGTAGGCTTTGCTTTTGGTTACGCTGCTGTGCCCATGGTCGACAATCTGAGCGCCCGCTATGCCTTTGTTCTGATTGCATTGATAGGAGAGCTTTTGTGGGCTGCCTGCATAGCGATGGTTTATGTTGGGAAACCTTTCAGGCAATGCACTGCACAAAAATATTGGAGGCTTGTGGAAAAGCATGGTGCAAAGGTACACTGAGCTGAGTATACTTGCTGGTACTATATCCTATTCATATTCCTTGATCTTTGATACTTCCTATCATGATAACTATACATTTTTGGGTCACATTATCATTGTATACTCTATGCAACATGTATCTACATATCCTCGCCAGCCTTCACCTTCTCATAAGCCCTCACCAGCTCCGGCAGCGCCTGTACCCTTTTCAGCCACGCTTTGACACTCGGGTACTCGTCCAGCGAAAGCCCCGCAAACTCGTACTGCCTCATCCATGGCTCAAAGTGGAAATCAACAACACTGGGCCCCTCCCCCTTGACAATCCACTTCCCCGCATGGCTTTTCAATTGTCCCTCGAGCACCCCAAAGCACCGATATGCCTGCGCCTTGTATCTCTTGTACGCGTCGTCGTTCTGAACGGCATTATAGTGCCGAAACCAATTGCACTGCCCCAGCATAGGCCCCAGCGTGCTAACAAGGAAGCTAACCCACTGGTCAATCTCGATGAGCCCTTGCTGCCCTGCACTAGGGTCGGCGCTGAATCTGTGCGAGGTGTCGTAAACGCGCAGCAGGTAGTTCAAGCAGGCCATGCTCTCCCAGCTGGTGATATTTGTATTTGGGTCTTCCAGCGCGGGGACACGGCCGTTGGGGTTTATGGCGAGGAATCTGGCGCCCTTGACACCGCTGGAGTCGTCGCCGAAGGTCCAGAGTTTGACTGTGTACGGGAGGTTGAGGGCTTCGAGGAGGATGGCTACCTTGAAGGGATTTGGGCCTGTGGCGTGTGCGTGGAGGGTTAGGGGCTTGAGGGTGGTCATTTTGATAGGGTAATGTGGGGAGATGTAGGTATAGTATATGTAGGCTTTAGGAGCAAGCGGGATACAGTTTGATCCGGCGCTTGCGGTGTCTTCTACTTATACTCCAGCCATGGATGGACATACCCCAAGTCCCCGACGACTGTGCCCCAATGATGTCATGTTGGGGCTCAGTTCTGGGGTAATGGAGACAGATCTTGAAGTATCAACGCAAAGTATACATGACAACATCTAAAGTGCTGGGTGACTACCAAGTTACTGCCCCATGACCATGCACAAGATCAGAATCCTACCCTCGCCCCAGGAGACATACCCTGCCGGGTACAACAGCCGCTCTTCTTCCAGGTCCCTATTCGAGATCTTTTCGTGTCTTCTCGTTCACCGGCTGTATGATAGACTAATTCCTTGCAGGACTTCTGTCTGCAGCACGGCATAGGCACCGAAACCCTAAAAGGAAGCTCTAATATTCTCCCCGAAAGCAACCGAGTAGACCAAAGGGCTACAGAGCAGGAGCATCAACAGCATGACCGAGGATGACTCCATTCACCGAAAACCATCTGTGACCTGTCTGTCTCCGGGGCTTAGACGTTCGTTGTACCGGAGTTTTATATCATTGTCTGGACGAGAAGGATAGCTTGTGAGACAGGCCAGTGCAAGGCAACGAAGAGGATCCTCGTGGCCATGAGGGATTTGAGACTAGAGGGCATGTATCTCTAGGGACTACTGGGCTGATAACTTGTAATCGCTTGTTTCGGACAGGTCCTAAAGCCGGCCTTCTTCATCCGCGACTGGTGAATTCAGAGTGCATTAGTCTCCAGGAGACATGGTTACAATAAGTAATTGAGATTGGGAATCTGTGTATTCTATTAACACTATATTATATCCTTCATAGACGGTCTATGCACCGATAACAAACAATTGCCGCCGCTAAGATAAGTGACAGGATGGCAATGCGTAAGACACAGGGTATGTATTTACACAGAGACAAGGTATCTAAATATGTGAAAGCATCATCGACCAGCGACGGCACTTCTCTGCCTCGCAAGCCAGCCCTTCTGAGCATCTACCATGCCGGCAGAGCCATGGCGATACCGCGAGGTAGGGACGTTGTTAGTGCTATGTAGCTTGCTTTGAAGTTCGTACCAAGATGAGCTCATGAGGGCGAGTTCCCGGGTCAAAGCATCCAGTTGTTTTTGTAGTTCGCGCTGCGAAGTCGTGCTCGTTAGCAAAGCACGTTTGGGGTAGGCGTTGATCTTTGGTAAGTTCCAGCAAACGTATTGATGGAAAGACATGTTGCGGCGAGATGATAATCAGAACGAAGGACAGACCGCTTACCTCGCGCTCTTTGCTGACAGTGTCTTCTTCGCCCTCGGTAGCGTCGGCTTCTTCAGCTGCTGTCTCGAGCTCGCTAATGCGTTCTCGCAGTACTTTGATTTGTTCGTTTTGTTGATGGATGTACTATGTGACGACGACATTAGCGATGTTCTTGCCTTTCTTGGCTATTTTTATTTTCAGCGCTGATGAGGCAAGTTTCAGGTTTAAGCATGAGTTGTCCATAATGACTTCCAGGAAAAAACGTTGAGTACGAGTGGATCGGGAGGGTGCAGAAGTTCGTATGCCATTATCATCGCCGCTATCGGTGTCGGAATCTGACTCCGACGAGGCATGCTCAGAATCAGAAGCAGGAGATACGGTGGAAGATGGAGTCTCCCTCCCGCCCAAACTCTGTTCATCACTGCAGTCCTCGTCCAGCTCAGGCGAGAGCTCACTTGCCGACCGGCGTGTGCATTCCAAAGGCAGAAGGGATCTCAATTGGTCACTAACCTGTGCACGTTGAGCTAACCTTTCATGGTCCTTCTCGATCAACTCCGAAATCTGCTTTGTGAGCTCTTCAAGGGACTGCTGGATAGCCTCGGAGCCTCCACCAGTCTGCGCCGAAATAAACTGTGCGAGCTGTTCCTTCGCCTCCTCGAGCGGTTTGAGCATCTCCTGGAGAAGCTTAGCCTTGTCTTCTTCCTGTATCGCCAGCTGCTTCGCCAGCTGCTGCTCGTCAATTCCCTTATCCGGTTCTTCCTTGGGGCCTTCTTCAGCATCGTCCGCATGTTCTTCTTCGCCAATGGACAACGTGGATTCCTCAAAGCCAGCGGCTTCCAGATCCTTTTGTAGGTTCCCCTGGATGCCTGGAGTCAACATTCCTGTGGTCGGGGTCCGGCTACGAGGAGTACCGGAATACTCGTCGTCGATTCCTTCCAGCTCGCCGATTCGCCCTTTCAGTTCATGAATTTCCTTTTCAGCACCTTCCACCCGTCTTCGGAGCTCTTCATTGTCCAGGTCAACGTTGCCTTTAGTAAGGGAGAGCTCGCGATTTTCTCTCTCAGACCGTGCAAGCGCATTGTTGCACTCTCTTAATTGGTCGTTGAGTTTCTGTGCTTGCACATCGTATTCCATAACCTGCTTCTTGAGCTCCTTCTTCTCAGACTCGAGATTCTGGTTCCTAGACTGCAGCATCTCAATCTCCTTTGACTTCTGCTCGGCCGCAAATTTCGCGTTGCGATTTGCATTTACGTAGTTGTTCTTCTCAATGTCAAGCTTATCCCGCACAGCTTGGTAGTCCTTGGCTTCGCGGAGGAGTTCATCGATCCTGCTCGAGAGCTGGCTATTTTGTTCGGAAGCTATAAACAGCTGCTCCTCAAGGGCCGCAATCTCCTCGGTCTTCTGGTCGAGGTCTCGTTTGCTGAAACCAAACTCGCCTTTGCCGGATTTCAAAACGTCGATGCGCTCTTTCAGGAACTCCACTTCGGACTTGTAGTTCTCCTCCGCATATTCTAGCTCCATCAGACGCTGTTCTTTCGCAAAATATTTCTCCCGGAGCACGCTATTCTCCTGCTTGAGTTCTTCGATGGTCTTGACCAGCTGGGACTCCCGCGATTCCCGCGCCAAATCGTCTAGCTCGTACTGGCCCTCCTCCACATTCTCAAGGAAGTCCTGGAGACTCTCTTGAGTCGAGCTGTCAAGTTTCTGAATCGCATCGCCATATGTCTCGTAGCTCGCGGTGTTCCCCTTGGCAGTGATCGTAGCGGCAAAGAAAACAAGCTTGAGCAGCTTCTCCGCGTCCCTTGCCGAGTTGTTCTCGGCGAACTCAATCAGGTTTGGCTCTGGATCCAGTCCTCGGGGCCAGCCCTCTGATTTTCGTAGATCTAGAATGTTATATTGCAATCGACCGTGTATTGTGATCAAGTTCTCGAGGTTGGATTTCTTGGGGTCCGTCACGTCGGGGAAGCGCTCGGGGTCAATGTCGTGTAGGATATCCCAGATTAACCTTCCATCTGATAATTCGGCTATCTGCTTTGGCTCACCCACGAGATCAAAGCTGTTGACCCATGCCAACAAGGCCTCGGAATGACTGACGGTGCGCTCCGACTCCATCTTGAGCGGGCGCGGGGGCGGCGAGGGAGGGTAAGGCAGTCGATAAGGAATGTTCGGGGCGTAGCGCTGAACTGATTTCGCCCCTTAACGCGGGGGAGAACCGATCACGATCGTTCGAATTGTTTGGTTGAATTGACGCGTGAGGTGACTTTCGCGATTTACTCCGTAGATTAGGCCCGGCAGTTTAGTTCTAGGGTCAGCGGGTCGGGATTTTGAACGAGTATGTCCGGTTTACCAATCAATAAATTAACAACACAGAATATCAAGAGATATTACCAAATCGGGGATCTAAGACCTTATATGTTGCATGTTTTCTACAGGACTACAAAGAGAGACCATCTACCAAGGCTCGTCCAACAATACTCCGCTGTTTGAAACGCCGCAATAATAAAGACCGTTACAGTTCATGGTATATATAAAGCCAACGCAGACAACAGAATCCGTAATTTACCAAACCATTAAGCGCCTGTTCATTATCCATAACAATGCACCTGAAACTCCGGACCGTTCGAGTTCTCACAGAGCCACGGTAAGATGCTTAAAGGACTGAGACGTCGCTTTCATCGTCTTATGAAATCGAAACAGTCTGGTCCTCTTCAATGGTGGGCTTGAAAACAGTCGACTGTGTCGAGATCTGTTGGACAGCTTCTTCCGGTCCGGTTGCGGCGAATCCCCTGTAGTTGTCAATAGCATGCTCGGTCATTCAATTACGCCCAACATTCAAGAAACTAAATGCATACTTAATAACCACTACAAACACGTCAGCTAAGTGTTGAGCACAAAGGATTAGGGCCACACATACGGGAGTACTCATGAGTGATGACTCCACCCTGCATCTGGTTAGAACTGAATCCATAGCGGAGACATAGCACCTACAGCCTTCCTAACAGAGGCTTTCGCGCTATCAATCACAGCGTTTGGGGTATCCTTTGGATAAGTGACAAGGAACGACTTGGCAAGAGCAAGCGGAAGCAGGCAGGCGACGATAGCTGTGGAAACGAGCTTCATGTTGATATGCAGTTTGCGACAGTAAACGATTAGACGATGACAGGAGATCTGTGAGTCTGTAGATATATTCTCGATCTAGGGTATTCACAGATGGGAAAGACAGAAAGACCAAGCCGGACCTAGTCACCTAATGGCATGACGGCATGACAGGCTGACTCAGCAGCGGTCACGCTCCGTCTTTCTCTTTCCGAGTCTTTGGCCGGGGTCCATTCAACCTCTGTCCTGGTCGTTCCTCCTTATTCATCTATCTCCTCATCTTGACCTACGTTTTTTGCTGTTACCCTTTACCTTCGGCTCTTCTCCTTCTCCTGTTCGATTTGCGCTTATCAGGAGCTCGCGTCGTAGTCACCATCCTCCCCAAGCGGCATATCTTCCCTGCGGCGTTCCTCACACCATTGGGCCTTCTTCGCTAGTTGTGGGTATTGAAAGGGGGAACATCTCTTGCGGTAACCTAACACTTCAGGGGTGGATTTCGTGGTCTTCATTCGGGTATACCTGTGCAGGATTGGCGTCTACGTCCGTGGTCTAGTTGTTTTTCTCAGGTTGGACCAAGATAGCTAGCAACCATTTACAAGTTTGGAACTTCTCCAACTCTGTTTCCAGCAAGGCAAAGGGCGTGAGAATAGAACCATATCTCCACTTAGGCGAGGGAGAATCAGAGGAAACTGCATTTGCAGGACAAAAAAGAGAGCAGAAGAAGAAAGGAAAAAGAGAAAAGACGAGTGTCTCAGGGGAAAAGAACAGAGCAAAAGAAAAGATTGGAACCAGTCTCGAAGAGATATTGCCCTGACTTTCATTGTCCTTATCCCTCATTTCCATTCCGACTACTCACTCCTGTATCCGTCATGTCAGCCGCACTGGCCTCTGATGAAGTCGCCGAGGACTACAAGAACTCCTTGGAAGACCTAACCACCAATGATAGGTTTCAGATCAGCAATTTGACCGTCATCGCAAAGGAGAACACCGAACATGCGATGGCCATCTCCCGCGTCCTGGAGAATCATATCCGAACAGTAGGTGACAGTCTCTTAGACTCCCTCTGCGTTTGCCCTCGGCTGTAGTTTGACGGGCTGGACAAGTTCTAATCTTACTTTGTAGACACCACCGGCTCAGAAGCTACCTGCGTTGTATGTAGTCGACTCGATTGTGAAGAATGTAGGCACTCCCTACACTCTATTCCTCGGGCGAAACATGTATCAGACCTTCATGAACGCCTACACGCTAGTCGACTCGCAAACTCGCAGGAAGCTGGATGAGATGCTGAAGACTTGGAAAGAATCCGTTCCCGGGTCTTTGGACACAAGGCCGGTCTTTCCTCCCGATATCACTCGTAGCATCGAGAACGCCTTGATCAAGGCGAGGACCGCTGCCCTTCAGCAACAACAGGCCAGGGGCCAACAGGACGTTTTCAACCGTGGCCGAGTTGCGACTCCTCCCGGCTGGCCGAACACTCCCACACCACCCCAAATGGCGGCGAGTCGGCATGCAAACCCCCTGCAAGGCCAGCGGCCTGCATCCAACGGGTATCCGACGGTAAGTATTCTATGTTGTCTTCATATGCATAGCTTCTAACTATAGCAGACCGAGCCCCTTCCTGTCCGTTCAACTCCCACGCCTCAGCTCCAAGCACAAGAGGTCGATCTCTCATCTTTGAATCGGGATGTCGAAGTGCTGATCGCTGCTGCTCGAAATGAATTCGCTAACAACCCTCTCGACCCGTCTGTTCAACAACGATTAAAAGCGCTTCTCGATTTACAGGGCATCATGCAACGCCAGCAGCTCACCCAAGAACAATTGAAGCTCGTCCGTGATCAAGTATCGGCGCTTGCTCCTAAGCCCGCCGTACCGTCAGCCCAGCCCGCTCCTTCACATATTCCGGTCACATCAGCTCCGACTATAGCTACTCCTCCTGTTGCACAGTCATTCTCTCAGCCACTTCAGCAGCTCTTAAATCCAGGGACACTGGCGGAACTCATCAAAGCGACGGCTGCACGACAGCAGCCCACTCCACCCCCTCAAGCCCATGCTATTCCACAACTACCTATCAGTAGCACTCCGCAAATGCCTACTTCAGCACCAGAGAATTCACTTATTGCAGCTTTGAGAGCAAAGGGGCTCTTGCCTGCTTCATCTGCACCACCAGGCGGGTCAATTCCGTCACCTACCGCAGGTGCGTTTCCGTTCATAGTGCCCGGTCAGGTGCGGTATACACCTCCCGTGCCCACACCACAAGCAGTTCCAATTGCGGAAGTACAAATAAATGTTCAAATGAACACAGCCTCGATCAAGATGTAAGTTATACCTAGAAGGTTTGCGTACTGGTTCTGATCAGCTCGTAGACCACGTAGCATGTTGATTGCTAGCCTTTACGAAACACGATCAAATAGATGCGGCACCTGTGGCCGCCGTTTTTTCGCCACTGAAGAAGGAAAAGAGAGGAAGGCCCGACATCTCGACTGGCACTTCCGGACGAACCAACGGATGGCTGATGCCGCCCGGCGTGCTCAGAACCGGAGTTGGTATGTTGACGAACGGGTATGTAACGTTACACGTCTTTCGGGTTCCCTGCTAATCCGAACAGGATTGGATAAAATCTCGAGAGCTGGGAGACGACCAGGCCATTACAGACGCAGATGCTACAAACGAGACCGCCGCGGGAAACGATAGCGAGTCAAAGAAGGGGCCTCCTAAACAATGGATCCGGGCACCTAACGATGCCACATTGCGCAACACTCCGTGTCCCATTTGTCAGGAGAAGTTTGAATCTACATGGTCAGAAGATGTCCAAGATTGGATCTGGCAAGACGCAGTCAAAGTGGGCAACCGCGTATACCACGCGAGCTGCTATGAGGAGGTTACGAAAGATGGTCCCCCGCGTGGCCGGGAGACACCATTAGGACGTACTGGGACGCCTGACTCGGTACTGGGCAAGCGCAAAGCTGAGGTGAGCTTAGTTAAGACCTGCTTCAAGGTTCATAAGCTGCATACTGACCGTTGTTCAGGGAACGAACTCGCCCGGCCAAAATGTACGGATCAAAACCGAGCCTATGTGAGCAGTTCGAACGCTTGGATAGTGAAGTCTCTGTGGACATAACTTCATCTTATTCTTCGTGGGATATCATCATTCTTTTCCTAGCAGCGTGCATTTACACGGTGCTTTGTTTTGCATTGCGGGGGTTCTCACTTCGTCTCTGATCTATGATCTACAAAGATGTTAGTGTCATTTATGCGGCATTGGTGGGCTGGTGCTTATATATAGAGGTAGTTTAGCTCTGCCAGAAACGTGTGGGAGCTTGTTTCTTTCACTTGTATACTTTTGCAGTCTTATCCCCGCATGGTCCCTTATCAAATGACATCGGAAAATGGATCGCGACCCGCACGGCGCAACTCCGTGGTAGGAATGGATAAGGTCTGGCCTGCCCCATTATTATAAATACTTATTGGTCTCTCTTGCTTAACTTTCAGAACTCGTTACTCTAGTCATCTTCTTTATCTAAAACTGTACCCCTGGCCGATCTAGCCCGATAAACATTGTTCTCAACATGGCGCCATACAACATCCGCTGGGGTATCTTAGGTATGACCCCTCCTCGCCCTAGTAGATGTAAACAAGCAAACAGCAGCTAACAATGGATTCACTCGAGTTATAGCTACTGGCGGAATCGCAGACGGTAAGTATCGAGCCCCTCATCTACTGAACTAGCTATACTAACAAAGTGCAGCCTTTGTCCGCGACCTCCTCCTCGACCCCGCCGCCCGCTCTGCCTCCGACATCTCTCACACCGTCGTAGCAGTCTCGTCCTCGTCTTCAGCCTCGCGCGCCGAAAAATTCATCACAGACACGGGGATCCCTTCCCCATGCGCCGCATACGGCTCCTATGAAGCCCTGGTAGCCGACCCCAACGTCGACGTCGTCTACGTCGCAACCCCGCACTCGCACCACTTCCAGAATGTCATGCTCGTCCTGGAAGCAGGAAAGCACGTCCTCTGCGAGAAGGCGTTCACCGTGAATGCGCAGCAGACCAGAATCCTTGTTGAGACTGCACGGAAGAAGAACCTGTTCCTTATGGAAGCTGTCTGGACGAGATACTTCCCGCTTAGCATTGAGATTCGGGAGTTGATCAAGAATGGCGCTATTGGAGAGGTGCTCAGGGTTACGGCCGATAACAGCTTCGGTGGTACGCCTGAGGAGAAGTTCAGTACGGAGCATCGCATGGTGAATAAGGATCTGGCTGGAGGTGCTTTGCTTGATCGTACGTTTTGTTCATTTTAATGCGCTTGACCTGAGATTGCAAACTAATCGTGGTGCAGTCGGTATCTATTCCCTCACCTGGGTCTTCCAGACTCTTTACCACACTCTCCCTAAGGAGTCGAGGAAGCCTCCGTCGCGCGTCTCCGCCCATATTACGCCGTATCACCTCACCGGCGCGGATGAGTCAACCACCATTCTTCTGTCATTCCCGACGACTACGCCCTGTAACGCCGAGCACCCGGGTGAGTCGCAGGCCGTGGCATCAACGTCTATCCGCGTCGCGACGGATCCGGACGAGACCAACTCCGCTCGTCCTGCAATCCGTATCCAAGGTACAAAAGGTGAGATCCAGGTCGATGGACCCGCGTTTCGGCCAGAGGTGTACCGTATTATCCCTGTGAATGGTGAGGGCAAGGGTGAGATTAAGGAGAAGAAGTTCGAATTCCCCTCCAATGGAAGGGGAATGTACTGGGAGGCAGATGAGGTGGCAAGGTGCCTAAGGGATGGAAAGCTGGAGAGTGAGACGATATCTCTAGAGGAGAGTATTGTGATCATGGATGTGATGGATGAGGCGAGGAGGCAGAATGGTCTGACTTATCCGGAGAAGATTGAGTCGACTGTTTACCCTACTCAGCTATGAAATCATTCAGACCATGGACGATTCAGATTTCAACCAGCACGACCTTCAAACTATTGTACATGGCAAGCCTCGGTTGTCTATATATTGATCGACACCTGAGACAGCTCTATTCCCAACCCTGTCTTGAAAGACAGAACAAAGCCATTTACGATTCTCATAAGTAACCGCTCATGTCACTATATCAAGAATACAGACCGCACAGTATTTTAGCAAACTGCGTACAAACAAAATGGAATAGCTTAGTTCTTGAAGACACCGAGAAGGCTCTTCCACACCTGACCGGGCTCCTGGCTGGCGTCAATGCCGCGCCAGATGCCGGTCTTCTTGTAGTAATCGCAAACAGGGGCGGTCTGGGCGTGGTAGGTAACCAGACGCTTCTTGAGGGCCTCGGCGTTGTCATCAGAGCGCTGGACAAGGGGCTCGCCGGTGATGTCATCCTTCATGGCCTCCTTGGGAGGGTTGAAGATCTTGTGGTATGAACGGCCGGAAGCAGGGTGGACGAGACGGCCGGTGATACGGGCAACCAGGAGGGCGTCGTCGATCTTGAGCTCGACGGCGTGCTGGAGCTTCTGGTTGCGAGCAACAAGCATCTCATCGAGGCGCTCAGCCTGGGCGACCGTGCGGGGGAAGCCGTCCAGGATGAAACTAAGGAATAGACTGTCAGGACTTAATAGTCCAAGGGACAGAAGGATACGCACCCGTTCTTGCACTCCGTGTTGTTCTCCAGTTCACTCTTGATCATGTTAACCATAATCTCGTCGCTGACAAGGCCACCCTGGTCCATGATCTTCTTGGCCTCCCTTCCGAGGTCCGTCTTCTTTGCGACTTGGGATCGCAGCATGTCACCGGTGGCCTAGAAAGGATAATCAGCGTGATTGTCCCCTATTCAGCTCCGGTGCGATTGCTTACCAGGTGGCACACACAGTACTTTTCCTTGATCTTAGGAGCCTGGGTACCCTTGCCTAGCTTCGAATTAGATGTTGATCAGGAAGATTCCGTATATTCCCAACATACCGGCACCGGGAGGTCCCATAAGAATGATGCGCATGTGCTCCGCGACCGACTTGGGCTTGGATTCACCGCCGACAAGGCGGCTTTCCAAGTCCTCAATGCGAGCTTCGAGCTTTCCAATCGTGGACTTGAGTCCAGCGACAACGTCGTCTGTGATGGGAGCCATTGCGAAGGAGTGATGCGGAGGGAGGTATGATCGATAACTCTAGCGAAAGAGCTTCTCGGGGGAGATCAGGACGAGAGGTTGGGGTAGAAGAGAAGAACGGGGAAATGGACGGAAGGACGGGAACTGGGATGCTGGCGGATGCTGGGGTGAAGAAAACGAGACCGAGAGCGGAGGATGCACCCGCTGCTCCGAGGCTTGTTCGGACAACAACCGCCACCGGGTCTATGTAGGTAATGGTATCTATATCGGTCTGTGTAGATTGTTCTTCAATTGCGTATCTTCAACTATTTAATCATACATATATCTTCGTAGAGTTGAGCGCAATGCAGCTCGAAGTACATTCATGCCTCAGGCCACAAGGCGGCTAGTGGCTAGCAGCTCCAGCCACTGTGGCACAAGCAGAGCTAAGCGTTACTCTTAGACAACCAACAGCCTGAGCTTCGTCTCCATCGTCATCCCCATCAGCCTACATCGCCTCCTCCGTCACGCTCTCCTTCACCCATCCTCCTCTTCTCTTCCGTCTATCCGCTGCTTAGATTTTTGTCCATCTCTGGTCTTGTGCCGCCATGCCTGCTACCACGGCGGACACGCTCTCCCTCGTCACGCGGACCGTCACCGTTGCTCCGCTGGTACTTCTCTCCGTCGCAGATCACTATGGACGCTCCGCCAAAGGAACCCGGAAGCGAGTGGTCGGTGTGCTGCTAGGAGAACACATGGGTGGAAATGTCCGGGTATCAAACAGTTTCGCCGGTACGATCTAGCATCTGCGCCTGTTTTGTGTATGGCTAACGTGCCTCAGTCCCATTCGAAGAGGATGAGAAGGATCCGTCTGTGTGGTTCTTAGATCACAACTTTGTCGAGTCAATGCGAGACATGTTCAAGAAGATTAATGCCCGCGAAAAGCTGGTTGGGTGGTATCACTCAGGCCCGAAACTGCGCGCTTCCGATCTTGAGATCAACGAGCTATTCAAGCGATACACACCAAACCCTCTACTGGTCATTGTAGATGTGCAACCGAAGGAGGTTGGCGTACCAACCGATGCGTACTTTGCGGTGGATGAGATCAAAGATGTAGGTTTGGCAGGTATTTGACCGGGGCACAAGCTAACTCTGTCAGGACGGTACCACTACATCCCGAACGTTCGTGCACACTCCATCTACGATCGAGGCAGAAGAAGCAGAGGAAATTGGTGTGGAACACCTACTCCGAGACATCAGAGACGTTGCTGTCGGAACCCTCTCCACCCGCATCACATCGCAACTTCAGTCCTTACAGGGCTTACACCTCCGCCTACGTGATATCGGCCAGTACCTTCAAAAAGTCCTCGATCATGAGCTACCGGTAAACCATGCTATTCTTGGTAACCTCCAGGATGTCTTTAACCTCCTTCCCAACCTATCCACACCGGCCACTACCCCTCGCGTCGGCGGCGAGCCAGAACAGTCAACAGACAACGCTGAGTTGGCTCGCGCTATGAGCATCAAGACAAATGACCAATTGATGGCCATCTATTTGAGCAGCTTGGTCCGCGCCGTCACCGCGTACCACGACCTGATCGAGAACAAGATTCAGAACCGGCAACAGCAGGAGGAGGTTGAACAGAAGAGGGAGCAGGAGGCTAATGCCGCGAAGAACGAGAAGGATGGCGCAAAGAAGGCCAATGGTACTTCTGAGCAGAAGGAGGACGAGTCCAAGGAGAAGAGCAAGCGGTAGATAGTCACCGAGTGAATATGATATGATCTAGATCGGTGCATGGAATGTACACTACGCTTTCATGACTGAGATTTGGCTACGTATGCGAGCACGCAGCGATACTTGCGCATAGATTGGGTACCCTTACTTCGTTGTGACGTTGTAAGCCGAGTAGGATGGCAAGCAATACAAGTGAGTTGTGGGCGCGGTACTACCTGTCTACATCACTCAATAATGATGGGTTAAATATGACCTAAAATGCAATGCACGAACTGCAGCTCTATGTGAAACGGTCATTGCTTGCCAGTTCGAGTGGCGTGCATCCTCAGATGTCCCCCTAGCCGCTATAAAAGATGTTCGCCGTAGGACAATGCGCAGCCATCAATGCGACTCGGGAGCAGATAAGGCACGCTTCCTGTGCTAGACACGCACCCAAGTAAATATAGAAGCTGACTATGGCTCTGCGCTCGCTTTGATGGCTCGACATGAGAAGGAAAGAAGACTTGACTTCATCGTGCATGGTGGTCTTCCGGGTTCTCTCAATCTGTATAGACCAAGCCACGACTGTTCAGCTGCTAAGAGGTGGCCAGGAACACAGTCCCAAATCACAAAACTGCGTCTCCATTATTGTGATTTTGCGGCTATTCTTTAGAGCGACCTAAATCATGCCAGTTCCCATAAGTTGATCCTCCCACGCGGGTCTCAACAGCTTAGTGAGGGTAGTGGATTTGTATTTAGAGTGCGATGCAACCGTCTTTTCTCGGCATCAGCATACTCGGATTCTCGGTTGAAACAACAGGAAGGACTGAGGACTCTTGCATATATACTGTACCATACTCCGAGCAGGCTATGCGGAAAGCGCATTGCATCTCTGCTTTGATAGGTTCCGGAGCGTACATGGTCCATTCCTGGGAGTTCTCTGGACAAGTTAGGGTTTCGACTTGCGGTGACAATCTTGAGGCACCGGTGTACATATGGCGCCTGTTCCAGGCCACGACAGCCCCCATGTCATTCAGGATTTCGTTGAAGAGATATCTGATACCAAATATGTGATTGGACGCCTCTGCCCTAGGGATCCATCCTAGTTTCGCTGTTTGAAGCGCTAGGGTTGAGTTGCAACAACATCAGTAGGAGACTGTAGAGTCTAGGCACGGCCTATCAAGCACTCACCGGGGTGCAAAACTGTGTGATCCATCTTCTTATTGATGAAAAGGTAGTGTAGTTAGTGTATGTATTGTAGTGAGTGGAGGGTAGTGAAAGAAAAGAAAGAAAAAAACACAGGGCCGACCGCGACTCGAACGCAGGACCGAGCGGAAACATGAAACTGCAGCCGCTTGCTCTACCAAACTGAGCTATCGACCCGATAGATGCAAAACATGCATAACTTTGTGCTTTATCAAGCTAAAACCAAAAGTGCTTCTGCTGCGTATGAATCGAACTATAACCCGAATGTATAATCACACTCTATCATATCCCTGCTGTTCATAAGACGTTTTTTTCTCGTTTGATAACTATTGCTGGTGGCAGGCAGATACATGTATCAACCCCAATGTCTGTGTATGTCTCGGAGAGTTTGCCGGAATAGTTCGTGTGTCGCGAGAGGTGCCAGGCATACATTGACAGTCTGTAGTCCGCTATCATATCGGAGCCAGGTGACAATCAATACAATGTGGGATAGCCAAGGTGGTTCATTCTCCCAGTTGCGTCGTACAGCCACGTACGCAGGCATGTATTATATGCTGAGATACACGGTGGTGACTCGATTTCACCCGCCCCATCCCGCACACAGCGCCGCAACCTCCTCTCTACAGATGGTAACAACTTGACTTTCTTCCTCCTCCCCATTCAGACCGAGATCGTGACAGAGCGCAGCCATCAGGCAGGCCAGAATGTGCTTACAGACTGGAGGTGCTGACTCTGGGTGCAGCGGCAGTGTGCCACCAAAGGAGTAAGCATGGTAGTAAGCATTTGTGTTTGGCGTGTCAGCATCAGCACTAGCATGGTCACTGATGTGGTCAGTGGTGTGATTGTGGTCAGATCCAGCATCCTCAATGTCCGCTCCCTCGGTCTGGCTTGATAAGGACGAAGACGGGGGAGCAGATGATGGCTCCGGGCCTAGATCGCGGAAGGCAGATATCACAAAGGATGGACATGTGCAGTTCCAGGCCTTGATGCGGACCTCGTATCCTTTTTCTTGCCAGGCCTGTCTTTGCCTCTGGGCTTGGTGGTGGTATCCTCCACCGGGCTGTTGCGATGCAGGGAACAATGACCGCGATGTACTGGTGATGGTCGAAGCAGAAGCAACGAAAAAGAAGTCCTCTATTACCGTCTTAGCTGGACCCTTGGATTGAATTTGAGTTTGGGTTTGAGTTTGGGTTTCAGCACGTTCGTCTTCTTTTCGGCTTGCAACCCCATCTCCAGTCTCGGCTGACATGTCGTGCTGTGCTCGAGTATGACTGCGAACCCGTCTAACGAGCCCGCGGTCCAGGATATCAAGTGCAAGGAGGAACTCATTGGGGAAGATGCAATGCAGGGTCAGCATCAGAGGTTTGAGCGTTGCTAGCTGCGATGTTGGAAATACGGATGATGGGGCCTGAGTTAGGCGAGGGTGACCATGGCGTTGTGTCTGCGGTTGGGTTCGGAGTTCGTCATCTCTTATCTGCGCTGTACCCGGTGTGGTGAGATGAGATAGTTGGGTGAGGAGGCTGTTGATGAACTGCGTGGGCAGTGGGAGGGTCATATTTCCGACCGTTCTTGTGTCTGGCATGTAGTACTCTGATATATATCTCGACCGAGCCGCGAATTATGTATAGAAAATGGTCCGGCTAGTCAAGAACCAACCTGCAAGCCCGATCATGGATTAAGACAGTGTCCACGGCAACGTCGAATGAACCCATGACCCCAGCTCGTTCAGTGCCCCCCAATAGACATACTGCAGCTTGCAAGGTTGACAGAGCCACAACAGCCGCTGACTCAGAAATTCTCCGAAGCGCATGCAAGGCCAACTTTAATTTTACATCCCTGTAGGACGTCATACCAACCGGTACCGCCAGCCTACGGGATGCATACCCAGCGGGAGAATAATACTGTATGAAATCGTACAATCCTTCCCACTCGTGCTGTCATAGTGAGCCTGTGCTTTTCGATTCAGCCACAAACCTTGGAACACAGACCAACCCCCGCCATAGAGCCTTTGAATTGGCAGCCACTGGGTCACACACTACACTGTGAAACTAGACAAAATGGCATCCGAAGATCGAGACGAGGCGTACGAGGAGAAGAATGTACACCAGGTGTACCAGCAGATCGCGAAACATTTTTCAGCGACGAGATACAAGGTTTGTTCCGCCGGCTCTGAGCCTGTAAGCAGCAGTTAACGAGTCCAGCCATGGCCGATTGTGGAACGCTTCCTCCAAGAGCAGAGCTCTGGCGCAGTCGGGCTAGATGTAGGATGCGGCAATGGCAAGTATCTGCCTGTAAATAAGAGCGTCTATATTGTGGCATCTGACCGGTACGTATGGTTTGTCATTGGCTACATATTTGATCCGTTTCGTCTATGTACATTGATTGATCGTTTCTTCCTTGCCCATAATAAAACAAAAGAAAAGCGTCTCACGCGATACCTGAATTGATACCCCAACTGACCGTTGTAGATCCGAAAACCTCGCGCGGGTTGCCCGCCAACATGAACCACACTCGACAATCCTGGCAGACATATTGAACCTGCCACATCCAGACTCATTTTTTGACTTTGCCATCTCAATTGCCGTTGTGCATCACCTATCTACCCCAGAAAGGAGAGTCCAAGCGATTCATGAGATTCTGCGCACGCTGAAACCTCCCTCTGGCGATAGCCCAGGTGGCAAGGCGTTGGTCTATGTCTGGGCTCTCGAGCAAAAGACTAGCCGCAGAGGCTGGGACAAAGGAGATGACCAGGACATCATGGTACCCTGGGTTCTGAAAACCCCCAATCCCGGGAACCCCGACGCCGAACCAAAGGTATTCCATCGATACTATCATCTGTATCAGACGGAGGAGCTGGAGCGGGACGTTGTGAGCGCGGGCGGCCATGTGCTGGAGTCCGGATACGATAGAGACAACTGGTGGGCGATCGCGAGTCGAGTAGACCAGGAAAAATGATCGAGTTGTGCGTGACGTTCACTCCGAGATCCAGCCTCGGAGGATTTTCGACCCTGCGACAGTGAAAAGCAGAATCGATGGGCCACCATGTAGGGGCTTGACCTCTCAATTGTATGGAGGAGAAAAATCGCAAAATGGTCTATGAGAATTCCTCCCTAAGAATCAAAACACCTCCAGCGCTATGCAATTCGTAACAACGCAAAACGAACAAAGGAAAACTGCCACCCCTAGGGAAGCGTTCGCGGGGGAAGTCCGAGATTTGGACCCAGATGGCCAGGATGGCCTCTTCCCAAATCCAGTGGTGGTCCTATCCGGTAGGCATCTCGTGGAGGTATTTGAGGCGGAAACGGCGGAGGAGCGTATGCGGGAACACCAGCAGCAGGGACGCCAGCGGTGAGCTCCTGGACGGACGGAAGCTGAGGCGGGAGATGGATCGATCGTGATGCGGAGCCCTTTCTTGGTCGGGATAGGGATGTACTCGCCCTGCGGGTTCTGGTCGTCGGGGGATCAATCGCTGAACTGGAGAGTGAAAACGGGACCACGCCAGCTCGACGCGCCATCTCTTGCTCGCCCAACTGCCAATGCATCGCTTCTGCAGCCCGCCATGGAATCGCCATTTCCTCTGCCACTTTGGACCACATCTCGGCCTTGAACCTGTTATCCAACGTCAGCAATTGCATGTCCAGCACTAGTCAGAACTCCTTTAAAAAGCATAGGATACCTTTCATAAAGACGTGCGAGTTTGTTTTTCTTATCCTCGTCCCATTCACTTCGTCGCTCCAAGTAGTTCTGGTAATGAAGGCGGCAGCTGATTGCACTCCGTCCCGGTAGTCGTTTGCTGATGTCCTCCCACTTCATGCCGCTGCCCCGCAGCTCGATGATCAGGGCGTCCTCTTCTGGAGACCACTTTGACTGCTTCTTCGCCGGTGACTCCGCAGTGTGAGCCGGTTGCAGGCGCTTCGTCCCAGCACCAGCTGAAACCTTGGCAGTAAGCGGGGGGCCCGAGGACGCCGAAGGCACCGATGGCTGGGTCGCCAGACCAACTCCAACTGGTGGTGGTGGTGCAATCGGAGCCATTGGCGGCAACGGATGCATAGCAGGAACAGGCGGGAGGGTCGAGGTGTTGCTCATCATGTTCATGGGGGTGGCTTCCTCCTCATCTTGGGGCTTCAACAGCAGTGAGATATCCACTTTGGCAGGAGGTGGTAGGATAGGCTGGTTTTGTAACGCAATCATATGCGCGATTCACAGCGTGCAAGTCTTGCTCAAGGTGCGGTAGTAGGTGGAGATAGAGCAGCATACGCCGAGATAAAAAAGGAGGGTTTCAGGTTCTCGCTGTCGCCGCTGCCCTTGATGCCCGATATTTAGATGTGGTGCTGAAGTGCAGTGCAGTGCACGTCCTGACAGTTGACACTTGACAGTGGCAACAGGCGTCCAAGTAGTCCACTCACAGCCCAGCCGAATCGAGTAGGACAAACAGGCTGTAGATCAAACAGACGGCCAACCTTAAGACGGTATAATAAGTACCGGCACGTTCAGTAGCCCCGTAAGCCAGTTCCTTGCCTTAAAATCTCGGATGGGCGGGTAAGGCAATAGAAGCAGCTGGTATGCCTTGTACCAGTGACGGCACTACACTCAGATCAAGTCAAGTTAGGTATGGTGAAGCTGCCCTGCGGAGGCTGAGTCGCTTCGGAGCGTATCCTATCACGGGCCAACCACAGACGATGATCTAAGTAGAAGTAGAAGCGAAGTAACTCCGAGTACACCAAAGTACCGTAAAGCGCGTATCAAGAGGCCGAACGTATGCAGTAGATAGTAGAAGTTGAACGATAGCAGTAGCAAAGAAGAGAAAACCTGGAGTTGAGGCACGAGACGAGATCTAGAGGCAGATACCTTGGGAACGGCCGTCAAGCTCAAGAACGTGAACTAGGGCAGAGGTAACGAAGGAAGAGTGATGGGAAGAAAAAGAAAGTTTAGTAGATCCAAGCAGGAGAAGGAGAAATGGACGGTCGATGGGACATTGGGGAGAGATGAAACGCAGAACTGGAAGCCTCATTGGAAGCAAGAGATCATCGGCTCATGACAGCTGATTGAGCAGCTGGACGGGCCAGTGAGGAGCTCAGTATCAGCGTAGAGACACTAGGTTGACCCAGAGGCGAGCCCAGGACCATGTTCGAGAAGCCATTGACATTAACTGTTTTACCATCTTTCCTTCATTTTATTTAAAATTGCATGACACAGTTAGCCACAGTACCCAGCCAGCCCACAGTTACCTCTAGCCTGGCAATGCTCTCCTCTGTCAGTATCCAGCTGAATACATCAATAAAACGGTAAAATGGTTAAAAAATTGCCAAAAAGTGAATGTTGACGGCGATTATCAAACGGTTCCACTGGGGAATACAGGCCGCTAGCAGAAGAACGGCTCCAACCCCTCCCGAACGTTCGAGCCCGGCGCGCTGAAGATTGTTCCTCATATTAAAAATTACTGCTTAATCTAACGGCCGAGCAGAGTCCCTGGGACGGGATCTGTAACAAAAGAATGGGGCAAATCAGCGACGAGTTTCGATTCTGCATCCCTTTAGCTGCAACACGCTTTAACTAAACTGAAGCATCTTAGATCTCAGCGCTATGCTTGGTAGTATGTGCTTGCCCATGGTCATGGAGATTTTGGAGAAATCGATATAGTAAACTGCAAGACTGAGGCTGAGCAATACAGCAGTCAGCAACAGGGCTTGGTCTCCCGTCTAAATCGTAGATCTGCGGAAGTGCCGAGGAACTCTGAAAAGGACGAAGAATAATTAGAAACGAAACAGACGCGGCAGGCAAGAAAGAACAGAGAAGCAGAGAGAAACATGGTTCCCTGGCGTGGAGACTGGTGGGGAGGCCGGACGGGGCTGACGTTGTTCAACGGCGTCAGATCCTAAACTGGCGACACGCTATAATAGTAGCCAGCATTAACAGCGCATCGGCCGACACGGGAAGAGTACGGAGTTCCAGCATCAGGACTGCGAGCGCCGCGGCAGTTGGCCACTCCAGTCTCCGAGCCCCAGCCTCGGACCCTTCCCATTATTTTCCCTTCTTGGTGAAGTGGTGTCTAACGGCTGCGGGATCGGCCAGCCAATGTAGTCCTTGACTGCTTGGCCATGACGATGGATCTGTTCAACGGCCATGAACCCAAACCCCAGAGGGAAAGTATCGGCATCGACAATATCGCTAGCAGTGGCGCTAGCCAGGATCCGGGGTCTATTTTAGCGACTGTTCGCCTTCGTTCACGGTCCAACTGCAGCTCGCGACTCGTCTACCGTCTGCTGTATGTACATAACAAGCTAGCAGCCTAGCAGCAGCAGCAT